AACCAGGTGGTAATGATCTTGCCTAAGCCTCCTAACCCTCTGGTGAGCAGATAAGAGGTGTCGCTGTTCAAGCGCAGTTTTGTGGCATAGGGCACACTGGGGAGAACAGACTGGTTTTCTGGCATCTAAATGACGGCCTTGCCAATATGATCTCTGTTCTGGACATGTTAGAAACCATCTTGAATATTAGAGGCATCAAAGATGGCAGTCGGCCGGAGAGGTTGAATATCTCCTCTTGCACATAGTTCAATGCATTTCTTCAGGATTCTACCCATGTTTTTGTCAGCACAATCAAGTCATATGATAATAGTACCTTCTGGCCCGCTCGGGCCTCTTCTGAGCAAGGTGGGTCATATCAACACAGCAATAAGACCGGCTTAGCAAGAAATTATTTATCTGTAGCTTGCCAAAGTCTGAAATGTCCTTCTTCCCCAGCTTGACCATCTTGCCGAACTTAGCAACATAGTTCCAGGAGGCATGAAAGAGCTCGCCAGAGAGCGAGTTCAAGACAATGTCCATGCCCTAGCCTTCTGTCTCTTGCATCAGATCCGCCACAAAGCTGTCATTTCGGGAGTTGAAGATGTGGCTATAGGGGATGTTGAAGGTCTCCATGAGGTATTTGACCTTTTCTTTGTTTCTGACAGTAGCAAATATCTGCTCTTTGTCTTAGAATTTTGTCTCTCTCAAGTCAAGGTATATATATACCTCTGTACTGATCATCTTGCAGATTCGAATTATAGCATGACTAACTCCTCTGGTAGCCAAGTGAATAAGAACAGACTGTTTATTTGTTGTTAGGATAAGGAAAGATAGAATACCCTAGATAAATAACTCACCTGGCCTTTCTCTAGCTGTCCAATGTTAATCAGGGATTTGATTACCATGGTATAGTAGATCAGCATCATAGCTATGTCCTCAAAGCTCAGTTTATCAGGAATTCTCTCTATAAGAGCTGATAGAATGGGCAATGATCTTTAGGCATGCTGTTGGGGGCATAGCCGGGACACAATCACCAACAGACATATTTTGAACATTTGCTCTGACATGTCAAACAATTCCAGAAATCTCCAGACCAAGTGGGACACCATCTGGCCCAGCTTTAAGAACACCCATTATATAGAGCACATCATAACAAGAACAGATCAGCGGGGAGGACTTTTACTAAAATAAAGAGAACTTACCTTCAAATTCAAACCAATCACATGAGCGTCAATTTCAACCTCATTATCCACTACCTGCAGAGGACAAGGCTTATGGACCCATCAGAGGGATTCCAATAGGCCGACTTTCTCAATCTCAAGAGTCTTGACATGATCTCTATCTTCAACACTGGACCATTCCCACAATTCCTTTTCAACTAAAAACAGATGACATTGGCCAATCTTGACCACTCTATTGTCAACAATATACTCCTTATTGGGACTGAGGAGCTCATTATCTTCTAACTTGAGGATCTTCTTGAAGACCTTAAGGACCAGGCTCGAGAACTGTGCCTCATTTTCTCGAATTTCCAGCATATAGAATGGAATTGGCAACTCGGCACGGATTAACCTTAATGACTCTGATGGCTTGCGCTGAGCAAGGGTCCTGGTATTTGACCTGGGCTGGCCTTGTCAACCAGAGGATTAGTGCATTGGTTTAGTGATTATACAGGACCTGTTGGAATACAGCAAATGGTTCCTCTGTGATGCTCTTAAAGAAGTAGCTCTCCAAGTCCGGGAGGGATATAATCTCCTGACCTGCCAGCGGAAGCTCGCTGAGATAACAGACAGACAGAGAGATACCTCGCGCCTTTAAATCATTGATGAAATGCTGACTGATTCCGTGATCTTTTCTGTCAGTAGGGGTCTTTGCAACACAATTGCAGCACAGTAGTAGTATGGTGGTTCTACATTACGGAGAGCAGCATTGACACTACTCAAGCCGGCTCTCTTTAGTTCGTTGTCCCATTGATCCACGGATAGATATGGCTTATATGGCCGGCCATCTTTGCCTAGCCACTATCTAGAGAAATTGCGAAAAATGTAGTTCAGGGTCCTTACAACTGCGCAGAGCTCTGTCAGGACCAGGTATCCACCAGGTTGCAGTAACGGTTAGAGATTTCTAAGCGTCTCATTTAAGCAAGGGGTGGCATGGATGACATTGGGAGCGAGAATAACGTCGTAGTAATCCACCCCGAATCCTTGATCAAAGGGTGATTGAGAGATATCAAAGACCCGATAGTCCATACTGGGAGCATAGGAGAATCGTTCCTTGGCCTGGGGGAAGAATCCGGCAGAGATATCAGTGAAGGTATAGACAGAATAACTAGGATGACCATCTGGGTTGACGAGCTCTTATAGAATCATCTCTGTTGTGCCTCCAGTTCCAGCGCTAACTTCCAAGACTCTCATTGTCGGTCTCGAATGGCACAGAAGACAGAAGAAGTCACTTTTGTTGAAGCTGACCATGTTATAGATCTCAGTTAGGATATTGTCCTGCATCAAGATGTCAAGAGTATCCCCTTCTCTGGTAAAGATCTTCTTGCAGTTGTCAAAGATGCACTTCATTCTGATCACCATGGCTCCCTTGGCTGACATGGTCAAGAGCTTCTCATAGAGCTCTTGGATCATCTTGTGCCAGTTAGTGGATGACATTTCACTAGATCCTGAGTGGCCTTCTCCAGCAGAGGATATGTACCTTCTTCAGTGTGCCAAGTCTCCATTTTTAGCCAGTCTTGGAACTTGGCAAAATGCGGCTGGCAGGGCTAGAGACCTTCCAATCTTTTGACTGTTTCCAGCATGCAGAAGAGCATCATCTCTTCCTACATTCGGGTCTCCTCTTCAATTGATGGCGGCCCCTTGAACAAGGTCGCATGGTCCACCATGTCAAAATCAGGAAGCCATTCGAGACACGCAGCCGCATGGGCCTCCGCCTTAGAAGCCTTACTGCCATCCATCGGGGTCAGTTTGAGGCCATGGAGACGAAGTGCTAGCTTCCCATCCGCCATGCAGTCCACGGAAAGGTTGTCCAACCCTTTGCTCCATGCAACAGCGTCCATCTCTAATGCGCTTTGAGAGATTGCAAGATCCTTGATTGTGGTGGGAATGCAGAGGTCTCTAAAGTTTCTCCTAATCCCCTTAGCCAATGTGACCAGGAGCAGATGCAAGCACGTATTAATACATGCCAGATGAAAGAGGAATGCCGCATTTTGATGCAAAGGAGGATTGACAATCTTTGCTGCAGCCAAATTGTCCATTGTAGAGGAGACAATGTTTGAGAGGCCTTGGAATTCAGGGCCATAGACAATTCCAATATCAGCCATTGCTTGATACCATCTTAATGCAGTAATCTGGCATGGGAGTTTCTGGTTGGTCAATCAAGTAGGTGACAGCTCTTCTGCAGAGGCTTTCACCTGGCCCTTGCAGTTTTTGATCCAGGTAGACCCTATTCTTGGTACACCTCCATTTACAGAGCACCACATGCCTTCTGATGCCCCTGCAGAAGCACGAGTCTCATCCGCTTCATCGCCCAGAGTCTCGAGGGTTCTTTATATCTGGCCCTGTCGATATATTCCTGTGCTTTGGTTTGAAAGACTAAAGTTGAACCAGCCCTACTCTAGTTGCGCGACTGTCGCACGGTGATCACCCCACTCACCCGTGATCGGGTGAGCTCAGGGCGGCGATGCTCACCTACTAACTAAAACGAGAAGGGCAGTCGACCGGGTGCTCGTAGATTTTTGCTCAGTAGGTTTATTTCATATCTTGCCAGCAGGTAGGTACTGTACAGTACGTGTAGGCCATACCAGAACAGATACTGTACTAAAGACATCCTTTACTCTCATCTATGTATATTACGATTAATAATAGGTACGGGTAAAGTCAGGCTCAATTGAATAGTAAGCTGTTATTGGAACCTTTGTCTGTTCTTGCTGTTTGTCTTGATATAGTATAGCAGGTCTAATATATTATTTATTTATTTTAACTCTTCTCGTACATTAGGGATAATCCTTAGGAGACAATTAATACACTGATATATCGATAGAAGAAGACTTTCATTCTATCTACCTACGAATATCATATCAATCGCCCAACCTGATACCTACTTACAGTCCAGTTCAATCGATGACTGCGTCGACAACTCCTTCCTAGAAATAACAAATGTAACAATCAACTCTAACTTAGGCGAGCAACGCTCCGCCCAACCGGCCAAACACCCAGCCAAACGGCCTCGAAAACCATACAATCCAACTGGCCACAAACACGACGTAACCCGCCGCTCGCCCAACGATCATCACGACAAACCCCAAAACAACAAAATAAACGCCCGCCTGCCCGACGTCCCGCATCAGCAGTGTCAGCTCCTCACTGTTCGGCTCCGGCCACGACCCCGTCCGTCGATACGCCAGCCATGTCTCGCAGAGCCGAGATGACACCCGCAAGCAGTGGCCGGCCATTTCGAACAGCTTCTCCGAAACCGCCAAGAGGTGATGGAATATCCGACTGCGTCGGGCGAGCCCATGCAGCTGGACGAAGGATAAAAGTACAATGTGGAACAGAAGAGAACAGTTCTGCACATTCAGGCTGCTGCCGCTGCCATTTGAAACCGCATCTTCGCCTTCACCTTTGCCCAGGCCATCTTTGTGCTCGTCGCTGTTTTCCGGAGTTTGGCCCTCAGATCTAGGATCAGACGAAGAAGCTTTCGATTCTGCGCTCTTTCTAGCCTCGGTCTTCCTCTCTGCTTTCTCCGCTTTCTTTTCTTCTGCCGCTTTCTCCCCAGTTCTTTTCTGATCTGCCCTCTCTTCCGCAGCCTTTTTCGCCGCCGCCTTCTTCGCCTGCGCTTCACGGTACGCAGCTTGAGCTTCGGCCAATTTCTCCGCCGCTATCATGCGTTCTTTCAGCCGATCCGCAGCCGACTTAGGCGGAGTCTTTTGATTAGCACCTTTCTCAGCTTCTGCCTTCTTGTATGCAGCCTGAGCTTCGGCCAGTCGTTCCGCTCTCTTTCGAGACTCTACAAGCCTCTCCGCCGCTTTCTTGGCTTCCGTCCTCTTTTCCGCCGGTTTGGCTACGTCGGGCTGCGTTGCTGCCCTCTTGACTTCGACACGAATAGAGTGAGTTCTGCTGTTTTCAGGCCTTCCGGAGCCAGTGACATTCTCCCGGCTTTTCTGTGGACCCTGATCCGCTTGAGACGGGCCATCACTGGCGGGAACTCCTGCCATCTGCTGAAAAATTTGTAGGCCGTCCAGCTCTGCCACGCTTGGTGCTTTGCTGCTTCGATCACGGAAAATGTTCCGTGCTCTTTCTTCAGCTGGGGAGACGATATCTTGGATCATAGGCCCTTTAGTGGCGGGCATGTCTTTAAAGACATCACGCGTATCTAGCTTCAGATGACCGCTATTCTTTGGAGCGGGGCCGGCGCGACTCTCAGTCATTATCGTGAATTCCTTGCCTTGAGGACTCCCTTGTTTGGCTTGCGTCGCTGACGCAGCTGCCAGATGGGCGTACCTAGCTGTAGGCGAGCTGGTTCCGGGCCCCTGACGGACGCTATTTCCATGGTGTATAGGATATTCTGAGGCTGGTGTGGTCTTGGGAGGACCCATGAACTGTGGATTCGGTCTTCCGGGAGAAACGTGCGTCCCAAACTTGGTGGCAGGAGGGGATTGCCTCTGGTTTTGGCGAAGCCGAGAAGGCTCTGTCATACTTTTTGAGATGGACGGCGGCACCATCACACGCGTTACGGTAGGAGTGACAATGAACACATCATCGTCATCCTTCCGGTTGGCCTGTTCCACCTGATTCTCCTTTCCCGTGGCCGTGGGCTTAGGAATTCTGTTCGGGGGGCTCACTGACGGCTGGTTGGTTATCGTCCCTGCGCGCTGAGCGAGAGACGCCTGCACATTGGACTTTTGGGGCGCGCTGGCAGTTCGCTGATTTGAACTCAGCGGCGGCCTCGTACACTGAGATGGTAGGTCTTCTTCTGATACCACGGCCTTTTCAAACGCCGACAGCCTGTTCAGGTGGACACCCTGCTTCCTTTCCCCCTCTTTCTTCGATGTTGGGGTCCACGGAAATAGGGAATATTGGCAGTCGTCCTCCACGTTCGGAAATAGGAGAATTTCGTCCGGATTCTTCGCGTAGGGCCGGTCTATCTCTATACATCCCACGAAACCCTCATCTCCGATACTGTCATAGAAGTCCTTTTGCTTCTGATGGGAGCCCTCCTGAATCGGACTTACCAGATCTTGTCCGACTTCATCTGGGCTAAAATATTGACCAACACCCGACGGCGGCGAGGCTGGATTCTTCCGCATCGTTTGGTCTGCAGCGTCAGGAGTGCCGGCACGGTGATTGGGTCCCGAACCAATTTCATGCATCTTCTCTCTTTCGAGTCTCACTCTCTCGATATTCTCTTGATATTCTTTGATTTGTTCCGGCGTCATGGTCGGAGGATTAGGCTCTTTTGCGGATGGCATGTTGACAACGAACTTGTCCTCCCAATCGTCCGACAGCATATCAGGCACGGACACTTGCGAAGATTGCTCTTTAGGGCAGCAATTCTTTGTACCGGACGGCCGCGACTTTTCAGATGACGACGGACTAACATTGACACAGATCCACTGGTCGCCTTGCATCTTCCACCTTTGACGGCATGCCTGATGTGGTACGTTGTCCTCCTGAGAGCTCTCTGTGTGATTGCTGGGGCTTACCACACCTGTTCTCGGGTTGGCACCTCGCATGGTGATTTTGTCCTCGCTGTTGACCGTGAACAGACGTGGTTCCTTAGATTTATCCTGTGGTGTGACAGTCCCTAGAAACCATTTGGGCCTGCGACGTTCTCCTTCACCCGAGTCGTGTCTCCCGCTCATCGCATGGGCCGCCGCCGCAGCAATTTTCCGTTCCAGTCGGTGCCGAAGCTCTCGCCAATCTCTCTCATGAGCCTTCTTGGCCGGTTCGACATGAATCTTCTCGCATGTACTCGCGGTATCCATCTTGGAATCAGCATTGGTCACATGTCCCGGACTGGTCTGGGTCGCTGCGACTGTCTCTCCTGCATTGCTGACAAGGCTCCCTGTAGAAATTGCTCCTGACATCAGATATTCCGAGTCTTGCTGATAACCCTGGTCTTTGGCGTTCGGCGAGGACATGAGAAAGGAGAGATTGTCATCCGCGACTAGTCCGTCTTCTGCTGGCTTCCTGAGCTGTTGTTGACCTGGATCACACACTCTGTGTCCAAAGACAACTCCCGCTCTGGCCCATGCTGAACGCAGCGACAATCTTCCTGCTCTCCCCTGGCGGTCTCTCCTGGAGATGTCAGTTCGTCGTCGTTGTTGGCATGACGGTTTGACAGCAGACTGAGGGGTATCGAAAGAGGATGGAGAGCGAGGAAGGGAAGATAAGAGGGCAGCCATTCGTTAAAATTTATCTACTCGATGAGACGCATGTCAATTAAGAATATGGGGTCTTGGTATGCAACGCGGACGCTGGTTGGGTTGCTGGGCTCGAGGAATGCGGTCCCCGCGTGAAGTGTGACGTGTGGAATGCCAGCCTCACAATTTCCATATCCAAGAATTTGGGACTTAAATCGAGACAATAACGTAATACACTTGTAGCAAGAACAAAGATTACTGTCTCTGAAATGGAAGGGGCCATCGGGGCATCGCAGTTGCCCGGTGTCGAACAACGGTTATGGAATTGCATCGCCCGGGAGAAATATCGCAATTCATCGTATGTCATTATGGATACTGTTGAAATAAGCATCTCAGACATCACATGAGCAGAAACGAGGCAACTGATAAATCTATCATAGCCGCCCAGTCATGGTTTACCTAAAGTATGGACACCAAACCCATCCCCTAAGTGTCAAATCCAAAACTCCACATCCATGTAATAGTGACAATAACAGTTGCGAGGTCCAATGCACTGTGGCGGTCGTCATGAAAATATACAATGTTAAGGCCTTCGACAAGCATGATTACACTGGGTTCTGCTTCCAAGAATACAGGGATTTCTGGCTAGAATCGTCCACTGTCACGGCGGTTGTCGCGCACGTCAGCGGACAGATTGTTCCATCTCTGTGCCACTGCCGCAGGGCTCACTCCTCCTGGAACACTACTCCTTTTCAAAGGACTCGACTGTCTCTTGACAGGGCTAGAAATCCTGTCACGGAAGTTAAAGTCTCCCGTGTGTTGATTTCGGGAGTCAAAGTTCACTGACGCCGATTTTCTTAACGGCGAATTGGCGTGCGAATAGACACCAAGACTGCCGCCATCTCCTGAACCGGTCGTAGGCGGCCTGAACTGGGGTTGTCGAATGGATCCCGGAGCTTGGACAAGGGGTGAGGAATCACGCAGATGACTAGGGGTTTGAGTCCCGGATTGCTGCGCTGGTCCTGGGGACGGCATAAAAAACGATTGCCGCCGTGTGGGGGAAAAGATCGGCTTGGACGCGGAGTCAGGGTCGACATGGCCGATGTAATTGGGATTGGGACTCGTCTTGAAACCGCGGTTGATGACATGCGTAGGGGTGTGGAGCTCAACCTCGTTGTACTTCATGTCAGAACCGGGGTGATGAGCGTGTTCTTCGGAGAATTGGACCCCTACATCCCGCATGAGCGGATGCATGCGGGGTTGAACAAATTTCGTATCGTATTCGTGCAGCACCTCCTTGTGCACCAGAGTGTTGTCTTTGGCTTGACGAGCGAACGAGGAGGACAGAAAGGACATCTGAACGGTCAGGAGAGTCACCAGAACGATGGTTGTGACTACTGTTACACTGGGTCGAGGATCAGACGGCAGGATCGGGAGAAATAGCCAGTAGATGAGGATGTGGCCGGGGCTGAACGAGCAGAACAGACGCAGTGATAGCGGGAAGGGATCCCACACAGCGATTTCCCAGACATCGCGTTGGGGATCCGGATGCCTCCGCGATTCCGCAGTCTCGCCCGACAGGACGTTAGAGAGGTATCGTAGTGGAGAGGAGGACATTGGAGGCGAGGCAACCTGCACACGCTGAGCAGAAGGCGTTGAGGGGGGCTTGTCGATGGAGGCTTCAAACAAGCGGTAACGCCGCTTCCGCCAGAAGGTATAGAAGGCATTCAACGCCGAGAGCAAAGTGAGAAAATGGACGACAAAGGAAGCCTATTCATTTACCGAAAGAAACCATCGTTAGCGAACTCGCGCCATTTAAAAAAAAATGACAATGCTGCCACATACAAACCAGTTTACCCACGACACCCCGCCGCTGTCGTCGCCGAAAATATCATCTTCCGCACGACTGACTCTCCTCCCGCTGTTCGCTCGCGCAATCAGAAAGACGACATTGAGGCCGATGCCCAGAGGCACAGCCCAGTCCTTCTCGAGCTGATCCCAGTCGCTCGAGTCGATTTCTTCGGACACCCAGAGGAGGAAATCCAAGGGATTCAGGTAGGCCTTGATGCGCTCGAAGAGCGGTTGGCGGCGCACGAGTCGGGGCATGGTGAAAAACGCGTCGCCAGGCCTGACGTGAGCATCAATTCTGTCCTTCGTTCACCGCGCCATGGGGAAGACGAAGCTTGTCTGGCCCACCTGCAAAAAGCGGGAAGGACGTGAAGCTCTACGAAGACGGAGATGCGAGGTAAACAATGATCGGCGCTTACATAAGCCGCTGTCCGATGACGCTTAGGTTCGCTATGTCGACGACAGCGTACCTCCGCTGTCGATATACGGCCAGGGACTCGTTGGCGGAGGACAGCCAGGAGGAGGTCTGCGCTTTGAGAATTGACTTCTTTTTTTTGTCTTGTCTTCATCCTCCTCACAATGGCCGCTCCGGCCACCTTCAAGGTGCGTTTGTCGAACGAATTCGTCTACACCTTCCCCGCAGCGGCAATCGACTGACGTATTGACAGGACCGGCAATTCCTCGCCGTCATCGGTGATGAGGAGTAAGGATCTTTTCGTTTGCATGTGAGATTCAGCGGGACATGTGGTGACTTGCTTCGTATATATAGTTCTGTGACGGGTCTCCTGCTTGCGGGGATTGGCGTGAGTTCTTCCCCGCGATGGCATTGCACCAGCCATCAGCTTCTTCTTCGCCGTGCCCACTGTCTTGATATTAATATCGATCGCTAATTCTTTTTTCTCTCCATCCAGCACGTAACGGACCCCCCAGACTCGCAGCGCAACTTCCTCGTCGTGGACTCCAAGACGGAGACGTCGACCATCGAGAAGGCCTTTCACAACTTCACGCGAGAGAGGAAGGATATCGGCGTGCTATTAATCAACCAGCATGTACGAATCCCCCCTTACTTTGGACGTGCGAGGTGTAGCTGAGATTCATCAACAGATCGCGGAGCGCATCCGGCCCACGGTAGACTCGTTCACTGAAGCCTTTCCCGCCGTGCTGGAAATCCCGAGCAAGGACCACCCTTACGACCCGGAGAAGGACAGCGTATTACGCCGGGTACGGAAGTTGTTTGGCGAGTAGACTCGTCAGGGACGTTTGAATCGTTTACTGGTTTCTTGCGTTCATTCATTTATTCATTCATCGTGGGTTGGGACTTTTATTAGAGAACATGGGCAATTCTGTTTCCTTTTTTTTATTTTCTTTTTTAAAGGCTGTCAGGTATCTGGAAAATATCGAAAATTCGACTGGTGACAATGTGTCCGTCCACTTGACTATTTTCACTAAAGCAGGCGAGGTGATATATACCCAGAATTCTCCATACTCCATACTAGGAGCAAATAGCAAAGAAAAGCAAGAGAAGCTAAACGGTCTGGTCTTGTCTTATCTTGTCTCTAACTAGCCTTTCTCAGAAGGACGACTGTTACCGGTAATAGACGAAAGAAAGAAAGAAGCTCAAAATAAACGAACAAGTAATTAGATACTACTACATATATAGACTATATGTAGAACGGAGTAATAACTCGTATAGAGTGCTCCGTGAGGGTAGAAGATAAAGAAATCATTCCTACCTATCCACTCTCAAACGAATTCATTCTATCCAGACGGAATTGAATTTAATGCTCCGACACAAAAATCCCTGCCATGCCCATGCCCTAGTACAAGTTTCCAGTCAGAAGGGTTTCTGTCAAAGACCAGACAGGAAGGAAAGACGTCAACTTACCGTCCCTACACACATCGATGTCACGGCAATCCGCTTGTTCTGTCTCCGCAGCTCGGCCAGCGCAGTGACGACCTGTCGCGTTCCTGTGCAGCCGAGGGGATGGCCAATGGCGCTGGACAGAGTGGTTAGTTTCTGCTTAAGAAGATGATGATGATGAAGGCTGCGCTTACATGGCTCCTCCTCGCGGATTAACCTTGGATTCGTCCAGGCCTAATTTCTGGACGCAGTAGACGCCCTTATAACCAAGTCAGTTAGAGCGTTTCTTCTTGTCGACAAGAATATCTGGCTAGGAGAGAAGGGTCCGCACCATCGACGCAAACGCCTCGTTAATCTCGAAGATATCCACCTCCTCCTTGGTCAGCCCCGTCTTGGCCAGAATCTTGGGAATGGCAATCGACGGCCCAATGCCCATGATGCGCGGCTCCAGCCCAACCACCGTCGCGCCCCCGAACTTGCCCAGGATCGGCTGCCCCAGCTCCAGCGCGCGCGACCGCTTCATCAGCACCACCGCCGCCGCGCCGTCCGTGATCTGGCTCGCGTTGCCGCCCGTTGTCGACGAAGGCGGCCACTGCGGGAACGCCGGGCGGATCTTGCTCAGCGACTCGACCGTCGTGCCGTACCGGATGCCGTCGTCCCGGTCGACGACGATGTCCTTCACTTCGCCCGTCTTGGGGTCCTTGACTTTGGTGCGCACGGGCACGATCTCCTCGTCGAACCAGCCCGCCTTCTGCGCGCGCTCCGCCTTCTGAAAGCTGCGGGCGGCGAACTCGTCGTGCGCGCGGCGCGAGATGTTGAACTGCGCCGCCACGTTCTCCGACGTCTGGCCCATGGGCTGCAGGTTCTGCGACGCGAGCGGGTGCGCCAGGATCTGTTGCGAGAAGGCCGGCGCGCCGTTGTCGGCGTTGGTGCTCATGCTCTCGGCGCCGACGGCGATGCCGATGTCGATCGATCCGGCGATGATCTGGTTGGCGATCTGCTGGATGGCCAGCAGGCCCGACGAGCAGAACCGGTTGGCCACCGAGGCGGCCGTGGTCTCGGGGAAGCCGGCGGCCAGCACGGCGGAACGGGCGACGTAGGCGGCGGAAGGATGCAGCACGTTGCCCAGACAGACGTCCTCGACGAGGTTGGGGTCGAGGTGTGATTTTTCGCGGACGGTCTGCGCAGTCAGCAACACACTCACACAAAAAAAAACTACGTCTCTGTTGTGTTGTTACCGTCAACAGCGAAATCAACAGATCGTCCAGCTGGGTGTCTTTCAAGCCTCCTTTCTTTGCCTTGGTGAGAGGCGTTCTCACGGCGAGGGTGATGACCTAGATGTCTCAGTATGCGAAAAGCTGAAGTATTCCTGATATCCCTGCTATACTCACCACATCGTCAGGATTCTTTGCAAGCAGTCGCTGCTTGGCCGGCGAGACACCGGACAAGTGTCCAGCGATGGACGAGAGGCGTTGCTGTGCAGAGGACATTGTGAAGATTTTTCCTCCAGGTCGTCCTGGATTTGATCTCTGAATTGAATTGTCGAGTTGTAGTAGTGTACACCAGTCAAGCTGTATCCCACAATCGAACCTGGTGATATCAGTTAGCAAGAAGCAGAATAAATAGAATCCAATGAATTTGTCTTACCAGATGATTGATGAGTAGATGAATTTAATACGCCGTAACCTGCGCGTCTAACAACGAGTGTCGATGATCAGTAATCAATAATAAATCAACAATAACAATCAATCCAGAAACAAGCTCTAGCAGCAATCGCAATAATATTAACTGGAGTGACGTGCAGGCCTCGGTCTGTCAGTCGGTAGTCGGTCTAGTGCAGCCGACGCCAAATGCCGTCACGACGCGGTACGATACCGTCACACGGAGACCTCGGCAGTCATCCAAGGTGGAAATAGGCATAGAAAATAGACAGCAAGCCCCACAAGACTGGGGAGACAGACTGTGGGGAGCGGATAAGAAGCAGCTTCAGCAGGGAATATTATTCGTCCAGGCTAGGAATATCCAGGCTGAATTGGCTGTAGCTTGTCACTGGCCACGCCAATCTGCGGGGGCGGATATCAGCATGCGGAATGCAGAGCGGATGGTAGCAGAACAATAAAACAATAAAATTATTATACCAGACAGATAGAATTGTCCGATGTCAGATATCGAGGAGGAGAAGAGAGGAGAATATTGAAACTATGACGTGTCGAGAGAGACTGATGCTGTCGATAGTCAATAGTCGATAGCTGTCTCAGTGGGGCTGTAAATACGATACGGTAATCCAGACGTCGGCAAGCTTATCCCGGGGGATTGCCGTTGGCCACTGCTTTTATACTCCAGATATTATCTGACATACAACACTCTCACCTATCTGATTGATCACTTAGAGTGATCTATGCTAGGAGAGACACCAAACGCAGACAATTGATATATATCCTAGCACGACAGTCCATAGAACTCGACATGGACATCCTCTCGCGCGCTGCGAGCCGTGCTGCCAGCGCAGGCCCGTCCATCGCGCTGGGATCGGCCCTGTCCCTGGCCGCAGCCGCCTATCTCAATGCCCGATTGTGCATCTCCAGCGACTTGCGGACTCTGCGAGATGAGCGCTTCTTTGGCCGGAAACTTCGCCAGCGCCTCGCCGAGCTGGACGACACGTGCACGCTGTACCGCATGCTGGAGCGCGTGATTGAGGTGGACGGCAAGGGTGATGCAGATGCACTGTGGTTTGAGAACAGGACGTGGACATATGCGCAATTGAAGGACGGTGAGTCTCGACAGGTAGTATACAGGACAGCACAGATACTGACGCTGACAGTCGTCGACCGCCTTGCTGCCCTCCTCCACCAGCGAGGCATCCGAACTGGCGATTTCGTCGCCGTCTTCACCACCAACTCCCCCGAGATGGTCGTCTGCATCTACGCCCTGGCCAAGCTGGGCGCCGTGGCAGCGCTCATAAACACCAATCTGCGAGGTATGTGTCCGTCTCGAGGGGGAAGAGCACCTGCTGACATCTCGCAGACGACACCTTCAAACACTGTCTCACCGTGTCCACCGCCAAACTCATAATCTCCACTCCCGATCTGGCGGAATTCGTCCGCTCAGATCTGCCTCATCTGACCTTCAACCTGTCCTCCTTCAACGACTTGCCCCAATCACCTTCCATAGAACTCATCAACGAGGACAGCCTCCGCCAGGTCTCGCCCTCCACCGTCTCCCCAGCCAAGCGGAGCCCGCCTGACCTGGCCGTCCTGATCTACACGTCCGGGACAACGGGCAACCCCAAGGCGTGCGCGATCCGCAACATGCAGCTGGTCGTGACGTCGACGCCCGTGCGGCAGGACGCCGAGAACCCATCGCGGTATTTCCCGCTGCGCATCTACTCTGCGCTGCCGCTGTTCCACGGCACGGCGCTCTTCGGCGGGCTGTGCTACAGCGTCGGCACGGGGGCGACGCTCTGCCTGCGACGCAAGTTCTCCGCCTCGCGCTTCTGGCAGGACGTGCACGCCTCGCGCGCCACCCGCGTGCTCTACATCGGCGAGCTGTGCCGGTACCTGCTGGCGACACCGCCGTCGCCGTACGACCGGGGGCACGCCTGCATCGTGGCCTACGGCAACGGCCTGCGCGGCGAGATCTGGGACCGCTTCCGCGAGCGGTTCGGCGTGCCCGAGATCCGCGAGATCTACCGATCGACCGAGGGCGTGGCGCGGTATGACAACTTCTTCAGCGGCGCCTGGGGCACGGGGTGCGTCGGGTTCGTGGGCCCGTTGCGCCAGCTGGTCGAGGACGACACGTTCATCGTGAAGTACGACCCAGACAAGGAGATGCCCTACCGGGACCCGAAGACAGGGTTCTGCGTGAAAGCGCGCGCAGGCGAGGAAGGCGAGGTAATCGGCCGCGTCCGCAACCGGGACATGCTGACAGAATACCTCAACAACCCCGACGCAACAGAGAAGAAGCTCCTGCGCGACGTCTTCCAGAAGGGCGACCTCTTCCAGCGCATGGGCGACCTGCTGGTTCGCGACAAAGACGGCTGGGTACGCTTCCAGGACCGCGTCGGCGACACCTTTCGCTGGAAGGGCGAGAATGTCAGCGCGGGCGAGGTCCGCGATCACATCTGTCGGATTCCGAACGTGCAGGATGCGGTGGTGTATGGTGTGAAATTAAAGGGGTAAGCAGACATCCCCTAGTTAACATATACCTGGGATTTTTTTTTAATTTTCTTGCTAACGCATTTTTGTTTTCCAGCTACGACGGCCAAGCCGGCGCAGCAGGCATCACGCTCGAGCGCTGGACACCCGACACCGAAACAGAATTCATGAGCAAGCTCTACTCAGCACTGAAAGCGAAAGGCGTACCGTCCTATGCGCTTCCTAGGCTGGTGCGCATCACCAAGCGGTACGCACCTCCACCACCATATTACGAACTAACCAATCTGACGATTGTTGCAGCGTTGCCACCGGCGTCACCTTCAAACAGGCAAAGAATGAGCTCGCCAAGAGAGGCTGGGATCCGGCTGTTGATTGGGATGGTGACTCGCTGTATTGGCTGAATGGGACCAGATATGAGAGGCTTAGTCCTGAGAGTTGGAGGGGGATTGAGAGTGGGAAGGCGAAGCTGTAGCTAGAAGACTAGCTAATAGTTATATATAGCTTGGTAGGTTCATGTACAGTAGTACTATTGTTAAGCAGATTAATTCATTGCGAGTATCGTGCTCAGCATACATGCAATATATCCTCATAACTATTCATTCTCCACATTCGAATGATTGATAGATCAGAAATGCCCACTCGCAGGAATCTCCTTCAACGTACACGCCTTGCCATCACACCCCGCATACGACACCGTATTCCCCCACCAGTTGAGCTGCACCTGATGATACTCCACCGCAAAGAAGATGACGATCGCCGCGATCGCGATCCCCGCCATGAACGACGACGTCAGCACGTACGCGTATTTCTGCCACCACCGCGTGTACCGGTGCTTGATGTAGTAGTTGAACGCGAATCCCACCAGCACTGTCGGCCACACGTACGATATGTTGTACGGGCAGTAGTACAGCACGCCGTTCAGCAACAGCGGGACGTGGATGTATCGCACCCACGAGCCCGGGAACCGCTTGGTGAGGAGGTAAAATGGAATCGGGAGGAGGGCACCCACCAGAAACCCCCATTCGAGAGGGTGGTAGATGCCGGTGTCGCCGTATATCCTCCTTGGTCCGATGGCGCCCCAGATCACCGACGCGGTGAAGAATTCGTGCGTGCCTGAGGTTATCGTGAGTCAATTTGTTTCAAGATAGCAAGGGGATACCTACTCGGGCAGGTGAAATTGGACGCCTGATCCGCCGTGCAGACATTTTCGATATTCGACATTTGCCACGCATTCACCCCAACAGACACCAAAGCGCCCACGATGGTGGAGACCGTCTGGGCCCAAAACAACGTGCGCGGCGGAATCTTCATATAGTGGCCCAGTTTCAGATCCGCCACAAACTGAATCGACTGCGCGCATGCGATGTATCCGTACGACTTGAAGATCATGTTGGCCACGGGCTTGTTCGGGATCGCATACCCGCCGATGAACTCGGCCAGGACGTTATTGGTGATTTGGGTGTTCGTAATGGCGAGGATCATGCCGATGGGGATCTGCAGCACCAGACAGATCAACACCCCGATGACGATGCCCCAGATCGGCATGCCGGTGTCGTAGACACTGACGGCGACGCATCCAAGAATGAACGAAATCCCCAGGACGGCGAGATACCACCATTCCGGGACCTCATTGTAGGCCTTCATGAGTCGGTTGTGGACATCGTTGTATTCGTCCCGCGCGCTTCGCCATCGCAATGCTGCCCTCACGCCGTTGATGATCTCCCTTCGATGATAGAGGACCGCATGCACCACCGTCGCCAGGTAGACGGCAAAAAAAGCGGCATACAAGACGGCATACGCGGCGGACAGGTAGGCCGGGCTGTACGCTTCGTACGCCTCGACATTCAACGTGAAATCGGAGTTGAGGATCCGGCTGACATTATAGTTATTTCCGGTATTGTCAAACACATCATAGCTGTTGATGGGGAAGTACGCCGTATTCCACACGTTGGCAAAGTACACGGGTACAATGACGCAGAAGCCCACGAGGAGCATGCCGAAAAAGTTGTTCACGAGAGCAAAGAACGGGGTGATGATGGGATCGAAGCAGTATGACAGGGTGTTCCAGTCAAACGTGGTCCACGGATTCAGGCCCATGCCGGCGATGCTGCCGGTGATGATGGCGAGCTTGACGTTGGTCGGCGAGATCCAGGTGATCCAGTTGAAGTACGCCAGGGCCTGGAAGATATAGTCCGGGAACCAGAAGTAGATGAACATGCCGACGAAGCAGTAGAAGAAGAAGCGGAAGCGGGAAATGGTCCACCCGTGGACCCGGTCAAAGCGATTGTCGTTGTGCAGCGCTTTGTTGAGAGCAATGCTGGCCAGGTTCTTGGGCCAGATCATCGCCGGGGGATACACCAGAAACCGGCGTACGATTCCGGCGCAGCCATAACCGATGAGCTGGGTCGAAATGGCGAGCAGGATCTGGAAGCCGGCGCTATCGGCCAGCCTCTTGATGCCGTAGAACATGTCGAGTTTGAGCGACTGGAAGATGTAGGTCACATACGCGGTCCCGTTGAGGCCGCCATAGGAGACGTTGGACATGATGGTGATGAGCATGTGCTCTTTCTGGTTGAACGGGCCTGGATTCAGGCTGAATCGGTGTCCGAAGATGGACACGCTCTTGGTTGGGAGTGCCCACTCCAGGAATTTCCCGCATGGATAGGAGAGCAGCTGGGCGACGACGGAATAGATCACGATGCCCGGTTGCCGCAGCGAGAAGAACTGATCCAGGCCCGTGCCGATGATGGCGAACAGGATGCCCAGGGTCCATGCCCGGAACGTGTTCACAGGCAGGGACGGGTCGTCGGTGTTGTCGACGACGGCCCTCACTTCGGGATAGGGCGAGTCGTTCAGCAGCAGCTCGCGTTGCGCCTGGATCTCAGCGAAGATGGCCTGCAGGCGGGATGCATCGATGCTCGCTGGATCCTCGCGCAGGATGGCGCGTGCTCGATCGAGAATGTCGGCGGGGAAGTTGAGATCAAACTCGTGGTCCTTGACCGCCTGCTGCAGCGTCGCCAGGAGCTCGCCCAGATCCGACTCGGCGATGTCGACGACCTTGCGGCCGTTCTTCTCGACGTCGGACGGCGGGCTGTCAAGCACGGTCTCGGGGTGCTTCTCCATCGCGGGCATGGCCTCCTGCTTCAGGAGCTGCGAGCGGGGATGCCATGCATTCTTATGCGACTAACATGATAGCGAGGATGCCACGACAGCAGATAAGAATGTCGAAGAAGATAAGATGGCACCATCGCTTGCCCGGATTGTGCCAGGCGTGTGCACGATGCCTCCTTCCTGTTCGGGCAAGAACGTTGTTCTGGAGGCAGATAACGATTGGTTCCGCAGGAGGAAGGAGCGACGGGTGAATTCCTGCCGCTCTGATTGGTTGGCCTTTACTCTGTTCTAGATTGGATAATATTCGCCTATGCGGAGAGATAGTAAGTAATAGTATATTATTATAGGCACTTAGTATGGAATATAATAATTATCTCCCATACAGGCTGTGACGGCGCGGCTCAGAAGTCTGGTCAGGTGACTCGCGATCACGTGATAGTTCCGAATTAGGAAAGGGCCGGGTCGCTCTCGCTTCGATGCATCACATCCCCTCGCCCACAGTCCTGGTTCCAATTTTCTTCTCTTCTTCCTTCCTCAGCTTCGAATTCTTGTAATTAGGGCTACCAAACATGAATTTACTTCGTTTTTGACTGAGCCGTCACACAGGCAGGCGCTGGTCTAAATTACTGTTGTATGACCGCTGTATTATAGTAACTAATTTATTACTGCAACCTTCTTGCTATGCAGTTTTAACAATCACTAGATTTAACACAGCATGAGTATAGATACCTTACATATCAGGATATAGATACAACGTCAGGAGAGATATAGTAATAGCATAATAGTTACAGATCTGCCACAAAGAAGGGGGAAAAAAAAGATTTTCCAGACCTAAGGATCAAACTTGAATTTCTTAGAAATTCCTACTTTTTATAAGGGAACTACTTTATTTTTTTTTATGTATTTGGGTATGTTACTAAGAAAGCTAAGTCTTAGATTACTACCTCTAGGCTAGAGTATTTACTCTATTCTACACAAACAACAAAAAGGGTGGTACCGGGTAGGTGTGGTTATAACATAGTACTTATTATATATAGATTATATGACCTTAATACTATCATTATTACTATCGCTACTTTTTATGCTATATCTCTAGTGACGCATATCTATATCTTGATATTATATCTCTCCAGATACTATATTAGTATTGATACAATATCACTAGTATAAAAAGTCATATTTCTTAATATAAATACAATATTCCAACATAACTAAGCAAATTCACTGTGTTTTACCCTATCGAGTTTGACGCTGTCGAGTCACTGTCATACAACCAGCACCTCCCGTATGGTATGGACACTACCATTGCATTGCTCTGATCTCATCTGCCTATAACAAGTGATATACACTGTCCTAGCTGTTATGCCGGCGGCTGCGGAAACTCATCCAGAACCGCCGCCTCCCCGGTCACCTCAAACCCTGCAGTTGGATACTGCCCGTTCACATCCACCTCCAGCGTGTACGTCCCCGGATACAGTACCAGATCCCCGCGCTCGTCTGTCCGCGCCACCGATCCCACCGTCACCGCGATGTCGACCGCGCGCGTCTCGCCCGGCTGGATCGCCCGCGCCCGCGTGTAGCCCACCAGCGTCTTGAGCGGATACGGTGCTGGTCCCGCGTTGCGCGTCGAGAGGAAGAGCAGCGCGACGTAGTCTGAGGTCGTCTTGCCCGTGTTTCGGACGTGGATGGTGAAGGTGTCGAACGGAGCCGTGTCGGCAGGCGCATCGGAAGAAGAGGCGTTTTTCACGAGAGAGCCGATCTCGTACGGTCCCAGCTGCGCCTTGCTCCACGTCACGTCAAACGTCGTGTAGTGCAGCCCGAATCCGAACGGGATCACCGCCTTGTCGTACCACCGGTACGTCCGTCCCGGGTTCGTCGCGCTCGGCCGCAGCGTCATGTCCGTCATCGGCACCTCGTCGACGTACTGCGCCGGGTACTGCGTCGTCGGGAGACGGCCTGCCGGCGCTGTCGCTCCCGTCAGGATTTCGAAGATGGCGGCGCCCCCAGCCTGGCTGGGATAGCCCGCCCACAGCAGGGCGTTGACGCCGCTGTCGTTTGCCAGCAGGGACGAGTCGTCCACTTGCCCGCCGCCGAATTGGATGACGACCAGCGGTTTGCCAGTCTGCGCTAGCTCGCTGATCAGCTGCAGCTGGTTGCCCGGCCAGACGATCGTGTCGCGGTCGTGGCCCTCCGCTTCGATCGAGTTGTCGATGCCGCCCGCATAGATGACGACGTCGGACGACTTGGCTGCGGCCACTGCCTCTGCAAAGCCAGTCGTGTTGGTCGCGTTGATAGCCGTGCCATCCGCGTAGTTGACCTTGTATCCCAGCTGCTCTGCTGCCGCGACCACCGTCCAGATGTACGGCGCCACGCCTTGGTAATTGCCCTGCAGCTGGGTCGTCGCGTTGGCGAAGGGCCCGATCACGGCGAGCGTCTGTCCCTCGCGCGACAGCGGCAGGACTTTCTTCTCGTCGTTCTTGAGAAGAACGATCCCCTCCGCCGCCGCCGTGCGGGCCAGCTGCTGCGCGGCCGGCGTGGACACATCACTCCAGCCTATCGACCGGTAGGGCTGGTTCTCCGGCGGATCAAAGTAGCCCAGCTTGACGAGCGACGAGTACAGGCGGATGAGCGCCGTGTCGAGGGTCTGGTTCTGGAAGAGCCCCTGCGTGTAGGCAGCGCCCAGATTGTCGGGATAAGTGGTGCCGCAGTCGAGATCGGTGCCGGCGCCCAGGGCGTCCGCGGCCGCCTGGGGCGCAGTCGACGTGTAGTGATGGTTGGCGTAGATGTTCTGCACGGCATCGCAGTCGGACGTCACCCAGTGGCCGGTCGTGTTCCAGCCCCAGTGGTCGCGCAGGATGTCCTCCAGCAGATACGAGTCGGCGCACGAGGGCACCCCGTTGACGGCGTTGTAGCTGCACATGAGCGCGTCGACTTTGGCGTCGCGGGCGCAGCTCTTGAAGGGCGGCAGGTAGTACTCGGCCAGGTCCTGCGTGGACACGACGGCGTTGAAGCCATAGCGCTCGTTGCCGTGCCAGTCCTCGAGGTCGTAGGCGGCGAAGTGCTTGCAGGTGGCCATGATCTTGGGGTTGGCCGGCCCAATGCCGTTTTGCAGGCCGTCGATGAGGCTGTAGACGTAGCGCTGGATGTGGAATGCGTCTTCGCCGGGCGTCTCCTGCCCGCGACCCCAGCGCGGGTCCTTGAAGGGGTTGATGTTGGGCGTCCAGTAGTCGAGGCCAGCGCGGTTGGCGTTGCTGAAGGCGCGCGCCTCGGTGCTGACCACACTGCCGACCTGCCTGATGAGGTCGTCGTCAAAGGCGGCGCTCATGAGGATGGGCTGGGGGAAGGAGGTTGCGTAGCTGAAGTCGCCGTGCGCGGAGAAGTTGACGCCCGGCGAGATGGCCACGCCGTGCAGGCCTTCGCTCCACCATTGATACGGCGGCAGGCCCAGCCGGGGCACGCCAGGCGATCCATTCTGCGTGTTGTTGATCTTCTCCTCGAGCGTGAAGGCCGCGACGAGCGCAGCAGCACGCGATACGGGGTCCAGCGAGGTATCGCACACGGCGTTGTCCTTCAGCGGAGGCTGGCTGCAGTCGGGGAACGTGGCAGAGACGGCCGTCGCCAGGAGGACGAGACTGACACCCAGAACCATCTTGCAGAGAAAGAAGTGTTCCATGGACGATCTCTCTGACGGTCTGGGGCAGCAGACGCTGAGCTGGGCATCTCCGCCTTAAATATTGACCTCATCCTGCACGTCTCAATCCGTAGCAATTGTCAAGGTTACAGGGAACAAATCCCACCTCGGAATCCGGCAAGATCTGAGACATGATCTATGACATGAGCGCTGCGCTGGCAGTATGTGTGCTCTGCTGAGCATTGAAAGATGCGGGGTACATACATCTTGTCCAGAGGATACTCCGTCCACGATGCAGCTGCATTTAAAAGAAAAAAAAAGATCCATCAACGACATTGCGCCGGTTAAATAGACGTAATTACCCAGCGATTCTGGTTAAAATGTCTTGCTTTGTGGTTGTGCGGGGAAGGACAGAGAAGTTAACCAGGAACAAACAAATGCATCTCCGGGTGAGAGAAGTTTGTCGATCCCCGAAATTTAACACGTGAATTTCCCCGAATCTCTTGTCGACTATTTAGGTGAGTGCATCAATGATTGGTGGGCATTTTTATGCACTGCACTGGAATTATTTATTCGGATTACTATCCTTACGATCATAAGTATTCTTGCAACCTGGTAGATACACTCCACCGGAGGATGGAGAAACATGCTCACGTACTATACTCCTTGTACGGTGCTTATATATAGAATAAATAATAGTACAGATATGCGGATGGACTAGGAATTTATGCTACGTGAAATTGAGTAACTATACTTTAATTATGACTATTTTCTATTTGATCTTCACCTCACCATCAAGATTATTTCTTTTTCTTTCTTTTTTTTTTCCTTCCTGTGGGGTATATTATCTGCGGAGACTGAATGTTGTAATCCAAGGTATAGTAGACATATCTTCACGGCTGACTAACCCTAACCCTAAGATAGCGGCACGAGATTCTCATCAGGACTGATAGCATTTGCGAACAAGAAACACGTCTGTCAGTGTCATGCCCTCTTCAATGGATATGTAAATGCAATGACTCTGGACGGCAGACCGTGGACGCCTTAGCCACCTGCCCAAGCAAGTTCCGCCGGACTGGCGCTAAACACGCAGATCCTGCCACGAGCAGGCTGTCTGCTGCAGTTGCACGAATTATATACAGCCAGCTGCTGCACAGACGGCCCTGTAGGGTGCTGGCTGAGCACTGACAGCCTGCTATCTGCCTGCGCCATCTGAAGTTAATCCCGCGGTCCGAGGGATCAATCAATCATATCGAGTAGTAACTCGTGTCTCCACTACCTAGCGGGGTAAATGAATGAATGAATGTGATAGCGATTGATGATTGATTGATTGAGAGATAAGACTCATTATGCAGGATGGTGCAGATAATGGATTCTTTTTCTTTTCTTTTCATTCCCCTCTTCAGCTCTCTGGTGTGATTATTGTCTTTTGCTTGGAGATACGGAATGCTTTTTAGTAGTAAATAAACAATTCACCATCCATCATGTCAGCCAGCAATCCTGGCCTGCACGCCTTCAGCGCCCATGACGCCACGGTCAAGAACGACCAAACCGTCAGGCTGGATGCGAAGGACATTGAAGACAAGTCCGCTGCTGCTGCCGTGCCTGACCAATTCCACGACAAATACCTGACCTCCAAATGGGAGATCTGGGCTTACTATGCGTGAGTTCTTATCTGCACTGCGCAGGCTCGAGTCACTGAACCATTCTGCCCCCACAGTTACTACATTGGCAACAATGGATTGACTCTATTCAGTGAGTGGAACAGCGCACAGGCAGGCTAATGATACTGATTGATACGCGCCAGACTTCGCCCCGACAGCTTTTCAGAATCTCCTCTCCGAAGCCGCCGGCGACGCCAGCACGCTCGTCTTCGCCGGCCGGTCGCGCTCCATCAACAGTATCGTCCTCCTCTGCAACGGCATCTCCTTCGCCATCCAGATCGTTGTCTTCCTCGTCATCGGCAGTTTCGCTGATTTCGGCCAATGGCGACCCAATATCCTCATCGTGCTCTCCATCGTCGCCTATGCCATCGGCTTCGCCTGGCTGGGCGTCCATACGGCCGACAAGTGGCCTGCAGCCGTGGCCCTGTACATCGTCGGACTGATCGCCTACCAGACGACGCTGACCTTCTGGACGGCAGCGTTCCCGGGGCTGGCGCGCAACACGCCCGAGATGAAGGCCACGGCGGAGCGATACGTCGCGGGGGAGATCTCTCGCGACGAGTACGACGCGGCCGACACGATGAAGCGCAGCCAGCTCTCCAACATGGCCTTCTACGCGCAGTCCGTCGGTGAGATCGTCATCCTGGCCGTCATCGTCGCCATCATGTTCGCCCTCGACGTCAACGCCAGCCAGGAAAACAACAACTGGGGGCTCAGCGTCCTGATTGCCTTCGCCACAGGCATCTGGCTGCTGCTGTCGCTGCCCTGGTTTGTCCTCGAGAAGAGACGGCCGGGGCAGGATCCTGGACGGCGCACCATCGTCATGGCCGGGCTGTGGCAGCTCTATCATGCCATGACCCAGGTGTGGCAGTTAAAACAGAGTCTGATTTATCTGATCGGTTAGTCTGGTGCTCAGAGCGAGAGATGTGAATCGCTAATACCAGCACTGTCACATCAGGCTATTTCCTCCTCGGGGATTCGCTCAACACCACAGTCACGGTCATCGCCACCTTGCAGAACAGTATCGTCGAGTATAACACTCTTCAATTGACCTATCTCTTGATAGTCGGCATTGCAGCGCAGGTAAGACTGAAATGAGTACCCGGAATAAAAAATCTGTTTATTCTTGGGCCTTTACTAACAGCAATTCAAACCAGGCCGCCGGCATCTACGGATTCTGGTTCATCCAGCGCCGCTACCACCTCGGGACGAAGACCATGTTCAACGCCGTCGCCGTTGGGATCATCCTTCTAGACGCCTGGGGGATGATAGGCATTTGGACGCAGCGGTTTGGATTCCACAACGTGTGGGAAGTTTGGGTAGGGCTGTCTCCTCCCCTTCCTCTCTTTCCCTACCTGACTGATGATTGCTTTTTTCCAGCTCTATCAAGCCTTCTATGGCCTCTTCGTCTGCCCCTGGTACAGCTACTCGCAGATCATGATCTCCGAAGTCACGCCCCGCGGCAAGGAGTTTCTCTTCTTCAGTCTGTTCAGCATCATTGGCAAGACCTCCTCGTTCATCGGGCCTGTTGTGTCCAGCGCCATTATCGACGCCGCTTCGTCGTCCACGCACAATAATAATGCTTCCTCCTACCCCTTCTATTTCCTCTTCGCCCTCAGCGTCGTCAGTTTCGCCCTGCTGCTCCTGTTTGTCGATCTGGATAAGAGCCGTCGGGAGCAGGAGAGATTCTTGGAAGATGAGAGGCGGCGGCTGGACGCGAAATTGGCTGCGGTGGAATGAATGATCTGCCGGTTTTTCTTTTTTGGACGCTGTTAATAAGTACTTGGGTGGCGGATTCCGAAATCGTACACCGGCTAGTCGAAGATTTCGTGCAGTATAGATAAAAGTATAGACTCCCGACATAAGAAATGAAAGTCATTCTTAAACACTGCGTCAATATTGTTACAACCTGTCGACTGTGCTGTATTGGATGAATCCAGCACTCAAGTACAGGACATAAGTACAGAAAAAGAATACAACCGCCAATGTGACAGATTCATGATTGGTATCTGTACGATCAACCAGACCAGCCAACTTGCTTTTTGTAAAACAAAACAGAACAAAACAAAACTCCAAACCCATGCGATGATGCCAATGGCGCCGGACAAAAAATGAATGAACATGGACATGAAGACTGACTCCGTGTACAATGGGCAAACGGCTTAGGAAGACGAATCTTCCTCTGCAGAATCCGCTTTCGTCTTGCTCTTCTTGCTCTTTTTCTTTTTCTTTTCGTGGTCGGATGCCCCGTCGACATCGCCATCGTCCTCGTCGCGCTTCCGCTTCTTCTCTTTCTTCTCTTTCTTCTCCTTCTTTTCTTTTTTCTTCTTCTCCTTCTTCTCTTTTTCGGCAGGGGTCTCCTCCTCCGGTGGAATAAAGTCCTTCGCGCGCTCCTTCATCTTCTCCTCTCTCTTCTCGCGCTGTCTCTCCGCAATCTCCTCCTTGCGCGCCCGCTCCTTGGCTTCCTTCGACAGGAAGTACTCGCCCGACTCGAGCTGCAAATCGATCTTGCTCTTCTCCTGAGGCGGCGGGAACGGTGTGTAGACTTTCTTCGACTTGTCGGTGACCTTGTATGGCTTGCGGCGCTTCGACAGAGTCCGTTTCTTGAAGTTGGGCAGGAACCGGTCCCAGGACTCATGGGCCAGCTTCGGGTCCTTGGCCAGCTCCCGTTTAATCATCAATTCCTTGATATGGTAGATCGGGTGGATGTTGTGCATGCAGTCCTCCACGACACGCCGCACCTCCTTCAAACCCTTGTAGGGCCCCATGACGGAGACGGTGTTGCCCTGAACCAGAATGTACGTGCTCGTCAAAAGCTCGAGCGCCTTGAGGGTCGATCCCGACGGGCCCAGGATCCGCTGTCGTCGCTTGACGAATCGCTCTTTATTTCTGACGAGGTTCCGGATCTTGATGATGTCGCATGCGACTCCGTCCTCCAGAATTTTAAGGGCCTGTGCCTGTTAGAGACTCGTGCCAAAACAACCATATAGAGCCTCCGGAGACAAACCTGTTGTACAGGAACACTTCTGGCAAGGAGCTTGATGAGATCGCGTGCTTTGAGAATGGCCGCAGGGTCGTACGTCTTCCGAGTCGTCTTCACCGTCATGCTACCTTCGACCAAGTCTAGCACACAGGCAATGCCATGCTTTTCTAGCGCTTTGGTGACCACTGGCCATGCTTCCTTCAGATATACTTCTCGATACTTGGGGAAAAGCGTGGCAAAAGACGATTCTTCTGCGAACGTGCCTCCGAGGTTGTCTTCCGGCTTGAACTCTTCGATCTGCATGCGTGCGTTTGGTCAGTAACACGTCTCTGTGGCCGGGATAAGTCTACTCACTTTCCACTTATCGATATCGTCCGTATCCCACGGCTTGTCCTTTTTGTATGTGGACGGCATCTTGAATCAGCTCGAGAGTGGACGTATGTACCACAGCGAAGAGTCTGAGATAAGAAATTCATTCAGTTTATTCAGTAGGCGGAGACGCCCATTGGAACCTTTTTTCCCCGCCAAAAGCGGTAAGCCTACCCGTGACGGAGTTGTCTTGCCGCCTTAATGCCTAAGGCAGAAAGTCTTTTCTCTCATTAAGCGCCCAAGCGCTCTCGTGGCACGGCTCAGAATCCATTGCAAGCCTACCTACTTACTTGGGTAGATGCCAAGAGCAGCTGACGTCTCTTCCTGAGGCATTACTCGCGATGCAGATCTCAGCTGTTCCTCTGTGGATTTGTTCCTGGTATGTACACCGTACAGCCTGTTTGGACTAACTTGTTACGGAGCTCTGGCAGAAATTGAATCGGACGACCTAACTTCTCCGTGTCAAGATCACACAGGGCTTGAATAGGAGATCATCACTGTCTTTGGAGCTACGTCCAGGGATGTCATGGGAGCTCGCTCGATCCGCGAATAGAATTGCACACTATCTTTGGTGGCAGGGTTGTAATTGGACCCGAGGACCAGAAGCCTGGGGCCTGACGGCGGCACTCTATCAGTCAACCTCAATAGTAAATGGGGCTAGTGATGGGACGGCGTGAGGATTTCCGCTTCCGCGAGAGTCTGCGACCTTGGGTGGTACCTGCTAGCTAGCTAGGCTTGCACATCGCCGCGGTTTGGGCATCGATTCGACAGACGATGGACGAGGGACATAGGATTGACTAGACCATGTTGTAGTTAGTGACACTGAAAGCCATATGGAAGGAGAGATAGCGAAGAGAATAGTACTCCGGTAGTCAGAGTTCACCTCGAGGATCTCCCCTTGTGCCTTGAATTTTCGAGAATCACGAACCGCGAGGTGCCTCCACAGTCACCATCAGGACTTGTGCCAGAGACAGTATTTCTCTCTTATTGGACGTCCCCATTCCCAGCCCTCAGCATCGACGTGATCACCCAGTGGTCCTCTCGACCCAGCTCCGGATCGAGGGCAGTTGGGCCTCATTGCCGCTCTTCTGCGTGTCTCGCAGCGACCAGTCACGGCTGTGGAGGTAGCCGATGGAATAAAAGCGCTGGCCGTGATCTCTGCCGCTGCGGCATTGTCCCCTTCTCATTGTAGGTTACCCGAGAGCATTCGTCCCGCAGCTTTTAGTTTCGAGAGGGTATCCCATCCCACAAGACACGGCGGCCTCGAACTGCGTCCGGACGATTGCTCCTTCGCACAGGCTGCGTGACGGCCAGATGTAGGTTCCAACGCGCCGATGTCACTGCAGCCACGCCCCTTCCCGTGCCTGGTAGCTGATGGCAGTCATGGGACACGCCGGTCGCTGGCTGCGTGTGCACGCTCTGCTGTCTGCCCCTTAAGTAATGCCCTCCACCTCCTCCCAGAGCATCTACCGTCTCAAGAGATCGCCGTATTCCAGTACCCCTCCTCAACCCTTTCTGCCCACCACTCGAGCCCAGCCATTCGAGTGGCAGAACCAGTCTGGATTACTCAAGTCAGTTCCCATTCTTTTATACGAGAGTAACATTAGACAGCTGATGAGCTAAGATCTGGTTTCCTGAGACGAAGCAACGCCGGGCAGTTAAGGCAGGTTCCCTATCGATTCGTTTCGTCTCAACCCGTCAGCAGGCACGAACTCTCTTGCGTCAAACGTTTTCAGTTTCCAACACAGGCTGACGGTGTTTGCTCTATCTGCAAGCATTCCATCAGCAAGCAGTCTCCAGATTATTGATTGGTCGCAGTCTTACCTGGCAATCTCTCGTGTTGAGCCAGCTACAGAATCTTTGCCCAACTGTCGGCGGCAAATTTAAATACACTGACTTTGGCGCATCCGCTTCCAGCGCATAACATCTTGCTGTCTAGCAGTCTTGTCATACATGTCCGGCATGACAGCTCCTGCATTCTCTTCCCAAGGCATGTGAGGATCTAGATTGTGGGCCAGCCTGTGACGAAGCTGCAACGCCAACCAAAGTTTATCAGGGTCAAGTCGGCAAATGTTCTGAGAATTCTTTAATCTGAGAATTTGCGTGTATGAAAGGATCATCTATTGACCATTTATCGGGTGCTAGTCTATTCTTCGCTCTGGATGCTAACCCATATAAAGCTGCAATGTCATAGCTGCAGATGCCATATCCCGCTTACCCAGGCAAATGTCACCCTCGCACATCACGGACTATTTGGACGGATAGAAATGGCTGGTTGGGATACGGAAGTTGAGGTCGAGCGAAGAGGATGCATCTCAGGGTTTTCGACCGATGGCAACATACCTGACTTGTCAGCTTCAGTCACAGAAGCTCAAGACATCCAATACTTACAGAGGAAAGTATGCTTTCAGAGAATGGTCATCTGCCTCTTGTCGAGCTCTGGCGATTAAATCCTCAAACTCCTGCTCTGACATGTGCAGCCGCTGTGTCAACGGGTACAAGGCCATCGATGATAGGAATCTATGCACATTATCGCGATTGAGTGCACCGATTTGCCGCATTCTGGGGTCTAATTCCAGTAAGTACACCAAGCGACTCACATGAGGCCTCAGGAAACTTACCACTGGGCCAGGCAGACAGCGGCAGCTGTATCATTCTAGTGTCAACTTCCACCAGACCAGCTTCTCTCAACAGAGTTCCAAGTCTTGGGCCCACACGCAAATCCTTCAGATCCTCCAGAGATCTTATGTATTTACTACTCCATTGCCTCAGCGCGTGCTGGTCAGTTATCGACCCGTTATCGGATTGGACGTTGAAATATATTTCAACCATTTGAACCCAGCCGCCACGTTTCGTGACTCTGGTTTATATTCCACGAATTAGCGATTCCAACTCTACCCAGGAAAGAGTCTGGGCCGGGCTAGAAGGTGTGGTTGCCTTACCGTGCAAGGTCCTTGACATATGACTGCCACCGTGTCTTGTTGATTCCGGAGGCCACAAGTCTCGAGTGGACAAGGTCGAAGTGCCGAGAAGGAAAGGTGAAGGGGCAATTCAGGTCATCTGCCTGATTCGGATCCTTACGTCAGTTTCCTGTCTTTTCTGGCTGTTTCTCACCGATGGGAAGAAGATATGAAGCATCCTCGCCTGTCTGTCCGAATGCCTCCGAGACAGAGTCACACCAGGTGTGTGCAACGACTTATAATCTTTTCAGGAGAAGAGATTCTGGAAGGAAGAGACTTACCTGCAACCACAAGTTGTCAGGCATGTCATCTGGTCGCAAATGGGGAGATATATCTACTCCGATCACCTTTGTCATGAAAGCATTTAGTGGTCCATCGTCTTTGAATTGCCAGCGGATGCCCTCACCTCGCAATTTGGATACTGTTCGGCGACTTCGACTACCCAGTTGCCCGTTCCATATCCACAATCCAATACCCTTTGAGGGTTATGAATTGGTGGAAATATAAGGCGGTCGTCGAATAACAAGTTGAAGACGCGCTGCTGAAGTTCGAGGCGATCTGCCTCATCCTGAACAAGTCAGCCGTAACCCTGATCGGACTCGACAAGATTGATCTGCGTACATCGTCGACAGGGCTGAAGTATATGCGATTGTCGATTGCATATTTCTGGAAGTCACGGCCCAGAACCGTTACGAGCTCTAAAAGATCCCTAGGAAGTTCGACAGTCCCTGACTCCGGGTTTCTAAGAACGATATCAGCTTGTATGCTTATCAGGAAAAAGGGTATAGGATCAACTTGGAAGATGATTAGGTACGTACGCCATCTTATCTTCCCTTCTATTGTCAAACTTTGTATTTGATTATGCTGTTGTTCACTAGAATAATATTATGGTTATTGTTTTTTTGTGGTTATTGAAAATAGAAAAAAAAAGGTCATGAATCAGGGGATGTATGAATCATGTATATTTACATGGTCTGTGTTATAGAAAGTCTGTGGACGCATGACTTTGTTGGCACGGAGAAGGATCCATCAGGCAGTGAACGAACACCTGAACATCTAAGCATGGTTGCTACCTATATGGAATAAGGCACCAGAACGGCTTTTGCGGCAGAAGGATTAGATGGGAGGGGGAAATCTCCAGTTGGCTCTGGTGCCACCAACGGCGAAATTCTCGTTCTGTCGTCGAGGACGGACCGAACCAGTGAGAACGGCGATGCGGACCTAGCCTGGCGACGAACGCAGCTCGGCATTTTCGCTGGGGCTTATTATGATACCGGTTCCTCCCCGTCGTCTTCATAATAATAGGCAGCTGACCATCCTGGCTTCGGGCCATCCAAATGGCCTTGGGGAATAGACTCCTGTCCATTCACGACAACACTTACTACGGCACTGCGCAGGGAGGGGCTGTCGCTTACGCTGGAGGCCTGCCATTACTACCATGTTGGATACTGTGCCGGATGGCTGACTTGTATTTTGATCTTCGAGACAAGCTAGACCAGCCAATCTGCAAGGGCGAATCGCAGTCACACGATGCCCTCCTCGCCTATAACAACGAACGATTCCTAGTGTCAGTGATGCAAGCCCGCAGCCGCTCTGTGGATCTAAGTCGCAGACTCCTACCGGTCTTCTGGGGCCCACGTTTCCTCTTGTTGGACAGTTTAGCCTACGACATACTCCCGACAGGCCGATCAAGCACCTTTTCAATCGGGTGCCGCCGATTAGTACTCCGTGCCCGCCGCAAGGTTACCCGGTCGCGACCTGGAAGCTCGCCGAGAGATCGCTCAATCGTTTTTCTGGAATCGTTCCGCTGGCTTGTTGACGACAGATCCTCGGACGGGCACCTGTACGGAATATCGACTAGGCTAAAAGGGTTCACTACTTGAACATGTCCACCAGACACCGAATCCAATCAGCCGCTGCTTCTTTCTCCTTCTATCAAGTTCGCAGCGTGAACCTCCCTACTGGGAATGGGTTTCTGGTGGCAGCGGCGCTACCGCCGGGGGGTTAGGTGGAGCATAGTGTGCTGGTGCTATCGTAGTAGGACCAGGCGCTGGGTGGTGGGCATTGGGAGTGCTAGGTTTGGCTCCTCGTCCATTTGCAGCGCCTCCATGAGCGAGCTATCTCACTGTCTCAGAGACACCAAACACACCGCCTCTTCGATGTTCGACGACGATGCCTCGCTATGAGGGTATGGAATGAACCGGATAAACCATACATTTAGTCGGACGTTTAGACGCGGGAACGACGAGTCTGTCGAAACTCAAAACCATGGGATTGTCATAAATAGTGGATTCCCTCTGGTTTTTGGGAAAGACTCTACGCTGTACTCCGTACTATTATGTGGAGGAAAACGTAACTCAATCGGAGGTTTACTCCGACCGAACTGGGCCCGTTTTCTTGTCACGCGAAGATGAGACTGGGAAGGTGGCCGCTGCGAGTCGCGCCCTTGTGCTCGTCCAGAATCCTGAAATCACCATGGTTCAGGCGTCAGCACCGAGCGGAGAAGGGCCTACGCGAATCCAGATGCACGCCAAAGCAGATTCAACCCGGACAGACCAATTTCTATATGGGGCCTACGGAGGATACTGGGTCACTGCTCTCCCACTTTGGGGTGTCGTTGAGGGCATTCCCGCTGGAATGGTGCACCATCTCATAGCGCCCGCCTTGTTGACAATAATCCCAGCAGGTTAAGATGCATGTAAGAGGTCAAGCTCATGCACGCAATCAGCGGGAAGGGGGAGTTCCATCGTGGCGTCCAGACTGTCGGGTCGCTTCTCCAGAGCAGCATCCGAGGGACAAATCTTTGGAACGCTGAGGGACCAGGGCCACAAACACGGCCCTCCGGTGGCCGTAACCCAGCACCATGGTTCACTTTGTCAGTCTCCGTTGTTGGTCCCTCGGGCCGCTCTCGCAGACGGAGGTTTTTTTTGCTCGTGCCTCCATCCTAGTGTCGACCACGGGGCGGCCTTAGCCGTGTTTAGGCCCCGTAGCAGTCGCCTCTCGCGTGCGGTGATTGCTTCTTTGGCATGAACGGGCTGGTGGGCCCAATCCACCCTGCAACGGAGGATCGGCTACTGTTGGGCCCCCGCTGGAGTTTCGTCCAGCACAAAAACGGCAGTTATTGATTAACGATGCAGCCCGTCCGCCTCACAGGAGGCGCCCAAACCAGATGGAGAGTTCAACGGGATATTACTCCAAGGTGGCGCAAGAGCAACGACCGTCGCACATCGTTCTCTCGAGGTCAGCTGATCCCGCAAGTCTGTTTCAGGCTCTCGTCGTTGATTCGAGCCTGTGCCGTCCGGGCCGGTTGTGTAGGGGGTAGTTCATTTGGGACGATAGGAACTATACTAATAGTACGAGATGGCATTCCAATAACGTGTCCCATGATGTCACCATGTTCCAAAAGCGCCTGCTTAGTTTTGTTCCTATCTCTGCCCTGGATTGAAAACTTCAGCGTTCATCATGTCTGGGCAACATCGCGGCCTCCTGGTATCTGGTTCGCCCAAAGAGAAATCCGGATATCGTCTTCCTCCAATAGCAGGTATTCAAAGTATCTCTTGGTGTACCGTACATGTGGCACTCCTAAAGCGTTTTCCGGCAGCCAGGATGTTAAGCCCGGATCCTTGTCTGGAGTGAAGGCGAATTTCTTGTCTTGACAAGTCACCGTGCAAAGAAAAAAAATGTCGTCTGAGAAAATGGCATCCATCTTCAGCCGAGGTCTCCACAAACTTGCCTTAATCTCGTCCTGTTTCCTCATTCAGCCTTACACAGAATCCGTGTTGCCTCACTTTCCCTGCCGTCTCTGGAGATCAATTCACGAAGTTCCTTTGGCCCGGTTTCAGCTTTGATCCGCTGTTTTCTTTCTATGCAGTCCTGTGTTCAATGTTTTTGATGGTTCCCAGTTTGGAGAGGATTTAGGCCGAGGAACGAGGCACCTGGTGGGGAGCATCGGACCGATAGGTGTACTGTATGTACATGTACAGTACTTGTTAATGACCGGAGATACCGACAGGTCAAGCAAGACTACAAACCGCGGTATGAAGCAGTGAGGCATGGTGAGTGGCGGCCTGATTCTGCAGCCCATGTGGAGAGCTGGATGGTATGACAGGGAAGAGCACTTCAGAGACTACTAGTCGCTCCAATCGGCTTACTCAGTCTGCATGAGGCTTAGACGGCCATTTTTAGTGTCTCTTCATCGCCAAGAAAAAAAATGCCCAGGGAGAAGGAAGAAAAGAAAACCTCGTCTCCTTCGATCTGGATTTCAATGGTAGTTGGCAGACAGGCCCAGAAATTTCTCCTTCCGCCCAGCCGATCAAACTACCAGAAACAACATGAGCTGAATCATGTGGCAATCTCTAGGGTCCATTAATTACTCTTAAGAGGTATAATATAGGGTTGCGTTACCTGCTACACTAGGAAAATGGTCCCTAGGCCAGCTTTTTTTCAGCTGACATCCCGAGGGGCTGGCTGCCCGTCGCGGCCCTGATCTAGATCCATGGAGCTGGTAGCTACGGCTTACGCAGCACTCAATAAGCACCCAGAATCTTGGTCAGCCAAACATTAAAATGAATCCCGAATAAGAAGTATACTGGGGAACGAAGAAGGTCAAGTGCGGTTTCAATTCCTACTTAGTCTCCACCTGTATAGTAGGAAATTTCTTCCCCCTCATTTGGTTGCCCCTCCTGCCCGCTTTCTCCGAAGTTCGTCTTTACTCCGTAGAACAGTCTCGGTGTTGTAATCGAAGAAACTGGTCCCGTCCATTCGCTGAATCATACGTCCGGAATGTGTTCACTGGTGGTTAGTTGGGCATAAATTGATGGACCCTGGAAGAGATTAGAACCAGCCTGTCTCCATGTCAGTATGTAGCAATCTTCGCATCCAGGCTGCTGTTGAATGCCTACCTACCTAGCTGTCTTGCCAGGACTTGACCAGCCCATCCCGCGCAAATAGTCCTGACATCCCACGCAACGTTCTTCTCAATACTACGGAAGTATTGTCAACCTGCAATTCCCTCCACGATATCAAGCAACGTCATATTGCATGTTCATGCCCATTTCGTTCCTCCTTCAGCGAAGAGTGGTGAAATGGGTCTGTGGCCTACGGAATTCCCCGCTGGAGGCCTTCGGATTGTTGAGTGGGGGAGGTCCCACCCGCAGCTGATGTTATCAACAACTGCCCTATCGATCAGGCAGAGCATCTCGTCAAGATAGTATATAGTAAGTATATGCTGGGAGTCCGCAAACTTGTCGGAGACATTATCTACTGCCAGCTCGACGAGACAGACTGCACGCAGTCCTCCATGGCATTGGGCCAGGCCACCTGACGCTGCAGGCGACGATGGTTGGGCATGTGACATGTCACGTGCAGATCGCCTCAACGCCATTGGGTCCGCCGTCGTCATCGTCGCCTCGACCGCCGCCTTGATCATCTCATTCGGTCGGTGCGCATCAGCTCCTTCGCTTCACCATTCTTACCTGCCGGGCCCTTCTTTCTCGACCTCATCGTCGTTGGGAGGACACAGGGGACGAGGATCTTGTCGACTCATCGAGAAGCTATCCAGATCAGCTCATTGACCCGCGAGCTTCGCAGCCATGAAGCTTATCTCCCCAGCCACCGCTCTCCTCGTCCTTCTCGCTCCTCTCACCGTCTCTGCCCGGTCTCTGCCGTTGCTGGCACCCGAACAGTCTCCCATCAAGACGGCCGATAAGAACTTCCCTGTGGATGGCGACAATCCCCTGACCTACTGCTCCGACCCGTCCAACAACATCCTCGAGATCCAGTCGGTTGATCTCTCTCCCAATCCTCCCCAGCCGTATGTATTCCCGCGTCATCTGGATCATCTGGATTCATTCTATGTGATTGCCAATTGATGCACGCTAACCAACTCTGCTTTTTAGCGGCGAAACCCTGTCCATCAAAGCCAAGGGCATTTTCCACGAGCGAGTTGAGAGGGGCGCCAAAGTCCTCCTGCAAGTCAAGTATGGCCTGATCCGCTTAATCAACCAGGAGGCGGACCTCTGCGAGCAGCTGGAGAACAATGTCGACCTGGAGTGTCCGTTGGAGGAGGGCCCGATGACGTTCACGAAGCAGGTTGACCTACCCAGGGAGATTCCACCGGTAAGATTCCCTTGATAAGGGTGTCGTCGAGAGTGCAGCCAGCTGATTACCTTGCAGGGCAAGTACTCTGTTCTGGCGGATGTCTACACCGAAGACAAGAGGAAAATTACTTGTCTCGAGGCCAACGATATCATCTTCCATTAGTTAGCGGCTTGCTGTCAGCCGAATAGTCGTGCACTCGTCTCCTGTGTCGTGGGTGATGACACCTGTAAGACGATAAGATAATTCTTGCTACGAAGCCTCCGCCGCATGCCAAATGCCTACCTTGATGTTAATGCTTGTCCAACGTCAACATGCCTCCCTGCGTTTTGCTTACGTACGAGTTTGGGATATGGAGTCACGTTTTCTCTGTTAATTCAGATTTCACCGCAAGCAATCCAATTGACCGCCGCATACGGAATGCAATTTCTTACGTAAATCTTCATGCTTATAGATCTTCAATTGGTGATTTTCCTGTTGCTGCCGTTGCTATTACTCCTTGGATCCACTGTCGTTAGACATCTAGTTAGCTGATTTTTGCTTCCTTACCTACCTACCTACCACCTTAATGTGTGGAACGCCGAGTGAGGAGTCAATCTGTTGTTGTCGCAGGTACCCATGTAGGTTATTAATTACATATTTAGTAAGTAGTATATATTAATTTAGTTACTTGGTAGGGTTTGTTTATTTATCTATCTCACCCCTTTCTTCTAAGACTTCGACGAAGTCGTCGTCTTCCTTATACATATACATGCAGTATATATATATATGATGTTTTGAGTTTTTATAAACTAGCCTCGAATGACTATCTGTCTGTCTACTTTGCATGTACATACATGTACTGTACATATGTGTCGAGCTTGGTTTCATTGGGAGGGAACTTTAAATATGATATAAATAAACTAACAAAGTTTGTTTATGAAATCAGTATTTCTCTTTTTATCTTTGTAATATCATACCTTATCTTTGTAATATCATACCTGTTTTAGTAAGTACGTATAAGCCTGCCTGCCTGCCTGCCTGCTTGCCTGCCCTTACTTACCTGTCTCATTCTCTCGCTTTTTTTTATTTATGCTTTTTTTTCCCTTCTTGGTCTGTGATTAATGGGCAAGGAGAAGAAGAAAATAAAAGTGATTTATTTATTGGTGATGTGTAGAATATTGGTATGGTCTGCTTTTTTTTTGTGTGTGTGTGTGTGTGTGTGTGTGTGTTGGAGTATTATTATATTGATCATGATAAATATATTTGGGAGTATATATGAACTACGTCCAAGACAACAATTCAATTTTTTTTCTCTTTCTTTCTTCCACAAAATGAGAAAGAAAATAACATGAAGATGAGGGATAGAGAGAGAGGCAGTTCAACTAAATATATTACTTTCAGCAAAACAAGCAAGTCATCTTTGGATACGCTCGCTCTGGCTGCCTCACTGGCTCTTCACTCGTCCCAACCGTTTACCACTGAGAAACTAGCTGGGAGTATCCCGGGCTTGTTCGTTCGATGATGCAAGACGACGGGCGTCCTGGTCTGTGGAAATGTGAGGTTGGACCGCAAAGAAACTTCAAAAGCGCTCGGTGACGGCAGTAGATCGATGACGGAGCAAATCCTCTCAAAGTGCTTCGGCATCCAGATATTGTAGATGTTCTTGACGATCCGGGCTGCAGTGTCGCTCCCTGTGCCCGACTGTTGTGGAAAGAGCGGGACAGCTTGAATGGGATGTCTATAGACTGACGCTTCCCTGTTGACAATGACCGGGTAATAGCCGTAGATCCTGACCTGGGAGATGTCGAAAGTAATCGAAAAAGCGAGGATTCCCGGTCCAGCTCCGCCTCACGCTCCACTCGTTTAAATAGCTCAACAATACCCATGACCGCAATGCCTGCCGCATGAGCATTCTGGCGGTCGGCAATCTGCACGTCTCCGCACGCGGCTTCGCAGGCGAGGAACGGGAAATAGATCCAGTAAGAGCCCAGATATGGCGATCCGGGAGTCGGCGTGCCTTCGGAGTTGGCGAAAAGCTTCGCGAGCTGATCTTGAGAAAAGGCTTCGTCGCTGAATCCCACTGAATAGTCCGGCTGCGGACGGGGCCCTCTCGAGTGGCCGGGCATAATCCCAAGGCTCGTTGTACCCTTCAATCAACTTTTCGAGGTGATGGTTCTCTGGCAGGAGGGCCAACTTCTCCGCGGATGGCGCCAGAATCGGAAGAAGGTCATGGAGAATTCGAGCGTTATTTCGTCCCTGCAATTTCTCACATAACGCCTCGAAGTAGGGAGCATAGAACGGAAGAACTTCAGTGATCCGCTGCTGAGGCTTTTCCGTGAGTGTGGTATATAGAGTCTTGTTCTCGTCCGTGATGCCGTGTCTTTCCTCTTTCATGTAGACCCGCCTTTTGGCGAGTCGCTTGGATACGTGATATTCGCGTAAGGAATCCGTTTTGCCTCCGGGTCTCTTGGAACGGTAGGGTCAGCCTATGATGCATCTACCGAATAGTAAGATACTATCTTCCTCTTCTTAGGGTTGCTCGAAATCATGCTGTCGTTCTTCTGCGTGAAATATCGCTCGGTCCTGTGGTCGGCCTGGAAGTATTCTTTCGGCCAACAGTAATTATGAGTCCAGAAGGAAACCGGATGGGTTTTGAGGTCAATATCGTTGCTGGACTGCTGGTCAGGCGCGCTTCCTGCAAGGCGCCTTTGCTGTTGTCTTCTCGCTGGCGGGAGTGATGGTAGCTGGACTGTCTTCAGGTTAGAGATATGATCAAGAATGGCCCACCAGTGCGGAATAGGGGCTAGATATGTACTCTTCTGCGTCTCGGCCACAGCTTCGTTGTGCCGCTGTTTTGCACTGTAGGAATAAATCCAAATCAGCTCAGAATCGGAAAAGGTGGGCGATAGATGTTGTTGGGATACTGACGCTTTTCTTGTAGTCTTGCGCTTCTTCGCTGCGGTTTCTGATCACTGGTCTTCTGCTGTCGCTTGCCTTTGTGAGGCCGTTAGTCACGCTGAATTTCAAATGCATGAAAGGATGATCTCACCAGATAATGGCGCGGCTTTTGATCTGCCTGTTCTGGCCTTCATTTCGCTAGATAGGCTCTTCCACAGATTAGAGGATTATTACCTAGACGCAGGTAGAGGTACCGACTATCTCATGATATTCTCTACCAGGAACTGGGGACCAAGTTTTCGAATAAAGGCGGACAATGACCCAAACTCATTGCCCAAATGATGGACAGCAAACAAAGACATCCGAGACACCACGGATCACGGCATGCATCCTCGGCATTATGGCCCTTCTGTCGTCTTTGACGCGAGGTTACTTCTTGAGCTAATTATATCACGGTCAAAAAATCTGCAAGGTCATGGTCTTAGCTTTAACAATGCATACATATGGCTCAAAGGAAGCTGCGATCGGGCCGGCGGTCATCCGAGACAACAAAGGACATGGGATCAGATCACGGGACCTAGATGGGCCTGGATTTCCATGACTAGTCTTTGCCTGCTGAATCAAGGGTGCAGCCATCCCAGTAGGAGGGGAAAGGAGTATATAGCATATTGATTGATGCAGAACAAAGCAGCTGACACAGCTGCTGACTCCAAGGAGCTGCTGACTCCAAGGAACAACCTCTTATATGGGCCTGTTTCCTGCGAATTGATGAGCATTTATTTAATCTAGCATGGGAGGTTAGCTCGTTCGTCACCAGTGCCAATTTTGTTCAATGCTTTCCTGTCGTTGACATTGAGCAGTTGATCAATTAATTGATAACAATCCACGAGCTGGTTTTGCACGCTGTAGGAAAGTGGTATGGTGTGCAGGGATCAGATGGATGCCTTCAGCATGTTATTACTTTCTCTCCGCATTTCTCCAGTTCGAATTCGAATGCTTGCGTGCACTTCGCACTCTCTATGGCTGCTTCATATGGCCTGGCGAGTTAAACATCGCTTGATATTGCATGTTGCAGAGGCCTGGTTCTTCTCTGCCTGGCTAGATAGATATGTGGAGGTGGCTCATTGTCATCCCTCGTGGCTGGCTGATGTTTGCTATGGATTGCTGACATGTATAAAATCACGTTGCACACGTTCTTCCACAAAGCGACAAGTTCTGCTTCCACTCTTTTCGTAGTTACTATGAGGTCATTTGATGGTGAGTCCAGCAATCACAACATTTGGTATGCTAAGCAGTGCAACATGAACCCATCCATATTGTAGATGTTGTGTTGTCACCTGTGGCGTTTCCTCGAAGCTATTTGATCAAGAAAGGATCCATGAGGTAGGTAGCATACCTATTAGCATATTCTGCAAACCATGTTTGTTGTAAATAAAACGAGAGGAGAAGTAACTCATCATTCTGCTGGCCATAGCTAATAATACAATACAATATACTAAGTAGTCCACCATATTCGCCATATACCTTATAGTCAACGAAATATACCTATGTTGTTATTTTCGACCAGCCAGGAACTGTTCTGCTACATACGGACCTCCTCAACCGCTACCCCTGCCAGGTACGCCACACTGGCACGGACAAACTTCATGACAGTCTTCAGCTCCTCCTCGTTGCGGGGCGCGTAGATGAGGACGTATTCTGCCGGCAGACGCAGACGTTTCACGCCCAGGCGCTTGAAGATGGTGTTCCCGGAGAAGGCATGTCGCTGGGCCCAGCCTGCCTGGATGACTTTTTTGCCTAGTAGATAGAGAGTTAGGCTCGTCGCACAGAATGCATGTTTATTTCGAGTTCAATTTATCTCCTCCTTTCTTTTGTTTGGGAGTGAGATCAGCTCAAATACTCTACTTACAATCCTGCGGCGGCAGCGTCACATGCACCGAGTAGTCACCCGTCCCATGGATGTGCGAGATTTCGCGGAGCATGTCTGTCGCAACGGGTTCATTGCCGCGGACACCGTCGGCGAGGAAGAGTGCCTCGGTGTTGCTTTCATGCAGCGAAGTGGAGAGCTTGACTAGATGCTGATTTTGCTGGTAGAGAGATGTGAAGGCGGCAGTGAGTTTCTGCGAGAAATATCAGTATATTGATGGAATTTCTGTTAATTCAAGTTGTTAATCTGAAAGGAGAAGAAGAAGAAGGATAGAAAACAAACAATACGCGAATGCTGTTGTAACCTACCTCCTTAATCTCTGCTCCCGGAATCTGATCCATCTGCCTCTGAGGCACCACATGCCTACCAACAACAGGCCTCCTCCCCTCGCGGCGAGGGACATCTGCCTCAGACAAGAAGCTCCTTTTATCTGGATTGCGATCATACACCTCCGTGCTGAACATCTCCCGCCCCAACGGGCACAGCACCAGCGACACGCCAAGCCACCCGATCACATTGTGCGGGACGCCGCCTGGCCCCAGGCTGATGAAATCGCGATAGTCGCGGTATATCGCCGGTGCTACGGTGGCAGAGAGGACGGCTAGGATCGAGGAGGTGATGATGATCTTGCTGTTGTTGCGATTGCGGATAAGAGACGTTCCGCTGCTGAGCCAGTCCTGGACGCGGGCCGATAGGCCTGGGTTTGTGCTTGGGATGAGAAAGGACGACATCTAGGTATGATTGCGAGGCGATTCAATCTGATCTTATTACTTACTGCCGTGGATTCTAATAGATTGTATGGTTGCATCCGGGGATGGCGTGAGAAGGTGGTGGACGGTCAGTCGGTCACTTGACTTCCAACAAGGAGTAAGGTGTCAGCCAATTACAGCGTAGGTATTCTGTTGGCGATGCTGTTGTCGTACAGGGCTGCCGGACGTTCATCTACGGTCCAAATTATTTGGTTGAATGCATCTCATTGATCTCTTTATCATTCCCGGGTATGGTTGAAAAGGTCATTATCATCTCATACTCCTAGCCAAACTCCAACCGGGTATCATCCATCTCCTCCAGTTATCAGATACATCTCGCGCAATAACCCCATACACATTCTGTCTGTCTAAATGCTTCATTCCATGGCTCCAATGGCACTCCCACATCTGGCCTGCTTTGCTGTTGCTCAGCCTGAAAACAGGCGAGAATAGGCGTCTTGCCTGATCCTGTCTGAATAGGGATCCCCTCTGACGGCAGTCTCGAAAAATCGAGTTAGCGGCCACTAACGGCGGCCGACTTAGAGAAATAGCCAGAGATTCGTGACAGTCGACCCGATGAATCCAACCCCGATCAGGAATTCTCTCCCATTTAGATCGCCAGATGGGTTGGACTACCGCGTGCAGCTCCGTCAGAGAGCAGCTTCATCCTACTCAGAGTAAAGATTTAGATCATGAAGTTGATAACCGCTTTGAAATGCAATCACGAAACGGCGCGCTAATCGTCTTTGCTGATAGAACTCAAAGAATGAGCCAGTTTCAACAAGACAACGCTCTCCGTCGCCGCAAAGTAGTTCAAGCTGCACAACGTCAGTAATCGAACCACATCATAAACGAATCGACGAACCTGTCCATCAGAATCCGCAGATGTCGGTTGAAATGGTCTTCGTATCGCTTGAGCGTGTCTTCCAGCTTTCCTAGTCGGCTAGGATCATACGGCTTCGCGTCGGCCGGGGCATTTGGCCCTCCCGCCGACAGGTCGGGATCAGCAGTTGCCAGACTCCGCCCGAGTGAGGACGCCGTCCAGGACGCAAACATGGTGCAGCAAGTCATCAGCTTGGAGTGGATCTGCCGGAAATTGTCAGAACAAGCGTTCAACTCGTCAATGGCACCCCAACCTACCTTGAGGAGTTTCGCCTGCGTCAGCATGCACTCCTTGAGACACGTATCCAGGAAATCGACGTGATCCTGCATCAGCTCATCCACCGTCCGGTTGACTTGCTTGGTCCCGTTTTCAGTCACCTCGCCGCCCGCCTGGGTCCCGTTGACTCGTTCCATGAGATTCTGCCAGTTCGGCTCAATGACCTCAGCCGTGCAGAAGTAGAGAAGCTGCTGCACAAACACCAGCATTTTCGCACGCAGCGTCCATGCCCTTCTCTTCCACATCTCCAGCCGTCGATCGGAGGACTTGTGCCTCCAGCCAAGAACTTTGTTCTGATCTAGCCACGCAGTGGCCAGCATAGTCTCCAGATGACGAAGTGACAGCAGATGCCGAAAGATGAGCTGGTATCGCAGCACCGTCTTCCGGCTGATGACGAGAGACAAGGGAAAGGGCACCATGTAGTCGAGCTCGAGGGCATCGAACCCGATAATATCTTTGTCTTCTTCTGTTGTTTGCACCGTCGGCGTCTGGTATTTCTCAATCCCGCCATCCGGGTTGTCTTGATCGATGCCGGACACGCTGACGACCTGCATGAGCCATTTGGTAAGCCCGATTTTGTTCATACGAACTTTGACATCCTCCTTGAATGGGTCCTGCGCAGCAATACTGCCAGGCTGTCGGAGAACCAAGTCCAGCAGCGACTGCAGCTTGCTCTCATTGACATTCTTGGCCGGCTTTCGCAATTCCGAAGAGCTCAGTTCGAGGAAGTAGGAGAAGAAGTCTGAGCGGTCCAGGAAGAAATAATGTTTCAGCGAACGGAAGCGCGTCGTGAGGGAGTTCTTGGTAAGGAGAAGATTCAACAGCGACGCATTCGCATAGGCGTATGCCGCATTCACATTGTCTAGGAAGCGAGGATCGTCGAACGTTTTCGGAACGTCCTTGACAGCTTTGCTGACATCAACTCCACCGCACTCCCGCACCACATTGAGATACTTCCCGGCCAACAGGACCTTGTCTCTGACAGCGTCGAGCTGTGGAGGTACCTCATTCTCACGGATGGTATATCGTTTTTCCCAGTATTCATCGGTGTAATCCTCCTCCAGCTTTTCTCGTTTAATCCATTTTTGCTCCTTGATCAGGAACTCCCCATGAGGGTCTTTGATGCCACCATGATGCAGCCACTCGTTGAGCATCGCCATATACGGACGACTGGCTTCCCGGAGCAGCGTCTGAAGTAATGTTTTAGTGGCTGGGTCACCGGAAAACGTCGCAAGTCTCTCTGTCAGTAACCCGAGGACGTTACCCCCTTTGCAGATCTTCTTGCTGGACATGCTTCCGGGCACCAGGTCTCCTCCTTCCTTCAGCTGCTCCAGGATGTTGTCGACATCGTCAAAGTCATCAATCGACTCGTCCAAATCTTGATCAAGGAGGCCGTTCCGTTTCAGCAGTTCTTGGCCAAGAGAATAGAGCTGAGCTAAGCTCTGACTTGTCGGCATGGTGTGAAGGTGAAGGACATGAAGGGTAAAATTCGGGTTGTTGAGCAGCTGGTTTTCCAATTGTGCGATGAGGATCAGATAGTCTTTGAGTAGCTTTCTGATCGCAGCACATAGAGCGTGACTGACTTGCCCATACTCGGGCCGACTCTGCACTTCCACAAAAGCCTCCAGCGCGCTGTAATGTGTCGCCATCTTGAGCATGGAAACGGTGAGATCTTTCAGGCTCGGATCCAAGCCGGGTGCGATCTGGTAAGACGGGCCAACTAGCCGGTCCTTCTCCTCGGAAGGGTCGTAGGAGCTGTGGTAATGGATATATTGTCCCTCGTAGCCCATAAAAACGAACAGCAGATCCTGCAAGATGGCTTGCTCCTGTGCGTCTATGGACAGCTCCCGAAACGGAGTAGGCTGTAGTGAGGCCGGTGTCGCCGAAGCCAAAGGAGGCACAGACACGCGCGACGCAAGAGGAGCAGCAGCGTGAGGAATCAACGAAGCCTGCGGATTCCATGGCACTAGAATTGAAGACGAAACGAGAATCAGCTTTCAACTCGTGCAAGCTTGCGACAAGAATAAAAATACAGCCGACCGGACCGACCTTCTACTGCGTCCTTCTTCTTACGATGCCCACTGCTTGATTCAGGTTGAGAGGACTTTTTCGTCCTCGACTTTTCCCAATCGCCCCGATTTCCCGCATTGGCCGACTCCTTGACCGGATTTCGCGTCTTGACCTGGACCTTTTCGCGCGTCGTAACCACTGTCCGCTCGGTGCGGCGGTCTGAGGCATTGCTGTGTTCTCTGTGCAGGCCCTTCGGGCTGGACATGCTGGCACGCTTGTACTCCATGTTCTCGGACTGCAGAGGGGAATAGTCTCCGCGTCGGGCTGTCTTCTCCGGTTCTCCAGCGCGAGTCGAGGCGACGCGGGGTCGTGGTCCGCTCATGTTGTAGCTGGAAGCGCGACGATCATGGAGGGACATGGCCGCGTAGACAGGAGGATGCCCCTAAATTGATCGACCATCAAGTCCCGCGACGGCAATTCGAGGAAAACCACCCAGAGTTCCCGAGCAGACCTTTCGACGCGTTGGGCACCAGCAGCACAGTCCGAGCAGCTGTGTCGGCGACGCAGCGGAGTTGTGTGTTGTTCTCCTTCGGGCTAGCGTCTCTCCGCCAGGCACGCTCCGGTTTGCGTAGGCGGACAGCCCGACAGCTCGAGAGCTGTCTACCGTCATACTCCCTGCCAACTTCTCGTCACATCTTCTCTTTTCCCTCCGCGAATATTTCCGCCTTCTTTTTATAAATCCGTGTATTCCCCAATTTCCCTGTCAGACAGTGAAAGATGTTCATCGCGCGATCAGAATACGGTAAGCTCGCACCACACGTCTATGCGTCGTCCAAGCTAACCTCTCTCCGCAGACCGTGGAATCAAGTATGGCCATCCTGTATCTCTGTTTGTTTTTCGCAGGAACGATGTCTGACCGTCTTCGCCAGCACCTTCTCGCCCGAAGGTCGTTTGTTCCAGGTCGAATACTCTCTTGAAGCTATCAAGCTAGGTTCCACAGCAATCGGCGTATGTCTAGACAACGAAGCTCCAGCATCGCGCTATGATATTTGTATAGATGCTACACAAGGACCTGTTTCCTGACAGACAGAACACGCCGATTAGGTTGCTACGTCCGAAGGTGTGATTCTCGGTGTCGAGAAGCGCGTTACGTCTACCCTCCTTGAAGCCTCGTCCGTTGAGAAGATCGTCGAGATCGACCACCACATCGGCTGTGCCATGTCCGGCCTGCAGGCCGATGCGCGGTCCATGATCGAACATGCACGTGTGGAGTGCCAGAACCACGCCTTCCACTTCGCTGAGCCGCTCCGCGTGGAGAGCTGTACGCAGGCAATATGCGACCTCGCCCTGCGGTTCGGAGAAGGTGCAGACGGGGAAGAGAGCGTCATGAGCAGGCCATTCGGTGTGGCTTTGTTGATTGCAGGCTATGATGAGGACGGACCCCAACTGCACGTTCACCCGGAGACAAGAACACCGGAAATAATAGCTGACCAGTATTTTCCTTGTGATCTGCAGATATCACGCCGAACCCTCCGGGACATTCTACCGATACGACGCCAAAGCCATCGGGTCCGGCAGCGAGGGCGCCCAGGCCGAGCTGCAGAACGAGTACCACCGCTCGATGACCCTAGCCGAGGCCGAGACGCTCGTCCTGAAGACCCTGAAGCAGGTGATGGAGGAGAAGCTCGATTCGAAGAACGTCCAGTTGGCGAGTGTCACGAAGGAGAAGGGGTTCCGGATCTACGACGAAGAGGAGATGGCTCGGGCAGTCAGCACGTTGGGTGCTAATTAGACTAACTAACTACATAAAAGAAAAATGAAGGGATCTAATGGATGAGCATTTTCATTATTAATTTTCTTCTGTATTAGATGCGAGGGGCGTCTGTTTTGACGTGGTTTTGAAAATGAAAAATGGGATCTTTTTTTAATAATTCTCTCTTCTAAAGAGTAAGTGGCTAAGTAGGCAGAGTGTAAGCCTCCTCGCTCAGATTCTTGTTAGAAGAAAGTATTCTTTGTGTGAACATATTCTGTTTACTCATTGACGAACCCTTTTACATTACACTAATAGCCTGTGCCTGTTTTCTGTATTTACAATCAATCCCTTAATTTCCTCTCCTTTTACCCTTCCCTTTCACCTATTTATCTATGTATTATCTCGTTTTATAAACACATGGCTTCAACACCTTCGCTTCCTCCTCCGGCGTCAATCCGTTGTCGTCATCATTTTCAATGAATCGCCTCTTGCCCGGTGGCAGCGCCGCTTTCCCAGCGTGCTTCCCTTTCGTCGGCGGTAGGGACGCCGGCTTGACGAATTCCATCTTGACGAACATCTTGTTCGACTGGTCGACGGATTCCTGTTTGAGGAGAAACCCCCGGCTGCGGAAGACTTCGACAAAGGCCGAGATGTCGGTCTCGTCGGTGTTGTCGCCATCGCGCGCGTCCTCGGCGAAGATTTCGGCCTCGGTGTCTTCTTCGACGTCGGATTCTCCATCACCACCACCGCCGCCGCCAGCTTTGCGCTTCTTTTTCTTGTTCTTCTTTTGCTGCCTTTTGCTTTCTGCTTTCTTTGGCGCGATCTGCCCTTTTCTTCGTGTTACTCTGCCGAAACGGCTCTTCACCTCGCTGACCCAGCACTCGCCCTTGCCGTCGTTACGCAGCACTCGCCATGCTTCCTCCACAAAGTCGATCCAGTTCGTGCCCATCAGGCTGAGACAGAAGATGGCGATGTCAACGCTCCCGTCCGCAAGGGGTAGGTTTGAGATATCCGCCTTGGTCACGAACTGGTTGGGCGCGTGCAGGTCGTAGCTGAGGAATTCCAGCTGGAGCTTCTTTGCGGACGGCGTGAGCGCGCGGGCGAGCTGGGCGTCACCGCAGCCCAGGTCTGCAATGGTGCAAACACCATTTTGTCTCCGAGGAAGCGGTTTAATGGCGCTGTTTTCACCCTCTGCTTTGGACTGTTTCTTAGAAGGCACTTCGCCCCGCTTTTGGATCGCCCGAATGTAGCCGTCAACGGGGTTGGACGGCCATGACTCCTTCACCTGTCGTGAGAATCCAGCGTGATATTCCGCAAACAGCTCCGGATTCGCAGTAAAGAGCTCCATCGCCTGTTTCGAGGGGGTCGTATATAACGTCTCGTTCAGATGACGGAATCGAGCAGACAGAAGCTTGTCGCGCATTTTCTGCTGGAGCGGGGTGAGGATGGCGCCGGTCGAAGGTGGTGGCGGTGGGAGGGCCTCTGTTAATGCTGAGGATCCGTTTGTAGCATTCGAGTCGTTCTTGGAAGGTTGAGAGTCCTTATCCAGCTTCTGCTTCTTGATCTTCTTGCCATCGCCATCGTCTTCAACGTGGTGATCGTCCTCCTTGGTCGGGTGATCGCCTCCAGAGTTATCCTGGCCTTTGCGGTCCTTCTTTTCTTTCTTTTTCTTCTTCTTCTTTCCCTCCTTTGTCGCGCTCTTCAGATCGTTGTTGTTGGCAGTGGAAGGCTTGCCCTGACCCTCGATGTGCTTCCGAAACATCTCATCGAGATTGGACTTGATGACCTGGTCGCCATGACCACGCTTTCTCTTCTTCGATTTTGACTTTGCGGTGGGCTCTGTTCCGCTATTCCCTGCTTCTGTCGAGGTTTGCGTTGGCTTCGATATGGGCTCCTTCTGCTGCTTCAGGTCGGCGCTCGACACCGACCAGCCCGGCACCGCGAACATGATGGAGGAGTTTGTCTGTGAACCTCAACAGAGAGGAACCTCAGCAATGAATTGCGTTATGTCAGCATGAAGCGCCAGAAAGCAATATCCCCTGGTCTGGTATTGTTTTAGCAGATCATTTTCCATTGACGACCAAAACTCTCACTTGCTATCCAGCTGTTGCAATCGATCTTGTGGACGGTGAAATTTTCCCGGCATCCAGCCAACCGCCGTGCGCGGTTCGAAGGCGGTCAAGCTTCGGCTGGTTCTCCGTTCGGGCTCCCGATAACGGTGCGAAACCAGCTTGAGCCTCAACGACAGCTACTCTGTAGACTGGCTCCCCACCGGGCCACGGGCATAACAATTCCAAGTGGAGTGCTGGTGAAATTGTGGATGCCCCGGGAGACTGCAAACCACAGCAGCTACATGCTCTCGGCACTTCTGAGCCACGTCAAGTGCCGCAGATGCCTGGGATATCATCCTGAGCGTTGTTGATACACGGAGTACGGAGTAACTGCCTGCAGCTAGCGGGCATCAAGAAGAGATGGAATGTCCTTCCATCTGGTGACGTGATTGGTTGTGCGGCATTACCTACCCACAAAGGCAGATGGAACGGATGCTGTATACCAAACAAGTCAATCGTGGAAGGTCATTCATGTACTCTGTAGTCTTTACGGAGTACGCCTTATTTTAATCCCATGCGGTTATCCGCAGTTCCGGTTCAAGAGACTTATATGCAGATACTGGCTCTCATTGGCCTTGTTTCCGGCTGCGACAACCTTCGTAGGACAGCATCATGATATCTGGCATGCAGCCAATAAAAATATCAGGGAGAGTGAGATCAAAAAATACCTAATATGAGAGTGTGTCGGCCTCCGGAGTGTGGTTTACCGTTACCTCCTCGATTCGGAGACCGAAGAGGAAAAGAAGGAAACGATCTCATAGAATCGAAGTACGAGGCAAGAGCAATCAACAGTATCAGCAGCATTCGCACAAGGTTTAGAGTACAGTAAGTGCAGTAAGCTACTGCGTCCCGTAAGTTGTAACATCATTCGCACGCATCTCCACCCGTTCTTGTTGTCGGATGAACCGATGTCAACGGAGCAGCACCGAGACCCGTGTCCGGGGAGTATTGTGCTCCGTACTTTGGATGCAATGGGAGCCTCATTTCCATGTCATAATACTCCGCAATTGTCCAATTGCATTGCTTTATGCCCACACCTAGGAGGCGGCTGGAAATCAAAGAGGTCTCCAGAGGCCTCTAAAAATAACCAGTGCAAGTGATGACGGATCCATGCTCTCGACATCTCCCCGTGCAAGGACCTAACTCTCCTGTCTGAAAGTTGGAGCTATTCACGGATGGAGACATCCCCGGAAACGAATGGAGACAGCAGGCGGGCATCTGCCAGTCGCAGGGGATTTTGAGTCGTTTTTTAAGTTTGAGACGCTGCGGTGCTGCTGCATCCACCGACGGCGGGGCCGCCAGCTAACGGGCTCACTACTCCGTTCGAAGAATTTGGTCCCTCTGCCGGGCTGCTCGAGTCTCTTCCTGACGCGGTCAAGCAGCACGTTGCGAGAGCTGGAGACTTACCTTGGCGCCTCAGTGCGTCCAGTCAGTGCACTCTGCCAGTCTGCTCCTCTGCATGGGGCAGGAGACATCGACCGTGCAAGGAAAAGCAGTTTTGCCTGAGCGCCCTCAGCGTCCGACTCGAGACTTCCCATCACGGTCAAGCGCTGATGCAGGTGCAACCCTGGGCGTCGGAAAAGATTCATCGATCGCCACTGGCATTAATTAATAGTTGATGATATTCGCCAATCCTATCTATATCTCTGAATCGTTGACATGATCGCAAGACCGTTGCTCAATGTGCTTACTGACTGTCTCTCGACTACCTGACATGTGTATTGTATTGTCTAGGGTAGCCTCCATCTCCATGCCTGCCATCTTATCCTCCTGATGCCCAGCTACACTGCTTGGTTTGTTCCCCGCGTGGCAATCCAGAAGCAATGGAGGAAAGGGACCAGACAAGCCAGGATGGACCGCAAATCCCCAGAGAGAAGGATTCGGCCGATTCTACTCCTCCAGAGGCCACTGGCCCAGCATCAGCCAAAGGCCCTGATCCCGAGTCCAAGAACGTTCCACCTCCAAGAGGACCGAAGAGACGCACCAAGACGGGATGCCTGAGTATGTATGTCATGTCCAGCGAGCAGCAGATGGCAATTGACATTGGATAGCGTGCAGGAAACGTCGGATCAAGTGTGGAGAGGAGAAGCCCAAGTGCAAAAATTGCATCAAGGCGAGGCGGGAGTGTGAGGGATATACGCAGCGCGTGATTTTCAAGCATCCCCTGGGTCCCTTTGGCGGCTTCCAGCAGGGGCTGGGCTCTGATATGCAGCGCATGGCGATGGGAGTGCCGTTATTTCCTCAACACCAAGAACAGCCTTGGACAGCGCAGGCCTCGGGGCCGCAACAGCGACTCATCGCTCCTCGCATCCCTAATCTTGCTGCTGGAGGTCCAATGGGCTTTGTTGCTCCTCCACAGGCATCTACGGTGCCTGGAAACCCTCTTGAGCAACCACGGCCATTCTTCTACCCTACACTCTATGACACGGCACCTTCCCAAGCTCTACCGTCTCGCGCGCCTCCTCCCATCACCCCCGTTGTTGGAGGTCATGGCACTGAAAGAACGCAACATCGATGCTCTGATCCAACAACATATCAGCAACCCTTTGAACCTGTCGGTTCCTATCAGTTGGGCCAAGGTCGAAGTCACCTTGAGCAAGTACCATCAGCGATCCAAGGGGTCTCAGACCCATTTCATGGACCTCAGCTTCAGAAGAGTCGTCCTGAAGCCCAAGAGCTTTCTTCTCAGGTATAGAATGATTCTGCGTAACTTCTAACAAAAGAACATGTTTGCTGATATGTGTTCACTTGACCGCAGGACCAAGTTTCTTCGGTGGTGTTTGATGGGGAGGGTAAGTTAACTTTTTTAGAGGTTCTTTACTAGATGGGTTAGCAAGCGACATCACTGATTAACCGTTGCTGGATCTCAGCCAAAACAACCACTCATACGTCACCTGCCCTTCAGACGTTGCCCTCTCGTCTTCCGTACTATGACGACGAAAGCGATGATTACTATGATGTCGAGTCCGACGAAGAGATGGAAGAAACAACGCATGAGGAAGACTATCACCAATTGAGATTGATCCTGGCGTCCGCTAATCAGGACGACCTCATGATCCGATCTTACACGACATTTTTGAACGAACCGAATATTCTCGCCGCCTACTGCCCGTCGATGGGATCTTCGCCTCTTAATAACCCCAAAACTGCTCGAATTTGGGTGCATTTCATACACGCGATCGGCCCTTCGCTGTCCATTTGGGAGCGCCATTCTGCCAATACATTAGCTCTTTTCAGTGGTCCGGTTCCTAGTTCCCAGCAGGGTCTGTGGAACTACACCATGCCCTTGAAGTCACTCGAACATCCGGCATTACTGCAAGCCATGCTTGCAATAAGCAGCCTCCACATTGCCACGCTGCAACAAGCTCCACTCATCATAACCCTTAAACATTATCATTATGCGTTGAGGAGAATTGGAAAGGCCGTCGGCCTCCCCTTGCAACGGAAGCAGGTTTCAACTTTGGGTGCCACCCTCCTTCTCGCATTCTACGAGGTCATGGCGGCAGAACACTCCAAATGGAATAGTCATGTTGCCGGTGCTGCACAACTTATCAAAGAAATTGACTTTGCTGGAATCACAAGGGATCTCCGCGCTCACAGACGCAACGTAAAGGCACAGAGGAATCAGATGGCGCAGACAGACCCATGGTGGGGATATGGCGATTTCTCCAAAAACAGGCTGTCTGAGGATGACCCGTTCGCGGAGAAAGAGGCCGATATAAACGAGGAGCTGATCGGAGCCCTGATCGGTAAGGCAGTTAACTATGATCGATTCGGGCAGATCGAGAGCGAAGGACAGCGACTGGGAGGCAAGAAACACTTCACTCGAAAGGACATTGAAAACTTCAGGATACAGTGCGATCTGTACTGGTGGTACTGCAAGCAGGACCTCTTTCAAAGTATGATCAGTGGCAATCCGCTATAGTAAGGCCCCATTCATAGTAGCCAAGGGATTTAGTCCATGTGCATGTGTGCTGACAGTTATGCAGTCTTCCGTTTGATCGTTGGGGACAGTGTCCTCCGCGCGGCGGACTTGGGAGGCTGGATGCGTTGTATGGTTCGTTTGACCATATGATCCTGCTGCTGGCCCGCTTGGTAGATTTTGGTTACCGGGATCGAAAAAGGAAGCTGAAGAGCTTAGAAGCCACTGGAGGTGAATGGCGACCTCATCCGGGGTTCTTCAAGTTCATGGCTCGCTTTGGTGGGAAGCCACCTAGTGGAGGATCATCAGGAGGTGCCTTTCATGATAAACCTCAGGATACAGCTTCAGGTCCTCCATCTTCAAACCAGTCCATCGGCTCATCTCCTGGCAATCATATGGCTGGTGACTCTTTTGAGCAGATGCCGTCAGCTACTAGGCCAACAGGACCTCCCACAAATGCGAATCAGGAATCTACCTCGATGTACGGTATGATGCCATCCAGCGGGCCAAGTGATCCTCCAGCTCCCTTTGCCGATACGGCGTATCCCCGGGACCCTCGACATGCCGGACCAGCCGTGAATGAGACGGAGATGTCTCTATCCGAAGCTGAAACTGAATGGGAAAGTATTCTGGCTGCTTTCGATCTTTTCGCCAGTCAGCTGGGCTCAGGGTTTGCTCCTCTACCTGCTGACTGTGCTCCCCCGATTAGTACCCCGTTTGGACAGGCACTGCATTACCGCTCGCACCAAGTGGCTGTTTTGTGGGCCTTCTACTATACTGGGAGAATCATATTGCACCGGATGCATCCCTGTATGCCTCCTGCGGCGATGGTCGCTGCCGCTGCGGCGGCATCAGCGACGGCACAATATGCTCAGACTGTTGGCAAGATTGTCGCAGGGATCTACTACCCACAACGATATAAACTTGAAGCGGGTAGTCTAAACCCGACGCTGGGGGGTGCACTGACAGAAGTGACGATACCAATGTTTTTCGCCGGCGTTCAGCTTACGGACGCGGCGCAACGAGACTGGACGGTCGCTGAACTCCGCAATATTGCTCGTCTGACGGGTTGGCAGTCAGCCGCATCCGTCGCAAGAGGATGCGAGGCTTCTTGGTATTACGCTGGCAAGGCTGGTCGAGGCCCGCCATATTCCTTTTATGAAGGCAGGACGGTTTTGGATGAAGAGGTAAGTCCTTTACAGGCTGTTTACCTAGCCGGACCTTTCTTCGATCTCTTTCCAATACTACATATCCTCACAACTGGACAGGGATTGAGGAATGCACGTCGCGCCCATGAAGTCAATGCGCAGGGTGAAATTGACCTGAGTAATGATCGACGGTTTGTCACAGTGGCCAAATCGGCCCGTACTCGCTGGGCCATGGGTCTGCTTGAGATGGAGGATGACTTGGTCAACTTGAGCCTTGACGATTAGTCATAGTTGCGATGAAGAACTTGCCCTGGTGCATTCGCACTGCATGGAGTCTCTTCTCGTCATCCAACATTGGAACATTGTGGCCTCCAAATTGTAGAGCATTACTCGATCTTTTGCTCATGAACTTCATGCACCAAACCAAACGGGCTGGTAGTAAACTGTCATGAACACGCATGTTGACCGTTCTTTAGCGAACAACGACGAATATTAGGATACCCGGAGAGAGAATACGAAGCCTTACTGATACCCATGAGCTAGTCGAGCTGCACGGTACAGCACAAAACACAGTAGACCAGCAGAATGAAATTTGACAGAAAGTTGCATTTCAAACGGATGATATTTTTTGAATACCACCAAAAAAAGTAATAAATAATAAATAATAAATAATAAAATCAAAAACTAGGACCGGATCCTAAATAGCTGCTGGATTTACAGTAGTGATAATCACCTTGTCTTGAGATGTCAGGTCATTGATTAATTATTACTATTATCGATCTTGTTTATCAGCATAGTTGATAGCAAACACAAGCTAAGCCTCAGCGGGGCACCCCCACCGGGGATCGATCAGCCGCTGACGATGGCGAGATGACTGACGGCATCAATCGTCGCTGTCGCCTGCTGCTGCCACGCTGCCACAGTGGACGGCAGAAAGAAAGGGTTTTCCTGTTTTGTTTTGCGCAATCTTCTGCTGCGTAAGGGTAGTCAGTTGGGGAAGGGATCTAGACCCGTCATCGAACGGCAGGCCAGGTCCTCTCTTGCTGCTGCTTCTGCTGCTGCTTGCATTAGCTGGCTACGTTGCCCGTTCCTGACCTCTCGTCTCGTTATCTATCCCTGTATCCACGGGTCCCTATTACTTATTCTATTATTCCCCGCTCTCCCGCGGCCCACACGGTACCAACCCCAACGCCCGCCCGGTGCCAGACTGCCAGTCATCATCAGTCCCCGGGAGGTCATCCACGGTTCCTCCCCGAGTCACACCCGCATTCCCAGGCTCAGCTGTCATTCATTCATCTGTTGTCTTGTTGCAAATTACATTTGCTCTTCTGCCTTAGCTAACTAACTAACCCCGTGTGATTTGTTTTACCAGCCTGCTTCCCTTCCCATGCCTCCCTACGAAGACGATTTCCGCTCCTCGACGAGCAGCGAGGAGAGCGGTGGCGGGCGCTGGGATGCCGAGCGGTTTGCACGCGAACGTGAAGAGCGGCTGTACGGCGGTCATGGCCCGGCTCCTGCTGCGGTCAGGGAGCGTCCTGGTCCGTATGATGCGTACGGGCGCCGCCGGGAGGATGACCGCTTCGAACGCCGTCTGGCCGAGGAAGACTACTACCGACCTCCCCCCCGCCGAGCGGAACGATTCTTCGACGAAGACGACCTCTATTATGTCTCACGCGGATCGGGTCCCTTGGTCGCGTATGACCGCCGGCGCGAGGAGACGCCTCCCCGTCCGAGTCTGCTGAGACGTCAGTCGTCTTTGGATACCTTTGACCGGGTTCCCGCGCGGAGGATCGAGCGTGCTCCCCCGATTGCGCGCCGCCCTCCCCGACGACCTTCTTCCCCCCTCCGGTACGCCGATCACGACGACTACGAAGACATTGGCATTGCCGAACCGGACTACTACGGTGACGAAGAGTACCGCAACTTCGAGGAGCGTGAACGGGTCCGTCGCCCGATGCGGCCAAGCAATGAGGGTGTCGTCAGAGAAAGGGTGGTGGACGACAAATTCGTTGAGAAAACCTACCCCCGGAAAGGAAAGACTCGGATGCCCAAGCGACTGGTGAATACACGAGCTATCATCGAGTTGGGATATCCCTTTGTCGAAGAGGTGTGGGCGTTTACGTAGCCTCCGATTTTTTGACTTCAAAGCTGATCGTCCTCTAATTACTCCTCAGGACGACGCCATCGTGATTCAGAAGGCTCTATCGAAAGAGCTCATCGATGAGGTGATCAGTCTGAGCCGAGAGATGAGGCGGAAGTCCGAAAGTAAGCAGACTCTTAAGCAGATCAAACCCACCCTTTGCTGACCAAGGACATTAGCTGTCGCGATTCGGAAGCACGAAGCATCTCCGCCTCCACCGGTTCGTGAGAGAGAGGTCATCGAGCAAGTCGTTGTGGATTCTCGTTCTCCGAGACGTACCCACGACCACCTAGTTGTCGAGCGGTCGCCGTCCCGGCACCGGGCTCGATCCCGGGTTCGTGGGGAGGTCGTCAAGAAACGAGAAGTGAGCGAGGTGCGTCCCCGGTCAGTCTCGGTCCACCGTCATCGTCGACGGTCCTCTCCGGTTCGGATTGTTGAGCGCCGCGATGTGGACTCCAACGCGCTCGTCCTGGCCGAACGTCCTCGCCGCACCGAGCGGGAAATCCAGGAGGAGATCCGGGCACTGGAAGAGGAGAAGCGAATGCTGCAGTTGGAACGTCGTGGGGAGCACAATGTTGGGTCGGTGGATGTCATCCGCGACAAGATCATTGACCGCGGCAATGAGCGCGAGGAGATCATTGAAGTGCGCAAGGATCGCAAAGGTAGGATGAGTTTGGCTCGTAAACGATCCTAATCTTTTGCAATTCGAGGCCTGACGATCTTGTCTCCTGGGGATATAGCACCGGATTCACGACTCATCCGCGCCATGATGGCAACCCTGACGTGATGGGTTTTTCTCATCCTGCATGGTTGTTGCCCTTTCGACGACCTTCAGTCGTGGCATGCGAGAATTTCACTGGCCATTATTATCCGGCAATCTTGATACGGACATATCTCGACTCATCTCATCAATCTCGGTGACTGTCTGATCTTGAGCTATACCCGAACAGCCATGATGGGAATGGTAATTCGATGTCTCTATTGATCACAAGCAGGTTATGGCGTTTTTGTAGACTTACACTGGGCGACATGTGATATGACAGGGATCGTTGCAAGGGGGTTCTGGAGTTGGTATTCGGGAGTCTGTTTGTTCTTTCACGAATAATACTAGAATGCAATGCAGCTTGATGGTTGTCTTCTGACTGGACGAGTAGTCTGTATTCAAAGTATTACCTACTAAGTTAGGAGTGTTAGTACTGCCGTTGTGGCTTTGGCGGGCCCGTGGGCGGTGACCGTATGCGGAGCGACGCATCTGGACAGTTTGGCCGAAGTGGAGGGCTGACCGCCCGGGCCGACTCCTGACCATCAGAGGGACATCATCCTAAAACACAGCACCGTTGCCAACGCTGCCAACGCGCCTCACATCTGTCCTCTCTCAACCAGTTGCACCATTCCCATTGGATTTCATCACACTTGTGTCTCGTGTTTCCGCAAAAATGGACAAGGTGCAGGCCTTTGGGAAGAACATCAGGTGAGCATGCCCCTCTTAGTGCTGTCGCAGCTGCCTAGGCTGTTATGCGGGCGGAATCCAAGGGCATTATTATGTTATCGCTTAGTCCTGGCCCATATTTGTCTTGATTTATGCCATGTTAATCTGTTTATCTCTAGTGCCTCCTTCCAGCCATTCGCCGCCCGGACTCAGCAGTATGTCAAAGAACAGCTCGGCGCTGCCGACGAGAAGACCCAGCTCCCGGATGACTACATTGAGCTGGAGAAGCGGGTCGATGCCTTGAAGCAGGTCCACCAGAAGCTTCTTTCGGTCACGTATGTACTCGATGCTTCCCCGGCTTAATTGTCCGGCTGCCACTCACAGTGTCTTTCTCAGCTCGCAATACTCCAATGAAGCCTATGACTACCCGCCCAACATCCGCGAGTCCTTCAACGACCTCGGCCGGACCATTAGCGAAAAGGTCCAGCTGCTGTCCCACGCGACTTCGCCTGCTGAGGCGCAGGCTGCGCTGACTGCTCCCCCGTCCGCGAAGCCGCAACCCAAGACGTTCAGTCATGCCATTGCGCGTGCCGCGCTGGCTGGATCCCAGCTGATTGCGCAGACTACCCCCGACCGAGAGGACCCTCTTGCCACCGCGCTGGAGAAATATGCGCTCGCGTTGGAGAAGGTTGGCGAGGCCCGGCTTGCGCAGGATGCGCAGATCCAGTCTCGTTTCCTGGCGGGGTGGAACACCACCCTCAACACCAACCTGACGTTTGCGACCAAGGCGCGCCGGAACGTCGAGAACGCGCGCCTGTCGCTGGACTCGATCAAGGCGCGTAAGAAGGCGGCTGCTCGGGGTGACCTGGACAACCTCAGCGAGGATGCTCGTGCTGAGATCGAGCAGGCTGAGGATGAGTTCGTCGGCCAGACTGAGGAGGCCGTCAGCGTGATGAAGAATGTGAGAATTCTCTTTTCGCCATATTATCTCCGTATATACTAATCAGACCAGGTGTTGGACACCCCGGAACCGCTGAGAAACCTTGCGGACTTGATTGCTGCGCAGCTCGAGTACCACAAGAAGGCTTACGAGATCCTGTCCGAGCTGGCCCCGGTCGTTGATGGCCTCCAGGTGGAGCAAGAGGTATGATTTGTATGCAGCTGTTCGTGAATGGCTTTTACTGACGAGATCAATCCAGGCCAACTACCGTAAGAGCCGCGAGGGCGCGTAAATGAGGATACACCAGCAGTTGTTTTTGTGTCTGTGACATTAATTCGTCTGCTTTTGCTGTTCCATCCGGTTTATGGTTATACTTGTACCGGTCCCCCCCGTTATGTGCGTGTGATTCCCAGACCGTCTGCTTGCAGATCCTCGAGGACGAAGAATGGAATGATTTTTCTGTGTATCTTTTTCTTTTTTTTCTTGACTCTGTTTTGTGTTGGTTGCCAAAGCTTATCCAGCTTGTCCAGTATGGGTGGCTTCTATTTTTTTGTTTCATGCTACCTGGCTTTATCTGCATATGCCATATGAAATAGATGCGATCCGTTTTATCGACTTGGTTGCCGTTGTGGCGAGATAGACAGTTGCTGACGTAGAGCGTATCGTTTCTTTGAATAGATAGTAAATAGACCAAGCAAGACAAACAACAATAAGCGCCATGTCCGTTATTTATTCAGAGCAGCAGCTGATTTCTCTCCAGTACAGCTCTCTCAGGAAGGTCTTCCGGCACCAAGAGGTTTTCCTCACCGACTGGTCCAGGTTCGACTGGACCTTTCATAGGTAGTCGGAACAGATCAGTCAGTCCTTCTCAGTAAAGGATAACTTACGATCCTGAGAAGGCTGAGACGTCCTCTGACACTACCTAGGTACCTACTATTTACCTCATCCATTATCTGCATCACTCCCATCGTGGATCACTAGTGAGCAGCTCAGCACAGCTGACTCGAAAAAAAAACCATTCCATCTCCCCGCGGTCAGTCACTACTGACTACAACGAACGTGTCGGATCGCTCCGGTACACACACAGAATGATCGGCACCAAAAGCAAGTGTTTAATAACTCAGGTCTCAGCTTCAATATTAAAAATAAGCCTTGTCATCTGCGAGAAGGCTATTGCTATATAGCACAGCACGTTAAATTTCTACTATCGGTAACAGGCTCGTCTATCAACTAAAGGGGCCCGGGTGGTCTAGTTGGTATGATTCACGCTTAGGGTTTCTTGTATCCCACATGTGTGAGGTCCCGGGTTCGAGTCCCGGCTCGGGCCAGTTCCCTTTCTTTTTCCACCCATCTTGTCTTGGGTCAATTATGTCTTTTTTTTTTGAGTATATTGATTAACTTAGTATTATTTTCTGGTGTTCTCCTTCACCACATTATACAAGAGAGCAATAATTTATTGTCTACAGTTGAAAACGTTCGCTTCCATCAAGCAAGGTTTACCTCAAATGGTTAGTAGTAACCGCTCTGCAAATCACTCATCTTATCGAGAGGTAGTTGGATATGCCGACAAGCCTCAATTTTTTTTCTCCTTTTTTTTGTATCTGTCGCCCATTCAGTACAGCTTAGTTAGCTACTGTATACATAATTATACCTATTCTCAGCTAGCAGAAAATTCAGGGCCAAGCTTAGCATTTCCAACAACATGCCATAATAATCACATGATTGAACCGCGCGCCAGGTTCCGCCATTGCTAGATGGAGTTTAGCGTAGGAAACCTGGCCGGTAGACTGTAGCCGCCGCCGCAGCAGCCAGCCGCACCCGCCAACCACGCCTCCTCGGACTGGACTGGACTGGAGATAATACTATCAGACAGCTACAGACCCGACCTCCGTCGAATATTCTTCCTCCTCCTCCTCTTCCTCCTCTTCTCTTTGTCCAAGACACTAACCAAGACGGGGTTCCATTAACGACGAAGTCAGTAAGTACCCCCCGAACGAGGAACGAGTAACGAGCAACCGCGAGCCTACGTTCTCCGGGACGGACATCGGTTCTTTTCTCCCCGCGCACACGTCTTCTGCCAGCTACTTTACTTTACTGTACATACATACAATATCTCCATACTGGGTAAAGACAGATATATTCTCACTTCCGCTGGATCGGATCGGATCGGATTTGACAGACGAACCGGACGAGCGAGATAGAATTGTCGTGAAGAGTGAATTGAATTATACTGCTCCTTGTGCTGGAGGAAGAAATAACGAAGGAGCTAGCTAGCTAGCTAGCGGAGTTTTGGATTGGGAGTGTCGATAATTCAGAAGGAAAGAAAGAGTGGAAACGGATTGCTGGTGACCACTGTCTTCGATCTGTCTCGTCTCTGTCAGTGGTCTGTCTGAGAACGAAGGAACGAAACGAACGAATCCTGTCAGGCCTGGTCTGGTCTGGTCTGGTCTGGTCATACTTTGATCCAAACTAGTTTGAGCTGGTATTATACCCTCCATCGATCGAGGCTGTGCTTGTGGTTGTGACGTGATAGGATCTTCTCTTATCATATCACAATGGCGAACGGGTACGTTTGAGCTTGTCAACCTCGAGGCTGTCGAAACTTTTTTTTTCCTTGTCCGCTATACGCACAAATGCTGACTTGGTGATTTTTAGCTGGAGCATCATCATCGGACTGATCTTCGTCGTCCTCGCGAGTCTGTGTGCATGGGTGTTTAGTCCGAAGGGGGAGAATCAGACGTATGTTTTCCCTCCTTTCCCCGTCATCAACCTTTTTTTTTTTTGATTTGTAATGCTAACGACGAGGCGGGGGAATACAGTGTCTGGCGCAGCAGCCTAATCCTCGCTTTTGCCGCTTGTTATTTGATGTGGGGTACGTACCGTCTCTCCCCCTACTACTATACCTCCTTACTTTACTTTACTAATGCTTTTGGTCTGTGTGTTTGTGTTTTTAGCAATCACATTCCTCGCCCAATGGCATCCTCTCATCGCGCCAAAAAGATCGGATATCAGACCTGAGCGGGTACCGAACTAGAAATGGAAATGGAAATAGAAATAGAAATAGAAATAGGATTGGGATGGTCGAGAGAAAAAGGAAGGATGAAGGGAGATGGGATTTAGTTATATTTTATTATTATTAGCCCTTTCTTTTTTTTCAGGGGCTTTTTTTTACACCCCACCGTCTTACTGTTCAGTGCAGTGTTTCGCATGATTGATTGATTGATTCATTGATTGATTGATGTTACTCAGGTATTTACCTAGTTGAATTGGATTGGATTGGATTGGATTGATTGCACTAATACTCTACTCTTCTCTACTCTACTCTACTGCTCTACTGCCATGTCATGTATCTCTCTGTCTGTAAGACTGTATATCTAGTACATATGTCTTTCTAGAAATGTAGTACAGTATAAGTATAAGTGATCAGGGTATGTATGTACATACATACAGTACATACATATGTTTGGGCCAAGCCAAGTCAAGAAGCAACTGCCTGCCTTCCTTAGGTACCTTAGGTATGTATGTATATACAGTACCTAAGTATTAGGTAGGTAGTAATCAATCAATGCGGTTTAGTTGTTTATTTGTATTGTACTTTGGGAAGGAATTCTTTTGTGGACGGTGTTATTTATGTTTATTTTTTTTAATGCGAAGTTGAGCATGTGCGCGGGTTAAATTCGATTGGGTTGAGTCTTTATCAAGGACGTGTGTACAGTACAGTACATATGTTGGTAGTAGTATTATGTTGTGTTGTTGTGTTGAATCAAAATGACTATTAGTTGTGTCCCCTTTATGTCTATTGACATTGACAGAGAACAAATATGATACACTAACGTGATATTCATATTCATATAGATATAGATATATATAACTATAAATACTCAAATATTGAAACATATGACAACTAAATTGAATCGCCCTCACTCTCCCAAGAAAGTGCTTCATCTGCTTCATCCTATAGAATTGAATTTGAATTGAGTTGACTTCAACATGTGTTGTCTTTACCAGTTGTTGTTCCTGTTGTCGTTGTTTCCGCTGGCCTTGTTGAGGAAGCCTGTTTGTTGCTCATTGAATCAGTATATATACTATTCGTCGATCAATTATATTAATATATTTGCTGGAGCTTACTCACCTTCGGCTTTGTTCAGTAGGTCAGAGCTGTTGCTACCGCTGACCTGGTTGATGATACCTATCAATGGTTAGCATACATTCATTCAATGAATTTATAGGATTGTAGATGAAACTCACCTTCGGCCTTGTTCAACAGGTCAGAGTTGTTGCCACCGCTGACCTGGTTGATGATGCCTGTCAATGGTTAGCATACATTCATTAATTTGACTCGATTAATTTGTAGAAAACTCACCTTCGGCCTTGTTCAGCAGGTTGCTGCCAGAAGAAGAGTTGTTGTTGTAGCTACCGCCATAGCTCGAGTCATTGTTGTCACGGCCCGATCTTCCACTGCTGGACCGGTCGTTGTCTCCGTAGCTGGAGTCATTACGTCCATAGCTAGAGTCATTGCCGTATCCACTAGATTTGTTGCCGTAGCTGGACGAGTCGTCTCCGTATCTGTCAGACTTGCTTCCATAGTCGGAGGAGTCGTTGTTGCGTCCATAGCTGGAGTCATTTCCACTGGATTTGTTGCCTCCGTAGCTGGAAGAGTCGTCATTGCGGCCATAGCTAGAGGAATCGTTCCCATATCCGCTGGATTTGTTGTCTCCAGAGTTAGAGGTGTCATTGTTTCGTCCATAGCTGGAAGAGTCGCTGCGTCCATAGTAGGAAGAGTCATTTCCGTATCCGCTAGACTTGTTTCCATAGCTCGGAGTTGCTTCCAAAGTTATCAGACCGGTTGCCTCCGTAGCTGGAGGAGTTGTTGCCTCCATAGCTGGAGGAGTCATTGTTCTGTACATAGCTGGAGTCGTCATTCCTGCTACTGTCATTGCGGCTTCCATAGCCAGAGCTCGAGTCATCCCTGTAGCCGCCAGACCGGTTGTCTCCATAGCTAGAGGAGTCATTTCCGTATCCACCGTATCGGTTTCCACCGTAGCTGGAGTCGTCATCGCGGCGGCTGCCTCCGAAACCAGAGTCGCCGTAGCCGCGGTCGTTCCGGCTGCTACCGTACGAGTCGTCGTTGTAGCTCATGGTGAAGAATGAAGACGATGGTATTAATGACAAATGGGATAGAGTGAGGAAGTATGTAGTGTACACTGGTCGAGGGATGTTTGGTGTGCAATTGAACAGGAAATGGATACCAGAGGGTCCTACTTATACCCCTCCTGACAGATAACGTTATGACGCGGGACGAGCACGCGCAATCAGCACGAGCACCAGCGGAGCAGTGAGCTAGTTCAATTGGAGTGAATTATTAGCTGAACTGCGGGGAATCTGAGCAACCTGTGGAGGGATTCTGTCTGGTCAGGATACCTCCAGCATTCCTGTTCCATCCTATCCCGTGGTTCCGCGAACCACTACTGCAGTGGGTAGCTCAGGCCTCGTCTGAGCCACGAGTCAGGAGTTCCTACTAGCTCGTTAGTCTCAATAGTCGTCTCTTCGCTCGTCCATCGAGTCGAGTCCAGCCACGCTGAGTGTGGCTAGCTGGGGTGTGGCTCAAAATTCAGGCTTGTTCAGATGGATCTCACCTCGTTAGTGACGAATTACCTGCCACCGTAGTACCTTAGCAGAGTCGTACGTAAACAAAACCTCGCGAGCAAGTGGGGGAATGAGGTCGGTGGCATCTCCTAGTGTGGCGCAACACGACGAGAATTGGACAAGACAGCGATGGATGGATGCGGTCTGTCGCTGAGCCAGTTCTCTGCCTAGCCCGGGCCAATTTCAGCGAGCGAGTATTGAGTTTGACCGTCAGAAAGCCCGGAGTAGGGATCTACTGCTCTCCGTACTAACGTAAACAATCCCAGAAGCTGGATCGAGATGGAGCCAGATCCATCGATTATTGGAAGAACAACCGAGATCGGGTGCTGACTAGCCCAATCCAGCGCGCTATCTGGCAAACAAGCTTTCTGGGGCAGCATCGGATCCCTCGTCTCGGTGTCTGCACGATCGATCCAAGATCCGTCCAGCCCGATTCGATGCGAGTCGACTTTTAGGACCCAAAATGAGATCCATCGCTCCTCCCAGGGACCCTCGAATCAGGGGTTCATTGGCTCTGGACGCGGGTCTGATCCGTAGCGCTGCTACCTACGCAGGAGTGCACAACAGAACGATCAGGTCGGCATGGCTCGACAACTGGCCAAGAGGGATCGATCGATCGGCCTGAGTTTATCTCTTCTCCTTTTCATTAACCAGGAATCGAGATCGAGATCGAGATCGAGTGGAGATCGGGAGATGTGGCTGTGCAGGAGACAGCCACAGGATCATGTGAAGCACTGTTCTCACGCAATCATCCACAAATTCCGGACTATTGGCACCAACTAAAAGATAGCGAAAGTTTAAAGACGATAGTTTGCGATTGCTGACCTGGTTTGCGCAATAATGCGCCATAAGCCATGAGCGATCTAGCTTAGGCTGAGCCCAGCACGGAGTAGTTGGATGGATGGAGTTCTTTCTTTGGGTGCGGAACAAGAAGAATAGTAATATTAATTGACAACAGTAACTGCACGTGTTAGAAGAGTGAGGGAAAGAGACTGGCCGAGATAGCAACAGCCATAACACATGCAGTCATCTTATCTCACACGCGATGTTGGCGTAATCTCAGATGACGACGATCTCAATGTCCTAATCTGGGATGGATCGATCGATCTATCCATCGGACGCTCAGTCCCCTCCCTGCTTCCCGATCCTCGATCTACTGCATGGCGAGTCAGTTATTGCAGCACCTAACTGCGAATAAGAATCTACCGTCGCCCTCCTTGTCGACTACTCTTGCCATCTTACTTCGAAGGCAGTGAGCAATGCCGGCCTGGGCGCGTGCGCGACGAGGGGTTAATGAGGGGCGAGGAGCGGAATAATTTGTCATACACCACTGCACCTCGACGACTGGCTGGCATACTACCTCCTACTGGCTGCCTTTAGTGTCTGTTTGCGCTTGTTGGATCTCTCGTATGAAGAATGGCCGGGTTAACTGATTTCACGAAGAAGAAATTTGGGTTGATTGGAATAAAGAACTTGATTTTTTATCAGGCAGGTACTCTTCCATCATGGATCATGTGATATTGTCCGACCCTTGATTTTTTTTTCGGCAATGCCGTAGTCCAAGAAACCTTGGCTGTAGCATTGATGCCAGGCTATTTGCAAGCGTTGGATCATTCTTGTAGAGTTGTTCCGCACTTCTTGAAATAGGATTGGTTCTGCAGGTCAGATACCACTGGCGTACTGTACATATCCCTCTATTGTTCATTTTAGTCACCTATCTCTGTATTTCCTGCTCTTGATATCCTCAATGTCTTTGTACCTATTGATGCTGTTGACTTTGTGCTGAAAAGTAGTCAACTTCTACACACCAGTAACCCGAGAATATATAAAGATATAGCATTTTCCTGTGAAATTGACAAAAGCTGCCTCTATTTAGCGGAAAGGGGAGGAATAACGAGAACAAATGAAAAGCGGAGAGAAAAATACAATTCGAACCCCCCCCCCCCCCCTCCTAATACCGATAAAGAAAGGAAATGACCCCCTCTGAGATAATCATTGATTTCTCTCATTATGCGTTATGATGTTGAAATGCTCAAAAAGATCCTGTATTCAAACTCAGAGCTTTCCCAGAGTCTATTGACTCTATTGAACTATGAGTCTGGGACTTGATATTGAGCTTCAAAAAAAAAGCCGATTCTATTAAGAAAGAAATGATACTGGCAGAAATTCTTCGTCAGCAATAGCAATTGACATAGTAATTTTTCTACCTGTGAATTACGCGATCCGGTTAGCTTTCCCGCTTTCAGGTTAGCGTTCGCTCGCCGCCTAGAATTTCTACGGCCTCGCTATATAAGCCAGCTCTTCTCACCCATTTTCAATGAGTATTCTACTATATCTATTATTGCTGACTGAGTATGGACTGATTAACGTAATCCACAAGAAAGTGATGCACCCAACTAAGTGACACACCTAACAACACGCGATGTGTCTTCCCAAAACAACCACTAAGATGTCCACTAAATCTACAGAAAAAAGCTCTTATAAAGAGGGAAGAATATTATTAGCTATGGAAGCATTCAAAAAAGGACAATTTCTAAGTCTACAAGCTGCTATAAGCTCATATAATTTCCCTAAAGCTACTCTTTGTCGCTGACTAAAAGGCTGCACTATATAACAGGAATCTATATATATACAGCAGAAATTGAGTTCCACTAAAGAGGAATCTCTTATTTAATAGATAATATCTATGGATTAATAAGGGTTCCCTCCAAGGCCTAATGCTGTATAACAAATAGCTAATATTCTTCTTGCTGAGTAGGGTAAATTAGCTACTCCACCTACTATTAGCAAAAATTGGGTTCATAACTTTCTCAACTGCCATAGTGAGCTTAAAACTAAATATTTTTGTAAAAATAACTATTAATAAGCCTAATATAAAGAACTAAAGGTTATTCAAGAATGATTTTAGTGCAGCTGCACGAGACCAGACCCGCCGACGCAGTCGCATAACTAACTAGCTCGCACGAGAGATGAGTTGCATATAATAAGCAATTGACTAGTATAGGATTATAGAGGAAGATATCTACAACTTTGATGAGACTGGCTTTGCAATGGGGGTAATTATAACTATAAGAGTCATTACTAGGGCTGAGAATATTGGTTACCTAGAGGTAAAGGTTATATAACCATATTAGTAATAGAAAGGAAAGAATATGCTATTATAGCTGAAAAGGACAAATTATAAGGCAAAATACAGGAGAATATAGAGTCTAGGCAGTATATAAAGGAACAGAAAGATTAAGAGACAAAAGAATAAGGGGAACCAGACCATCCATGGGGGTTCTCTAAGAGTTATATGACTAGATTGTCTCTGATTAAGATGGATTAAATGAGGAAAATTGGGGACAGGGCCCTCTATGTTAATGGCTATAAGCTAAATGACTGAAAATAGCAGGGGAGGGAAGGCCATGAATGCACAAAGGCAACAAAGCTCAAAATGGCCATACTCTCAGAGGTCGAAAACAACCTCCAGTTATATCACATGACCTAGTCGGCTGGCATTAAGGCCGCAAGCATTGTGGGGGATGATGTGCAAAGGCCACGAAAAATGGCGCCAAAGACCACACATTTCGGCGTCGATTTATCAGGTAACTAGATAACTTCTATTTGTAATTTTCGTGGAACGCCTTGCTGCTATGATATCACGCAGGACGCTAAACCAAATATAGTACGCCCGCTATTCCAGAACGAACCTCCAACTCCGCAACAATCTCAGATCAACATGACATGGTCCTTTGAAACGATGTTCGCCATGACCTGACACCATGCCCATCTGCATCGAATGCTCCTATCCCGTCTCCCACCTCTACACCTCCTACAGCAAGGCCGACGATCACTCCCTCGGCAAGGGCGTCCGCTTGACCCAATGCCCGCGCTGCAAACGCTTCGCCGACAAATACGTCGAGCATGACTATGTCGTCCTCTTCATTGATCTGGTGTTGATCAAGCCACAGGTAATTCATCCTTCTAGTATCCGCAATGATGTGTCCTAAACAACCCCAAACAGGTCTACCGGCATCTGCTCTTCAATCGTCTGGGAAGAGATGACAACAAATTCGATGTGAGTTGCAATGCTATCTATCCCTGTTTATTAACATTCTGCTAACGTTACCAGCGCTCTATCATCCGTCTTGGTGTTCTGCTATTGCTGTTTGACGTGTACTTGACTTGGGCGCGCATCGAGAAATCCTCCTCCCTATCCTCCACTCCCCTTTCGACGGCCCCCATCGTCGTGCAATACCTCTTCTTTCTGACGCTCAATGGACTGGCAACGTTGGCGCACCATCTGACGGTGCGCTTGCTGGCCTCCATCCTGGTCCCCCGACCGGCCCAGTCTCCTGCGACGGGAGATGCATCCACTGAAACCGGTCCGTCCACCCCTTCGACGCCTGTGGCATCGACCTCGAATCACAATACCGCAACACCGTCGGTTGCGACAAACTCGACTTCCAGCGATATCCAGCAGCGACAACCTCCTCCGGTTCCTGGAAACAACAACACTCCTTCCCCGTCCTGCCCCCCCAGCAACACCCCTCCTTTGGGCCCGGGTCAGGGACCTCTGCGCCGGGCATCGACTGCTCCGACTCAAGTTCAACCGCTTCCGCCTCCGTCGCCTGCTAGTCCCAATGCGATCAGCACCGCTCTCTTCGTCAGCAGCTGCCCCAAACTCTTTCCAATTCTTCTGGTGATATGGGGTTCCAAGGAGAGTGAAGTCCCAGAGGGAGGCAGTTCGATGGCCGACAGCCCTGCGGCTACGATGTTGCACAAAACCATGACTGCTACTGCCGTTTCTTCGCTGTCGACATCTCCCACATCCGCTGTGTCGTCGTTGCCAACTGCTCTCGCGACCGCCGCAAGCAGTGCAGCGACCGCTACAGCAACCGCATCATCCGTCCCGACTTTCTCACTCAGTCAACTTTTCTCTTTTGCCTCCGCCAGCTTTAACGTTGACTCTATACCCTCATTCCTATCTCTTGGCGCGGCCAACACCAATCTGGTGCTGTTGAACAATATCGAGGCGTTGTATATCCTCCTCGACTGTGGCTATCTGCGCGCTGTTGCGCTGGCCGTTGCGGGCCAGGCAGCGCGATGGGGGGTAGAGAAGCTGATCCTGGGATTGTTTGGAATTGGTTAACCTGCTTGTTATGAGGGATGAACTGATAATCATAATGTCATGTATGTATATAAGCATGAGAATGGACATAATTGTAATTCACTTGGGTAATTGGCATAGCGGCGAGAAGCACCAACCCGATCTGGCAAACCCCGGATTGCTAAACTAGATGCGGGGCCCCGGTCACTACCTAGGTAAACAGCGGTGCATGTAATTATAGAAATCTCCCGTCTGGCTTGTTTGATTCTCATTTACCCAGGTCTTTCTTCGTGTATGACCAAAGCCTACTTCTGGCCATGGCATCAGTTCCCGATACTGCGCCTGGTGGAATTACTCTCCCAGGAGGCATACAGTTGCAACAATCCGCGCAAGTCTGGTAATTTACTTGTTGCCTTACATACGCAGCTTCAATGCTGAGAAATATTTGGTCAACAGTGATCGCTGCAGACAGTATGAAAGATTCCAGCCAAGAGACCTTTGCCGTGTCCACTGACACGCTTTATCCGCAGGCGACGCGTCAAGTGTGATGGACGTCGTCCAAAGGTATACCGTCGTTTCATTCTGCTCATTTACATACTCTGCTTACTGAGTCGCACAAGTGCGGCAAGTGTGCTGCAGCAAATGTGGATTGCCTTGTCTCGGTTCGACTGCAACGGAGAACAAAACCTCGAGGGTAAGAGAGGCTGTAGTCAAGCCAGCGAGGGTACAGCAGCTTACTGCGGCTGCAGCTACGTCGAGCCAACTCAGGAAATCATTGCAGCTCTCAGTCAAAAAGTGGAAAGTCTACAAGAAGAGCTACGAGCTTCTCAGGAACGCGAGGAACAGCTGCGAACAGAGTTGCGAAATGCCAGAGAGGCAGAGCATTCGCAGCACGTACGAGTGCCGGCAACTGTGCAGGTTCCATGTCCACCGTACGCAGATCCAGATCCCGGGGGAAAGTCCACGCATACCTTGCCACAAAACCTCGTTCGCACAAGTCAAGAGTCTCTGGGCCCGCTTCTGGGACATGTAGGGCGTCTCGTCCAGGACGCATGCGGTGTTGGTCGCTTTGCTGGTGCTCCAACTGGCGCTCATTTCGTCCTCTCTGTCCAGGAACAGTTCCAGGAGACCTTTTCCTCAAACATGGATTTTCCAGAGTGGATGTTCCGGCTGCATCTATTACCGCCGTTCGATGCGTGTAGAGTGGGTTTGAGGTCGTCAAAGTGTATTCAAGTCCCTGCTGTTCAGAACTTTTGGCCTGCGGCTGGTTCGGACCAGATCGACGGCTCTTTTATTTTGGCCAATCCTCGGGACCATTATCATGCGCAAGCAGAGGCATACTTTCAAACCTGGGGTCGATTCTATCCGATCCTGTCCGTCAACCAGTTTTACGACAGCTTAAACCGCATCCTGAGTTTGGTGCAGGATGGAAAGCCCCTGTGCGATGCTGACATACCCTTTCTTTTTCAGCTGTATGCAGTCATCACTCTAAATGTGATTACAAATGAGAAAATGAGAAGCTCGCGTGCGCGCAGAGGCGATATGCCCAGTCCAAATGCCGGTGTCCAGTACCAAGAACTTCTATGTCATCTCTCGTCCATGGTTTCTGCACGGGGAGATCTGACGTGTCTCCAAGGCCTTGTTCTTTACCTTCTATGTCTTCAGCTGATATCGCACCACTCGTTAGCCGTTCAGACAAATGGGATGGTTGTGAAGCTCGCGCAGTCGCTGGGATTGCATCGCCATTCGAGACGGTTTAAGCATTCTCCCAGTGAATCCGACCTGCGGAGGAGAATATGGTGGTGTGTTTTCATATTGGACGTGTAAGTGCAATACCTTGAGTCGCTGTGGCTATGATAACACTAGTGGCAGATACACCAGCATGTACCATGGGCTTCCAAGGTCTATCAAAAGTGCCGACGTTGACGTTGATCTCACTATGGATGTCGATTTCCATGATATCTCTATCCAGCATCTTCCATCCCCTCTTACGGGCGAGATGACCAATTCCGGCTGGTTCCTTCACCACATCCAAATCGCTCAGATTCTGTCCCGTTGCCTCGATCAGCTATATACAACGACTCAGAGGAGAGGCGGCGTCGAAAAGATCGCCCAGCTGGAGTCTGAACTCCAACTGTGGAAGAGGAATCTGCCGCCTGAGTCTCTCAACGTGCTCGACGACCACGCTCCACTGTACACCGTGTTCAAGGACGACCCCCTTGATGCAAGTGGCCTGCAACCTGGACAGAGTTTCATTTCCGCCTGGCTGCTTCTGCTAGGGGAACTGACGACCCTCCTGATTCACCGCTGCGCTCTGACCTTTGATCGTACGGAACCGCAGTTTATGACCAGTCTGCGATCGTCCACCGTCGCAGCGACAAGGATCCTTCGCATTCTTCATCGCGCGAGGGAGATCCCTCTCATATTCTGGCTGTGGCCTTTGGGCCTGCATGTCATTGCGCAGAGCGCGCTCCTCGTGTTGTACGCGTGCTGGCTGGACATTCGCCCACCGAGCATCGGATCCGAGCTAATGGCTCCTCCTGCACCACGCACAGAACTGACTCGTATTTCAGGTCTCGATCCCAGGACCACGGCTCTCGAGACCTTGATTCGCACCACCTGTGACATCTTGGCACTCCACTCCGCGACTGAGCTGAGCAGAAACCGACCGGAGCAGGAAGGCCTGGCGAGGGATAACTATTCTGCACAAACAGCAGAATTTCTTCAATATCTCTTACGCAGGACGCTTGAAATGAAGGGAACTTATTCATAGTGGATTCACTTAATAGGATTGCTGGTGTTGAAAACCGTTGGAAATGATATTATTTCTATACCTAACTCTATAAGTATGCTCTCTATGACGTGAAATCTTCCCCATGCAACATGACGAGCTTAAATAGCGATACACACGAGTCGCAATGTTTCAATCGCAAAATTGGTCACAGGGTCCAAATCCAGGAAGTATATGTATGCTATTCTGTGGTATACAGGCCTTGTATATTACTGATCAACGATGAATCCATCCCGGTGAGGACGCATAGTAATCGGCTGGATCAGCGGCGGTCGTATCTCCTGGGCGTTCTCCAGCAGATTGACACCGAGCCCCGGACCAGATGGTATATCAACGAAGCCGTCCTTCGGCAACGGGACGTGGTCGACGATGTCGCTCCCGAGATGGGTGGTGGTGGATTCAAAAACGCCCTTCTCGAACCCGGTCGAATACTCCTGGATGGCAAAGTTAGGGATGGCTGCAGCAACCTGGAGACACGCCGCAAGGCCGATCGGGGAAAGCGGGTTGTGAGGCACGACTTGGACGTTGTGCGCCTCGGCCAGGGCGGCGACTTTTTTCGCACCGGTGATCCCGCCGCAGAGGGCGACGTCGACGCGCACGAATTCGAGCGCGTTGCGGGAAAGAAGCGCCTGGAACTCGTATATCGTGCAGAATCGCTCGCCCGTGCCGATGGGGACCGAGATTCGATCCGCAACCCGGGCCATGGCGTCGGCGCTCTCCGGGCGGATGGGATCCTCGACGAACATGGGGCAGGTATCGGCGATGCCATTGCAGAAGGTGATTGCCTCGGCGGGGGTCAAGCGGCGGTGGAGCTCGATGAGCAGATCGACCTCGTCGCCCACGATGGCGCGGATCTTTCGCACGTTCTCGATGGCATCCTGCATCTTCTGGATGTGCGTCTTGAAGTAGATCTTGTCGTTGCCCTCGTCGAGGAAGGGGTTGATGTGGCCAAACGCCGTGAACCCGAGGTCTTTCTTCCGCTTGCATTCTTCGAGCACCTTTTCGATCGTCTTCTCGTAGACGTGGCCGTAGACGCGGGCTTTGGTCCGACATGCGCCCCCGAGCAGCTCGTAGATGGGCACGCCAAGCGCCTTGCCCTTGATGTCCCAGAGAGCGATGTCGATGGCAGAGATGGCGGCGTTGATGGCCTGGCCCTGGAAGTAGCTGAACCGGTGCATCACGTTCCAGTGGTGCTCGATGTCGAAGGCCCTCTTGCCGACCAAATACTCGGCGAAGCGTTCGATGGCAGCGCCGGCGGCGGCGATGTGGCCCCAGTTGCCTGCCTCGCCATAACCGACGATGCCCTGGTCGGTCTCGACGCGGGCGAACATGAACTGCCCGACGTGGAGGGCCTTGACGGATTTGATGATGTGCGGTGCCATGGTCTGACAAGTTAGCTGAGAAGTCGACGTCTGATGAGGGACAGTACCTTTACTGCAGAATAGAAACGCTTTGAGATGTCGCTCAGCAGATAGCAGCGACCACATCTACGGATGGAATTCGAATTTATATGAACTGTCCAGGGCAAAGACCATATCCGAGTCTCCTCATCGGCGCATTCTAGCGCCGTGATCCAGATAATTCAGCCCCATCAGCTATTATCTAGCACCGTCTCGTCTCGTCTGAGATGCTCCGATAACGGTGACTCAGTGGGCACAGCAAGATCAAGCTGGAAGGAGTACTCCATCCAGACCGGAGACCTCTCCGAGCAATGTACGGAGTATCGATACTATGCTATCATCATTGGAGGCGTTGATCGCTGCCCCAGCAGCCGGAATAGCGTTTTCTCCCGAGCGCCGGCGAGAGCTTTCCCCGCAGACGGGATAAGCCTCTATTCCGTCGAGTCGGACTCGCAAGTGCAACTGAGTCCTGACGCACCGGTGCATCATCTCCGCAAATCAGCAATAATGCGTCTAGCGTCCGTCCTGCCGTGGGGCCCGGCAATCTGCATCCGAAAGCTAAGGTTGTCAGGAGTTGTATAGAGTATACCGAGTATACGTACGGAGTACGGAGCACACAGTACGGAGTACATGGAGTACTCTACTCCACGGGAGAACCCCATATTGTCAAATCAAGCTGTTTGCCCCGTATTCCGTACGGAGTACACGGAGCCCTTACCGAAGAGTGGATCTTTTTCACAACACAAAAAGGCGGGGAAAAGCAAACGTTTACTCCGGAGTACGGAGTAGAACGGTTTTATGCGGGGGCGTTGTTATGGCCAATCAATCCGGGGGCGGATTCTTGCTGCTTTTAGGCGTATTACCTACGTACATACGGAGTATGGGCTATATACATTTTCCTGTACGGAGTAATCTATTACTTTACAGATTTAAAGAGTGGAAATACATGTCCTCCATTTGTATTAAATTCTAGATAATTCATACAGTGACATGTTACTCTCAGACTCGATCCTGTATGTACTGAACAGTTCAGTACCATCAAGATATAGGTAGCTTGACGAACGCTGACGACTAAAAAAGCAAGAAATATCTCCCTTTTCTGGAGTAGTGTATGCAGGTAGCTAGGTAGCAACCTACATACCTCCCTAGGCAGGTAGCAGGGGTCTGGGGTTAGTTCGATACTCTGTCGGTAGCCTGAAGAGTTAAGTTCCTATTCCTAACTAATTAGTATGCTGCTAACTAAGTAGATAACCTACTTAGCCATAGGTAGCTCTGGCCTCAGCCTTGCCTATAATAGGTCCTAAGCTTGCAATGACGGTATATAATTAATTGTTCTAAGTCACTGTACATACATGTACAGAGTATGGTTCATTAATATTTCACTTCGCTCACATCACCTGGTTTCAATTTCTATTCTTTATTCTTTAAATTTCACCTCTCCTAGTCTAGCTGTCTCGTAGGGTATTATTTTCTAGACAGCCTTCTTCTACCTACAGATTCTTCGGGAACAGCTCTACTTTCTTGCCTCGCAAAATAAAAGAAAAACCGCAATAACAATCTCTCTCTACCAAAAATAAAAGCCCAGCACCATGACAATAGCCAAACAATCCCCACTCGACACAGGAGATCTCAAAACCTCAGGCCTCCAACTCGAACACATCTCCTCCAAAGCCGACTTCGTCGCCTCCTTCCCCGCGAGCGCGAAACAGAAGACCTTACGTAAGATCGATGTTCGACTTTTGCCCGTCCTCACTTTTCTCTACGTCCTGTCGTATCTGGATCGGTCGAATATTGCGAATGCGGAGATCGAGGTTGATACTTACCCACTTTCTTAATAATATATATATAAGCTGCTGCTGATGCTGATGATGGTGGTGATTGCTGCAGGGTTTACTCCCCGACCTCGGGATGAGTGGTATTCAGTACAATGTCGCTACGTCGTTGTTTTTCGTTACGTATATCATTTTCGGTAGGTCGGACAATCCAAAGTTTCTTTCTTTCTTGGGGTATGTATCTGGCTAATCTAGCTGACGGCAGAAATCCCAAGCAACTACGTCCTGGAGCGCTACTTCACGCATCGCCCCTCCCTCTGGGTCGGTACTATCACTTTCTTCTGGGGCGTGCTGATGACGCTGCACGGTGTTGTCCATAACTTTGGCAGTCTGCTCACGCTGCGCCTGCTGATGGGCGCCTTTGAGGCTGGCTTCTTCCCTGCTGCTGTCCTGATTATGAATAAATGGTATCTCAAGTTCGAGCTCTCGGCGCGTGTGGCTATCTACTACGCTGGGGCTGCCATTTCGGGCGCCTTCTCGGGCCTGTTGGCCTATGCGCTTGCGAAGATGGATGGTATCGCTGGGGTTGCGGGATGGAGGTATATCCAAAAGTCTCGAGGAGCAAAGAAAAACTGTTCGTCTAATGTCAGACAGATGGATCTTCATCATCGAAGGCATCATCACCGCCGTCTTCGGCCTTCTCGTCCTGGTCATCCTGATCGACACGCCCGAACGACCCAATCGATGGCTGACGGCCGACGAAAGACGGTACTGCGAGCTGCGTCTGAAGGTCGAGCAATCCGCCCAGACCCAGAATGACAATTGGGGCCAGCAGCGCTTCACCTGGCGCGCCCTGTGGGACATCTTCACCGACTGGCAGTTCTACCCCATGGCCTTTGTCTTCTGGTCCAATACGGTGACTGGGTACGGGCTGAAGTTCACCATGCCGCAGATCATCCAGAATATGGGGTTTAGCTCGAGTAATGCGCAGTTGATGTATGTCAGCATCTGCATATATGTGTGTTTTTGTGTGTGAAGGAAGAACTGACGAGTTAGGACGATCCCCCCGTACTGCTGCGGCGCTATCAGCGCATACGTGTTTGGTCGTTTGTCGGACAAGTTTAGACGAAGGTCCTACTTTCTGCTCATTCCGCAGGTGCGCATGAAATCGATCCTTCCTGACGGTATATATACTGACTGCTCGACAGACCTGCCTCGTAATCGCCTTCGCCATCCTCGCCCCCCTAGCCCCCAAAATTAAATCCCACGTCGGCGTCTGCTTCTTCGCCGTCATCCTAGCCTGCATCGGGCTGTACCCAATCCAGCCAGGCTCCAGCTCATGGATCGCCAACAACCTCGCCGGCCGCGTACGGCGCGCCATCGGGCTGGCCTACGCCTTCTCGCTCACCAACGTCGGCTCCGTCGGGGGTTCATACATCTACATCGCGTCCGAGGCGCCGTCGTACCCGACGGGCTTTGGATGCTCGCTCGCGTTTTCCGTCGCGGGCATCATTGCCGTCATTGTCCTGGACTTGAACTACAGCCGGCTGAATCGCAAGCGGAGCAGGATGTCCGAGGAGGAGATTCGTAGGAAGTATTCGGATGAGCAGCTGGCGAGTATGGGCGATAAGTCGCCTTTGTTTAGGTATGTTGTGTAGGCAGCCAGCCGGAATAATGTTATGTCGTATGTCTATAAAGGTTGTAGATAGGAGAATAAAGATGTGTGGTTCTTCAGCAGTACTCATTACTCAATCTAAGATATGAGAACTAGGTTGGAGAATAATAACAAGTACGTTAGTTAGTATAGCATAGCATAGCATATCCGAGGTATTCTTCACAATCAGATTTCAGATTTTAATACAATTATACAGTATAGATAGTACTTACATCAATACAGGACAATTAATTAGTCTATCTATCTATCAGTGCATCATAGACAAACTGCATGCAGATAAAAAAAATTACAAAATAATACATCTACCCAAATCATAAAAGCCTCAACCTCGCTTCGCTCGGGTTATACACGCACCAGCGTCTCCCGCAACCCTCGCAACGTCACGCTGCTCGCCTGCCCGTTCTCGTCCAGACTAAACACGACCTCTTCCAGCCCGTTCAGCCCGTAGATCGTGTTGTCGATCGTCGACCAGCTCAGACAGCTCCCCTGCGGGAAGAACAGCTGCGCGTCCTCGGCCGCGGCCTCGGACTCCGACGAGACAGTGTCGAAGACGGCGCGCCATGCCCACGTCTTGCCGGACCGCAGGTTCGTTGGGTACAGTCTGATTCCCACTCCTGGGGCAGGGCTCGGGCTGGCTGGCGGCGTCCCCGCTGGAGAGGATATCACGGGCCAGTTCTGCGCCATGCTCTGGCCGTGAGTGTACCAGTGGGACACTTTTAGGCCGGGGCCGTCGGCGTCGACAGAGATAGTGATCCTCGTATTGTTATTATTATTGCTGCCCTTCAGCTGATACTGGCCCGCAAACGTGCGGTTGGCTTCGTCCTTGCCGGCCTGCTCGATCGCCGGGAGCAGCGCGTGGAAGATCTGCGTCAGGCCGCCGTAGACGATCGAGTACGACGCGCTCGGCCCCGCGGACAGAAAGCTGACCACGAGGTCGTAGTCAGGAATCAGGACCAGGATCCCCACGTACTCGCCTATCTCGCCGCTCTTGGTGTAGAAGTCGATCGTGCGGTTGTCCGCCGTCAGGCTCACGCCGCGGGCGATCTCCCACGGCGCGCCGACAGACACGCCCAGCGAGGAGGTGTGCGTGAGCGGCTTCAGCCAGCGACGCGTCTGCACGGGGGGCAACAGTCGCGAACCGAGGATGGCGGACCCCAGGGCGAGGAGGTCGCTGGTACTGGCATAGAAGCCACCGGAGCTGCACTCGTCAGAGTCGTCAGAATGGTTTCTTTTTTTCTAGGCTTAATGTAGACATACGAATTCTCAATCCCCAGATCAGATCCAAACCAGCTCGCCTCGACGACATTCCTGTCCGTCGGCGTGGAAATGCTCGTGCGGGTCAGGTTGAGCGGCGCCAAAATGGCCTCGCTGACGAACTGCTCGTACGTCTGGCCGGTGACGGACTCGACGACGAGGCCCAGAATGGCGAACCCGATGTTGGAATAGACGGGCGTCGTCCAGGGCGCGTAGACGGGGCGGCGGCGGCCGAATTTGGTGAAGAAGGCTGTCAATTGGCATGAGCCAGCGGTCAGAGAGTACAGTACGAGCGAGATCAAATGCTTACTCTGCCAGGTGCAGCCAGCCTGGTCTGGCTCTCCTCCGCAGCCCGAGACCTCGCTCGCGTTGAGGACGGGCAGGCCGTACTTGGTCCAGTCGCCGGGTTCATTGCCCACGTCGAAGCCAACTGTGTCTGTCAGCAGGTGCACAATGGCCACAATTAACGAGTGATGCTCTTACAGTTCGCTGGAACCCCCGCCAGATGCGACGCGAGCGCCTCGACGGTGACCTCATCCCAGTCGACCTGGCTGCCGGACAGCTGGCGCAGCTGCGGGACGTACGTGGTGACGGGGGCGGTCCATTGCACCCTGTCGGCCAGCAGCTGCAGCGCGAGCACGGTGTAGACCTTGGAGATGCTGCCGACGCGGTACACGGTGTTGCGGTCGACGTTGCCGGTGCCATTGGGGCTGCGCTGCGGCGGCGTCCAGTGCAGATCGAGCAGCGGCGCGTCCTCGTGGATGGAGGCGACGCCGACGGAGATGGCCGTGTCGTTGAGCCCGGCCGTCAGGTTGTGGAATGCAGCTGAGATGGCTGCCACGGCCGTCTGGACAGCCTCGTTCTGCAACGGCTGGGCTGGAGCGGGCAGGACGGGGCCGAGAGGAGGACAGTGGGCGTACGATGGGATCTGGAAGGCATAGCTGGTCGAGAGGAGCGCCGCGGACGCGGCGAGAAGGAGACGCATGGTGTTGAAGTTGACTCGATTGCACGGTATATTCTGTCTTCTCTGAACAGACAGGGCTGCAGGATGAGCTCTCTATATACACCTCAATCCAAGGCATCAAATTACATCGTCAGGAGTATAATCGTGGCGGAGCTTGGGTGTTTGCGTCGATCCTCGCCTGATGCGATCTAACAACCAACATCAATTTTTCCATTTTTGGCAATCTGGAGAATCAGCCCCCAATGTCCTCTCGTGCACAGAGCGCCACGTGCCCAGTGCTTGGCTGTGCAAGGCTACCCATCGCAGGGCCAGACAGCCCAACAGTTAGAAAAGAGCTTGAACATATTAATCCATCGCGAGTGAATCCGGTTGGTTGGTTGTGTTTTGTGCTATTGCTGACTTGGAGGTAAGCATAGCCACAGCTGTGTACTGTACAGTACAATAGCAATGCCTGAACTCAGCCCTGCAACTGCCGAAACCAATTCTAATTTTAGCTGAAGACCATCAAAATTACTGTCAAGCTTCTGAGAGCATTATACTAGATTAGATTATCATGTCCTCAGAAAACAAGCTTCTGACTCGCACTTTAAAAAGAGAAACAGTAACAGAACAGTAACCAACAGTACTAAACCCCGAAGGATCTTGCCCTTGCTAGTCACGCCAACAGACAAAGCTATTACACCGCAATTATTTAATTACGACGCAGCAGGATTAAATACTAATTAGCTAGGACAACAACCAGGCATCAACTTTTCCTTCTCGAGTTAAAGAGTAGTCATATTTAATTTAATGACACCTTATAACGACAACAACTTGGTTGCATTTTCCTTTCTTGAGCTAGGATTGTAAGGTTGTATAGTTTCGAAAAAAAAATACCATCTTGACCTTATTAATTCTCCGCCTATCTAGCGAATGTTTGAAAGGCTGCTTTGTGAAATGAAACAGGAGGCTCTGTCTCTGTCGTAAGTAATTCGTAACTATCCTGTTATGCAAAACGTATGTAATCGTATCTATACTCTATATACATCTGCTATATCAGCTTGTACAACCTCACTGGTTCTCGTATTTCAGACCAGATTCCTTCCGGATCGCGCCATACATAGCTGCAATGTCGCCCTTGGCGCCCGCATACTCCTTCACCTCCTTCAGGTAGTTATCCGCAACCTCGACACTCCGCAGCCGCATCCCGGCGTCCTGGGCCAGACTCATGACATGCCTCGCGTCCTTGCGCGCCAGATCGACCGCAAACAGCGGCTCCTCGCGCTGGTAGTAGTCGCCGCTCTCCATGCGGACGGCATACTTGGGCAGCGCACCCGGGAACATCAGCTCCAGCCACTGTTTCAGCGGCTCGACGCCCAGGCCGGACTTCTCGGCCAGCACCATGCCCTCGCCCAGCGTCTCGACGAAGCTTAGGATGAATGAGTTGCCCAGCAGCTTCATCGTCGCCGCCTTGCCGACGTCCTCGCCGCTGAAGTCGATGTTGGCGCGCGCGATCACCCCTACCGTGTACGGCTTCATCCGCTCGACGTCCTCCTTGGGTCCGGCCGGAACGCAGATCAGCGTGCCTGCGTCCGCAAACGCCGGCGCTCCGAAGACAGGGCACGCGACGAACGACGCCCCGCGCGCGCGCAGCGTCTCGTTGATCCTCCGCGTCGTGTCCGGGTGGATGGTCGAGCAGTCGACGAACAGCTTGCCCTTGACATCGCCGCTGTCGAGCGCGGCCTGGATCGTCTGCTCGACCGCCGGGTCATCGCCCAGGCAGATGAAGATGATATCCGCGGGCTGCACGGCGTCGGCGACGGTCGTGGCTACCTTGGTTTTATTTGTGCCGAGCGTTTCGGCCAGCGCGGTGGCGCGCGCCGTCGTGCGGTTGTAGATGATCAGCGGCTTGGTCAGGGACGCTTTTTGGACGATGTTCTTGCACATGCCCTACGCAAGCATCAGCCCAGTCAGCAGTCAGTTCAGTAATTCTTACCCCGCACGAATTGTTTGCTCGGAGTATCAATCATGTCATATCGTCGGTATAGTCATAGCGTTGCAGATGCTAGTATCACATACCCGTCCCATATTCCCCAATCCAATCCACGCCAGCTGCGTCGCCATTTTGGCAGGGTGCGGTGTGCCTGTCTACGGAGTATACAGTATCTGAAAGAAAGGTTTGCCGCAGAGGGTTGTGCGGGGTAAGCAAGTAGACTGTAGACTGTATAAATAACGAGAGGAGGGACAGTTTCCCAGGCCCTTAATTGAATAAGAGAGAGTGAGATAAAGGACAGGATAGATACGATTGCTTCGAAAACGACGGAATCTTCTCCTCCTAAGGAGTATTTATCTGGCGGAGACAATTAACAATCACAACCCACAATCCAATGCCAATGACGTCGTCCGTCCGACCCCTTCGGTCGGATATCCGATGCTTCTGCGGGCCGCAATACCCGCACATGCCGGTGATGACAGCTGATTGATTGGCCGAGCTGCATCAGAATATTATACCTACCTTAGGTATTGAAATATTACAAATGTAATGCTGCAGAACGAGTATTATTAATGATCAATTATTATTATTATTAATTACCGTTGATTGAACGGGCAATTTAGTTCCTGCCAGATGCATTCCGCAGTGTCCTGTCCACTGCTGCTTGCTTACTTTTCCATTGCTTGCTATCTAATCTACTTCGAATCTCTTCTTATTCCTATAAATAAATATATAATACAAGTGATTGTTTGATGGATGCTACCTTTTTTTTTTAAAAAAAAAAGGAAATATTATTACTATCTTTGAATCTAGAGAGAGAGCTGGTGAAGAATATTCTTATAGGTTCAAGAAAAGAACCTTTATCCAAGATAATGTCGCCAGTATATATACGACAATCTATATACATCTATATCAACTTAATCAACTACCGTCTTCTTATCCGCCCAGCTAGGCTGGATACTGCGACAAACCGCCTCGTAATCCCGGAACCGCTGTGCATCCTCCGGCACCCCCGGCGTCGTCCAGAACATGGCCCAGTTCGACCCGGACAGCTTCCAGCTGCCGCGCGCCCGCTCGAAATACCACTTGTTGACCGGGTTGTCCATCCGGCTGCGCCAGCACACGCCCTGCGGCAGGCAGGACCGCACCATCGCGTTGAACACGATGTCCGCCACTCCGCCGGCCCCCTGGCTGCGCTTCAGAACGGCGAATTTGTCCAGGTACGGCACCATCCGCGCCAGGCTGGCTGGACTGCCGTCGTCTTCCACCCCCGGCGGTGTCTCCCACGTCAGGATCGCTCCGCCCTCGTATTCCCCGGCGATGATCAGCCCCGCGATCCGGTCGTTGATCCGGTTCAGGTAGTGCTGCACGTCCAGCTTTCGGTTGAACGAGTCCTCGATCAGATGCACCAGCCGCGGCAGGTCGATGCGCGGATCGTCCAGCGTCAGTCGCGGCTCTCCGCGGTTGTCCGGCGTCCAAGGCGTCACCCGGGGATTCGGCAAAATCGTCAGAGGCATCCCCCGTTTGACAAACGTCGAGTGCACAATCGGCCGTGTCACCTGTCCCGTGGAATCCCGATTCGCACTCAGTCGACTCAGAGGCAGAGACGGCGAATGCGACGGCTTGTCCGTGAGCAGGTTGTGTATCAGGGGATTCTTCTGCCGTCGCGTCCCGACAGCGGAGACCTGCAAGGACTCCTTAGGAGGTCGAGCGGAATTCGCGACATCCGTCGGCGTAATGATGATGCCCGACGACGACGGCGGCAGGATCGCCAGCGCTTGGCGCAACAGTCGGAGATTGTCCAGATGGCCCTCTAGCGGAGTGTGCACTCCTTGGCTGTGCCATTGATGTCGTTCTTGGCCCTGGCGCTGCGACGGTAACGAGACCAACTCGGAGCTCACAAAGCGTGAAAACGGGTTACTGTTGACTATCGAAGACATGCCGTTGCCTTCTGCAGAGGCGCCATCGCTCGTCGTCACCACTTGCTGCGACGAAATCCTCTGCAGCAGCTCCTCCTCAATATCCTCGTATTCCTGCTCCATGTTGATGAAGACGTGGGACTGCTGAGGGCCACTGAAGGCGGGGATTCCGCCCAAGGGATCTAGCAAAATCAACCGATCAAGAGACACTTCCTTCTGCAGCCGGCTGATCCTCTCCGCAGTAACTGCAGGATCCTCCTCGGGATCGGGCGTCGTTCCCAGCCCTGCTAATTCCCTGGTGAGGGCAAGGATGACATCGTTCGCAGGCACCGGGAGTGCCTTTGACGTGTCCTCGGTGTACGCCACTGGAACGATCACCACCGTGTGGTTCTGGTGCAGCGGGTTCAGGAGGATTTGTCGAGAAAGCGGCTTCGGGAAGAGGCAGGTCGAGTCTTGGACAACGAGTGCTGAATCGAGACGACGCGCCGAGGGTCCATGACATGCATCTATGGCTGCCGATAGTCGACTTGCTTGTTCCTCCGCAACCTTCCGCCACGCGGCTACATCCTCAATTGGCCCTGGATCGACCACCACGCAGGAGGCCATTCCCAGCCGCATGAGTTGGGACAGCGTCAGCGCAACTCCTCGAACCGTCTCGTCGTCCAGCAGCTGCGGCGTAGTCACTTTCACCAAAGCGACATGGAGCCTCTCGTCCAGCCCTTCGTTCGGCTCTGCAGTCGCATCCTGGCGGAACACAGGACTGTTCAACACCGACCTCGTAGCCCCGTACAGCGAGCCCAGATTGACTCCGGGCTTGACGGTCTCCTTTGTCAAGTCCACCTCATTCTTCTTGTCTCGAATTGTGCGCGGCCGGAGTTTGTTGGGAGCGGATGGAAATCTGGAGAGATAAGATTTGGCATCGCGTTTTGTAGACGCCGAACTCAGTAGACTGAGGAAGAATTCCTGGACGAAACCATGTTAGCCACAAAGTGTACCACAACACCATCTAATTTGCAGCGCTCGCTTACTCTATCTGCCAATTTCTCTTGGGCCCGCTGGCGATTCAATTGGTGATAATCCCTGGCCAGAAACGAGCCTGTCCAGTCTGGCTGGACTGGAGAGTCATTATTTACTGACCGGGCGATATCGGAACTCGAAAAACGGCGCGCATTGCAAGTCGGGCCACGGGGGAGACATGCGAACGATTCATGCTTCTGCGGGGAGCGGACAACCGTCAGCAAGCAGCACGAGTCGAGGCAGAGTCCAATTCGGGACATACTTTCAGCAGCAAGGACGCTGGTGTCTTCACTCTCATGTTTCATCGGAGCAGTCGCACTCGCACGAGACGCGGCGGTTGGGAGACGGAGGCATGAAGGCACGAGCGATCCGATTGAAATAAAAGCAGTCAGTCAATCGCTGAGAGAAAAGAACGACAGGCAGCACTGATTGCGACCTGCTGCCCCCGTCCCCTGTAGAAAAAAAAGAAAATGGCGCTCTTGCAAGGATGAGGGGTTGCCCGAGGTTAATTTGCTCACACAAGATGAGTCTTTTTTTTCCCCCTTAGACTCGCGTATGACGCATCGCTGCTTGGCTGCCTTCACCGCCGGACCAAAGGCCGATAAGCCGATAAGCTTGCCTCGAAACAAAAACAATTATTAAACGAACGCTGTATGAGCTAGCCCCCAATCTCCCTGCTGCGCATAAGCTTACTTTAGGTAGACGGCGACATATTCTGTCATTGCAGATCCTTATCAGGCCTAGGCTCCTAGCCTGATTGTTTGCTAACTTTATGTACAGAGGTAGTATCTCCTTGAGATCACTCCATGCAGAGCCTTTTTACCATCCAAGAACGAGATGCCCAAGCATCTAAAGGTTCTTCATGATAAAATGCTGCAATTTTGCGAGGCATCCCGGCCAAACAGTGTGTCCTGAGCATGATCGAACCGCCTCGGCATGTTGGTACATGCCGGACAGTGTTGAAAATTCCGCCTCACAACCCGGGCAAAAATATGGGAAGTCATCATCCAGATTCGTCATGTACTGGAGATTCTGCGGATAATAGTCAAAGGCCAACTCATCGATCACATCGGTATCAGTACCAGAATCGCAGGCCCCAGACTCTAAATGAAAAAGCATAGCGGAAAAGGACTTGAACATCTGTTCGCATCCGCCGCATTTCAGAGTTCTTGGTTTGTGACTTTTCTGGTGCTGTTATAAACACCTGTTAGCCAGCTGCTCTCCTTCTTTTTTTAAAGGCTTGGACACGAACCGTTTGGAGTGCGTGCTGGGTGTTGAAGTAATCACCACATTGAGTGCACAAATTGTGACATTCGATGTCGTGCGCTTGCAGATCTCCTGACGATGGAAAGAACAATTCGCACTCCGGACACCAGTGATGCATTTTCTCCAGGTGACTGCTCAATTCGTCGTACGACTGGAAATCGGGTCTGTGACCGCAGGAAAAACAGACATTATGGGCTGAGGAATCTCGCACATGAGCTGCCTTTGATTCTTCGGAAACAAACAGCCGCTGGCATCTTTCGCACCAGGAATGCCGGGTCGAGTATCTGCAATGCGCAATCAAGGCATTTCTGGTCGCGAAGCCTCTGTCACAGAGATCACACGCGAATACTTGACCGTCGAAACTGAGATAAGGGCCTAGAGACATCTTAGTTTGCTTCTTGCTTAGACAATGTCAACGCAAGACTTTCAATCAGACGATATCGACTTCTAGAAGTCCTAGATCAGCAAGTCGACAGACAAATGCGGGAAGGAATCAGAATCAGCAGAAAGTAGACTCCTTATTGCAAGCCCAGTTTCGCCGTGATTGCATCCCCTTCATTGTTTGGGGTGTGTGCTCGCTTTCACTGACCGGATCGCTTTGTTTCTACTCACTGACAAAGATATGCATCAGAGAAGAGAGCTGTGCTGAAGCAGTCTGATTATCACAGTCAAAAGATCAATCAGGGTGAAGCAAGTCAGGTTGGTGACTGTCCTTGTCCTAGGATGGCAGAGGAACGTCAACATCAGGCCAGGGAGAGTCCTGACGTGCAACTGTAAACAAGCTGCTCATCGCCGAGAGCATCGTGGAGACTGTGGTCTCTGCATGTCCATCGTGGAATAGCTCCTCCAACACTGACCATCCAGTCCGACGGATACCTGCATCAAGACAAATCTCTGATGTCAAAGACAATCCTGCATGCCACGCCCAATCAACGACATTGCAATATGCAAGCTGGCTTGGGCCACGTTGCACCTTCCATGTCTTCCGGGGTTACACAGCATCTGCCTGCTGTCAAATAGAGGAACTGGTTGATCTTCAAATATTATCCATCATGCCAGGATATGTTGTGATGTGACATGACATAGTACCTTGCCCTGAAGGGAGTCTCATGCAGGGATATTGGACAGCAAGGGGCATGACCTTGCTGATGGAATTTTGATGAACTGTACGTCAGTAGAACGTTATATTCTTGCTATTAATGTACATACTAATATGTTTTATAATTTATACACAAACCACCACTTTCATATAAAGGCAATCCATTACCCGTCAGGTCCATCAACTGCCGCCATTCGTCTGGCAAAGATCTGTAGATTCCCCAGATCTCTTTTCCATCCCCTTCACCTCGTTCGTGATGGCAAAAAGTGGGCAAGTATGTAGCGTAGTGGAAGTGTCGGATGAAGACCGATGCATCTTTCCAGAGCTCCTGAGACTCTGAAGAGCAGAGGTTCTAGACGCCATGAAGACTATTGACGTTGACTTGATTCCGGCCCATCGCTACGGCCTGATTGGTGTTGACACTTGGCTCAGGAACAAGGTAATACCGGTCTGCTAGATGCGGCTTAAGATATGTAAATATTGACACTTTAATAGCACTGTATCATTCAATTATCAGTATCTACACTATATACATACAGTTATTTCCTCGTACAGAACCACATTACCTATCTGCTACTTAATGCAATTGATTGAATGAGATGAGCCTAGCCCATTGCCATTGCTGCCCCACGGTACGCCCCGAAAATCACAGCCTTGGGGTAATATTGCTGTTCTTCTAGTGATTGCTCGACCGTCAATAAGAGACGAGTAGTGCGAATGTGCACCTCTACAAAGCGTGGTAGGTTCAGTTCGAGTGTCAAGAATGGGAGGAGGACCTACCTTCAATTTCCACCACGTAACTGACTGCATGATCTTCGTCGCGGTGCACCAGAACTGGTGCATTCCGGTTCCATTTCTTTTCCTTGACGCGAAGCTTTAATCCGACATTTTTCTTCCCGTCTACCCAGAGGATCCGCTTGTCTTCTCCGTTGGACGTGGAAGCTGTCCCTCGTTCGGCTTCCGGATCACCCTCCTGCAACGCTGCCTGACTCTGTGCCACCGCGTCGAATCCCGACTTGGCCTGTTCCTTAAGCCAGTCTCTCCATATTCGGATGATGCCGTCTTCGATAGTCACCGCGCTGAGCAGTCGGGTGGTGCCCGGAACCACTTTCACCAGGTTCACGACAACACACAGCTGAGAGAAATCTTCAAACCTGTCGAGACTGACAGGCCGTGTGACAAACTGGACGCCTTCTTCAGGCACGTTTGCGCTTTCTTCAGCCACGTCTCCGTCTGTATCAGCAGGGGTGCCGTCAGGTCCAATGACAGCACCGGTCGGCGGTCGCCTGGTTCGCGGTTGCGGTGAAACCTCTTCTGTGCTGGGCTCTGGACGAAATCGCGAGTACAGTGATGTGAGTCTTCCAAGACGTTCAGCTTCCGTGCAGTGCTCGAACAGGGAGCCGTGGCCTTCGTGCTTGTCGGTCAACCCGTCGGTCCCGAGATAGCTGCAGAAGACATGCGGTTCGGTGAGTCTCGAGCTCGGATGGAAGCATTCCAGCATCAACTTGTATTCTTTCACGGATGCCGCGACCAGAAGACGGTAGTGGAGGATGCGCAGGATGAGAGCGTAGAAGCGATGCGACACGAGGGTGAGCGGGAGTAGAGCTCGGCTGGGGAAGGACTTCAAGATGTGCACGAGAACCTGGCCGATAGGAGATTCGATCAGGGCTGCTCATATCATGCAGAATCTGCAAGCCAGATATCGACATACCTCATTAGGTAGAGAATAGAGATGCAACCGGGGGGATGAGTTCCCGTGGGTCGTGACCATGCTGTTGCATCAGTATGTCCTGGACCTATAAAGCAGCATGTGAGTACATGTATGTCCAGTACATCTATCTGTACGGGGCGATTGACGCCACGAAAGATACATCAAACGAAAATCATGAGATATTAGAAGACAGAGAAGCTTCAGACTGGTGATCTCATCCTATCATCCAGAACGCATGGATGGGGATGCGATGGCTGGAATGGTCCTCCGATAAGCTTGCTTGGGCAGCGATAAGCCGGCTAATCGGCGGGGAGCATGACCTCATTGTATTACGGTACGCTCACGATCCATGGTTACCCCATCCCGCCGTCCACTCTTTAGAAAACAGTGAAATATAAGCAGACATGAAATAATAATGTGCTAGATAACACATAACCTCCATCAAAAATAAAAAAAGAAGAAAGAAAAGGCCTTGAGATATAAGCAGTATGTGGTACGGTATGGTAATATGATTAATACACTGATTACCGATTGAGCTATTCCCTTTATGGAAGTATCCCATCTCAGCCAGATCGAGAGCTTGGAGATTCACCTTCCTTCATTGCGACCAGACTGTCATCAAGGATCCCTTTTAGCCCAGTAACAAGCCCAGATCTCTGCAGAGCAACTGGTCTCTCGTCGAACAAATGATTTGTTATACCGCCATTGCGGGCTCTCCGCTCCATTTCTGGCGTAGAGTATACTATTCTCACTATCTATAACTCCATATCAACGTAAGCATCAATGCCAATGGCTAATGGTATAGCATTATATTCTATATACATTGAGCATTTATTATTAAGTAGGAAAGGGAAAAAAAGGCTTATGATATCTGTGATATCTATTACAAATATAACTTGTCTGGCCAAGGGCTTGCATTTGAGTTGGCCAGCACATCACCTAAAAAATGAGCACATCATTCACGTAAAGGTTAGGATCTATAACAACTCTAATCAGGAAACTACCAAAAATTAGGTATCTTGGGGCATGAAATTTCACGAGATATTTAGACCAGACTGAGAGTACGGAGTATTGATCAATATGATGAGAAATACAGGTGGGGAGCCAGCCTGGGAAGTAGATGACAAAGATTATATATAGAAGCCCTTGGCATAGACCAGGTAGTTTTATTTAAATCAGTAGAGAGAAGCGAAACCTGCAAGGCTTGGTTAACATAACCAAATACAGAATTCCTTACAGCGTCCGTGCCAGGGACCCGCTGTTGCCCCTCGCGCTGCAACCCCGGAATCCAAGGAAACTGCCTTGATAACCCCGCACTAATAAAATTCGCCGAATTCAAGCCGACTGTTACTCACGCTTTTCAATTCACTTCTGTCGCAACTCATCTTTTCAAGTATTTTTATAGCCATTCTTCTTTCGCTCGAGTTTTCTGGTTGTATATATCAAGCTCATAGCGATGGTGGAGAAAGTCCTTGACGACATCTCCCACCGGAGATACAACCCCCTCCGCGGTTCCTACATTCTCGTCTCTCCTCACCGGACCAAGCGCCCATGGCAGTAAGCTTTCTCTTCTGGATTCCCCCTTCCTCTTGTTATCCGGCTGGTAGCGCATTGAATCTCTCCTTTCGCTTGCACATAATATTACACCAAATGAGTGGGCAGCTTTCTGACCGGACGAATGCAGAGGACAGCAAGAGAGCCCCTCCAAGACCACGCTCCCGACCTACGATCCCTCCTGCTATCTGTGTCCCGGAAATAAGCGCGCGCAGGGAGATGTCAATCCGCAATACCAGAATACTTTTGTGTTTGTCAATGACTACAGCGCGGTGAAGGAAGAGCAGGCCCCGTACGAGCCGGAAGAGACAGGTGGGATGCAATTGCTTTTTCGATTGCTTTTTGACCTGAGCGATCATGAATAATTCCAAAGGCCGAAAGCGCTGGTTATTGACAATTCAGTTAATTCTTTCAGGTCCCGAGTCATTCTTCCTCCGAGCGGAGCCTGTCACCGGAAAATGCTACGTCTTGACCTTCTCTGCCGCTCACAACCTGACCTTGGCAGACCTCTCGCCGGCGGAGATCGTGCCTGTGATCGATGCCTGGACCGATATCTACACGGCGCACCTGTCGCCCCAAAACCCTCTTGCTGCCGTCGCCCCGGCGGCCAACATCTCACCTGACTCACCGATATCGTACCTGGGTAAGCCTAAGACGCAGTACCGATATATGCAGATCTTTGAAAACAAGGGCGCCGCCATGGGCTGTTCGAATCCACATCCGCACGGCCAGATCTGGACGACAAGCAATCTTCCTGAAGAACCAGCCATTGAATTGGAGCAATTGAAGAAATACCGGCGGGAGCACGGCGGCAGACACATGCTGGCGGACTACGTGGCGCTGGAAAAGGAGAAAAACGAGCGCATCGTCTTTGAGAACGAGGCCTTCCTGGTGGTGTGTCCGTGGTGGGCGACCTGGCCCTTTGAGACCATGATCATCAGCAAGACGCACAAGCGCGCGCTCGTCGATCTCAACGCCACCGAAAAGGGGCAGCTCGCCGAAGCTATCTCCGAGATCACGCGACGCTACGACAATCTGTTCGAGACGCATTTCCCGTACAGCATGGGTATCCACCAGGCGCCCCTGGAGGGGACGGAGGACGAGATCGAGTCGTCGTATTTGCATCTGCACTTCTATCCGCCGCTACTGCGCAGCGCGACGGTACGGAAGTTCTTAGTTGGGTAAGTATTCGCCCCTTTCATTTTTGTACAACTTCAGTTTTAACCTGGGGCGACCACAACAGGTACGAAATGATGGCCGAGCCTCAACGCGACATCACCCCGGAGCAAGCCACTGCCAGGTTAAGGAATTGCGCCGGAGAATTGTACCGAAAGAAGCTGGAAAACTAATTTATCTCCGGCGGGATACTCTACCTTAGAAGATACCTATTATACCTATGTAGAGTTAGTTAGCCTTGGGGAGATGTAGATGGCAAGAAATGATAGAGAGCATGTAATACTCCGGGTATCATAATATGTAAGATGTTTATTTTCTGTTCTCTGCATATGATATCATACCGATATATGTACAGTACGCGTAAGTCTGGGTTGACGCTTGTATCTCCATCTTCGAAAGACAGTGAAAAGGGATCGAGCAGGGTCTCATCAAGCTCATACAAGAAGAACCTGAGGTATCAGTCAATAAACCCATTTTTGTCCACCACATCCAAAGCATTAACATTAATCCGTCCGTGTCAAAGATCATTAATATCAATTTAAGCAATCACAACATAAGCCGCCCGCTGCGTGAGCATCCACGCCATCGTCCCAGACGCAACCAGCAACGGGAACACGAATCGCCCTCGCAACTGCGCGCTGCCATAGCCGAGCCACTCGGTGACAAAATGGCCAAGCGCGATCCCGTACGTCCACAGCGCAAGGTCATACGCGATCGGCGAAGTGATATGGTAGGCGGCGTACATGCGCACGACGGCCGACAGGAAGGTCCAGGTGCCGAAGGTGCGCGCCGACAGCGGGTTGGCGGGCGACTGGTTGTTGGTCGCCGCGGAGCCGGCGTACAGTTGGTGGGCGTAGTCGAGGGAGCGGTAGGATTGGAGGCTGTTGATGCCGGAGATGACGGAGACCTAGGTAGGGAGATAGAAGTTAGATGTGGAAGCCATATTATCCATCAATTGAAATAATATCCTTACTAGAAAGAGCCATTTGGGCAGTAAGCCCCCGTGGGGAGGGAGGTACTCCATTGTCTTGTGTCTGATTGCAGGCAAGCAACTGCAATTGTTGGCTCTGGAAGCTAATTGATGCTTCCAACAAAGTTGTTGATCTTCAATTAGTCTTCAATTGATGACTGTATTGATCTGGAGCATTGAGTTGTAGCTCTCCGCAGTGTTTCCGGGGATGAGGTCGAAGCCGAACTCCGTTCTTGGCACCAACCAAACTTCCCTAATAATGTTTCCCTAACTCAAGGCAGCTAGCTGATGGTGTTTTTGCTCCTCTCCTTGCGTCCTGTCAATCGATAGTGCCCACAGCCTCGGCATCCTCGTTCTACTTCTCCGTACAGTCTTTTAATTCTCTGGATTCTCTTTCGAGAGTCCTTTTTTCTATTGATAATTTTTTGTAGTCTGTTTTTCTCCCTTCTTTCGTGTTCAATTGATTGTCACTACACACTCCATTGGTGATCGCCAACCATGGAGTTTCTGTCGAAATACGCCGAGGGCCTCTCCGACTATAGCCTTGAGGCTCTTTCTGGTCCTCAGAGTCTGTTGGTGCTGGGCCTGGGTGCGATCGGTGGTTTCTTCGTCCTGTCCCGGGTCTGGACGTTCGTTCGTGTGCTGCTGAGTTTGTTTGTGCTTCCTGGAAAGTCGGTGCGTGTGAAACTTCACCTTTACGCGTGTTCTTCAATTGGAAGAAAAGGATGAAGATAAAAAAAAAAGATCACATCTCTTTCTGACACCGTATCCAGCTGCGCAGTTTCGGACCCAAAGGCAGCTGGGCTCTTATTACCGGTGCTTCCGATGGCATTGGCAAGGAGTTTGCCCTTCAGCTCGCCCGTGCCGGCTACAACCTCCTCCTCGTGTCTCGCACCGAATCCAAGTTGACCGCCCTCGTTGATGAGATCTCTGCCAAGAACCCTTCGGTTCAGGCCAAGACACTGGCCATGGACTTTGCTCGCAACGATGATGCCGACTACGAGAAACTCAAGAAGCTCGTGGACGATCACGACATTGCTATCCTGATCAACAACGTGGGCAAGAGCCATGAAATGCCCGTGCCCTTCGTTCTTACCCCGGAGGACGAAATGACGGATATTATTACGATCAACTGCTTGGGCACGCTGCGCGTCACCCAGCTGGTCACCCCGGGTATGATGCAGCGGAAACGTGGGCTGATCCTCACTATGGGATCGTTTGCCGGCCTGGTGCCAACTCCACTGCTGGCCACCTACTCCGGCAGCAAGGCGTTCTTGCAGCACTGGTCGACTGCGTTGGGTGCGGAGTTGGAGCCATATGGCATCCAGGTCGAGCTCGTCCAGGCCCATCTGATCACCTCCGCCATGTCCAAGATCCGGAAGCCTTCTGTTACCGTCCCCACCCCGCGCACCTTCGTCAAGGCCGTCCTGGCCAAGATTGGCCGTCATGGAGGGGCTCCCTTCTACACCTATAGCTCGACCCCATACTGGGGCCACGGCCTCATGGCCTGGTTTTTGACTTGTGTCACGGGAGTGATGAGCAAGACGGTGCTGGGTATCAACAAGGGCATGCACGAGTCGATCCGTAAGCGGGCTCTCCGCAAGGCGGAGCGGGAAAAGGGAAAGAAGGCTGCGTAGAAAGGACGGAGATTCTTTGCAAGTCCTGTATGATGGCATTATGCACTTCTAACCACGCAGGCTATGACATGAGGGCTGTGGATTTTGATCAGGCCTTGCCTGCATTAGTAATGTTGCTTGCATTAGTTATATTTAAAGGCCGGGAAGAACCCTTCGGGCTTCATATTACAGAGTACAGAGTAATGGAGACGGTAATCTCCGGAAATTTCCCCATATGCAGGAGTCAGAGTGGGATTCCTGCTGCAATTGATCATTATTACTAGCTATATATATACCTAGGTAGATAGCCAGGCTGGCAACACAGATACTCTGGTGCCGACAGGACAGTCGCGGTTTCTTTCGTAGGTTGCACGTGTTCGCGAGCTTGCCGCTGCGGCTTCCTGCTGCTTCCATTCTCCCGCTAAACACAACCTGCAATTATCATTGATTATTGTCTCAAGTTTGAACCCCAGAGATTGACCTCGACTCGCTAGTCGAGACTCGTGACTTGTTCAGTGACTGGCTCGAAGAGATGATAATCATTGACCCTATCGGTACCTTAGCTACGCTGTTGAGTTGAATCATCATGCTGCGAGCCTGTGACACCGGTGGTCCATTTCAGCTATGACATGGGCACGCGCAGATCAACCAGTGAAGCTATTCACCGTTGTCGGCCAATACAGATGCCAGAAAGATCTGCCGGTAAGAATCTTGTGGCAAGAAGCTGACCATAAGCCTCTTTGAACGATTGCTGACAACTCCCAACGCATTTCTAGACTGAAGGCGAAGAGTACCTTTACTTGCACTGTACTGCACCTGTCAACATATACGGTATTGACCTCGGTCATTGGAATTGTGTCTCTGATCAATTGGCCGAAGATCTGCCGCCACTACGGAGTAATCTAACCGGTATGGAAACGCCTGTCCTAATATTAATAATATTATTCCCCGAAATAGTGACGTTACTCACTAGCATCACAACTAAGCCATCACTAATCTCGTCCTTTCCTCTATGATACTCTGGTAGGGCAGATCCTATGATCTGATGGCTATTATCGGATCAACTGCCGACGTCGTTTGAACTGGGAACCTCACCGCGAAACTGAATATGGCAAGGGATAAAAATTTCCCAGAGCGTTCCAAACTTCGACCTTCAAGGTGCCAACGGGCCTGGTGGATCGACGGGCCGAACTGGCCCACAAAGGCTGAGGGACTCGTGTACCGAGTACGTCAACGAACAATAGTCACACAAGCTCACTCGTCAATTACATAGCAGTTAGCGGATACCTATCTGTACCAAGCCAAGATATTGGGGCGTGCAAACGGACTAAAGGACTCGGGCTTTAAACTATTACGACTCTACAAGAAGCCGGTTGCTGAAGAGCTCGCCACTCTCGGATTCGGCATGCAGCGCAGCTGGAAGTTTTCACTTGTAAGTATGGAATTGTCAACCTCAACTCTGCGGGATGAGAACAGAATACTAGTAGCCATATCTGTACCAGATTTCGAGGAATAAAGACATGTGGCTGTGGATGGTCGGCATTCCCGATGTCAGCTTTAGGCCGGCGGCAAAAGTCGATGCCGTGACAGCCGGCACACCGAAGAAGAGCCCGATCCCGACCGCGTATTCAATCTTTGTGAGCCGAAAACCCGGCCCGAGTTTCCACTTTGCCCGACTTGTGCACGCCCTAACGCCTCACCTGCTGCTCTTTCGCGACGTCTCCAATTTGATTCGTCCATCCTGCTCGGAAGTTGAGCGAGTCTTAACTGTTTTCATGCCCTCGAATCCAGTGCCCCTGCAAAATAATGCAACTATTTGTGTTAGATGATCGACTAAGCAGTCTAACCTACTAATCACGGCTATCACATCCGATGAACAACTGATCAACACAATGGAACATCAAGGAGCTGCTGCGGAGTACTCCGTACATATAATTCTTGTCTGATGATGGCCACAGCTCTTTCTCCAAATTGATGCAAGACAATTTTCTCTTGATCAAGGTCTCTGGACTGGTATGGCTGAGATTTGAGGGGCATGATCCACCCAAGAAAAATTTATACTATCGCCACTGGTCTCGGCCGATCTGCAGCCAAGACTGCCACACCCGTAGTCGATGATCATCGCCCAGCCACGGTGTTAAATCTTGATTTCCGAACGCCACTGGGAAGAAAGATTTTTGTTTTTTTTGTGTCCGGATCGTATGCACCTTCTCAGAAGCCTCACCGTGAGCGGGTCCCGTACCGTGATGCTTTCGGATCTCGGTCACTGGTTTCGTGGCGCAAGTTGCCAACGTACTACTTATGGTCAACTTGCCGAGAGGAATGACACAAGAGGCTGTCGTGAAGACTGGTTCGCACAGACCCGTGTGCAGTAATGTACCTGACGAGCCACAATTCTGGAAAAGTTCTTGCCCTGGTCTGAGCATCTATACGGAGCACTCAGGACTCGGTACATGCCATCTAACACGTCCCGATATCACCAGCAGCTACGAATCGTGGCCTATACGGATTTGTGGTCTTCAAGGCCAAATAAGCGAGCATCGACAACAAAATGAGTATAGATTCTTCTAACATCCCCGTACGGAGTATATCGCTTCTAGTCAACGCAAGGAGCTCGAAGCCGGAGATAAGATCACACCGAATTGGACAACGCCCTTTTCCGTATTCTTTGAAACCCACAACATAAAGGATAATTAAATCGCATGATCATCATTCCCTCATACAAGCACAATATAATATATGTTGTGAAAGATGGTCTGTGGATACACAGACAAAGCTCGCTACCGTTCTCGACGCTCGTGGCAATAAGCCTGCGTTGATAACCATACACACATACAAACTCCGTACACGGTTCCATGCTCACGGACAGATTGGATCTCCACATGCCTGACAGTGGTTCCACTGTTCCTGACGCCACTATTCCCGACGGAGTATACGCGAGACATTACGTCTGGACTGGGCTTCTCCATTGCGAGCAGCCTGTCTGCAGCAACTAGGCTGGAGTCTGCTGACCAGGGAATGGATCCTGACTGATCGAAAAGATCTTCTAACCCCATGACATGAAAATTTCCTCCTGCAGCTAATCCCGCTATGCGTCAAGAGATCCGGGCCCCCATTCCGCCCACAGCAGTTACCCCAATCTCCTGCGAGCCTGTGCGCCTGGTTCTGTAATCCCCTTCACCTTATATTCTGCTGGGCTGCTCCTGACCCAGGAGAAATTTCTACTTTCTGTTCCTATTATTCCTTCATCCCAGCAATACCTTACCTCAACATAGCAGACCGACAAGATCAGCAAGATGACAGTATCACAAATTTTATCCAAGTTCAAGCAACCTGCTGGACAAGCAGAACACACCGAGAACTCATCTCCCTCCACCCCGTCTGGTTCTGCGTCCCTCAAGGAGAAGAATGGAGAACAGTACGACGACAGTCCTGTCGCCTACCTGACGTGGCGGTCGTTTATTCTGGGTCTTATAGCCTCCATGGGAGGATTTATCTTCGGTTACTCCACTGGTATGTTTGCTGTCAAGAATCAGGCAACGACACGATTGATTCTGACTGATATGGAGGTCAAATCTCCGGTTTCGAAACAATGGGTGATTTCAAGCTGCGGTTCGCGCAGTATAACGAGGCCACGCACACGTATTACTTCAGTAACGTCCGTTCTGGGCTGATCGTCGGTCTGGTGAGTGTAGCCCTAATGTCATAATATTCTGTTCTGCAGGCTAATCGGTAAAATCTAGCTCTCGATCGGAACCATGATTGGTGCTCTTATAGCTGCTCCGTTGGCTGATCGCTTTGGCCGTAAATTGTCCATCACACTCTGGTGTATCATCCACATTGTCGGTATCATTGTGCAGATCTCCACCGATACCAAATGGTACCAGGTCGCCGTTGGCCGTCTTGTTGCCGGTCTCGGTGTCGGCGCCCTCTCAAGCGTCGTTCCGATGTTTCAATCCGAGTCTGCTCCTCGGCACGTTAGAGGTGCCATGGTCAGGTGAGTCTTTATCGAAAATGATTTCCCATGAACATTTTGCTGATACGCGGTCTGCAGCGCGTTCCAGTTGTTCGTCGCTCTCGGTATCTTCATTGCCTACTGCATTAACTACGGTACCGAGTCGATGCAGTCTACCGCCTCTTGGCGAATCACGATGGGCATTGGTTTTGTATGGCCCCTGATCTTAGGTATTGGTATCATGTTCCTGCCTGAATCTCCTCGTTTTGCCTACCGCCTGGGCCGCATTGACGAGGCTCGCCGGACTATGACCAAGCTGTATGGTGTGCCCGAAAACCACCGGCTCGTGGCTGAGGAGCTGGAGGATATGAAGAAAAAGCTGGAGGAGGAACGAGCCGCTGGTCAGGCAGCCTGGTACGAGATCTTCACGGGTCCGCGCATGTTCTACCGCACGGTCTTGGGCATTGTGCTACAGTCTCTGCAGCAGCTGACTGGCGCGAACTTCATCTTCTACTATGGAAACACGATCTTCACCTCGACTGGTCTGGACAACAGCTATGTGACCCAGATGATCCTGGGCGGTGTCAACTTTGGTGTGACCATCATCGGACTGTACATTGTCGAGCACTATGGCCGCCGGAAGTCACTGATTGCCGGTGCCCTGTGGATGTTCGTCTGCTTCATGATCTTTGCTACGGTTGGTCACTACTCACTGGATCGGAATGACCCGCCCAAGACTCCAAAGGCCGGGACCACACTGATCGTTTTCACCTGCTTTTTCATCGTTGGATTCGCAACCACCTGGGGTCCGATCGTCTGGGCCATTGTTGGAGAGCTCTACCCGGCCCGATACCGCGCAACCTGCATGGGCATCGCCACTGCTTCTAACTGGACCTGGAACTTCCTCATCTCTTTCTTTACGCCATTCATCTCCAGTGCCATTGACTTCCAGTACGGTTACGTGTTTGCGGCCTGCTCTTTTACGGCTGCGCTGGTCGTCTACTTCTTCGTCTGCGAGACTCAGGGTCGCACACTCGAGGAGGTCGACACCATGTACGTCGAGCACGTCAAGCCCTGGAAGAGCAGCACCTGGGTTGCTCCGGCTCATCTTCGCCGGTCCGAGGAAGAGGCTCAGGAAGCGGCTGCATAAACGATATTCCATCAACAACATTCACACATGACAGAAGATAACAGCAAGGAGGGGATTAATTGCTAATAATGAACACCAATATAAAGGGAAGGCTACATTTTTACCTCCCTTTTACCTGTTTTCTATTCGCTCTATTTGCATTTGTATGTTGCATTTGGGGTGAGGAATCTGTACAGGTTTTGTATAAAGTTATATTTGTATTGTGTATATGCATTTATATATCATCTTTTCCCCCTCACGTTATGACTTGGTTTTTATGATCAAGCATCACGGGCATGAGGTAAAAAGTGATTGGTGAATTCAAATCCTATTTATCGTTATTATTTTTTCTTCTTTTCCTTCTTGCTTTCCTAAAAAATGACACCACAGAATGAAAGCAACTCCAAAGAAGTACTCATATAGTACAAGACAAATAGACGGGTGAATGCATATTGTTACACTGTTTTTATTTTTTTTTAACGAGCTCTCCCTCACTACTCTCTTCTTCTCTTCTTTCTCTGTTCCCTGTTCTCCCTTTCGTTCTGAATTTACGTATTCCTGTTTGCTCCTGATTCAGCGAACTGCAGCTACATAAAACCCAGCATTGGATAAATCTTGCAATGTATTCTGAATTAGGTAATATATATACCTTGATCTGAACTATTATCCAAAAAAAAAAGTTTAATATACACAGAATTAACAAAGGTTGAACAGGATGAAGGACTATACAACAGCGCTCGAAGTGAAATGCAAGCAGATTTGAAGAATAGGTAGGTCAGTGATATCTTGGATACCGAAATTGCCTCCCTGCTCACATTAGAATTACAGTACGGTATCATCAGCTGGCATTAGTGGCATTAGCGGCAGCCAGGATCACATCGGACGCCTTCTCACTGATCATGTAGATTGGCAGCGCGATGTAGTAGCCTGGGATCTTGGGGAAGACCGAGGCATCAACCACCCGCAGACCATCGACACCGCGAACACGGAAGTTCGAGTCCAGAACCGCGTTGGGATCGTCGTCCGCTCCGATCGGGTTCGTGCAGCAGGCGTGGTGGCCCCAGGCCTCACGCTTGATGAAGTCCTTCATCTGCTCCTCCGTCGTCACGTTCGGACCGGGCCACACCTCGGTGAAGGTACCGTCAAGGGGAATCAGATCCTTGAACGCCCGGCGCGCCCATTGCATTCCTTCGTACTGAGCTTGCAGGTCCAGCTGGTCCGCGTTACCATCGGTCACACCCGTGTCGAAGTAGTTGAAGTTGATGATCGGAGTGTCTCTCGGATCGGCGGAGCGCAGCGTGACTGTGCCGGCGTTGTCCCGCGAGTGCGCCTTCAAGACGATCCAGGCCCAGTGCTTGGCGTCCTTCAGCGCGATGTCCGAGTAACCGGGGAAATAGCCGGTGAAATTGGCTGGGGCGCCAGAGATGAAGAGGTCTGGTGTAGCAGTTGTGGACGTGGTCGAGTTCTGCAAGATGGCGATGGCAATGCCGTTCGTCGCATACGTCCCGTGGTCGACTTGGTTGTTCTGCCACTGCACGAGACAGGGATCCGGCTGCTCTCTCAAGAACGTGCACCTCGCAGTGATGAAAAAGTCGGTGTCCGACTCCCCGACGACGGTGGTCTCGTAACGGTCCTGCATGTTGGTGCCGACACCGGGCAGGTTGACCACGACGGGGATGTTAAACCGTTCCAGTTCCTCCTTGGGCCCGACGCCACTGAGCTTGAGCAGCTGCGGGGTGTTGAAGGTGCCACCAGACAGGATGACCTCTCGCTTGGCATTGACACTGCCAGGGATTCCGCCGGTGACATTCGTGGAGCGTGGATCAGCCCGATACAAGCTCTTGCCCTGAAGGTAGTCGACTCCGACGGCGCGGGGGACAGAGCCGGACGTGTCGAAACGGACTTTGGTGACAAGTGTCTCGAGCTGGATGTCCAAGTGGTACTTGCGAGAACCATCCGGGTTGACGGCGTTGACCACGCTCATGATGAAATCCCGAGGTCCATTGCGCCTTGCTTCGGGAACAGTCACGGCGATGGGCACCTGGTATGGACCGGTCTGGGTACCGCGGTTGGGGTCGTTAAGGTCGCGCAGCAAGACACCCGCCAGGCCCGTCACGGTGCTGACGAGGGCTGATAGCACAGTCTTACCGACCGCCGTACATGCAGAGATGATCAGGGACAGCAGCTTCTGGTCCTCGACAACGAGACCCAGCGAGGTCAAACTCGTCGTCAGCCAGCCATTGTATCCATGGCCCACGACGGATGACGGCAGGTAGCGGTTTCGCTCGAGACGCTCAAAGTAGGTGCGCATGTGGTCCGGGTTCCAGGAGCTGTCGCCCGTGATGTCGGCGATCTGCTGCCAGTCAGAGTCGTCTGGATACACCGTGATCATCGCGTTGTGCGCTGTGCAACCGCCCAGTGTGCCTGCTCGGGGATACAGGATGCCCAGCGGTTCTGAGCCGGCGGGCGGGTTGGCACCGACATAGAGATCGCCAGACGGGGTGCGGTAGGTCATCTTGGAGTCTTGTTCTTGACGGGTCAGGTTCGGGTAGTGGTTGACGAAGAAGTCCCAGCGCATAGGCTCGTATTCGGTGGCCTGCAGCTGCAGGGCAGGGACGATCTGCTGGGTTGCATTGCCCTCGTCATCTCCGGCATCGATCAGGAGGACTTTGTAGCCGCCGAGGGCGAGACGAGCTGCGAGGGGACCACCACCTGCACCGGATCCGACTATCACATAGTCATATTCAGTGGTGTCGTTAGAACGTCTGTGGAAGTGACTGTGGTGCGAATGGTGCCTGTCATCAGTCAGCATCTATCTCGTCTTCCAATGCATTATGAAATTGACATACGATGATGCCAGCACAGCTGAAAGGGACGAAAGCAAACTCAGAGCCGTGAGGACGCGCATTGTGCCCTGCTTGGCTTAAACTTTAACGAGTGAATAGAACAGTAAAGAGCGACTGGTGAGGAAGTAAACTCATTGGAGGTGAAGTTCGCAGGAGGAGGCAATATAAAGGCTGGCTCAGAAGCGAATACCGAGGCTTTCTTCCAACGGCCAGGGAGATAAGGGACTTACGTGGTTTGGCGGCATGATCAGCGGTGCCTGTTTCAATCCATACTGCTGGTGGATGATGCGGCTGCTAATTATTGCTGAGTTTCCCAATTTCTAGGTTCAACGGCGCTCTTTCGCCTCGGGGATACTCTCTCGGAGATACTCTCCCAGGGAAAAGATGGTTTGTCTATTCCATTGGAACAGTATTCTAGAACTCCACTGACTGTCAGCTCCAGACTACAGACTGCGAGAATCTGGATATTCAATACGTGGCTCTGTACTGGACTGTTCCATCAAAGCCATCATTGGCTGTCTGGCGTGAAACGGTTATGGTGTGCGGTCCCAGACTAGACGTCAAGACGGCGCCGATCCTATGCTTGACAGGTACGGAGTACGCAGGTACGGAGTATAGATTATGCGATCGAGGTGAGCCCCTGAGAAGGCTCGAGGCTGTCCCGAGTCCCGACTCCAAGGGAGTGATAGTGGTAAGTTGGTAACGGTGTGTGCGCTGCTCTGTACGGGATAGTTAGGGCTAGCTAATATGCAGGTGTATTAATCATCACGATGGAAGCTCGAACCAGCAGGTGGCCGTGCTGTCTGCAGAAATTGCCGCAACACTAAGGAGCGTTCCACAAACGTTCTTAAAGACTTGATATCGCTAACGGCTCGTATAGATGCTAAGAGAGTTCTTAGTGTCGCGGAACAGACGGAGACGGCGTTAGTGCGGGTCGCAAGGACGGAAAGCTGCCAAACGGCAAGAGACTAGTCCCAATGTGTCTCCTATCGAGGTGATCTGCAGGACTAAGGAGTCCGAGAGATGCTGGTGGCTTCTGCCGCTGTCATCCTGGGCGCTGGAATCCTTAGAGCCGGTCTATCTGAGCAATGATCGTCGTTCCGACAGGCCGGGCCCACCGCCATTCAGACCGGAGGATGGAGTATCCGGACGGAGTCTCCAGTCTGCCGTCTCCGTATGGAGTCCTCCGTGTTGAATATATTAAGGCGCGGCTTGACAGTGTCGATCGCTAGCCTGTTTGAGAATCCAACGGTTTAGCCTGACGGAGGTACTCCGTACGGCGGGCCAGACACTGTCAACGGTATTATCGATCGGATTATTATCCGGATAGAAGAAGAGGACGAGATAGATACTGAGTACGAAATAAGTTGATGAATTGCGATTTCAACTATGGCCAATTCCTTTTTTCTCAACTGATCAGAGACAGGCTGCAGTTTATCCTTCTGGTGAATCAAGATTGATTAGTTATTGTTCCCATTTATGGACCGAGTGGCTGATGTATGTATCTTTGAGCGCAACTCCTGGAGTAGGCCCGGGTAAACCCCTTCCTGGCCCCAGTCCTGGAGCAGGGCTTAGCTACATGTATGTACCTGCTAGTCTGGTTGCTAACGAGTAATGACTCACTGAGGCTGACGAGTGATGGACAACTAGGTAGGCCCGTAGGGGTACTCCATAGTCATACAGAGTACAGTAGTTGTTTTCCCAATTCGTCACTTACTTCTACTCATTTATTCGTAATCTCACGCCCTGCTGGAAGAAATATTGTTCAAGTCTACTTCGTATACGAGCAATACGACAGGATGTGATAGAACGAAAAATAGAATAGAGGACGTATGTACTGGACATGTAGACTAGCTAGCTAGCTACTCCATAGGTAATTCTCCGTATGTATGTACCTAAGTATAGCTAATTACACATCGTGACAGTAGTGTACTCCGTACTCCGTACAGTATTCCGTACATAAAAATAGAGGCAGTCACTGACTGACCGACGGTGACCCCCATAGCGGAATTCCTCCGAACCGATTATATAATAGTTGATTGATGGATACATGGCATCGACTGATTGTCATTCATTACGCGTACAACATATACTAAGGAATAATATGCTTATTATTATTACTATGCTTTGCTATGGTAATACTCCGTAGATCAGAGAATATAATGTACGGAGTAATCGCTGGAAACAGGGTACATGTAGAAAGAAACAAGCTTTTTTTCCCGCGTGTTCGTTTCAAACAAATTAAATAAAATAAACAAATAAACAAATTTACCCCGGTCCTCGCTTATAGATAGATAGAGATGTTATATTAATTAATCAATTAAAATTAAATCCTTACAAAGTACAAAGACCAAAGGACTGACCAGGGTTGTGTGTGAATGACTATGGACCTGCCTAGTAGGGCATGTACTGCACAAATATGGAGTACTGCACTGTACCTAGTATAGTTAAGTCAAGATGAACCTGTCAGGGACAGGGACAGCGACAGGGACGAGGACAAGGACAAGGTCTAACGGTCTGTCGGGACGGGATGGACCATGGACGGGACTGGATTGGACTCAGGGTCCTGGACTCCGTATGTATGGAGTGTATACAGAACACGGAGTAGTATACTCACTGGGATAACAGTATCAGGGACAGGGTCATGGTCGGAATCGCAGACTTCTATTCGAAGTCAGTATTATATCCTCCGTACGGAGTACTCATTGGTATTCAATTCCCTGTCCAAGTAGGCTACCCTGAACAACTCTCTACGTGAAATATTTTTTTTGTTCTTCGCGCTAGCGATTGATCATCCAGCACGGAGGATTATCGTGGATTTCGATTATTGAATAATAATGAATGTTGTTGACTGACCCGATGCATTCATTTGATATACAACAGACTCTGCAGTACATACACTCATGAGTATGAGACTATTTATAAATGTCTATGGACTTTTTCTTTTTTTTTTCTGGATTCTATCATGTATGTACAGTACATACATACATACATGTCTACGAACATAGTCCGACAGTGGATGGAATTTTTTAACATGGGAATTCTACAGTATTCAGTCCAGAGTCCAGAATATACATACGGAGAATATTTATTAGTCATATTTGCCCGACCCAACAGTCTAGAATCAACAATATCGAAGGGAAGGTGAGGCAGAAAGAAATAATAATCCACAAGTCAGGCATCTATCCGTCCCGTAACTGACTCCATACTCCGTACGCAGCTAGCGGTTAGTTACGGCCCCAACTTCTCCAACGTCCCGTCCGCGACCCGTCCGACCCGTCCCTTTTGCCGCGGTGGAGCGGGCGCCACCAGATTAGAATTTTAGATTAATTTAGCCTGGCTGGATTTGGAAACGCTCGACCATGCAGGGTACAGTACTTTACTCAATATGTATCCACGGACGGACGGAGCACGGGTCCCGACTGCTTAGACCTCCTGCTAGCTAGCTAACTAGGGACAGAGTAGGCAGGTTCTTACAATAACAGGTTACAGCCCTGGCCCGTCCCCCTGGGAGCTATTTATTTCGTTAGTTGGATCTGTATAAGCGAGGATCCTGAAACGTGCTAAAAAGCTTGATTTCTTTTTTTGTCCGCCAATATGGAGTACGGAGGGGTGCTGTGCTGTATTGACTGAATTGACCTGGTCACGACTCTGTTGACTTGGGCAAGAGACGAGCTTGATGCTACTTGCTTTGTGCGTTGCGATGTAGAGTAATCTGACTCACTTTGTAGGATTGCAGGGTGATGAGATATGCCATTATTGCTTTTGTATTTCTTTCAACTTTGTAGTTGATACAAAAGTAGTGTAAATAAATAAGGGGATGAATGTCGATGTTGATTGATATATCCCAGCTCCCATATTCCCAATTCCCGTCCCTGGTCCAGCAGAAAACACAAAAAGTAAAAAAAAAAAGTACAAATATCAAGTACATAGTGACTGTCGCTGAGTAAAAGATGCTAAGGTAATGGTACAGGAGAAGATAAGTGGAAAAAGGAAGAGAAGCGAATGTTCCAAGAAGATACTCCCTTTTGATACCCTCCAAGAAAGAGTCAACTGCTTTTTTTTACTTGTTGTTGCAGTTGAAAGGTGAAGGACAGAAATTTTTTTTAAAAAAAAAACATCGATGAAGATAAAAACACGGCAGAAACTTTTGTTTTGAACTCGAAACTTGAGCAGTTTGCACGACAGATGTTACGCCATCTTCTGCGTGTGCGACACCGAGGGCGACACATCCACCAGAGGAATAAAGTCCGACTCGTCGGGCGCATCCTTCGGCTTCTGCGAGATCTTGCCATCCAGTCGCGAGCCGGTCTGCGAGTGACCGACACCGTATGACGCGCTCGCGTCGCGTATGGTGCTCTCGAAGACTGAAGGGAACAGATGGAAAAGGAAGGACCGCATCGCGGGCATGCAGGCGCAGATCACTCCGACGTCGACTTCGATCGTGCTCCAGTAGCCAATTGGGACGTAGTCCCCTGCAGACATATGAGTCAGCGGTGCTCTGCGGAAGGTTGTAGAAGGGTACTTAGGACTTACAGGTCAGGTTCTCTGTGTTGGCGAACTGAATCATCGAGTGCAGGCGAACCACGCTGACGATTGTCACGCTGTGGACTGTCAGTAAAATGATCTCAGAAATACGTTTCTGCTTGCTTCTACTCACAAGAAACCCACGCAAAACATCAGCATCACCTGCGCCTTCTTCCGCAGCGACATCGACAGCTTGCTCAGCTCCCGCAGCGGCAAGCTCATGGTGAGCAGGTCCAGCACCATGTTGAGAGCGGCCGCCGCCCAGCCCTGCGCGTTGATGTTGTTGCACTTGGCCGGATGCTCGCCGTCCCAGCGCAGCCAGGCAGCGTCGAGGGGCCGGCACTGAAAGACCGAAATAAGCACGAAGCTGATGAGGTAGCCCACGTTCAGCGCCATGACGACGTAGGTGGCGATGCGGAACGACTTCTTGGGGAAAATTCGCAGGTAGAAAAACAGGATGGAGATCTTGGTCAACGGCAGGATGCTGAGGTAGATGGACTCATCGAAGAAGTAGATCTGTTGGACGTAGCTCAGTTTTCGATTCTTGTCAAGTCAACCAGACAAGGGATAGACTGACGTAAAGAACGTATGTGATGTCGTCGAACGGAACCGTCCAGATGTCCTTGCCAAGTCCATGCAAAGGTACTGCAGCAATTAGAATATACTCTTCTGTCTGAAAAGATTCCTGATAGACATACGGACTACCGACAACGCCGTCAGCGGAATCACCAACGCCTGATCCGAGTCAGCCTTTCTTTGCCTTGCCTCTCCACGGAGAATTGAGCATACCATGACCAGCACCATAGTCCAGTCATCCAGACCAAATTGACCGCCAAATCGAGGTAACCGGGCAGCCATCCTCAGGATAAATGCCAGAACCGCGAGAACGCCGCCGATAATTCCAGGCACCCAGACCGCTGCTGTGCGGTCCCGGACAGGGGCGTGGCACATGGTCATGGTGACATTTTTGGTTGCTACAGTCGTCAGTCATGAATTGACAGATAAACAGCAATTGAGACAGACTTAGCGACTCCTTGATGGTGCAAGTCTCTTGCACGCAGAGGGTGATGGCGGCAGTCAGCTCTGGATCAGTGCAAATGCAGGTTTGGTTCGTCGGGGCGCAGCTTGACTTGGGAATCGACTCGGCGAGGCATTTCAACTGGTTTTGTAAGCCAATGTTGATAGAAAGATGAGAGATAGTATTTGCTTACTCCGCAAGGTGGCATGACTTTGGCCAAGGCTTCCATCTCAGCAGCAGCAGCGGCAGCTTCAGCACTGCTCCCGGCAGCACCTGCTGCTGCTGCTCCTCCAGCAGTTCCAACTCCGGCAGCAGCAGCAGCTCCAGCAGAGCCTGCTGCTGGAGTTTGTGCTGCACCACTTGCCTGAGTCTGAGCAGCGGCAGTGGTCAGCCATGCTGCAGACACGAGCACCCAGAGGAATCTCATTGTTGTTCCCAACCAAGGTTGCTGGATGAATGAATGGATGGAATCAACAAAAGCACTCGTCGAGCATCAGGTTCGTGAGATTGCGGTATGCTGCAGTCCCGGTGAGATAAGATGCAGAAGACCTTTCCTATACATATAGCCCGTACTCAACATGCTATCAAGCAACCATCAACCCAACACGGCCAATGTAAGCAGTAGTCTGAAGGAAGGATCGATCCAGCACCCTGCCTACTTCTGTACGTATCTTCAATCAGCGTGGGTGAGTAGACAGCTGCTACTGTCTTTGTCCATGATCTGCGCAACGGCTCAGGAACCCCGTACTGGGCGTCGATGTCGGCATCTCGCCGGACTCCAAATCGCGTAAAAAGCGGTTAGGGCATGCAGGACTATGTCAGACCAAGTTAGACGACTCGTGTTGGCAGATGCCGCCGTCTAGACCGTGGGAACGGGAACTCGTGGACCGTGTGGGGGACCGGCCCTTCGCTTCTGGACGCATTATTAGGATCTTCACGAGCTTCCTCGCTGCTTAACAGAAACGCCAGCCGGCAATTGGCCCGGAAGGCCCGCAACAGCGGTAACGGCCGCTTGACAGATGCAGCCGGCCTCCACCGCACGACTCGAGGGCGAGCGCGTTGAGATAGTTATCTGATCCCGCGCGTCCGTCAGGACGGAACGGCTTGCTGGACTGAAACAACGGCTCGGGTGAAATCCGTGAGCATTACCAGAAGGGTTGACCAGCGTGAGAGATTCTCTTCTGGAAAGCAGACACCATCAAGTAATACTCCGTATATCAAAGCAGATACTTCCAAAGCTACCCTCAACTTATGGCGCAGCGTGAAAATAATCAGTCAGATTGAGGACATTCCCCAGTGTTACCCATGACATACTCCGTACTAGTATGCTCCCTCAGAAATACAACCCCGTACGGGGTCAAAACGAGAAGACTCTTCAGGGTGAACAGCACCTGCATAGTGGCCATAGCATCCGCCAGACGCCTGCCTCCCTGTGAACCGTGAGAGATCCCTATTCCGTGCCCGCTATCTGTGGCGCAGCAGATCAATCAAGTGACGTCCGTAATACAGTGTAATGGGCACAGAAAACGTTTCCAATTTATATTCCGCAGTTTGGGGGTTCTCCTGCGGTAAACAACTCGACGTTCAGGGGAAGTCAGAAAAGACGGTTCGAGGGAGTTGTCAGAGTGTTTGTTGATGCTAACTGGTCAGAGTATCCGACAATGGTCTGGACTCTTGCCATCACCAGTGCTCTGTACTCTGTACTCCATACGGAGGACCCAAGTCCGCAGCTCCAGGCCCAGGCGGCGTGAAGAAAGAGGAGACCAGAATGGGCTCCTGACAAATTTAGGCTAATTGTCCAGGACGGTCAGGACTATCCAGCAATAGCTGTCCAGTTCTGGCGGTAAACCAGTGGGGTATCTAAAGGTGACGCGGCCGGAAACACCCCTCTGCGTCTCCGTATCCATATTTATTATTATCCTCCTTGTCTTGCAGTTGTGGACTTGTGGTCAGTGCCAATCACGACTGGTGGCATAGATGTGATAAAGCGGCGACAAGTGATCGGCAGGATCCTAAATATCTCCCGCGCTAAGATTTTAAAGCATCGTTTAGGCACCGCACTAGTGGAATAACGCGTGTTAAACCCTGTCAACGCCAGATCAAGTCCTGACAATGGACCCTTGGAGCCAATCGAGGCGAGTCGGCACGGGACGGCATCTGTCAAACTATCAGCACCAGCTCAATTGCGGGACAGTGTGGAGACACCAGACTACCCCGTATGGAGGATGGACTGTACCGGCACGAGGACGGCGGACACGGCTGCCAGCCTGCAGACCCTGAGGATTCCGTCCTCAGGACAGTGCACGGGGTGATTCTCGAACAGATCGGCAGAGGCAGTCACTCCTCAGCCGATATTCGGGTGTGCCTTCGGAGTGTACTCTGTACGGAGTACGGAGTACGGAGCACAGAGTAGGCTCTGCTGCCACGTTTCGAATCGAGCAGCTCGATGATCGATCGGTGGAACGATGGAGGGAGCCAGGAGACTGGGAGCGAGAGGGAGAAAGGGAGAGAGAGAAGAGAGAACTCAGGAAGAGGACGGAGTTGCCCCTGCAGCTTTTGGCCCTCCCGATTGAGCGTAGGCGCTGCTGAGCAATCCGCGCAAGCCCATAGGCCTGCTGGCAAGTACCTCGGCAGGCAGAAAATAATGCCGAGTCGATCATTCGATATAATCCTTCGTAGAGAACTGTCTTCTGTCCTCTGTAAACAAGCAGTCATCCTCCAGACACCGTCAAGACGTTGTCTTGGTCGTCCAGTCGTTCGTTCCTCCGTATCCGACCAGGTCGCTCGTTGAGAAAGAAGCAATTGCACTGAATCCGACTGCCCGAATTCTGATATTCGTCCTGTCTTTTCCGTATCATGCGATTCCAAGACTGGTTTCTCCCTCTTGCTCTGCTGGGCGCGGGCATCTCGCCAGCTCACGCCTGGCCGACCACTGGACATCTGGCGCGATTGATGGCCAAATCGACTCATGGTGCTGAGAAACGATGCCCATTTGCTGACATCCGGGCTGGGATTGAGAAAGCAATCGAGAAGCGATCCTTGCTTGAGCCGACATCCTCCCCGATTGACAGTACGCTCAGCACTGTATCGATCTGTTGTACTGTGCTCCTGCTAACACTCATCAGTCTCCGGAGAGCATTCCTTCCAGCCGCCGGACTTCAGCAACGGAGACCAACGTGGGCCATGTCCGGGTTTGAACGCGTTGGCAAATCATGGATATATCCCCCGTAATGGCGTTGTCACGGTATGTCAAACGTCCCTCTATTATAGATATGTAATGTCGAGAATGCTAATTCAATGAAGATGGCTGATGTGATCCCTGCCATTAACCAAGGTGAGTTCTGCAATGGTTTGTGAATTTTCCTCGTGCTGACAGATGAAGTCTACGGTATGGGACTGGATATCAGCACCATCCTCGCCGTCATGGGCACCGTATTCGTCGGAGATGTCCTCTCCCTTGCCCCGGGCTTTTCCATCGGAGGTTTCTCTCCGGCGGTCCAAAATATTTTGGGCAACCTGGAGGGTCTTCTCGGTATGCCTGCCAGCCGCTTTCAATTCTACTATTTGATCTAACAATTTGCATGCAGGCGAGCCCCGAGGCCTCAATGGCTCCCACAACATCATCGAAGCCGACTCGTCCAACACCCGGGATGATCTCTACGTGACGGGCGACAACACCCGTCTCAACCTGACCCAGTTTATCGAATGGTACCAGATGGCCGACCAGGACGGCAACAACGGCACTTTCAGCATGGACCTGATGGCCAAACGGGCCAAGATCCGCTTCGAGGAGTCCATCGCGACGAACCCCAACTTCTACTACGGGCCTTTTACTGGGGCGATTGCGCGTAATGCAGGCTATATCTTTCCGGGTCGGTTCTTCCGCAATTACTCGGCGGAGAATCCCGAGGGTGTTCTCAGTATGTCGCTCTTAGAAATTCAATCGATAAGATCCATGTCTTGATAGAATATGAATTACATGCTAACTGACTCCAGCCAAGGAAATCGTCAAGAACTTCTTCGCTGTCTACGGTGAGGACGGCAATCTCACCTACAAGGAGGGCTGGGAGAGAATTCCCGAGAACTGGTACCGGATGCCTGTGGACTATACTCTGGTGCAGTTGAATCTCGACTTGCTGGACTTTGGCCTGAAGTACCCGGAGCTGCTGAGGTAAGTCCCTGGCTGCATAAAAACTTACAATCCATAGCTAACAATGACTGTTTACAGCATCGGCGGTAACACCGGCACGGTCAACAGCTTCACCGGCGTCGACATCGCCAACCTGACCGGCGGCGTCCTCAACGCGGCCACTCTGCTGGAGGGCAACAACCTGCTGTGCCTGGTCTTCGAGGTCGTGAAGACAGTCAGCCCCAACCTGCTGTCGGGCATCTGGGCCACGCTGGCTCAGCCCCTGGAGCTCATCACCAATGCGATCGACACGCCGCTGCTCAACCTGTCCTGCCCGGCTTTCAAGGACCTCCAAATTGGCGGGCAGCCGATCTGGGAGGCGCTGAAGAACGACTTTCCCGGTGCGATGATGAGCAACAGCACGCTCTAGCTGGTTGGCTGGCTGTAGAGATTATGTATCTAATATATATAGCGCCTTGCAGTGACAACAATAAGTGCTTGACTGGTTGAACCATAGTTTGATAATTACTTCGGATTATGTTTTAGTATTATATTACTACAGTTTTATATCATTTTATTCTTTTTTCTTCTTATTCTTTTTCATTGGTTAGATCATTAGGCCTACCGATAGGATTTATCTTGAATCAAGTCTTTAATCTAAATATATTTATCGCCCTCTTTTATTTGGACAAATAAAATATAAAGTCAATGATTATAGGAGAAAAGAGAAGACAGGAAATTCCTAGACGGACTACATAAATAAAGAGTAGACTATCATATACATATATATATATACGACAAGTGATCCCGTTGTTACGTCTATGTATGTATGTACAGTACAATACTCTTTCCCAACAATTGGTCGCTTCATACGATGGATCTCGTCTTAAATTTGTACCTCTACTTCGTACAGGCCGATTCAACCGCCCAGTCGGGCAGTAATTATGCCATGCGCTGGGATGATCGAGTGGATAAACGACCGGGGCAAGAGGCTACGAAAACAATATATGCCTTGATTGACAATCGAAATGAGGGCATGGACTTGTCTGTCCTGGCTTAACCTCGCAGAGTATGCCAATATAATAGCCAGCTAACTAACTGCGACAACTTTGTTGCTAATGCATTTGACCTCGTTTTTTTTTCTTTCTTCCCTATATATATATTTTTATTGGCAAGAATTCCCTCCCAAATGATAATGGAATCATTTCTACATATCTTCTCCCTATTCTCCAGTAACTAATACCATTCTCCTTTTTTTTTTCTGGTTATTTGCTTGTCTATGACTACGTGCTTAGATTAAAAGTGTTTCGACATGAATATATAAAATACCATCATATCTTGTGAAAACCCATGATTGCTCTACCCAACTGTGCAACGTCTAGCTTCTATTGTTTAGTACCTTAATTAACCTTATAAAGCACCTAAATTTACTCTTTTATTTAGTTGAAAATTCAATTATTATTATCTCTTAAATAAATTATTTAGAAATTATATTATTTAGCTACGAAATGTGTTACTGCTATTGCTCGCAACTGGGTAAATCAAACTATTCCAATTCAGGAAACACTACCCAAAATGGTTAGGAGTGATCCTCCAAAACAAACCATCCAAACAAGAATACGGAGTACCTAAGCATCTACGGAGACTTTCTCTACAAAGGATACCTACAATTAACTTAATTCGCGATCTCTTTCTTTCTTACTTCTTTCTTTCTTACCTCGAGAAAAAAAAGTCCAGTCTAAATCCTAGTCAGCAATATCGACAAAAATGGCCGCGCCATCGTCCTCGACCTGGAGCCGCAAACTCGACCTGCTGTATCTCGTTTTCTTCGTCATCCATGTGCCGCTTGTTTTCTGTATGTATTCTACGTGATACTTTTTTTTATCTATCTATTATACCTCTATTACACTTTTGTATAATGTAATACTGTATTTAAGGTTGAAGTTCGATTGTTGGCATCGGCATGGATTCCTTTTTCTGACCTTTGACCCCTTTCTTTTTCCACCTCTCCCCCTTTGTTTTTTTATTTTTATTTATTTATTTATTTTTTTATATTCATATTCAAAAACAAACGAACAACAAAATTAAACATCCATCTTCCTAACCTTTTTTTTTGTTGTTTTATTCTGCCGACAAAAGTGGTCGATATCGTCCCCCTCTATCCACCCTCCCTCACACCGACTTTCGTCCTCCGCATCCGCGATTTCTACATCGATACGTACCACGACAAATTCTTCGAAAGCCCGCCTGCCTGGTTCAGAGCGTACAACCTCATGGAGCTGGTGTATCATGTTCCGTTGAGTGTGTGGGCGGTTGGGGCGTTGTTGAGAGGTGAGTGAGCCCATATACCTCAAAATGCATTTTTCCCTGGAGTTATTGTTAAATATGAAATTATATTATATTATTAAAGATGACCCCCTCGTCCCCCTACACCTCCTCATTTGGGCCGTCCAGGCCTTCCTCACTACCCTGACCTGCTTGCTCGACATGCGGAGCTGGAGCGATCGGTCCCAGGAGGAGAAGTTTAATCTCAGCTTGTTGTATTGTCCGTATGTTGCGTTTGGTAAGGACCATACTTCGCCCCTCCTCCACTTGTCACCTGGTTGATTGCCAGTTATTGCTTACTTTTTTCCCCTTCATCTTTTGTTCTTGCTGCGACAGCTGCCCTCCTCGGAGTGGATATGTTCTTGCGACTGCGGAAGCAGTTGCTGCTGAAGAAGAGCAAGGCGGAGTGAAGACGACCCTACCTTAAGTACTGTACCTAGTAAACTGTGGGTGGATAGATATCCCTGGGATAGATACTACAGCGAAGACGCACCGTGGCCGTGAAGTGTGGGAAAGAGGTTTCAGACTCGACGGAAGATTGCTCGTTACCGTCTATCTATCTGCGATAGTATTGTAATATACACATAACATAACAGAAGAAGGGAAAATCAAGACATAAAATGAAGAGGAGTGAGTAAGCATGGCTATCATTGCCCGGACGAAATCGTGCCGCCAACGTATGATCATCACTATCTATCGTTCAAAGTGTCCACTCGACTAGACAATATCCTCCCAATCCGACCTTGAGTCAACCTCGTCAGGTTAAATCAAAAACCCGATCGCACCGTCCAGATCCCCGCCCGCTGCATCAAGCGCGCGGATTGCCTCCTCGCGCGTAAACCCGAGCTCGGTGATCCTCGATATCGAGTCCTGAGGCCAGCGAGAGGAAGGACCTGGCGTAGCTTGCGACGAAGCAGCTCCTTGTTGCTGGCTGTTTGCGGCTGGACTTGTGACGGCCCCCGATCTCGCACCAATCTGTGCCCCATCCGCACCATGGATGAGAGGCTCGTCCTCGAACTCATCCTGGAACTGCTTGGGGATGTCAGCCTCCCCCAGGAAAGGAACGGCCTCGTCCTGGATCACCAAGGCTCCTTTTTTCAGATCGATGCAGGCTTGATGCCGTTTCAGCATGTCCAGCCCCAACAGCAGATCGATGTGCTTTCCTTCCATCACAGTAAACGAGCACGGCAGGAACATACTCCCGATCTTGATCTGAGCGGAGTGAACGCGGCCGATGATGGTCGCAGTCCCAACGCCTTTGGCAATGCCACCATATCGACGGTCAACCAAACGCATGATGTTGCAGGCAGATGCACATTCCGGAGACATGATCGTAACCTGGGCACCCGAATCGACAAAGGCCTTGATTGGATGGCCGTTGACCTCGACAGGGATGTAGAGCATGGTCACGCGACCAAATGCTGCATGCGCCGTCAGTTCAGTCCTAGAAAACCCATATCTACCATGACACAGACTCACACTCCGGATGATGTTCCATGGCATTGTGTAGATTCTCCGTCACTTGCTGCTGTCGAATGATCTCCTCGATCTCGCGTTGGTTATCTGCGTTGAACGGATCCGCATTGAGCATCGCTATCCGCGCCTCCTTCTCCGCCTCGAGCTCGGCCTCCCGTCGTTGCTGGGCAAGCAGGACGTCACGGAAGCGCTGGGGGTCATCCGCAGCTTGTGCCAATTCCGGGTTCTGCCTTCGCACCGTTTCCATGACTCTGGGATCTCCGAGAATATGCAACCGCAGGGTCTCGTAATCCGGCGTCATCTGCTGCCTGCGAGCCAAAGCCTGTTGAGCGGCAGCATTTGCGCCTGCTCCTCCTCCTAAGCTCCTGGCACCAGGCTGCTGACCCCGAGTTCCGACGTGACACCCCAACATGTCTCCTTCTCCGATGCCCACCTGCTCCAGCGTCTGTGCATCATTGTTGAGCAGCTGATTGTTGTAGACCAGTCTCTGGTTGGCGGGAGGGATGCCGGATTCGCTTTCGATGATCGCCTTGAGCAGCTCAAGCGTCATATCCCCGCCCACATCCAGAGAGATAATGTCGGCGTCCGACTGGTCGGGCTTGATTACGCTCACGGTGATGCGCCTGAAGAGTGGTCAAATGAGCTACATCGAAAACTTGCGCCTAAGAAAGAAAGGAATGAAACTGACATCTTGGAAATGGGTGATTCGCAAGGTCACTCGCGTCTCCAACTGCGTAGATGGGCTTCTCTCGCGCGGTGGCAGTGGCAGTGGCAGTGGCAGTGATAGTGGCAGCGATAGAGGAGTTGGTCGATAAGCGGAGCAACGAAAGTGACGGTGTCAAAAACCGTGCAGAGAAGAAAACACGCCGTCCCCAGAAACAGCCAAAGATTCCTCGAACCGCTTATAGTTGTCTCCGTCTAGGAACCACGCAACGAATCGTGTCACAGACGCAATCTGTCGATGCGGGGCGTTTGCGACGTAAGCAAGGGCGGCGTAGAAAGCGGTGGGGATGGCTAAGAGGCTCGAACAGGCGAATGCCGGGGGTCCTCGCAAATCAGGGAAGGTGGGAGCGAGAAGACTGCCAGAGAACAGAGCGTCTTGGGAGGCAGGAAGGGTTGGAGGGCAGACGGAGGATGAGGATGGTCGAGAATGCGCGCGTCGACGGTGAGGGAGTGTCAAACCGCAACCCGCCGCGGTCCGGATCTGGTGAGGTGCATCCCAAGCTGCGTCTTAAGGCGCAACAAGTCCCTCATGGCACGAGGCCAGCCCTCCGCAGGACCACCAGAAGGGAAGTCCATCGACCTCTGGCCTCAGGCTCTTGTCCAAAAGAGGGGATTACTCACCCCTGCCACGTCGGCCTTGCTGCCTATGGACGGCGATTTGGGACCGACAGGAGACCATCGCGGAATGACGTCGAATTCAAGAGAGCAGCCATATCCCCGCCGTAAGCGACGCCTAACCACAGCCCCCGCTGCACCCTTTTTGTTCTGGATTTATTGGCGCAGGCAGTGGCCATATCAGGAAAATATGGTAATCAAGAAAATATCACTGAAAGAGACAGAAGTGGTGGAATGAATGGAGTTAAAGAACCCCTACTTCGGAGGCTCCAACGGGACGCAACAGACCATGCCAGGGCTTGCATTGCGGCTCAGATTCTCTGTCTCTGCTGGTAGACAGGCCGGCATGATGCATCTCGTCACAGGGATGCAGGACGACTGTACCTGCGCCGTTCCTACGACACGAAAGTCAGTTGCTGGTGATGGATCGGCCCTGAAAAAGAAATATGAGCTTGACATCTCGAATCTAAGCCTTTGTTGCCATAGTAAGACCATGAAACCAGCAGTTATCGATGTGCCCTAGTGAGGCGATAATAATAATGCCAAGGATTCGAAGATGGGCCTTTTAAATTCCTAAGTCTTTTCTACGCCTTAATCAATTTGTGAGAGTTAAATAAATTAATTATTTTGTCTTGGTCGAAAACCTTGCTATGTGGAAATATGCTCTCTTTCTAGTTTAGAGAAGTTCAATGGATAAATTCTTGTTGCAGCACTTAGACATACCTCTGATTTTGTCGAGTTCAACGCTTTTGTTGCTATCTCGAAAGTTCTATCAGAAAGAGCATGTGGTCACATTGGTGTCCTTACGATACTGAAAATAACATACGTCCACAGTACCAGGATGGGATCTCGCGATAGTTCAAATTGATTACTAACTAGGGCATCTCCCCATGGCATTAGACTCTCATTAGGCTGAGTGTCTTCATGCCATAGCCCTGATTATCCTCTTTCCTTGTTCTATTGTACAGGACGTACGAACGAAGTGAAGATGCATCTCGACAATTCCGATCAATCCTACTCCAAGTCACTCAACTTCCACCCCTGTGTGTGAATCCCCCTTGTCATTCGACATGCCCGTGGACTCGTCCGCTTCAATTCCATGGCTCCCGCCAGCGACGCAGCTCCAGCTCAACTCCCTTGGGGAGAAAAGCCCGGATCTCGGGAAGAAGCACGTCCCACCAGACGTCCTCGCGGACATCCTGAGCTTCGATGACGACGGTGGGTTGTCCGTCACGAGCGCCGTCGAAGCGTTTGCGACTAACGTAGTAGAGATTCACGGCCTTCCACTGTCTGCCCTGAATTCTGTCGATCACACGCTGGCGAAGTCCCTCCTTCTCCCACTGGATTGAGATACGTTTGGTCGGAAAGACAGGAGCCTGGCGACGGGATTCCTCATACACGAGATCAATGAGCTCGAGACGACATTTGATACGAGGCTTGTGTTCGTTCAGGAGGTAGTGGCGAATCTTGGTGGCCGCTTCCACCCAGCGGTGTGCGGTGTGAGGGCCTTCGTAGATGCACTCGATGAAAGCCGTCTGTCTGACATCGCTCGTGGAAAGGGGCTCCTGGACGTAGCGATACTGGAATTTGAGTGGGGTAGCGACGAAATACGGCCTAACGCCATATTGCTCCAGAATCCGGCGAATGCTGGCCTGCAAAGGGCGGAGATCATGAGCAGTCTCTGCCGCTTCTGTGTACAGAGGCAGGACTGGAAGAGGGTAGGGAAAGCCCACCCGGTACGGGAGGCGCCGATCAATGGTTTCCTCTTCCATAGTGAAGCGAGTCACTCTTGACTGTGACGGCAGAGATGTTAGAAGCAGAGGCTGTAGATAAAGCAGTCAGTATTTTTCGTCAAGACCAAAGAGACTTCATTTTGTGGAGATCAAGAGTCTTGCAGATATAAGGGACGGAAACAGACACTGGCAGGAAAAGCAGAAAACAGATGGAAGACGACGTCAGATGAAGGATTTTGGCCGTTTACTGGATCTGCAGAATCATGATATTGCTGATGTGCATATTGCCATCTACTTACCCTGTTCGAACAGTTTGCACAGCACTGGTAAGGATGATCCTTTTCAAGAAGCTTTAAAATCACCAGAGGTGTGATAAGGATGATGACAGACCTCTAGACCCAGACGTCTAAGGGACTGTCTGTGATGTGGTGGTGAGTCTGTAAGGGAATAAACACGTCTGAGGTGAATGAGTCCACCATCTTCGTCGTGAGCCCTAGGCTCTTGGCAGGACTAGATAGCGACATACCTTAACTTAGAGGGAGTGAAGTGATAAAGTGACAAAGCGTGTATCTCAGCAAGCTGGCCTGGTTGAAGTCAGCCGGTTGGAGCAGTGCCATGTGTTGTAGGAATTGTATTGTTTATAGGAGAGGAGGAAGTCACGAGCACGGCAACAGAGTAGATATGCGTGCTTATTCTTCTGCTAATGTGCTTTACAGGATCACGGCAGGAATGTCTAGAAACAATGAAAATGAGTAATTTGAACAAGGCAGTTAGGAGGCATGTTGGCACACTACGGTCTTTGGAAAAGAAAAGAGGCTTGCTACTATGTAGTATACACAATACACCAGGTCTCAAAATACTGTCTTTATTAGACAGGAGAATTCCTATTTCTTCGTTGATGGACTCATTTTAACTAATCCATAGAATAATCGAAAATCAAACCCATTAATTCTTCGAGTCTTCCGTTTGGACTTCTCGACTGGTACTAAAAATTGCTCGTCTGCACGTAGTCCTGTTTGGGAGTCGATTTCTTGATAACGCACAAGACGGTTATCAGTAGGAGATGTTTTCAATTCTATACAGGGGCTTTTTATCTCCATTCTACTGGGAGTATATTACATAACCAGTAACGATATATCTAGCAAGGAAAATTATGCAAAGTCACGACGAAGAGAAAGAAAGAGAAAGAGACAGGTGAAGAGAGAGATTAGTAGATACCTGTCAATGCTTCTTCTGGTCTTCATGCTCACCTGAGAATCTATCTGCATACGCCTGCAAGGTGCTACCTACATACGTAAGGTAAGGACTCAGGAAGACCATAGGCACTATTGAACTGATTTAAAAAAAAAGGAATAATCTGAGGCTAAGAAATATCTGGGGCGAAGGATTGACTAACCAGCGTTGGTAGACTCGACAGCAGATTCTATCGTTCTATAGTACGTCTGGAACGCCCCTACTCGACGTTCGGGAACCCGACAGCGCTCTTTCGCCCGGAAGGCCACCGCCGACTGCCTCGGGGGCAGTTCGTCGTCGTGGCGGGGTATATCTACCTCGGAGTACTTCGTCGACGGGCGTTCTCCCCACAGAGCGAAGGTAGCGATCGGTATCGGTACTTGGCCACGATCTGCCCCACGCAGACGACGGCCCGCAGTCCTCCACCTCGTCACTCGCAACGCTCTGTGCCGACTCGATTTTCATCCCCGACATTCCTCGACGACGATCCCGGTCCTGCCCGCATAACAGCGCGCTCTGCGCTTGTCTCCCAGACATCGTGCCTTCCTGAGAGCCGTCCAGGCCCTTGCAGCGTCCTCTGACCCTCTGAGCGCGATCCAGGCCCATCCAGTCCTCGCATCGCCCTTCTTCGACCTTCTTTCCTCCCTCTGCGATCAGATCGCGACTGGCCAGATCCTGACCACGGGCCTGCGGATCTCAGATCTTGCATCTCTGTATTTCTCCCCTGGCTATCCAAGAGCCTAGCGAACTTTTCTGCCTCGTGATCGGCGGGCGCCTATCCTGCGCTGCAGGTTCACCTCCGCTGATGTCTGATTTTCCATTAGGACTTCTGATTGCGCCATTTCGCCCTGCTATCCCTTCTATCCCTAGACTCGTCTAATCCTTCGAGTACGTCAGCGACGTTGCGTGCAGATCTCAGCGGAGACTTATAATTCGCATTTTCAACATGGCTGAGAATACTGGGCCGCCGACAACCGACGCAGAAGTCAATGACACTGAGGCGACTCAGGCGAGGAACCTGACCATGGTTTCAACTGCCAGCGAATTGACCCGTATTCTCACCAGTGCTGGCATCGTCCCCCAAAGCTACCTTCAACAGAACAACGAGGAGAATGATGAGGAAGAAGTGGAAGACTATGTGGCCGTGGATCATGAGGACGCTCCGGATTTCTCATCTCTGTTCCGTCGACCGCAAGCGCGTCCGCGAACCCAGCTGGATGAACTTCACCCCTTCGTTCAAGTCTTGTCTTTGTCGAATGTAGATGATTGCGTTCGCGTTGAGGAAGCTTTTCCAGAGAATGAGAGGTGTTCAAGGGAAAAGGTGAGTGACAATAAAAGCTGAGCTGTCTCAGAATTTAGGGCGGAGAACGTCGCAGTCTCGACAGCCAGAATCGTTGCATGTCGTTGCATGCAATTCTCCCCTGCATGGCCTTTATTCTACAAATTCTACGACTTCGTGTTCTGTGCCAGCAGCTCTGATGTGGACAACTGCTAATATCAACTCGCAAAGCTATGCTATCGCCTTACGAAATGTCCGGAATTGTCACTGGGCATGTTCACCATTCCCGTCCGTACTGAGGACAATCCTAACCCTCGGCCACAACTGATCGGCCACATCATTGCTACACGCACGTCCGCTCCTCTGGTTACAGATGCATCGATGTCGTATCCTCCTGATTGGCGAACCAAACGTCGCAGTCTTGCGGATGAGAATGAGAAGGAGCCGCTGGGCCATGAAGATCAGGGTGGAACCATTGCCGTCCACTCCCTTGCGGTTTTGCCTGAACATCAGGGAAAGAAGGTTGGATCGACCCTGATGAAGGCATATATCCATCGGATCAAGGAGGCGAACATTGCAGAGCGGATCGCGCTTATTGCACATGATCATCTGATCCCATTTTATGAGAAGCTGGGATTTGAGAACCGTGGGCCCAGCAATTGCACTTTTGGCGGTGGTGGCTGGACCAACCTGGTAAGCATCTTCATTGACCGTTTCAGACGTATCTACTTTCCAATTACTCATGTTCGGCTACAGGTCCTGGAGTTCAACAAGGGAGACTAGTTTCCAAGGATGTGCTTTGCTCATTCTCTTTCTGGACATGGTTCATGAGTAATCGTTGCATTTTCGGGTAGGGTCATGGTAAAAGACGGTGGTCTGTTTCCTCCGACGGACATGATTGTGATATTGGAAAAGTTGGAATTGAATGGCGTTCTACGGTGTCTTCTGGGACGCGTTTGGGGTGTAGCTGAGGCAGAGGCGCCAGCAAAACATTGGGATGGGAAACCTGTACAATAATAATAGCCCCATCACGCACAAAATTACTCTTTGAGTTTTGCAAGAAGAATCTCACTTGTGTCAGTAGCATGTACTGTACAACTGTAGACCAGTTTTTTTTTCTTTTTTTCTCTTCTCTCTTTTTGATTCTCTTAGCGTAGCGATTTCTGCTCGGATTATTCTTGGCTTTGTCTCGGCTACTCCTGCCGCCCACAGTGCTCACCGCCTCGTGAAAAATTGCCCGCACAAGCCTGTCGTCCCGCCTCGGGCTCCAAGACAAGAATTGGGAATTTTATTTTTTTAAATTTCAACCTCGACCAGCTCACCCATCCCGTTCAACCCAACGGCGAGGCCGGACATCCAGCAGGGTCGTCATCGTCTGAGTTCCCTCTGCGTCCGTCGCCCATCATGAAGACGACCTGGAAAGATGTACGTGGGAATTATTTGCTTCTGTCACTTCCTCAGAGACTGGGAAGCGCTTTGGCTGATGAACTTTTTGCCTGTTAGATCCAACCTGTGCCAACGAGCCAGGAATTTATCGATATCGTCCTCAGCCGGACTCAGAGGCAGCTGCCGACCCAGATTCGAGCTGGATTTAAAATCAGTCGTATAAGAGGTAACGTCTTCGCTTGTCCGATTTTGTTCGAAGTTCGCGCAAATGGGGTTACTGCCATGCTTCGTCGAGAATCTGTGCTAACGCAGAATTTTTTTTATTTTACAGCATTCTACACGCGAAAAGTAAAATACACCCAGGAGACCTTCTGTGAAAAGTTTCAGGCGATCCTCGATGGATTCCCCCGATTGCAGGATATTCATCCTTTCCGTAAGCTTTCCTCCCTCCCGATTGAGTGGTCCATGACTGACCGGTGGTCGATTTTAGACAAGGATTTGATGAACACCCTTTACGATGCGGATCATTTCCGAATCGCTCTTGGTCAGATCTCGACTGCGAAGCATCTCGTGGAAACTATTTCCCGAGACTATGTGCGCTTGATCAAATATGCGCAATCCCTGTTCCAATGCAAGCAGCTCAAGCGCGCGGCTCTGGGTCGCATGGCGACCATTTGCAAACGTCTCAAAGACCCCCTTATCTACCTCGAACAAGTGCGACAGCATCTGGCCCGTCTGCCCTCGATCGACCCGAACACTCGCACGCTGCTGATCTGTGGATACCCTAACGTTGGGAAGTCGAGTTTCTTGCGCAGTATTACTCGTGCGGATGTCGAGGTCCAGCCGTATGCGTTCACCACTAAGAGTTTGTATGTCGGTCACTTTGACTACAAGTACCTCCGCTTCCAGGCGATTGACACTCCAGGAATCCTGGACCACCCCTTGGAAGAGATGAACACCATCGAGATGCAGTCCATCACGGCGATTGCGCATCTCCGTTCTGCGATCCTCTACTTCATGGACCTGTCGGAGCAGTGCGGGTATTCCGTGACGGACCAGATCAAGCTGTTCCACAGCATCAAGCCGCTGTTCGCCAACAAGCTCGTGTTCGTGGTCATCAACAAGATCGATATCAAGCGACCGGAGGATCTGGACCCGGAGACTCAGGAGATGCTCCAGTCACTCCTGAAACAAAGCAATGTGGAGATGCTCCAGCTCTCGTGTGCGACCTCCGAAGGAGTGACGGCCGTCAAGAATGCCGCCTGCGACAAGTTGATCGCCGAACGTGTCGCGCAGAAATTGAAATCTGGCACGAACAGCTCCGGTACACCTTCTGGACGGCTGGGTGAGGTCCTGGCAAGAATCCACGTTGCTCAACCGGCTGGCGGGGTTCAGCGCGAGACTTTCATTCCGGAGGCGGTCAAGACGATGAAGAAGTATGACAAGAATGACCCTGACCGGAGGAAGCTGGAGCGCGATATTGAGGAGGAGAACGGTGGCCCGGGTGTCTACAGCGTCGACCTCAGGAAGAACTACCAACTGGCTAACGACGAGTGGAAGTATGACAAGATGCCTGAGGTGTGGAATGGCAAGAATGTCTATGACTACGTGGACCCGGACATCGAATCGAAACTGGCTGCTTTGGAGGAGGAAGAAGAGAAGCTGGAAGCGGAAGGCTTCTATGACTCGGATGAGAGTGTCGAGGACGCCGAGGATGCCGATATCCGCATGAAGGCGGAGCTCATCCGCGAGAAGCGCGCCCTGATGCGCAACGAGGCCAAGCTGAGGAAGTCGCTGAAGAACCGGGCAGTCATCCCGCGCAGCGCCAAGGCCAAGAAACTGTCGGAGATGGAGTCGGCGCTGGACGAGGCCGGATACGATGCCAGCGCCGTGTCGGCGCGGGTGCAGAGCCAGCCTACTCGTGGCCGGACGTTGACGCGCGATACGGTGGACGACGGCGACGCGATGGACATCGACTCGACGTCGAACCCGCACGAGGCGATCGCGCGGGCCAAGAGCCGTGCTCGCAGCCAGGCGGCGACGAACCGTCTGACGGATGGCGTGACGAACGAGACGGCGCGCACCAAGGCAGAGCGGCTGGCGAAGTTGTCACAGAAGAAGCTGAACCGGATGGCACGACAGGGAGAAGCAGACCGGCATATTGTGGCGTCGCTTCCCAAGCATTTGGTATGTACATGCATTGCATGCTTGTTTGTCGACTTGTTGCTGACTTGTTGCAGTACTCTGGAAAGCGTGGCATCGGCAAGACACAGCGCCGTTGAGTTTTACTATCAGTTTGCCGATGACGCGACGATATACGTATCCGGGTTTCAACGGTCTGGTCTGGCTGGTTTTGGTTTTGTAGGCGTTCTGGTGGTCTTTTTTTTCTTTTTTCATTCTTTTCTCCCCAGTCGTTAATATATGAAGAAGGTAATCCATGTAGAGTGCATTACCTCTTCTGCACATAGTCATGACAGTCTCATGTATGCAGTTGTTATTTGTTTGAAAGAAAAGAGAATGAAAGAATGAGTACAGAAGGCGAAAAGCAATATGACCAAATTCAACGTCCTTAGTTATACTCCATACATGTGTTTTAAGTGCTTCACAGGTGAGATCGTATCTACCTAGACGCTGACAAAGGTACGTAAATAATAATAAGTGGCTAATTAATGGCCTTTATACCTCTAAAATCATTATTAGACAGATATAGAGTACAGTACAGTACAGGATAGGATAGGATAGGAGAGGATAGTATAAGATGCTAAACATGAAGAAAATAGTTTTTATTTAGTTATAAACGATAATAATCCAGAGAATCGATTCCTCCCTCCTCCCCTTTAAATAAAGATTCTGCTAATAACCAAACCATATTAACTCAAAAGTACTCTGTAGGTATTAGGAATTATTAGTACTTGCTACATGAATAAGTATTTAATAATCCTTCCAAGGGAAGCTAGAGTAATCTGTTCGTTCCCTCTATCTATGTAGCTTCCTTCTTCCTCCCTTCCTAGCACTATGGATGGATGGATGGACTAAGTAGTCACGCGGGATAAAAATGTATTCCGAAATCTTTGGCAAAAACAAAAACAAGACCAGAAACAAGACTAATATGAACCAAAACGACCAAAATAATAGGTACTGTCACGACTCACCCAATAGGGAGCATTCCATTAGGTAGGTCGCTCGGTAGTTGCCACTTGCCAGGCCAGGGCCCCGACCTCTCGGCTACTGAAAAAGACCGGGATGATAGTCTTTCGCACTGCTCTCACTTGTATGCTTGCCTAGATCGTCACAAATACTCCATAATATTGAGATCAACGGAGCTAAAAAACCTAGATTTATTAATTGTTTCTTTGTCATGAACGTGTTTGCTGATAATCAATAAATTATTGGTCTAGGTCACTTGAACACCTTCCAAGTATAGGTGGTATATGATATTTGTTCGAGACAGGAAAGAGAGTGTGAAGGCAGATCATATATGCAGTAGCAGACAGAAAGTGACTTTTTGAGTGTGTACTACATAACAGAATTAATTCACTTGCAGAGTTCCAGTATATACTATGTGTTTATGCATTTAAATGTGGCCATCTCATTCTTAAGTCTTTCAATTCAGTTGAAAACAAGCTGGAATATATGTATAGAGAGACGGTTAGAATATGAACAATTAACTCGTCCATTCATTTCTATATATATATGTAATGTGGAGATGACTACATATACAACGACTGTGTAGTCTATATAAATGCAGGGTCTAATGAAAAATTCAGAGTGCCTCCCATCGTAACTTTTTCTCGTTCTCTATTTCTCTCTCTATCCCCTTTTCTTCTCATGCTTTTGTTTTTGTCTACGGCACCTGACTATGCACCTCGTACGTCCGCTCGACCGTAATATGGTTGTTACGATCATCTTTCAATCCGGCCTGGTGATAGTCCTCCTCGAACGTGGAGACCACCGTGTGACTGCTCGTCCCGTCAGGCCGCATGGGACTGAGCCGCAGCGCGGTTTCCTCCTGCGGCGTCGACTCATCACCCGTGTGGCGCTGGTACGATCGGCTGGAGACCTTCCTGCTAGTCGGAACACGGAGAATGTAGCGGCGGATGAAGTTGAGAATCGGCTTGAGCGTGGGCAGCGTGCCGCAGAAGATGACGAGGAAGAACTCGGCCGTGACCCAGACGAAGATGTCGTACGTCGCCCAGGTGAAGTCTTTCCGGTTGGCCAGCTGGCTGAGATAGGAGGTCTTTATGCCCGAGCAGATTGATGTTCTAGAACAGACATATTGGCCATCAATTTTTATCTTTTTTAAATGAATGATGTTGCTTACAAAATGTTTATAGCAAAGACGATCGACAGCTGAGCCTTTTCCTGCGTGCTCATCTGCAGCCTCCAGAAGATCGTAGAAGGGATAAGAGCCAGACTGGCGTCGACAAACGTGTTCCACGCTAATCAATGCCGGTTAGATTGGTCTGATAAGAACCAATTTTTCGTCCATGTCATGTCCATGACATACCTCCAGTGAAGGTGCCAAAATCCGCCATGATCTTAGGGTTGATGCACTTGCCCTGGATCCGAGCATCCCAGAGGGCCGCCGCCGGCCTGCACTGGGCGAACGTAAGAATCGAGCACGCCGTGCTGACGCAGACCTCCAGCGTGATGCACACAACCCACAGGTAGAGGACCTGCCAGTCTCGCCAGGTGTTTCGCAGAATGGCCAGCAACAGGGCCGACACGGACACTTTGCCAGCACCCACGCCGAAGATGCCAAACACCTGGGACGTCCAGTTCAGCAGCTGGACCCGCGCAACGACATCCGGACCCAGAGCGACGACATCCTGGATGTGTCTCTCGCCGCCGTTGGCGCAGAGAATGGTAAGGCAGATGGACCATCCATAGAGACACAACTGCCGAGGTTATCAGCAGAATGCATGCCTGATTTTCCAGATCGAGGGACACTCACCAAGGCAACTAGCATGAAGATGTCATCCCAGCCGATTCCAGCCTTCTGTGCCCGGGCAATGAATCTGAAGACGACCGTTAGGGTTGAGGCGCCCGTGAGAACCCATAGGATGGCGGTCAATTGGGGCCCTCTGTCAGCGATTCTCTGATCCTGAACCGGCGACGACATGGCGACGAGAAACAGGTCTGAGCCCTGTCTGTATGCACCTGCACCTACGTCCCAGGCATCAAATCAACAAGAGCGAAAGTCTTTAGTCTCGTGCGCCATGGATGAAAAAAGAGGTGTTCCATAGCAGTGTCGAGTATAGTTTGCACTGTGTGCGATGTGGCAGCTTTGCCGCGACTCCTGAGCGAGTATGCCTTCCAGACGGTGCGTAAAACCATCGTGATTTGACTTTGGCAGCAGGAATCCTTCGGCCCCAAGGCCTTTTGCCAGCTTCCCAATGCGTCGCTGATATGCGCCTAATGCGTCTAATCGGCCAACCTTATTTGCGCCCGCACCGCTTGGCGCAAACCTTATTTTGCTCCACCGGTTCGGATCGGTACCGCCCGGCCAATCAGAGTGCGGCGGCCGGCCAGCCCCGCGCCGCAGCCTGAAACCACCTGCAGACATGCAGATTGCAGAATCATGCAGAAGCATGCTCAAAGTACATACCCTTAGTGGAACTGGAATTGTCCTTACTGTGGGCTAATGATAACAGGAATCGCGAGGAAATAGGTATATAGAGGACAGCGTGGAATCCTGCACTCGATCAAGTCGCTCCATTTCTATATCAATCCCGTCTATATAATCCGCACACGAGTCTTATGTACACGACGGAGGCATCGTCGTACTATTAGAAATCGATATAGAGTCTCTAACGGCTAGTGGAAACCTAACTCAAACCAAGCATCCGGTCCCAAAATAAAATTCGGTCGATTTCTTCACGGAAATTATCTTTTGATAGCGCTCCTACTATGGGGTTCTGTGGGCAACTTAATCAACCGATTCAACCTTCTATTCGGCATTTGGTTTTGCGGATGTAGTTTCCGCCTCCGTGGCGACGGGATGCATCATGCGGGATTCCATTTGGCATCGTCCACCGTTCCTTTCCCAGCGCAAAAATCCCCAAACGACGCCCCCATCTCCACAGGGCGTCCAGAGCCGGTTTTAGCGCCGAGTATAACCGGCCTGGCCGTTGCACGATATGTCTGTGCGTCCTGCGACCTGCACGAACGAACTCCTGCGCACAGACCGGACGGTGTCGCCTGAGCTCCCAGGGCTTCGGCAACCTCAAACGTTCGGATGCAATATCCCTGCTCCTATTACCCCAAACCAAGTAGTGAGGCACAAAGCAAAAAAAAAAAGCATAAGCTCCAGGATACTTTCTCGAGGTATTCTGCAGTCACAATCGCGCTTGCAAAAAGAGAATCCACCATGGCCAATCCATCCGTCCTTATTCAGCAACTGACTCTCCTGGCGGAGAATCCAGACGCTTTTTCGCAGCACCGGAGCGAGATCGTCTCGCTCGCCCGGAAAGCTACTGCGGCGCTGGAGACTCCGTTCGAGACCTTCCAGCGTCTCGTCTATTCGGTGTGTAGACCGTTCCGTTCTGTTCTGGCTCCTCTCGCCGACGTCGTCGACTAAACGAACGCGCAGCCACTCCCTCTGGTACTCGCCCGCATAGCCCAGGAGCGGGGAATCTTCAAGGCGTTGGTCGAGAACGATGGGAAACCGACGAGCACCGCTCTGCTGGCGGAGCGGACCGGGGTCAAGCTGGGTATTCTCGAGCCGCTGCTCGAGTACATGTCTACCCAGGGCATGGCGGAGCAGATCTCGCCTCAGGAGTATGCCGCCACGAAGCTGTCGCATATGCTCCTGAACCCGCTGTTCGTGGATGGAGTGACCCACTTGTAAGTCCTTGCCAACAGTCAGCAGCTAGCTGTATATCAAATCAAAAAAGAAAAAAAAGCAAGTCCTTACTCACTCCGCCCAGCCACGACAACTGTCTCCCCGCCTTCGCAGCCCTGAATGCCTTCCTCTCCAAGGATCCTTCAGATAAGCGGACCGCGTTCCAGATCGGACAGCGCAGCGAGAATGACTTTTACAGATGGTTGGAGACCCATCCCGTGCAGCAAGGCGCATTCCACCGGTTCATGGAAGCCCAATTCGCCTCTCTGCCCACCTGGCTGGACGTGATCGACTTTGAAAAAGAGTATGCCAAGCACGCAGGCCCCGAGACCCCGATCTTTGTCGATGTTGGCGGTGGCGCTGGCCAGCAGTGTGTCGCCCTTCGCAAGCGATTCCCGAATCTGAAGGGAAGGGTTGTTCTGCAGGATCTGCCGTCCGTGCTGGACAAAGCAATTACCGGGGATGATGTGGAGAAGATGGGCTATGACTATCTAACTGAGCAACCTGTCAAGGGTGAGACTGAAAAAAAAAGGACAAAAGATGATGATGACCGCATCAGACGCTGATAAAAGGACAGGTGCCCGCGCCTACTACTTCCGGCAGATCATGCACAACAACGACGACGAAACCTGCGTGCGCATCCTGCAGTCGCAAGCCCCGGCGATGGACAAATCGTCCGTGATCCTCATCGACGAGAAGGTCCTGCCGGACGAGAAACCCGCCCTGACGGAGGGCAACTGGTACACGTCGGCCCTCAACCTGGCGATGGTGGCCATGTTCAACGCGCTGGAGCGACGCGAGGCGCAGTGGAGGAAGCTCCTCGCGGATGCAGGGTTTGAGATCCTTGCCATCAAGACCTTTACTGACTTCCGCGACAGTGTGATCGTTGCGGTCAAGAAATGACCGATTATGAATATTATACTCATGTGAAGATTCGAGCTGAAGCGCTGGTTTGAATTGCACATATATACGTGTTAATATATTAATATATAGTATATATAACAATAGGTACATACATTCTGCGAGTTATTACCAGATGGGGAGAAAGAAAGACAAGCAAGCATGCATTATTTTATTTATTATCTTCTAATAACAACATTACATTACAAGTTTACAAGTTGTCACATGTATTCATCATAAGATGCGAATGTCATTGCTAGGATTAATTCTAATTAAAGAGAAAGGAAGCTTGAGAAAGATTACTATACTACACTGGAGAAGACATAAAGCACGATTCTATGTATATATAGAAAACCATATCCAAAATCACATCTGAAATACTGTCGTGCCATATATATACATATATTGATCGTCATTTCTGAATCGACCCGTTCGAAATTTTACCCACATTCTCCACATTGACCTTCTCTGCATACTCCAGCCCGCCCTTGATTATCGCAACGTCGTCATTCCGCGCAAACAGGACATCTCGCTGCGCCACCGCGTAGATCACGTCCCTTGTCCCGGAGAACCAGTCGTACGGCACTAAGAAATGTCTGAAGTATGACACTGAGCTGTTGCCCGGCCCCTCAAGATCGGCGGAGCAGACCCAAGACTGGGTGTCGAGGAAGACCAGCTTGCCTCCGTCAACGAGGCCAGCGACGTGGGCGACCCGCTGGGCGAGGGCCGCGAGTCGCGGGCTGAAAAGTGGGACCGACACTGCTGCTGGGACTTCCTCCTTGATAGTTAAGGCTAGGTCGGCATCTTCCCCGACTTTAGCTTCTTCGGAAACGGCTTCCTCTGAGGCGTTATTCTCGATGCTGAAAGACGCTGCGTCGAGGAGGTGCAGGCCGCGCGTCTTCACCGAGCCGTCCAGCTCGGACAGCTCGACGAGGATACGCTGTCTATGCCCGAACGTGTAAGGAGTGACGCTCTTCAACTGCAATCCGGTGATGTCGGTGGTGAGGCGCACCGATGCGACTTCTGACCAATCGCTCCAGGCGTAGATGCGAGCGGCCGCGCCTTCGAAGCAGATCGTATGGAGTGGCGAATGCTGGTGTTGAATCCATTTCCGGATCCCTGGCCTGTCCGAGTATGTCCGCGCGTCCTCCTGCCGGCCATCGAAGCTCCAGAGATGGTCGGACTCCTGGGTTGACAGGATAAATTTCCGGGCTGCCTCGCCCGCTGAGACTTGAATGATAGACTGTCCGCAGTTCAGGCGAGACTGAAATATCATCTTCTCAGCCACCCATCCCTCCTGCTGTGACTTCATCAGATTCCACGCGAAGATCCCGTTAGATACATCGACGCTGATGATAACATTGCTTTGAGGCCACACAGTAAGGGTACGAACCCGTGACTTGTGGCGGTAAAGCGTCCGCACCTGGGCTCCTGTCTTCAAGTCGTACAGGGAAACCGACCCGTCATCCTTGCCGCAGAATACAACCTCTCCGTTGGGATGCAGGACCAGGGCGCTAATCTTGACCTTAGTGTCCGTCGCGACCCCTTCGACGAAGGCAGTCGACGTGCTTTCGCTGCTGTCGTCGCCTACCGAGTCCCGAAGCAGAACCGCGGGCTCCCAGACGTTGCATTGTGACCCTCTAATGTCCGCAAAGTGCAAGCTGTCTCTGCTGAAGGCCAGCTGCTTGATGCGAAAGTCAGAAGACTGGACCCGGTAGAGCAACCTCAAGGTGTCAAATTCGTAGATCTGGATTATTCCGGACCCGGCGCCGCCTGCAAGCAGGCGTCCGTCCGGGCTGGCTGCGAGCGTATGACAATCTGCGCGAAAGCTCTCCAGGGTCTGGTCATGAAACGGATCAAGGAGCACGAGTTCGCCATCGAGGTAAGACGCGACAAGGAGGTCAATGGTCGGGTTAGGGTTGAAAACGATGGCGGTGACCAGATGTGTACTTGTTTCGCCACTAGGTAGTTTCTTCCCGCAAGTGCCATAATACGTATCGTCCTCGAGGTCCCAAAGCGTTATCGGTCGTCCGCTATAGGCGACAGCCAGCATTTGGTGGCTTACGGAAATTGATATGGCACACGGCGCACGGTGTGACTGTGCGTTTGTGTTCATGTGTTCTCCCGAATCGTTCCACGGCCGGTCAGGTTGCTGTGCTCCGTCGTTCTTCAGATCCCAAGATGCTAGGTAGTTCTTGCCAGATGCAGCTACTAGCAGGTCCTTATCAAATGCCAGACCGATAGGCCGTTGCGGGGCTTGAAAACGGTAGATTAGTTCGCCGCTGCGAATGTCCCAGATCCGGATCGTCTTCATCCCGCAAGATGCCATCAGATCCGTCTTGCTCTTGAACTGCAGAAATTTGACGGCCTCGCCGTGATCCAGAACTTTATATTCCTGGCAAGATGTCGCATGATACAGTGCGACTGTCCCGGTAGTTAGGCCCACTGCAAAGAATTCATCTCGCTGCTTCATCAAAGTGGCTGAAAAACACAATCTCCCGGAAGAGCGAATCGGCGAAGTCTTACCAAAAAACACGGTCCTGTATACGACCATGGAGCCGTGCAGCAAGAGATTGAGTGGGAATAGGACCTGTGTAGAGAGGATCTTGAGACTCAACGGCGCGATCAAAGTTGTCTACGTAGGAACAAAGAGCCGGAGATCTTCATCGGCGAGAATGTGGGCAGGAAGCAACTGGAGGATGCCGGCGTTGTGGTCAAGTTTGTAGAGGGAATGGAGGATCGTATCTTAGAGGTCTCTACTGCGGGTCATGAAAAGCAGCCTAAGTGATGTTCTGGCCTAGATGACGCCGTGAAGCCTGTCGGCTGGAGTCTTTTGTCAATGGGAAAACTGCCCAAGTTCTGATCCTGGGCCAGACCTCGAGTTCGATGTGCTAGTCCCGGTCCTCTTCGATAAGGTCATCCCTCGTCTGCCGCGCCCACTCGAGAGCGAGGGTCGATCGGTGAAGCCCTCGCTTGTACACGGAGATCTTTAGTATGCAACTCTGGAATTGATATGGACACAGGCTAATCTCTCATCTTCGATTCCTGCTGCTTCCATGCTCACAACGAATGTAAGTGAATGATCAACCAGAGCCGAGAGAATGACGAGAGCTGACCTGTAAGAAAGACGAGTTTGGTCAATGGCGGCCAGTCTGCAATAGATTTGGGGCCGAATACTTGGCAGCATACCACTCCTATGTTCAAATATCCCCGCCTGAAGAGGATTACGACGGTCGCCTTGATCTTTACAAACTGTGAGAACGCGATGCAAAGATATCTTCCAATTAGCGATAGGAACTGATGCCGGAACAGGAGATTCAACACGCATGTATCTGCCCTCTTCCCCCAAAACCAGACGCTTAGGGAACAGTATGAGCTCTTGTTATATTCTTTCCATTAAAAACTACTGCTTACAAAAGCCCACAGGGTGCTCAATGACATGAGGGACTTGGTCCAAAGATATGGTTAATGCAGTAAGAAAGCTAAGTAGTTCTAAGGTTTACAAACACAGACCATTTGGACCGTTCTCATCATCTACCACTTGCGCCACTGAATCTTAGGTTAGGTATACTGCTGTATTATATTATTTATTCTAGTTTAGGATTCCATGTTTAATACTATGGTTAGTTAAAAAAAAAGAAAAGGAAAGGAAAGAAAAGATACAAGCACTCGACTTACATATGCCTGGCGTTACTACTATATCTATGGGTGTTATATATATTCCTCTATAAAGGGTATATATATCGTCAACACCATCTCACTCTCAGTCTCATCATCATCATCATCACTCACCCTATTTTCACTGTATTCATTGTCTACTAATATCTATCTATCTAAAGCGATTGTCCCTATCTAGGTACAGTACCTAACTCTCATCAAGTTGGTTGCCATAGGACAAAAATACCGCCACTACCTGCCTAGGATAGATAATCAACTATTAACTAACTTCGTCGTGTTGTACAGACAGACAGACAGACGGGCTCCAATCCATCCAGCATGCATACACAGAATTACAGATCTCTTTCTTTTTAGTGAAAAAAAAAAAAAACAACGCTAAGATCGCACAATTAACTCACTTACTTTATGCACTCGCTCCAAGCAAACATGCCCTGTTTTCTCTTCTTCTTTTATTCTCTCTGTCAAAAAAACGCCAAACCGAGAGAGAGATGTATGCCGCGAGAGAGACCAAAAACAAGATACAAAAACAAAAAACAGAAATAAAAGTAGTCATGACATTAACGAATAACATCATCAATCCGAACCCGCAATTCCTGAGCTAACTGCACAAGTTCAGGCCCGATGCCGCTCTGCTGCAACAGCAGCAGCATCTCGGAGATCCGCGTGGCGATCGCGTCGTTGCCAAAGACCTCTCCGCCCGTACGCACTGAGTCATGAAACCAGCGCTGAATCAGGTAGAGGAGGTCGCTGGCGATGTACCGTCGGTTGGGACCCTGGAAAGGCGCCTCGTCGTTGTAGAACATCGCCTCGAGGACCGAGTAAAGCGTCTCGTGAGGAACCTCAAGATCTAGGAAAAGATCGACCACCCAGGTTGACGGTCCCACGCCTCGCTGGAACTCCAATGCGTATCGCTCAAGCATGGGGAGAAGCATTGGCACCGGGAACACTGTCTCCGACATCCGCAGGCGGCTGCCAAGGGAGCGGACCTTCTCGATCACTGCTTCGTACGGCTGGGCTTCTCCCCTCTCGACGGTCTCGTCATGGATATTCTGCAGAAGATGCTGCCAGGTGCTCTTGATGTCGGCCGAGTTCCGGTGATCTGCAAGGTAGAAGATCTGCAAGCAAATGTCGTAGTAACTACCAGCGTCGGCATATTTATTGAAGAGCTGCGAGAGGCTGTTAGCATTGATGGCGCCACCAACAACTGACACCACTTACCAGGCTGATGTCCATGATGGGTCCGTCCACTTCCTTGAGAACCTCAGCCTTGTGCGCTGGATCGATTCTCGTGTCCTCTTTCAGACGCTGCAACAACTCATCTTGGATGTTTGCGACATCCATCAAGTTGGTGATCTCCTGAAGCAGTCTCTGCCGCGACTGCCGACCAATGTCGGGCGTAAAGGTCGAGGCGTTGGCGCGAGCCTGGCCAAGGTATTCAATCCTTCGACTCAAAGGCAGATTGAACGCACTCTGAGCCAACTGATACTGAACTCGAGCAGCCTCGTAATACCGTTCCGACTGCCCATAGTACTTCCAGAGAAGATCGGCATGGAAAATGTCATCGGCAGATTTACGCTCCAGATAGGTGACCACAAAAGGAGACTTGGTTTCAAGCAACCGATCGCTCCAGCCCTGTTCAAGGTACCAGTCGTACAGACTGGTCAAGAAGACTTCATCGTTCGAGTCTGAAATGACGCCATATGCTTCGTTCCGTCGTCTGGCAATAACAGTAAATTGCCCGTCAATGACGCCGGGATCAGACGCCGCCAAGTTGTCCACAGCAACGATCACCTTGAAAACGAGGTCATAGCATTGTTTTCGGAACTCATAATACGCTCGGCGCGAATCCTTTAGAATGTCAGCAAAAGAAATCCACGTCTACGTAGGGAGAAGAGAACTTAATGACATACTTCTGACGGGCGGCCATCCATGATCCAGCCCAGGGCCAAGTTCGCCTTATCCGAGCTCTCTGCAACATTCAGGCATAGTTGGATTGCGCCTATAAAAATACGGCGTATAAGTTTTCGGCACTGCCTACGGACCTGGGAAACAACGTACCGGCAAAGAACTGGTTTTCAATGTAGTTGTTCACGGCAGAGACAAGATAATCCATGGGTAAGCTTTCAGACACCTGCTGGAAAAGGCGCAAGCTCTCGTTGAGCAAGTTGCGGCCCAGTTCGGAATTCGCACCAGCTTCAGTAGCTCGCTTGAGAAGCTCCTGAGCCTTGAATATGATGACATCCTCCGCACTGCAGAAGTTGCCGCACCTTCGTCGCAACGCATCAGCCACTGTCTCTACGTTTGAGCCTTTGGCAATGTTCCTGTTAACAATCGCCTTCACAAGCTCCTTTGCAATCTCATATCCTTTGCTGGTGCTGAATAGCTCTTCAAATGTGAGTTTCAGGAAGCGCTGCTTGGCCTCTTCGGGGAGGGCCAAAACAATCTCATCGACCCGCTCATCGAAAAGAACAAGCACAAACGAAATCCCTTCGATCGCGTCAGCGAGCAACTGGACCAGAGAGTGCAGAGCGCGGTGCTCAGCTTGGAGCGCAATTTCCTCCTGTTTGGTGGATGCACGGGACAAAGCTTCAGGACCACTCAATCCCTCGATAAAGCTCTTATTCGCCTTGAAGAAGTCTTGCAGCGCGGACAGGTCCTTTTGGATGCTCTGCAGCTTGGCAGTGCTCACTGATGGTGAAAATTGTTGAGTCCCGTTCGGCTGGCTGCTTGCAACAGCGATCTCCTTTTTCCAGATCGAGCGGAGAAGCCTGGACATGTACAAGGCGATACCAGCATGTCGCGGCGAGGGTACAATGGTGTCGATCGCTGGCGTACCGTTGTCGGCAACAGCATTTTCATTCATCGTTGGCCTTCCACCATACTCGATAAAAACCTTGCGTGCAAACTCCAGAACTTCCGGGTCGTTAATCTTTGACAGTCGAGAATCAGACGAAATCTCGACTCCTTGACCACATGCAACCGCCAAAGCAGTTGCGAGAGTTTCGCTCCGTCCGTAGGTCCGGATGAAGTTCTTCACCTCACCTTCCAGCCCTTCCTCACCACCGCCATGGCGCACCAGTGCCGCAAAGATGTCTACCAGTCGGCGGCGGCGGATAATGTGTACCCCGGTATTGGTTAAAATGGCAATTTCTGCCGCCGGGTGGTCAAATTGGATAGCAAGTTCATTCCCAAAGCCTCCCCCGGTACTCGAAGCGGAAAGCGGAGGTGAACACAAACCGATATCCTCGGCCTTACTGCCCAGTGAAAGCCAAATTGCCGACTCCGAAGCTTTCGTCGGGATAACGTTCTCTTGGGAACGAGCGATACGTCCTGAATCTGGCGCCGAGATAAACAAGGTATCTTGCTTCTGCGTGGGATCCTTGCAGGTAAAGCAGAAAAAGTACCCAGGTGGAAACCGGTCGGCGAAGCGTGTCGGATCTAAAGAATGGATGGGTACTTTTGAAGCCACTGACGACTGGTACCTGAGACCCTGCGGTGCTGTTCCACTGGGAGCAGCTGTGGCCGAAGGATTATCAAATGGGGGAGTCTTTACAAAATGTGCTTGCATGCTAGTTGGAGCACTGGTTCCACTGGGTGCAGGAGACCAGCTGTAGGAACCGGTGGCGCTCAGGTAGATACGATATCCCGTTGCGGTGGTAGCCATCAGATGATACCTCGACGCCTCGTGAGTGGGGATAGGGCTGATCGAAACAATTTTGACCTTGGGGTTCAGTGTCTCATTGGAAGCGATAATGTGTCCGATATTCGAGTAAATGTCAGAAGCGGGCTTGGTAATAGCCAGAGCTAGTGTCCCGTCCGATTTCATGTGAAACACTCTGATGGTGGACAATGACGATAGTGTGTAAAGCAGTTTCCGGGTGTCATCGACGACCATTTGCTCAACATGCTCAGACGGCTTCTGAGTAAAGCTGAGAGATGGAGTAAACGTTGCGAACCGGGAACTCGTGTGGTTGACTTTGCTGCATCTCCCCTGGAACCATTTTTCCTCCTGCTGGTAGGTGAGTTCGTAAACATCGTTATCCGATGAACCTGCGAAAAAGATCCTGCCCGTAGAATCTGACGAGGCAATGACATGGATATCGAGCCCGCGTATCGAAGTTGACATTCCGGTCTGATAAAGAGTCACTTGCTTGGCTCCACCAGCCACAGTCTCGCAGCCCACTCCCAGCAGCATGATTTCCGCCGTGGTCGATATCACAAGGACATGGGTAATAGAAGGCAGGAACACTCCGGGCCGAGGTTTCGCAAGCTTGACAGTATTTATACTGTTAGGCTGATTCTCGAACCCAACGAGCTGCGGATTCGGGTGAGTGTAGTCCCAGAGGTAGAGAGCATTGTCGATGGCAACCCATGCATGATTCAGCTCCGCAAAGAGGCCCATGCTCGTGGACACCTGCGCACGATTGTACTGGTCGAATATCTGGTCCGGGATATTGTACATCTTGATCTTGTGGAAAGGAGCCCATGATGGCGAGGCCGGGATCTCGTAATCTGACGAGAAACCTTCTGTAGGACCAGTTAGCAAAACATCGGCCCGACACAACAGATCTCAAAGAAGATGAGCAACAATTGACCCACGTGAAAGGTAGCTGTCCAAGTCTGGATACCGTGCCTCCTGGGCAAGGGTATCATTGATCGTTCGCGCAGCGCGCTCTCGAGAACTCAAGGTCTCACTCTTGACCTTGGGAGCGGCTGGTGATAGCTTCTGCAGCGCCGTAGGGGGCGAAGCTTGCGCCATGGATGAGGAGGGAGTCTTCGACTGAAAAGGAACCCCATGGTTTATTGTGCTTGCCGCCGGAGTCGGGAAATATGTTCCTGGAAGCGGTCTGGGAGGTGTAAGAGTTGGATAGGACATTGTTGTCTAGGCTGTTCGTAGCCGGGGACAGTCGCCGACTCCCCGCGTCGAACAGACACTCCGCGCACACGAGAAAAGACTGAGAATCGGATCGCAAACGATATTGCTGTCGATGACGGCGGAGGATATGGGTGTTGGAAAGGACTGGGTAGCGGTCAAGGTGCGCAGGACATGTCTCTGCCAGCCCGGCCGACGCGAGATGCAGCTGTGCAGAAGGCAAGAAAGCGTGGAGCGACAGAAACAATTTCGCGCACGGGCCAAGTCGGAGCTCGTCCTTTGTCGCGCTCCGCCGAGTACAGTGAATAGCTTCGGGCCCTCAGTGAATTTCCTATTCATTCAAACCCCAGCCTCCTGCATTATTTATCGTATTTGCCATTGATTCGTCCAATCGTTGACTCAGCAGATATCAATTGCGGTTCTGTATCGGTCTTGTCATCCTTCCGCCATGCTCAACCTTGTCCGCTTTTCCGCGCGATCGGGGCTGCGTTCTGTCCGATGCAATTCCACGGCAACCAGCGGAGCTCCTCCACTGCTGGCCAAGCTTCGTTCTGACCTGAAAGATGCTATGAAGGCAAAAGACACCGCGAGGTACGGTTTATACCCAGCCAATGCATTGGTGCTCGCTGAAGGGTCGGCCCCCTGGTCGGTTGCAACTGCTTACAAGGCTAGGTGAAGATTGAATGTGCTGCGAACTGTCATATCGGAGATAAATAATGCTTCTAAAACTTCCTCTCCTATCCAGACCGATTTACAATTGTTATCGTTAATACGCAAGAGGATAGCCCTAGCAAAAGATGCCGGTCAACAGTTTTTAGAAGCCAATCGGGCCGACCTCAAGGAGAAGGAAGATGCGCAGATTGCTGTCTTGGAGGAATACGCCAGCCAGGTTAAAACAATGAGTACTGAAGAAATACAGAGCGCCGTCTCTCAGGCCATCTCCCAGTTGCAAGGCGAGGGTAAGAAGGCTGACGTCGGGAGCGTCCTCAAGACCTTGTTTGCGCCCGGAGGCATTTTGGATGGCAAGCCGGCGGAAAGAGCCGAGGTTGCACGAATTGTCAAGGAGACAGTTGCGAAACCTTGAAAAGTAGAACATTCATATAGCTATAGTACATGGCCAATCTCCACTCTCGCCAGACACAAAAAGCGATTCACCAAAGGCCACCTATCAGCTTGACCATAAGGAACCCATCTAAAGTAGCAGTCGACGACAGCAAATTCAAATGGGAACAGAAGGAGGGGCAAAGGGCAATAGAAATAGGGAATTAAAAACGGAAATCAAAGCATCCCGGGAACATGGCAAAGGCCAAAGAGCTGACGAAAGGAAAAGCTAAACTATCACATTAAAACCTGAAGACCCCAGAGAAAAAGAATCCACCCAAGCGCCATGTCACATGCATAATCCAGAATTTTCCAGATCCCTTAAAAGGATATTCGATTCATACCTTTATTATTTCAGAAATCCGTGTCCCGTCCCCAAAGCTCGATGACCGGTAGCCGATGTCATTCAGACATGTTAAGGTTCTAGGAGAAGAATAGAACAATTCCGCCAACAGAGGTCATGATGACTCCAATCCACCACCACCTATCAAGTGTTGTGGGATCCATCTGAGTCACGAATGACCTCTTGTGCAGCGTCTGCGGGGATTCGCCAACAGCATCTCGCTTTGCCTTCCCAGTCGCCGTAACCATGACCGTGGGATTTAAGGTCGTCGTCGGTAGCATTTCTGGGGGCTTGTATACGAGATACAATGGCTGCATGGGCGTGCCGTCGAATTGGAATAAATCGAGACGCGGAACGTTGTGGAATGGATCGGTATAAACCCTGTACTCCTATAGGGGCAGTGTTAATCAATATTTTTCGTGCGTACGCGAACAACGAGTATACCTTAAAAATTTCTGTCTGATTATAGCGAGTGTATGTTGCGTAGTCGCTGGCGCAAGGCCTGGACAAGAGCTGACGGCCATCCGAGGTGAAGGGCTTCAACACAAGGGAGCCGTTGGGCTCCAAGGAGTATGTGCCATGCTGCCACAGCATGATTCCCTCGGCGCATTCAGGGTTAGAGGCTAGAAAGAAAGGTGTCAGATTTGTTCTGTCCGAAGAACCAAAAGGAGCGTTACTGACGCTGCGCAATCGCTCGGTAGTATGCCTCTTCAAAGTATCCATCGTCGGTAAAGGAATATGAAATTCCGGTGAGATCAGGTTCCTTGAGCCGGTCGGAAATTGGATCGTAAAATCCCTAAAGTCCCATATGAGGCATAAGCATTGGGGTTGTTTCTTCTCGTGAGCAGGAACGGTTGGGAGGGACGATTACGCATACCGGTCCTGTAATGACTTTGCGAGACTTGGACGACCACGTGCCTGTTAATTGGGTATCCACAGCTGCCTGAGCTGTCAAGGCCAAGGAACTGAAAAGAACGAGAGATTTGACAATATTCGGCGCCATTTTGAATCACCTCTGGATGGTGTAAAGAGATGACTGAGGTAAGAACGTAATAATTGCAAGAAGGGGCACAGCCGCCTTGGTTATTGCGTCGTCCGCCGCGGCGGGCGGTATGCGTCCATACCGTTTCGAAACCGCGCCAAGACCCGCAGTCGATCCTGAGTCCAAGAGATCATCATCGTCCAACTACGTGGTGCAGCAAATCTGGAAGATGTCCGTCGTGTGGTAGCAACCATGGCTGCTCTAAATACTGCTAAGAAAGAGTTGCGGAGAAAAATCCGAAATGTCCTGCAAAATATACCTCGAGAATCCGTCGCCAGTCAATGTCAGATCGCCTTTCTATCTGCAGAGGATCAGATGCCCGGAACTAACTAGTCGCAGCTGCGTTGGCCACCAGTAGATTATTGTCACTGCCGGAATACCGCAATGCAAAGAGAATAAGCGTTTATCTCTCTATGCCCCAGGGCGAAATCTCCACGACAGGAATAGTGCGTGATGCTCTGGCAAGCGGGAAGGAGGTTTTCATACCCTACATTCACAGTATCGAAGCTGAGCCTGCGCAGCCGAAAGTCTCGGTGATGGATATGCTCTCTCTCAACTCCATAGAAGAATTTGAATCGCTTACGCCGGACAAATGGGGCATTCCATCACTCAGCGAGGCATCTGTCCCTACGAAAAGAAACTGCTTTGGTGGCTACGGTATTGAAACAACAAGGCCGCGAAATCCTGGGGAGATCCTGGGATTGGATTTGATTGTGATGCCAGGAATGGCATTCGATGTCAATTTAAGGCGGCTCGGCCATGGAAAAGGATATTACGATCATTTTCTGAATAGGTACAGCAGAGAAGTGGCAGGCTCTACTGGCGCTCCCCAGAAGCCTTTCCTCGGTATGGGATTTCCCCTCCCTTCACCCCCCAATAAACATTTCTGATCGGGGTCCGTCCATTGTAGTTGCGCTCGCTCTAAAAGAGCAAATTCTCCCTCCTACTGAGGAGATACCTGTCGACGATCACGATTGGCTAGTAGACACGGTGATTGTCGGTGACGGGAAGTTGATAATTCGTGAAAAATAAGAACGAGACCGAACTCATCTCCCTATAACCAGTCCGATTCTTTTTTTTGGATACACAAAACCATGCCTCAAACGCCATTGACAAATAATCATCGCCCACCGGAAAATCATCGAGATTATTGTATTGCTTGGATCAAGGACACATTGTCACCCTTCAGCAGGATCTGGCCTATAAAAGACATTTAGCATCAAAAATCCTAGAGAATAACCGTAGATTCTGGCTTACCTAAATTTCTCCGCTTTTCCTCTTCGGTCTTTGTAGCAAGTCGGACCTCGACAGCGTCGTCGATGACAAGGTTCATGAACTCATCAAACCCCTAGATCACAGTCAGAGTGCGCACAATGTCAAGGACAAAGGGAACAACGTACTCGAATCTTGCCTTCTATCCGGAACGCAAGCTGCTCGTAGAGCCAAATAGATACCGTAGATCGTTGCTGGAGAAGCTTGAAGATGAAATGAATCGGGGCAAGCAGCGTCTTCCGCGCAGCTGCCGAATTATTTCCTCGGCTGGACATGGTGTGTGGTTGGGCAGACAAAACTCCGTATCAAAGGAGAAAGAGAGCGAGAGAAAGGATAGAGTAGAAGAGATTGCACAAGCTGGTTTCTACTCTGTGTTGTCGCGTGCCTTGTCGATTCTGGAAGTGTGAGGGTGAAGAGCGGCTCCGGCTCAGGCAGCTTTAAGGTTGTTGCGGCTCACGAACTTTTTTGGGTTGTTTGGGTTCCGTCACAACAGCTGTCCCCATCCCACTTCCTTGCCCTCCTTTTCTCCCTTGCCACCTACTTTCGGTCTCTGTGTACATCAACAGTCGAATTTAGGCCTTCTCCGCCTTGTATTCCATGTACTTTTAATTCATGACTTGAACAACGAACAGTTGGACCTTTCCAGCCTTGCTGACGGCTCGCCGCTCGATCCGCAACCATCCCACCTTCAGCGTACCCCTCCATCATCATGGCAACCAAAGGGAACGGCCTGGGTCAGGCCTTCGCGCCTGTCCTAGCGGCTGTCGCGACAATGCAAGGAAACGCACCACGAGCTGAGAAGGCGCACGCTCACGAGTTCCTGGAGAAGTTTCAGAAATCAGTACAGTCTCCACGCCACTCGGCCTATGTCCAACTCCTGTGGCCTCGTCTGACGCAGCTACTTTGTAGGTTGACGCCTGGACAGCTACCCATGCCCTGCTACAGTCGCCGGAAACCCCAGTGGAAGCAAAGCTGTTTGCTGCGACGACGCTGAAGGGAAAGGTGAGAAAAGACAAGCTTTACGAATCGAGGACGGGAGCTGATGGAGGATGCTGATGCTGTCAGATCACCTATGATCTCGACCAACTACCCGCCGATTCTCTCCCGGAGTTGCGCGATTCCATACTCAACCTGCTCACGGTTTACGCGTCTGGACCGCGACCGATACAAACGCAGCTTTGCGTATGCTTGGCGAATCTGGCCATACAGATGACCACGTGGAAAGACGTATTGGGAACAGTGGGGTCAACATTGGGAAGTACTGCTGGAGATTGCGTTCTGGAGTTCCTTAAGATCCTTCCCGAAGAAGTGACTGAAGGGCGCAAAATCAACCTGAGTGTATGTTCGATCGGTCAATCATCCACCTGTCCAACTTCCGTCTTTGCGCGACCCAGCAACAACCTCCGTGTTTCGGCCAAAAGCTGAGAATCTAATTCGTCGTAATGAAACTTAGGAAGAGGATCTTGCAACGAGAACCAGGGAACTGCTGGACGATAATGCGGAACAGGTCTTGCGTCTGCTTACGCAGTATGCTCAGTCTTCTGGTATGTGCTCTATGCTTCTTCAACGCTGGCCCCAAGCTTTTGCTCACATTTGCAGCGTCTGCGGCGACGAATCCTCGACTCATCGATTGCATTACCTCCTGGCTACGTGAGATCCCAGCGTCGCAAATCGTTGAGTCCCCGTTGATGAATGTCATTCTGAAGGCGCTGGACGATGACTCATCTTTCGACTCTGCCGTCGATTGCATGTGCGCAATCTACAGAGACACTCGCGAGGTTGATGACTGCCTGCCTACCATTCAGAATCTGTATCCTCGTCTGGTAGCTCTTAGGCCAAAACTTCGCGAGGCGGCGGAAGCTGAGGATGTGGAGACATTCAAAGGCTTGACCAGGCTCTTCGCCGAAGCCGGCGAGGCTTGGGTAGTCTTGGTTGCACGGCTTCCTTCAGATTTCCGCGGTCTCGTAGAGACAGTCTTGGAGTGCTGCGCTCGAGACCGCGAGCGAGAGGCGATATCTTACACCTTCAACTTCTGGTATGAACTGAAGCAATATATTACCCTGGAGCGATATGCAGAGGCACGGGCAAAATTTGCGGACGTGTACTCTCAGCTCGTTGATGTCATGATTAAGCATCTCGAATTTCCAACTCCCGAGGGAAATGAAACGGATCTTTTTGACGGCGACCGAGAACAGGAGGACAGGTTCCGCTCGTTTCGACACTCCATGGGCGATGTGCTTAAAGACTGCTGTGCAGTGATCGGAGTTACGGAATGCTTAATGAAGGCGTACCGTTTGGTGCAACAGTGGGTGTCCAAGTACGCGGCTCAGGCGAGCAATGAACACGTCCCACACTGGCAAGAACTTGAAGCTCCTCTGTTCAGCATGAGAGCGATGGGGAGGATGGTTGAGCCAGAAGAAAGCACAGTTCTACCCCAGGTCATACCCCTAATTGTCCAGATTCCGGACCAAGAGAAGGTTCGTTTCTCGGCTATAATGGCTCTTGGGCGTTACACGGAGTGGACAGCCCAACATCCAGAAACCTTAGAGGCACAGTTGAACTACGTGATCTCTGGTTTCCAGCACCGCTCTCAAGAAGTTGTTGGGGCTGCTGCTCTCGCGTTCAAATATCTAGGAACCGATTGTGCGAAATTGTTGGGAGGACACATCCCACAGCTGCACTCGTTCTACGAGTCCGTCATTGACAAACTGAAGCCGCAGAGCCAAGAGGAGGTAACGGAAGGAGTTGCTGCTGTGGTGGCAGTCCAGCCGCTTGACAAAATTTATGAATCTATGAAGCTTTTCTGTGACCCTCTCATGGCGCGAATCATGAATCTGGCAAACAACGCCAAAGATGAACAAGGCCAGAGGGCTGTTGCCGGTACGTCTCGAGGTGTATTCTCCGGATTGCTCGACAAGCTGACATTTTCCAGATCACTTGCAATTGATCACCATCTTTGTTCAAGTTGTCGCACCATACGTGGGACCGGGACAGGAGAACCCTGCTGTCAAATATTGTGGGGAAATACTTCCTATCATGAGTACCCTCGTCATGAACTTTACGACTTCTACACCCATCCTGGAGCGTGTGTGCCGGTGTTGGCGGTACATGGTGATCTCGTATCGAACGGCCATGATTCCCTTGTTGCCCAGCTTGGCGCAGACCTTGGCAGCTGGCTTCGAAGCCTCCAAAGAAGGTTGCTTCTTGTGGGCCACGGACGCCGTCGTCCGAGAATTTTCTGAAGGCGCAGAAAGCGTGGACCGCGCCACCAGCGACGCCGTCTATCATTTCTTTGAGCAGCAGACTGTCGTATTTTTGCGCATCTTGAACGATCTACCCCCCGAACAGCTTCCAGACCGTAAGTGCTCCTGAAGACCCAGAGCCAGTTCTCCAAGACCAGTACTAATGCTCTGTGTAGTGATCGAAGATTTCTTCCGCCTAGCGAGTGACGCGGTCCGCTACTATCCTAAGCAATGCATTACCTCTTCACTTGCAGTGCCGATCTTCTCTGCAGGTCTCAGTGCTCTCACTCTACAGCAGGTCGATCCGCTCATCGCCACTTTGCATTATTACCGTGACCTATTGAGTTTTGGCTTTGATACCCCGCCTGTATCGGATTTCACCGGACCTGATGGACAGCCCTATACCAATCCTCCCGAAGTACGGACGGCGGTGAAACAATTGCTTGGTGCTCAAGGTCAACTGCTGGTTCAACGGGTCTTGACAGGGATGATGTTCAGTTTCCCTGGAGACTGTTTCCCTGACGCATCCGGCGCTCTCATGACGTTGTTTGAGTTAATGCCACAGGAAGCCGGAGCATGGGTGCAGTCCACCATTCAGATGCTTCCTGCCGGGACCATGAAGCCCGGGGAGGCTGAGAGATTGATGAAGAACATCTCAGACAAAGTTCAATCTGGCGAGACACGCAAGATTCGAGCACTCTTACAAGGTTCGCAAGGCTCTATTTCTTGACATCTTTTCATCTTTCTGCCCCCCGGTACTAACACCCCTTCCAGACTTCACAAATTCATACCGACGACGGAATGTCGCGCCACGAGAGGGTCTTGGTAGACTGGAAGCCACACGTTTCCGCTTCAGTGGATAAGAATGTCCAATTCGAAGTGGATCGGGTGTTATATGAGCGCATAGTTCGAGGCGCATGTCGACACTTTTCCGGCTCGATCTACGTGGAGGAATTGCCAGCATTTGTGGCATAGTCAATGATGGGAACTCTGTCCACCAGGTGGCGTTGACTCGGTCGCAGACCAGGTCAGGCGATCGCAGATGGATTCGCAGGCCGCCTGCTCTCAGGGCTCCTATGTTTCCCAGCCAGCTTTCCCCTTTGTGTTTCTATCCTGCTCTCTAACTGCCACGGCGTGCTTTACTTGATTTGACTAGCAAGTGTGAGAAGTGCTCGACGCAAGCACCGATGGTCCATGACGCTGAGATTGTTCCCCCATGTAGCATACAATACCAGTCCAAAGAAGAAAAGGAAGAAGAATAATAGAGGAACAGAACCGTAACGAAAACATTCGTTCCTCGTATGGTGCAAGCTACCAGCCGATAATGATGGAGAACTATCGAGTTCTCGAATTTCTGGATTGTAAGACGTAAGAGTCAAGAGGCGCGTGAGGCTTCCATCGACGTCGAAACTGCTTTTTCGACTATGATATCAATCAAGCCTTGCCATTAGGAACTTAAATCACAGGTCAATCAACTTCTACAACATCTGCCGGCCGTTGCAATGAGAGACAGGGCACGTATCTCAAATTATCAATCGATCAGGATCTCGCTACACGCCGCGAGCCGGCATTATGTCCCAATTCCTTTCCAGTGCCGATCGCAGGGACCTGCCTTTTGCAACCCTATCGTTCATTAGTAAGCGCCAGCTGTTACTGGTTACCTAATTAGGCAGGTGGCTCTCACCTAAGGTCGTGCCTGCCGCCTGAAAGGCGGTCAGCCAGCCAGTTGGACTTCCTATTTACCTAGGTTGGTAAGGCATTCTAGAAACCACGCTTGGGTTGTTAGTGTTGTTGGCCTGGAGGATACCACGACCGCCAGCTAATGGCCAGCAGCCTGTCCCGTACGGTTTTTTGCCCTTGGAGCTCCTCTGGAGATTTTTTCGGCGACTACGGCGCCTCCATGCAAAATGAGTCTCAGGACAACAAATGAGCGCAAAGTCCTATCTCCGCGGTAAAATCTTGCGAATCTTCCTCTCTGCACAATCTTTGCTAATAGATATTTCAAATGAGGTTGTTTGTGGTCCCTGTGATGCCCTTTCTCTTAATCTCTTGAGGACGATGCCCTCTCGTCTCTATAGCCAGTTTGTGGTTTGTAGAGCCTTCTCCGGAAACCAGGTCTTATTTCCTGCCCACACACCCACTATTATTTCCTCATCTCGCCGGTCATTGGCAGGCAGGCCCATGGTCGTTGATCTGTCGAGTTCAATTCTTTGATCTTTCGGTCATTTCCGTCAGGGATGATCTGACCGTTGTGGCACTGAACACAATGAAACTTAGAGATTTTTCTCTATCCACCTAACCGGGACCATGAACATTAGAGGTCTTAGCGCTGTCGATCATCGAGTCGAGAGCCCTGTCCCTTCGTTTCATGATTTTGCCACCACCGTTACTATGTCAAGCGTTTCGTTGTGATGTATCCCTCCTGGATTCGATGAATTTCTCTCAATGCCTGCGCCAGAAGTCGGAGCAACTACTTATCTTGGTTGACGCTCACTTGAAGCAAATGTCCAGTGGAAAACGGCTGATCCGAATTCCCTCAGGCTGCATGGAATGCCTTGCCTGCAGGGCCCCACTAGTTTCGTCGCAGAGTGAATCGATGTACTACTCTGTACCTGACTGATCGTCATAATCTGATGCCTGTCAGAAGGAACTATGAATCCCGATCGATGTTACCACAGAAGGCGCATCTATCTACCAACGGTAAACGGTCGTGCCATTCACCTGGGGCCAAAAATAGCAACGGGATTCGCTGGTGATCCTTTGAGCATCTGCAAGTCTGACAGGTAGTAATTACTGTAGGTGAAACTTTTGGGCCATGCTGCTTGACTAGGAAATTTTTCGTACAATTTCGTGGCCGGTTGAGGTAGCCTTTTCAGGAGTATCAACCAGCGTCCCGAGCCAGTCGGGCATCAGGAGACTGACGCTATGATCCATGCCTGAATCAGAAATATTCGACGAGGAGGGAACGAGGTTTCCACCAAGAGCGGCTGGAGCCTAGAAGAGAAGAGAATCGGAAAGATGTCATCGTCCGCCTCCGATGCATCCTCTCTCCATCCTGCAGCCAGCAGCTTGCTTACTCCGTACATCGACGATTGCATTAGCCCCTGTTAGTCAACGGCTGCTGAATACCATCCGATTCAGGCGGAACACATAAGGTGACAACGTGGTTGGGTGAACCGTGTGTGCCGTGTAACTATTCTGGCAGTTGGGCTGACAGCTTGTGAAGCAGATACTAGGACGATCATTCTGGACGAAGGGTATCCTGTAATTAATGGTACCGTATATCCCTATTATTTCCGTGAGATGTTTTTTTTTGTTAAGCTCACTAATTAAGTTAGATACTGCGTGCATGATTACTTCGGCCCGCGTCCCACATATCCGCTAGTGAGGCCCAAGGAAATCGCCTTTCTTGAGGAAATGTAAATCTTTCCGCGGATGCCGCCAGCTGGCGCTAAGGATATCGACAGCGGAAACCGATCCATGACTCCCTGACGCCCGACGACGCCTCCAAAGGAAGTACTCTGTACAGTACATACGAAGTCCTCCACAATTCGCTCGCTGCAACAGTCACTATGAATAATATCATCCCAGAATCTTTTGCCGTTTGCGCTCCTCGTTCACCTCTAGATCTCCTTGTCGGAGATACAGAAAATGGATGATGTCTCGCTCAGAAAGGCAGGTGTCCCGATCGAGAGGACCAACCGGCCAAACCAAGCTGGTGAACTTAGGCCTAGCCTGGGTCCGAGTTCCAAGTAACTGGCGGCACCGGCGATGGCTTCAATAAGGTCGGGTGAACGCGGACGGGGTGCCCAGCGCATGCAGAGCCGTGTTTGGCCATGGCTACTGCGGCATCACCCAAACTAAGAGCAATCATACTTCGGTCTTAACACCGGTCTAACGTTGTCGGCTTCCAATCCTTCCTTCCATGCCTTCCATGCATCCTATCCCGAAGCCTCGTCGGTGTTCCACTTCTATCCTGGTTGATGCTCGTGCAGATTGTCTTTCTGGGGTTCCACATGGCACGTTTCTCCGCAGTCAAACACACGCGAGTCCATCAGGCATGAAGCCTGAGGATGCGTTGTGTGCCTCGGTCACTCGGATCAGCTGTTGGAACTAACTCCTCAGACAAATTGTAAATACGGCAGCTCCTGCGCGTGGAGTCGAATCTGGAATGCCGTCATCCGGAAAATGCCACGACTGCAACGACTACTAGCCTTGCCATGTCTGACGCGTGACTACTACACTCTAGACGCAAGCTACGTTGATGAACTTGGCCATTCTTGACAAGTCAGAGGATCGAAATTCAGATCTAACTGACCCTGGAATCGGGCTCCAAACTGGCAGATACGCCGTAACCCAGGCTCTCAGGCTACGAGATCGAGACGGAGTCCTCCGCCTTCCGGACACGAGCCGCTTACCCCCGATTGCAGGACTGAGCATGGCTGTATCCTCCGGACGATAACTGACACAGAATAGTCCGAGGTGATTATGGTGAACTGCCGGTAATAATGACGGACCACCTAGCACCCAGCATAGACGATATATGTACTCTATACGGAGTAGTACGGAGTACGCACTGTACATAACAGTGCGCACTACATCCACGTGGGTAGCACGGGGCGATGGACCATGCGTAGTACAGTGGACATCACGATGCGCAGATCTGCGTCATAGCATCCAAGCCAGTCCACAGGGGCTTCTCCAGCAGCTAGTCGGCGGAATTCGAGCAGCATCTCGATCCTGACTCGCCCCATGTTGTCGGGGAACTGCTCCGTCTGTCGCAGTGCTTCTTCAACTGTGTCATCGTGGATATTATTAATTACGTGTTGTTTAAGCTTGTCGCTCTGTTTCATGCCAAGAACTGTCCGGCTTCCTGTGGCAGCGGTCTCCGCAAAGAACGGTGGAAATGATTGCTTCCAGCACGAGCAAAACAACCGCTAAGCACGAGGCCCCGCCGGACTGTGCTCCGGAGGCGCGTCCAGCGGGCAGCCACGGCCTTGCTCCGACTCGACTCTTTGTACGCCTCCTCCCCTGCCCTCTTTTTCCTGGCCAGCCATGCAATTGGCTGATTCATCCAAGGATTTCCTGTCTTGTCGATTTTCTTCGATTTTTTTTTCTTAGCCTGGTCACCTGCTTCAGCCCTGTTCACCGACGGGGTCGCTCCAACTTGGATCCATGGATGTGCTTTTAATCCCCTCTCTCCTCTCCTCTCGCCTTTCCAGAACGCTCGGGCGGTTCGCAGACCGAGACTCCCCCTCTCCGGCCTCGCCCCCTCTCTCCCCACAGTCACCGCTGTAAGACACATGGAAGCCAAGCAACCACGGTCCAAGCTCCTGCGCGACATCCATCACCGGCGAATCCAGAGCGCATAACGCCTGTACATTGTGCTCGTTGCACCTGTCACTACGGGATCTGATGGGCTCGTTACACAAGATCCAAATTCCCGCGAATAGCAATAGCAGGGGAATTGGTTAATCATTGCAGCTGCACATTGATCAGGACCGTCGAGAAAGCCGACAGCGGGTCTGTCGCCTCTTGAAAGCCCTCCTGGACCCGGCGCGGACGGACAGAAAGAAAGTGACAATGACGCTGGCCATCGATGCGATGGCAGAGGTGGAGCAATTCTCGCGAGATCTCCGGCGAGGGTGCGATCCCACCAGCGACAGCAACCTCCAGAACGGTGACCGGACCGCCAATGGCTCGCCCAAGAAACGAAAGAGAAGTCGCAAGGCCCAGCCGGGCAAGAGATTCGAATGCAAGCACGAGGGTTGTGGGAAGAGCTACACCAGAGCGGAGCACTTGTACCGTCATCAACTGAACCGTAGGCTGGCCCCGTCGTCATCCTTGGAGGAACATTGTTCTGATCTGCCCTCGCCGTCCTTTTCTAGACACTCCCAAGCAGATATATCGATGCGACTTCCCGGATTGCTATCGTTCCTTTGTCCGCCAGGACCTCTGTATCCGCCATCGGGAACGACATACCACCCATGGCTCCCAACTGCAAAAGCGTGACAACTTCGCCCTGGCCGCCAGCAACATGGCCTCTGTCAGTCGTCCGCCTCCTCCTCCTCCTCCTCCTCCTCCTCCGTCGGCACCTGCCCGGGATGAGAGCATCTCAACTCGTAGCACTGCAGCTATGGTTTCTCCGCCGTCGACGTCCACCAACGTCGCCCCTCCATCGACCGTTGCGGGCTTGTACACCTCGACATTGGGGCCTGCCATACCGGCGGAAGGCGCCTATCAGCCATTGACACCGCAGACAGGCTATGGCAGCTCCGACGCAGGTGTCAAGCAGTCAGACAGCGGGAGCAGCTACACCTTGAGTCCGGCCCAGCCTCAATCCGGCCCGACGTACGGACCTGCGAAACTCCCAACCACGTACGCACAGCTCGAGACGGCCAACTATCACAATGCCCCATTCAGCCCGAGTGAACTGGGACGCAGTCCAACCACCGCCAATTCTGGGTCGGCAGTGGCGTATTCCGGATTGCCCATGTCAACCCTGCCCCAGTCTGGGTATTCTACCTCAAATCTCCATCGCGAAGCATCAGTTCCCTATACGACTGCGGGGCTCAGTGCACTGGACACCGTCGCTGGTGGTATCGTCCCCAGTTCCACTGTTGACGGCGAAACAAAGTCGTACCCTTACCCAGTGTTTGGTGGAGAGACCTACAACCGATCGCCGTTTGCCATGGCTGATGACTTTACTGCCTGGCTCTTCAACGACCCGGGTTCCGGCTCATCGCCTGTCAATTATTCAGCCATGCTGCCCTCTGGCTACTCCGATCCCACCCAGGTGCAGACTCCGTTCTTCATGAACGATCAGACGTATGGTTCTTACCTTGGCAACGTCGCCCCACAGCATCCAATGAGTGTCACAAGCATTCTGGATTCGGCGCCCCCCGAAGCCATGATGTCGGAGGAAAAACGGCAAGATATTCTACACCTGATCAGCACCCGATTTAACGACGCGGCGCATTCGGCGGTCCGCACCCGGAAGGAAGAATTGATGGAAGGCGACATTGACGCCGACGACCATATTTTGAGCCTGCGCATGATGCAGACGTATGTGGGATCTTACTGGTTACATTTCCACGCGCAATTGCCGATCCTACACAAGCCCACCTTTGTCGCGGACAGGACTCCAACTCTTCTGCTGCTTGCGGTTATGGCAATTGGTGCTGCAACCCTGGAAAAGATCCACGGACACACCGTCACCGAGATGGCCGCCGGTCTAGCCAATTTCCTGGCCTGGCACATTCGTTGGGAGATCTTTATGGATGCAGACTTTCGCCCGCCGGCGAAGCTATGGGTGTTTCAGACCTTGCTCCTGTTGGAGGTCTACGAGAAGATGTATTCGACCCGGGCCCTTCACGAGCGTGCCCACATCCATCACGATACCACACTGACCCTGATGCGCCGTGGCAGCTCGTTGATCGGGAGGTCCTCCTTCGATTCACCAGCAAGCTTTCGTGAAGACCGGCAAGGGCGGTCGACGGCGATATCGGATTCCGGGACTACCGACGATTCATGGGCGCACTGGATCAAGACCGAGGCCACAAGGAGGGTTGCGTTCGGCGCCTTTGTTATGGACTCGATTCACGCCACCATGTTCGGCCATTCGGCAAAAATGGTGGCCCATGAGATGCGACTCCCACTCCCTTGTGATGAAGCGTTGTGGTCGGCCACTAGTGCTGCCGAAGTGGCTCGGATGCAGGCGAGCCTACAGGCCAACGGGGTCAAGCCCATCATGTTTCTTGATGGCCTCAAGAAGACGCTCACCGGGCAAAAGGTGCGGACCAACGCTTTTGGACGGACCATCATCATGGCGGGTCTGCTCAGCGTCAGCTGGCACATGAACCAACGGGACCTCCAGGTCAGCTCCCTGGGTGTTGTACAGGCTCTGGGAGGTCGAGACAAGTGGCGATCAGCTTTGCTGCGCGCCTTTGACAACTGGAAACGCGATTTTGATGAGGCCTTGGCTGAGTCTGGCTCCCGCGCGTATGCCAACTTGTTTCAGCAGCAGTTCAATGAGCAAGACATGTTCGAATCCCGCACCGTACTACACCATCTGGCTCACATGGCCTCCCATGTCGATATTGTTGATTGCCAAATTTTTGCTGGTGCAGGCCGGCTTCTGGGCCGGTCCATCACGCCCAAAGACTATAGCACAGCACGGGAGAAGATGACGGAACATTGGGCGACGAAAGCGTCAGCCCGCGATGCCACGTTCTATGCGCTCAAGTTTCTCGCCCAGGTGTTGCTTCCGGCAAATGATGGCCGTGTGGGTCCAGACGGAGAGTCTTTGATGAAAGCGCCGGGATATTCGGCGCGCGAGGATTTCCTTCTGAATCGCTCATGGGTCGTTTATTTTGCTGCTTTGGTGGTCTGGTCGTATGGCTACGCGCTCGAAGGCCCCATCCCGTCGCCTCCGGAGCTGAACACGGTGGCCGATCAGATTCGGGACATGCAGCACTTCTTCGATACTGTAGGCGCAGTTCGCGAACCCAACGATCTCGAGAAAGTCACGGGGCGAAATCGGTGCATGGGGCTGCTGATGATTCTGCGGACCAGCTTTCTCGACACGCGATGGGAGCTCCTACATGAGGCCGCCAATCTTCTGGAAAGCTGTATCGGGAAGTTAAAAGGGCCGCTTCCCCCAAAATAGCGAATTTAACTTGAAATATCCACTTTCAAGGGACGGACTGTATTTTTGATGATGGATGGACATTCAACGAAAGTCATTCCAGACTTGCGGCTGTCTGTATATACTTCACGAGTCGACGAACTTCTTTTTTGGATATATGTTTCTGGCGATGGATGAAAATAGGTAATGGGAATCTGGCGCTTGTGCTGGAGTGAATCATGGTTCCTCGAAGCTGGTTCTGGTCTGCTGATATTATGATACCGCTGTGTTGTGGGGTTTTTTTTTCTTTTCTTGAAATTTGTATATATATAAAATATATCTATCTTTTTGGAGTGTCGAATTTCAGATGCACATACTCTTGGAAGTTACATGCATTGAGTTGATGCCTGTCGATATGTATTCTTAGAATGTGTGTATAATGTATATGATACTACACCGATACCAACTAGGAGCCGCTAACGTCCATCGTGTCTAACAGGTACAGAATATGGAGTGCCGCGAAATAGACTACGACTGAAGATGACGCTTTTTCCCTCCTGACAACTGCTGCAATTGATCCTCCAGAGCCCTGATTCGTTGCTTAATGTCTCTCTTTTCTTCTGCGAGCCACTCCAGATCATCTGCACCTGCGTTTTCAATCCCCCGGTCCACCAATGTTTGCCTTCGTTGAAATGACCCTATGCCGTCCTTGATACTGTCTGCGATCGCTACGCCAACGGCTGTTCCACCAAACGGCTTGTCTTCTTCCACCAGCTCCTTCTGGATATCAAGCACAACTTTTGCGTCTCTGAAGAAACGCCTGACCTTGGCACCATGACGAATCTCCTCACTCCAAAACTCCTCCTTCAATTCCTGCTCATGACGTTCTCCCAACTCGTCGTCATACTGAGTACCCCAGAACGTGGTTACAAAAGCAATTTTGCTGAACGATTGCATGCCGCACAACTTGCGAAGATAGTTCAGATTGCTCACAGCCGAGCCGGTCATGCGGGGTGCGGCGATATTTTGCATGTAGACGACGCCGGAGGTCATGAATTGAGCACGATATGTGACCTCGAGGTAGTCTGCGAGTTCCATTATCAGGTCCACGTCCGGCCGATAGGTATCATCGAAGCCAGGGCTGTCGACAAGGTTGTAGTTGATTCCATTCTGCACGAAACGCACTGATTTGAAGGTCCTAGTCTCTGTCAACTGGTTAACGGAATCCCTTCGATAAAGGAAGGCTTGCGCCTACTGGACTTTATTGAATGCCCGACCGCACCTGCTTCGTACCCTGCAGCTGCATTCAAGAAGGTGGTTTTGCCGCTCCCAGTGGCCCCAAGAATAACGATGAGGACCTCCGAGTCCCAAAACTGCACTCGCTTTGCGGGATTTGATGAACTAGCGGGGTTAGTATGAATCCTATCTGGACATGATTTGTTCTCCTCGCTCACACATGAATCCCTATAAGCGTGGCTAACGCAACCGTATGCATGGTCATTCTCGCTCGCAAACCGGATGTATCCTCCGTGGCCACCATTCCTAACTTCACCCGCCCAAATACCCGCTTGAAGATGTTTCGACTGTGACGGACTGCGTTCTTGCTCGCTGCAGCTGCAGCTGCAGACTCGTCCTTGGTGACCAGGCTCAAGAGCTCATCCAGATCGGCGCGGCAGTTCTCGGTCACCGTTCTGAAATTGCTGGCCTGCTCTTCAGTGAGATCTGCATGACTGCAAAACTGATCCATATGACGCGAACTGCCGAGACGTCTTCAAGCATATGGCGATATTGCTGCGGCCCGTTGTGGACGGCGTTGTAGACCTGGACCGCCAGGGTTCCGATGGCGATGGCATCGCCAACACCGTACCCGAAGCTCATTTTGCTTGCCAGGTCCTGAAGCCATTAAACTGCTGGCCAGATGGGAATTGCAGGATCCAGCAGGGCTGCGCATTACAAGGAGGGGCTCAGGCTTGTTTCCCAACACAGGTCTTCGCACGACTCGGATGGATGTAAGCAAGCCTTGGGCGCCACGTGAATGTTACTGGACGGGGCATCAGTCCCATGTCGTGAGACTCTCATTCGATAAGTCGCGACGGCCGACAGGGGTATGATAGGCAGCACGAGATACGAGCAGTGCTCCGGGAGTCTGGCCAGTCAGGAAATGGTCTCAAGCCATAAGAGCCTTGATATATTCCCAACATCGTCTCTATTTAGGATGCTCTCAGAGTTGCTTTACAGCTGCAGGACGATAAAAACAATATATTCTGACCAGTAGATAATGAACTAGAAGCCCTAGATAACAAGATGAAATGGTTGGAGCAAAATTCAAAAACAATGAGGAGAATAGGGCTGGCTATATGCCAGAGTCGAGAATATTCTATCCCGTTTGTTGTCATGGATAGCCGCCTGTTTCACGGATGAGAATGCTTTATTCTAGAGGTTGACGATTATATATTACCTATTTGGGTACCTTCTTGGACTGTCTTTTTTATCTGTGGGATCCCTTCATGTGTGAAATATCCCTCGTAACTGACTGGCGCAGAGGCCCTATAGCTGTCCTAACACAGACCTGGACTGATGCTGGAGTATTCTAAACGCCAGCAGAAGAGTATTCTCGAGAAACGATAATTTTGGAATGAAATAAGGCCATATCATCAAAGCCACTGAATAGGTAATACTACAGTAAATAACCGTGCCCTGAAAAAGAATTGGTCGCCTAAGTTTTGCACCGATGTTCTATATTGCAGTGAGCCCATGCCATCTTGCAATAATGCACGGAGTACACTGTGCACCGTATATATACGTAGGAGCTAGGATCTTATGACATCACGATCAGCTGCTATTCAGCCTATTCTATTCTAGGAGTAAATCGACTGCGGTGGACCATCGTGGGCCTCAGGGACGCCGTAGTTAGGGCGGTTACCACAACAACCGGGGGGAAGCTAAGGGGTCCGATCCCCCTTGCTCTGCCACACAGTCGAAACCTTCCCGGTTGATTATTGTTGATCGATTTCCTTTCAAGAAAATAATTCATTGTTGCCTCGCATTGTTGTCTTCCTAATTTTGTCATCGACCTTCCGTCCGTGGTTCTCTCGATCGACAACCGTGTGCCTTTGTCCTTGCGTCGTCCGATTGTCGACCGTATTTTCATTTCATTGCCTGTGCGACCATGGTACGTAATGTAGCCTGTGAACTGGAATCGAGATCGTGTGCTTCCTGTGATTCCTTCGCGGGGATCTAAGAGGCAGAGAGAGAGCGGAGCAGAGCAGAGTAGAGCAGCGACAACAGTTGGATTTTTTGTTGTTGACGGTTGGGTTGGTGGTTGGCACGGAGGCGGTTTTTTGGTTCGCCATTCGTCGCCAGCACGCGGCCGGGGTGCATCCAGACGGGCTGGCTGGAAGCCTCGCGAAGGACTCACTGGCCCTGCAACTGGACCGCCTCGTGGTCTGTTCTGTTGTGATGTTTCCTTTTCCTTGCACAACTGGGTCTGCGTCCCATCTTAAGTGACTGGCTGCGCTGACCGCTCTGCTCTGCTTTGCTCTGCTCTGCTCTCTATCGCTCATTCCATTCCTTTCCCTCCTGCTTGCTATCTTCATCATCCTCTCCTTCCATCGCTCAGCTCAGTTCTGCTTTTTCATCCCGTCAAAATGTCTGGCTCACAGAACGACCAGGCCTCGACCAACTACAAGGAAGCCTTCTCTCTGTTCGACAAGCGCGGCAACGGCCGTGTCTCTGCCGAGTCGCTGGGCGACCTGCTGCGCGCGTGTGGCCAGAACCCCACTCTGGCAGAGATTCGAGAGCTGCAGAAGGGTGTTGGCAGCGACTGTACGTGACTTTTCTGTCTGCTATACGACGGGTTCATGCTGACAGCTCGACTGGGCAGTTGACTTTGAGTCCTTCCAAAAGATTCTGAACCGCCCTGGTGGCTTCCGCGATCCCGGCGAGCCAGAGGAGTACTGTCGGGGATTCCAAGTTTTCGACAAGGACCTGACGGGGTTTATTGGTGTGGGACAGCTTCGTTACAGTACGTGCTGATAGCAGCGCTGGATCGTGGATCGGTGGATGGACAACTGACTGGCATCTGCAGTCCTCACCAACCTGGGCGAGAAGATGACAGATGAAGAGGTCGACGAGCTCCTGAAGGCGGTTGACACCAGCTCGGGAGAGATCAACTACACCGGTATGTAGCGAACGCGCCTACGCCATAGACAGTATCTGACGGAGCTGAGCTGACATCGCGACAGAGCTGGTCCGCACGATTCTGGCCAACTAAGCTGATCACGATATGATTCCTGATGCTGATACCTGATACCTGATACCTTTCTTCTCTGCTCTTTACGACACGAACGATTCTGCTTTGCTCTTTTTTTTTCCTCGCCTCGCCTCTTCCCGACTTTTATTCCGATGGTTTGCATGTCTCGGTCATAGGGTTACTGGTATGCATTCATAAATGGATCGAGGAGCCGCTGGGCGAGTGTCTGTGCGAGTTCCATTGATTGAGTTTGGACGGTTTATGTTTCATTCAAGCTGGATTGATTGATTAGGTGGTCGGCGTCGACGTGGATATATTATCTGGAGGAAAGAGAACGGCAACCTCAAGATATTCTATCCTATTCCAAACACACCACGAATACATATGAATATGCATATACATACGTACGGCTTATGAAGTATGGAGAAGTAACATGAATGAAATGGGAATGCTACCCGAGTACGAATGAGCTGGGCTGAACTGAACTGGATTCAATCAATCAATCAATCAACCGTCCACATACCTTTATTCATTCTTGAATTTTCATTCACAGCTGTCCCGTCAAATACGCAAGTAATCTCCCAACTGCAGCGAAAAGCTTTTTCTACTCTATCCAGACAATTAATTAGCATGGGCATTTTATTTGCAATATGCAACCGGAATCAATCAAGATTACGTAGGTATTATTATCAGGTCTATCTATCTATCTTATTTCTTTTTTTTTAAAAAAATTATTTATTTATTTAATTATTTAATCCACTCCTTCCACTCCCTCTCAAAACTTTGAAGAATAGCATTCTTGTCAATCGGGATGTCGACTCCTCCACCTCCACTTCCTCCTCCACCTCCACCTGTTCCTTCTCCTGGCCCCAAATCCTCAGTCGCCACCAACGCTCCCGGAAGGATGTACGCGACTTGATTGTCGTCCTCGTCTTCATCCTCTTCGTCTTCATCTTCTCGTTCTTGCTCTCGTTTCTGCTCCTGCTTTTCTGTCTTCTGCTGCTGCTGCCGCTGCTGCTTCTTCCTCTGCTCCTCATCAAGCACATACCCCATCACAACCCGACACCGACCACAGCGCAGAAGGATGCGTTTTTCGAATCCGTCTTCTCGGCGGATCACAGTCGGTTTGCGGTCGGGGATTGTCGTCGAGAGGAGGATTGTGTAGTGTTGCTGCTGCTGCTGCTGCTGTTGTGTAGCTGCAGGTTTTGTTGTTGTATTGCTGCCGTTGTTCCGGTGGTGCTGCTGTTGCTGTCCTTCTTGCCGATCCTTCTCATTCTCATCCGTATCCTTAATTCTATTTTCTTCGTCGTCTTCCTCCTCTTCTCCTTCATCAGAGAGATTACTGCCACTGCCAGACCCCTTCCTCAGCGCCCTCCTCGACGGCAACGGCACTATCAACGCCCGGTCCTGCGCTAACCCCCCGCGTCGCGGTATTTCGCCTGATAGGAGATCCTGTGTCGTTGCGACGAGCAGGTGGCTGCAGAAACGGCAGTGGTAGGTGCGGATGGGGAGGCGGGGGCGATGGTGAGGACGAGGGCGGTGCGAATGCGAATGCGAATGGTCGGGTTCTGGCTCAGGTTCGGGCTCAGGCTCGCCTGGTTGTTGTTGTTGGTGGTGGTGGGAGTCTGTTTCTGTGCTCATTTCTTTTTCTGTATGTATTGTCTTTTCTGGGAGAGTGGACTGCGCCACTGGAAGGTATCGATTGACTGATTGACTGACTGATTTTGTCGAGTGAGTGAGTGAGTGAGCGGACCGATTATTATTAGGCGGTATACTCAGTAATACCGTAGGTACACAATAATCCCGCCGCAACCAATTCGACAATTCCTCAATTCTTCAAATAATAAATAATAAATAAGATAATTAATTAAGCAGCGGGGTTTGGGATAAATATCCCAGATACTATTAGTTATTCGTTAGTCCGCATGGGCGGTTACTTTGCTAGTGACGATTTTCAGGTCCAGTGAGAGCACGGGCCAGGCAAACTAGGTACCTAAACTAGTTAACTGAAGTTTGAACTGATTAGATAAGTGATATTAGGTAAGAATGAATAAATGATTGTCAGAAATATACAACGTAATGTACAGTACAGTACATACATTCGATTATTATTTAAATACAGTACTTGCATAGGTTCCTAGGTAGGTTTGGAGTACAGCAATTGTATGTACATATGTACTGTCTGGATTTATTATTATCGAGTCTAGTCAATTCCATTTCTGGCTTATACGAGCTAGTATGTACTACATAGTACTGGCCAACGTAATCAGCTTCGTGTACGTGTATATGTACGACATCCAACTTATATCTACTCTATTATAATGGAATACATCACTAATAATGTATTTATTTATTGTATTGTTTCTTTCTTTCTTCCTGTCTACCTCTACTCGCTGCTAGGTAAAGCATACGTACGCCTAAGCCAACCCCAATTCCTCGTAGAAAGCGTCCGTCTTGGGCTCCCGGCCCAAAAACTCGGTCAACGTCTTCATCTCGTCCTGGCTGCCGCCCTTCTCCAGGACAACGTGGCGGTACCGACGGCCCTCCTTGCCGTTCATCGGGTCGGACTTGAATACCGTGTAAAACATGTCTGTTGAGTAGACTTGCGAGCTGCATCGTCATTAGCACAGACGATATACGACTCCAGTGATATGGATATGGACCTACCTCAAATACCCATAGTATCCCGCATCGTACCCCCCCATCAAATGCCCAAATGTCGCCTGGCCGTGCCCCCATTCGTTGCCCTGCCCAAGCACCTCCGGCCCCTCGATCTGCGAAATCTCCTTGCGCAGCTTGTTGTACGTCTCCGAGATGTTCATCTTCTCGATCGCCTCGTGGCTCGCCGGCTCGTGCACCGTCATGTCGAAGATGCCAAAGTGCAGCTGCCGCAGATTGAACAGCGCGTCGTTGACGTGCTTCGTCCGGATCAGATTCTCAATCAGCTCGTCTGGGATCTTCTCCGGCGGCTTCGCCGCCCCGATCGGCGCCTGCTCCTCCCAGGACTTAAAGTACTCCGGCGACAGCGTCGAGTAGTGCTGGCTCAGCGACTTCAGCTGCCACGGCGTCCAGCACCAGTTCTCCAGCATCTGGCTGGGCGCTTCGACAAAGTCCCGCACAGTGTTCGTGCCGTGGAACCGCGAGTACGTCGTCTTCGACACGAGGTCGTGGATCCCGTGTCCCAGCTCGTGGAACAGCGTCACCACCTCGTCGTGCTTCAGCAGACTGGGTTTCTTCGGCGTTGGCTTGGAGAAGTTGCACACCAGCGCCGTGGCCGGGTATCTGCGTTTGCCGTTGACATCGATGAAGCCCTACATCACGTCAGTCAAATCGGTTCCGCCGGGAAAAATATTAATAAGGGTGCCTACCGGCTGCAAGTTAAAGTTGGCCGCATGCCCGTATTTGCCCTCACGCGGGAATAGGTCCAGATAAAGATAACCGACAAACCCACTGCCCTGCTCCTCGTCGTCCCACACGCTGAAGATCTGCACGTCCTCGTGCCAGACAATGTCGTTGCCCTTGCCGGTCTCGGCCACCTTGTCCCTGTCCTCGCCGGTAATCTCGACGAAAACAAGGCCGAACAACTGTTCAAAAATCCCCAGCATGCCTCGGATGGTCGTCTGCAAGGGGAAGAACTCCGCGATGCGCTGCTGGTCGAGCGAGTACTCCTTCTCCAGCATCAACCGGTCGTAGAACCGATGGTCCCAGAGGTAGTAGTGGCCGTCGAACGTCTCGCCCCGGGACTCCAGGTCCTCCTTTTTCAGCTGCTTCAGTTTCTCGAGCTCCTTCTGCCCTCCGGCGGTCAGCCTTGACCGCAGATCACCCAGGAACTTGTCCACGGTCTCGGGGGTCTTGGCCATCTTGTCTTCAATACGGAACGCCGCATGGTTTGGATACCCAAGCAGCCGGGCCGCCTCGTCACGAAGAATCATAGCCTCCCGGAACAAGGGCACGTTCTGGTTGCACTTGTTCTCGTTGGCAATCGCAACACGCTTGCGCGTCTCGGCATTCTTCGCGTATTTGAGCGTCGGGAAGAGATCGGGATACTTGAACGTCAGCCGAAGCTTGCCTTCGTTCTCACCTTCCCCCTTCTGCAACCCGGACAGAACATCCTCGGGCACCCCGTCCAGCTCCTCGCGGGTGAACCAGATACCGCCGTTCTCCTCGTTCAGATTCTTCTGGAACTCGATGCTGAGCTGGCTCAGACGCTTCTTGATCTCCTTGAAGCGGTCCCGCTGCGGCCCAGCCGGCAGTCCCAGTCCGTTGCGGATGTAGTCCTTGTGCTCCTTCTCCAGCAGCCGGCGAGACTCCGGATCGAGATCCTCATTCTTCTTCAGGACCGCATCGACGAGCCGGTACAGGTCCTCACGCATCGACGTCTCAATGGCAAAGTCATCGAGGAGCTTCTCGGCCTCGCTCGAGGCGTCTCGCAGTTTCTGGTCCGTCGAAACGGCCTGGTAGAAGGCCAGGATGTGCGCTTCCAGGGTCATTTGGTTCTCGTCGTGGGCGAGCGGCAGCAGGACGTTCGCAAAGGTCGCCGCTTCAGGCTGCACACTTGCCGCAACCTGGTCCTGCACCTTGCGAGAGCGCTCAATCAAGCGCTTGGTGTCCTCGACAATGGATGTGGGGGTGGCCGTGAACAGTGGAGGCGGCTGGGGCGGCGTCCGCAGTTTCTCTGGAGCCATGCTTGCGGTCGTGATGGGCCTGAAGATGCTCGACGATATGAGGGGCCTTGACGGTCGTAGCTGGTGCAGCAGCGCGGAAAGTCTGAAGGTGGTGGTGGTGGGGGAGGAGGAGAGGCGGAGTGGAGGAGCCAGGATGACGGCGATGCTCAAGACGAGCACGAAACTGGTGAAGAAGAGCGATTTGGAAAGGCGGGGGAGTGCGGCAGCCAGATCGAGGGAACCGGGTGGGACAATGATTGGTACCTAATCAGAAGGCCAGTCCTGCAGCTAGAGGTGTCGCGACGTGATAGGCACTGCGTACTGCTCAGCATTAGCAGGTGTAACTTTGCGGCGGGAGGCATTCCCGACGTATCAACAAACGCACAGGCCAAGAGGGTAGGCAATTCACAGTAGCAACTGGACACTTTTTTTTTTGACTGCTTCGTTTCAATATCTACGTAAAATATCTCTTCGAGTATCAGGTTGAAGTAATTTGCATCCTTGTCTGTGAAATTATCCAACAACCGGTGGTTGGTGAGATTACCCTCCTCCCCGCATGAGAACTCCGTTGCACATGACTCGAACTAACGACTTTGTCATCTACTGGTTTCTACGTCGAACACCATTTCCAGCACAACAATCGTCATCATCATATATTGCTATTCATGATGGACAGTGCTTTCATCGTCTGCTAGTTGTTCTAATAGATATGCATCGACTTCCAAGTCAAACCGCAAGTCATTCACCCCGTACCCCGCGAACTCCGGAACTCCAGATAAGCAAGGACTCACGAAACATCTCAAAACGCAAGTTCACCATAAAAACGACGATTTTGGGAGTGACTATACGCTCCCGACTGTGGCACTCGATTCAGCGCAGAGCGAGACTGAGTGCAGGAGAAGACAAGAGTAGAGATCGGGGCGAGGGGCAAAATGACGATGAACCGCGATGTTGGTAACAGTACAGATAACCCAGTGGAAAAAAGACAAAAAAAAAAGAGAAAAAGACAAAAGAACGGTTCAGGAATAGTTACAGTAGAGAACATTTCAGATTTCATCATCATCATCATGAAACCCTGATTAAGCAGCATCCGCCGTAGGGATGGGTTCGGGGATCTTCGTCACCTGCTGGCCGGCACGGACGATGCGCTGGCCGTTGTCATCCCGGACGTAATCCACGTCCTTGTTCTCCTTCTGGGCCCGCTTCCAGATCTCAACCTCAGAGCCGCCCCGGATGACAGCCACCCGCATCGTCGACAGGAGGTTGTGAGCGGCGTTGGAGTGGTTGTAGACTCCACCATTGAACATGGCAGTGGCATCCTTTCCAATGCCGGACATGATCATGGCCTTGCCACCGGGGTGGTCCTTGATGAAGTCGGTCACATCGTGCACCACACCGGCAACCGCAATGAGGCCCCGGCCGTTCTTGCACTGCTCGACATAGTCGTCCCACTCCATGACCGGCAGCTGGTCGAGGGGAGTACCCCAGTCCAGCTTGGCGCGTCGCTGGTCGAGCTTCTTCTGCAGCTGTTGCACACGGCCCTTCTCGATCTCGTTGGACCGGAACTGCTTCAGGTTGTACGCGAGGCCGAGCTTACTCCAGATCCAGATGGTCCATTTCGTCGGGTCGTACTGGTGCCATTCGATGGCGTTGCGGTAGTCCGAGGGGAACTCGTGGTGGAAGTTGTGGTAACCCTCACCCAGAGTGACGAGAGCGGTAAGGACGTGGTCTCGGGGAGAGTTGCGGTCGTCGAACGGCTGCTCGCCAAGCCAGTGAGCCAGCGAGTTGACACAGAAGGTGGCCTGCTGGACGAAGAAGATGCGCAGGATGCCTGCGTAGACGAAGCCACCCCACCAGTCACCCCAGCCGAGGCCAGCCACGAGCATGGGGACAATGAGGCCCATGATGACGACGACTTTCAGGTAGTTGCGGTGCTGCCACACGACGACGGGGTCCTCGTTGAGATCGGAGATGTCGGTGCGGCCAATGCGCTTGGGGTTCTGCTTCATGACCATCCAGCCAATGTGCGAATACAGGAGCCCCTTGCGGACGGAGTAGGGGTCCTTGTCAGTGTCGGTGTAGCGGTGGTGAGCACGGTGGTCGCGAGCCCACCAGCGAATGGAGCCCTCGACGGCACCACCGCCGACAAGGGCCAGCCAGATTCTCAGAGGAAGACGAGCGGAATAGGAGCAATGAGCCCATAGACGGTGGTAGCCTAGATCACACATGGTCAGTTACCCGCTTCGGCAAGAGACTAAATCTCATCCATTCCGAACTCACCAGCTGTGATGCCCAATCCGGTCCAGAAGTAATAGACGACCGCCCAGATAGCCGTCTTGAGCTGCAGAGGCACCCAGAGGGCCTGGATGCAGCCGTACAAGGGAATGCCGATGATGAGGGTGACATTCAGCCAGTTGACATGCTTGTACCAGTTTTGCAGCGTCACTGGCGTGTCGGCAATGTGCACCTTCTTGGAGTCGGCGGAGGCCCGAGGGCGGGAGGCGTCTGCGGAACTGGCAGACATGGTGACGAGGGGCTCTTCTCCCTGAAGACGTTGACCTTTACTCTCTGGGTCTGGCAGGAGAGAAAAGGAAGTCGAGAGGAGCAGAAGGGGGAAGAGGAGGAGGAGGAAGGGGGGAGGAGAGGAGGACGATGAATTTTTTGTAAGAAAAAAAATGAAATAATGCCAGCGAAGAATGCCAGAGACAAGGCGGGGAGGCAGACTGATATGTAAGGCACCCCCAGTGAGCCGGGGTCCACTGCAGCCAGGCGGCGTTGGGGAAACGGACGCGCTGGCGGGCGAGAGGAAGAGCACTCACTGGCTCGACAATGCTCGTTGATGCTGCTGCTGCAACGAGGGCAGTGCGCTTTCCGGTTTCGTGGAGCGCCGAGGCATCCGAGGTTTCACCGTATTTCCATCAGCTGCTGACAAGGAGGCGGACGGCCTGGAGGCAGGCATGCGGTGGCCTTCTCCATCGGCTCTTTCTTGCTGTCGTCGTCGTCCTATCTGAACTTCTGAATGCTTTCCTTTCCGTTGGGTCCTCAACCCCAACGCTTTTGCGAACTGCCGGGCGGCGTGCAAGGCACGGCCGCTGATTGGTTACTGTGGCACTGGTTCCCGATCTGTGACACGCTGCATCCGCCTATCAGCGCTCGCGGCGGCTATCGCTGCTGCCGCCGCTGCAGCCCTGTGGCTGGCCCTCGTCCGCCGTTCGACAACGCCTCGCGTCCCGGTTGTCGACATCGCTTCCTCTGCAGGCTAAAATGATGGAGTACTCCTCCAGCGCAGTCTGTATGGCGTCCTCTGTGCTATTTTTTTGTCCATCTCAGTCATCGTGATAACGCCCGTCTGCCAGCACAGGCACAGGCTGGCGTCTCATCCAGCATGTCGTCAAACAAGATCCGCGTGGCGTGGTGGGGCCGATCCTCGCGTCTACCCTGCCCCAACGCTTTCTCGCCGTTTCCGCTTCCGAAGCTCGTGACATGTCAGGCAGTCGTCACGTTCTTCCTACCTGAGGCTGCAAGGCATACTATCATGCTATTCATACATCGACCAGAACCACGTGACCCGTCAAGAAATATCGGTTTCCTCAGCCTGCTGCCAATTTCTTAAGGCACAATAGTTCTCTGGATTCAGACGTACATATAACGCCTCTTATGATTTGCACGCTATTACTTCCTATTCTTAAGCTGAGCTGAGTAGATGATTTAGATCACGTGATCAAAGCGGACCCAAGAATAAATCCTTTTCTATCTAGTTGACAAACCGAGGTCTCCAGCTCCAGCTTGTTTTATCCATTTTCGGTTTAGGCAGCTTGCATATCATACGATTTCAGCCCTACCTCGATACTTCGATACCTAGATAGGCAAGCATGTCGTCCTTTCCATCCAATCAAATACGGTGGAATGTTTTGACATCTGGATTGAAGCTTGGAAACTTACCTGGCACGTTGAAATGATGCTCCTGCCTGTCTATTCAAGAAACATGTAAAAGTACTAATTCGGGCAGATCATACACTACGGCAAGAGATAAGCTCATTTCCTTTGATGCATCTTCCGGAGTGACTTAGCCGTTACCCCTTATTTTTGGGTTTTGTTCTCAGCCTTGATGCATGTCAAGTGTTTGGAATGTGTACCCAGGGTCGAGGTCGTTTGGTGTTTGGAATGATTTGTTCGACATCTCTCCCCCCAAGCGCCCCTTAGCCCTGCTCGGTGACATTAGCAACGTCAAGGATAATGGCTTTGTCACCTTTGTCGAAACCCAGCTTCGAAAATTCCGAATCGTCTTTCTTCTGCTGGGCAATCATGAACCATATCATTCGAGCTGATCTTCCGTGGGAAACAAAATACGAGATTCTAGGCTTTCATCAGCGAACAAGCCCAGGAGTCAAGTCTTGGGAGATTTGTTTTCCTGGACCGGACGCGATACAATCTCTCTTCATATATATAACCGTTCTCAGCTTCAGTCTTCACTTAAAGGTCTCGAAAGCCCAAGAAGACCGGGTTAATTTCGGCCCCAGTGATTTTTACTATATCTAAGACTGACTGTTGAGGCTCACCGCTCCGCCCACGAAGCAGACCTGAGGTGGCTTAATCGCCAGATTTCGAACATCACAAATTCCGAATCCTGGCGCAAGATCGTCCACAGTTGATCTTGCACATGCTAATAGCCCTATCTCCTCGGGCTTTGTAACTCATGTCAAGAATGGACAAATTCCCAGGTATAGCCTGTGGGCGTTCGGGCACACACACTGCAACTGTGACGTTACAGAAGAAGGAATAGGGAAGAGCGTTGTCGCCAATCTGAGGGGCTATTAGATACTTTGCTCAGGCAAACAACTTTGACCCAAAGAAAGTGGTCAGTGCTCGAGAGCAAGATACGTGGAAGCCCTTGACGAGTGCGTCTACGAATCATACCCATAGTTCAACTTGTAGCTTTGAGGGCTGCACACAAGAACAAGCTTATTTGTATTCTTAATACGAACTTGCCCATCTCCTCGATTGTCAAGGCCTGGTAGGAATGAGGGGTAATTCTTGGGATTGGTTCTCGACATACCGCAGATAGCCGTGGAAGTGCGGAAGGTCTCAGCACTGTCAGTTCTTCTTCTTTAGTCACGATTAGGACTGGTCTGATCTGTTAACATCTTTGGCATCAGCCACTCAGCCAATTCCCGATTTCCCTCACTGATTCTCAGGATCAAGGTATCTGCCACGAGGATGCTTCCGTGTCGGGTTCTGCCCGCGCTTCGTATTGCTGACGTCCTATATCCCGACAGGCAAGGGGGAAAAAAAATCCGAACGACATCTGCTCGCACCATCAGGCTAATTGGCTCAGAACAGGGAGACAGGTTTCAGGTGCTGTTGGCATCTTTTCTCCTCTGGAAAGACACGGAACGTGAAAGGGGTGTCTGAAGAAGCGGGGATGCCAGCCGGACTGCGGAGATCTCCTGTAGTGAAACTTAAAGCCAGGAACGCATTCTTCAACTGCCCTTAAGGGAAGCCAGAGCAGCACTGGACTGTGGTCAGAGAGCATGACGTGTGTCGGGAGCGGCCGATTGCGCCCCTGGAGCGCATGCGCCCGGCAGCGATTGAAGGCGATAGCGATAATAGAGATAAATCATAACGATGACTCGAGCAGGCAAGTAAGCGATTTTGGCTTATCTCGCGGCCCCGTGCGTCGGCGGGGTCGACGTGCAGGCTGATTGGACAATCGCTGGAGAGTTGGAGATAGCGTCTTGCGGACCCGCACGCAAGGCGCTTCTTTTATCTGCATCAACGGTCGGATTATTACAGCTTCATGGCGCATCGCATATAAAGCTTCTGGTCTCTCTGATCCAGAAGCGAGCTCTCCAGCCAGGCCTTCCATTGACCCATGAGCCCCTGATGCTGCATTGGTGGAGCTCTTGCCAGATTCGAAGGTCTTCGTCGTCAACAAGAGGAGGGACACAGGTCGCGTGAGCGCTACGAGAAGAGAAAATTTCGACAATGGACGGTCCTGATCAGATTGGGCCCAGTGTGGCCCCGAAGCGGACAATTTCAGACAAATTCAGGCGCATTGTCAAGGCCTTTACCACCAAGTAGGTTAATGTGCGCTTGAACGGCGCGAGCTCTTAGGCCGAATGTCAGATCAAAGGCTAATCGTTCTCATAGAGAGGGTCTGGTGGGCGACTATGACTACGGCTTTCTATTCACACCCAATCTCCCGTTCATGAAGAACGCGCGCAAATCGGCTCCCTTCTTTGGACTCAATGATCGGATACCGGTACTGCTGGCTTTGCTTCTTGGCCTCCAACATGCACTGGCTATGCTGGCGGGTGGTACGCATTCGACGTGCAAGATTATGGCAGGAAAGGAGCGCAACTGATCAGGCTGCAGTAATTACTCCTCCCATCCTTCTCAGCGGTTCGTCCGGGGCGAATTTCGACAATGAACTTTCGCAATATCTCGTCTCAACGTCTCTTATCGTGTCAGGCATCCTCTCCGCCATCCAAATCACACGGATGCGCATCTACAAGACCCCATACTACATCGGAACCGGTCTGATCTCCGTCGTCGGGACTTCGTTCACCACAATTACTATTGCAACAGGCGCCTTCGACCAGATGTACTCGAGCGGGTACTGCCCCGTCGATGCTCATGGCAAACGACTGCCATGCCCAAACGGATACGGCGCCATTCTAGGGACATCCTGTCTGTGCGCTTTGCTTGAAATCGGTCTGTCATTCACCAGTATCAAGGTGTTGAAACGCGTCTTCCCGCCCTTGGTGACCGGTCCGACCGTTCTACTCATTGGCGTCAGCCTCATTCAAACCGGGCTGGAAGACTGGGCAGGCGGTTCAGGATCCTGTGGAACGGACCCGTCTGCGCGCGCTCTCTGTCCAGACCCTTCCGCGCCGCATGCCTTACCCTGGGGGAGTGCCGAATTTATTGGGCTAGGCTTTCTCGTCTTCCTCACCATCATTCTCTGCGAGCGATTCGGTTCGCCTATCATGAAGTCCTGTTCGGTAGTTGTGGGTCTTCTTGTCGGATGCATCGTGGCCTCTGCGACGGGTTATTTTGGGAGATCCGGAATCGATGCGGCGCCGGTGGCGTCCTTTGTCTGGGTCCATACGTTCCCCTTGAAAATTTATGCGCCGCTCATCCTCCCCTTCCTGGCCCTCTACATCGTGCTGATGATGGAGAGCATCGGCGACATCACCGCGACTTGCGATGTCTCGCGTCTCGATGTCCAGGGCGACATGTTCGACTCGCGGATCCGCGGTGGAGTGCTGGCAGATGGGTTGAACGGCCTGCTGGCCGGGCTCTGCACCATCACGCCCATGTCGACATTTGCGCAGAACAACGGCGTGGTGGCGCTGACCAGGTGTGCGAACCGCAAGGCGGGCTACTGCTGCTGCTTTTTCCTGGTCGTCATGGGCATCTTTTCCAAATTCGCGGCCGCGTTGGTCGCCATTCCGTCGTCGGTGCTGGGCGGCATGACCACCTTTCTGTTCTCCTCGGTGGCCGTATCGGGCCTGCGCATCATCTCGACCGTGCCCTTCACGCGCCGCAATCGCTTTATCCTAACGGCCTCTTTCGCCGTGGGAATGGGGGCAACGCTCGTCCCGGATTGGTTTTCCTACGTGTTCACCTACAGCGGCGACAATAAGGGGCTGATCGGCCTCATCGATGCCATCGAACTGGTCATGTCGACCGGGTTTGTGGTGGCGGGCTTCCTGGCGCTCATCCTGAACCTGGTCCTGAAAGAGGACCCAGAAGACGAGGCGGACCTCATCACGGCCGACCTGGCCCAGGAGGCTGATGACCGGCGGGAGTACGCCAACAGGGTGACAGATTTGGAGACAGGTGACAAAGGCAGGCTTTAATTTTTCTTCTTTTTTAACTTGCTATGGAAAAGGATGTATGGAATATATAGCGGATCTATATAATAACTGCACCCAGTTATTACTGGGAAGATTGGGCCTGGCTGAGCCAGTGCGTTGGTTGGTATATTTGGAAGTGTGTCTGAAGAATCAATTCGCCCTAACTGGGTCACCTTTAGCTCTGCATAAAACGCTAGAACGTAATAGGTCGCGTGGTGGTAGACAGGGCTGTTAGTCCCTATATACCTATATATAACAGTGGACGCGTTGGACGCCTCAAGAGAGCGGCAGGCACTAAAGTCCCGCCTCGGGAACATTCCACTCTGTGTTCCTGCAGAGCTCCGTTTCTTTTCATGGTATTAATTCCTCCGTAATTGATTAATCAATCTATATATTATTGCATATTTAATTAGGGAATCGACAAGGCTGACGACTTAGTCTTCTGACTGATGGATCCATACAACACGAACTAACACCCCGCGTGCGAGCGCTCTTTTTTTCCGAAGCTCGACCCATTCATTGACCCTTGACCCTTGATCAAACTACGCGCTGCGCTACGCGTGTCATCAATCAGATCAATCAGATCAGACTCATGACTTTGTTGCATCCTAAAAAAGAAAAAAAAAGGAGCTTATATATATTTTAGATACGACGATGGGACTTCTAAATCTCAGTATATATATCGGTGGTGATGGCGATGCTGCTGGTCCGGTGAGCTTGGAGCTGCTGCTAAGCAGAGTACTTACCACAGTGGTGATCATTTGGATCGTGTACTTTGTGTTTCAATCTGTATCGACGAGATTGTCGTTCAATGCTTTGGTAAGACTTTTCTTCACCCCTTTCTTCGCTATAAAAAACAGCAATAATAACGACCTGATACATATCTATCTACCAGCCCAAACTGGACCACAGCTTCATTTTCGGCCATCTCCACCTCGTAGTAAAAGCGTTCAGAAAAGTGCCATCGGACAGCCATGTCCAGATGCCCCTGATCCAGGCGATCCGGGAAGCCGGCGCGCCAAAGGAAGGCCTCTGGTACATCGACCTGTATCCGATCTCGTCCATCAAGCAGATCTACACCTTGACTCCAGAGGCAGCAGCGGCGGTCTCGAGCCCACCGTTCCTGCAGCACCACCATCCGGATTTCAAGACCCTCTCGCTGATCTTCGGCAGCCGGTCCGTGACCAACTCCGGCGGCCCGGAATGGAAGCGTCTGCGCAATCTGCTCAGTCCCGGGTTTTCGGCCCGGAATACCATGGCCTTTGTCCCTGACTGCGTGGACGAGGCGCTAGTGACGGCCGCTCGCTTGTCGTCCATTGCGCGAGGGGACCGGTTCGTCGAGAGCTCGTACCAGATCATGCTGTCGTACACGGTCGCCTTTCTGTGTCGTTTTGCCGTCGGCCTGAAGACAGAGTGCCAGACCAGGTCCCATCCTCTGACCAATCTGCTGACGAAGGTCAGCAAGCTGGGTGACGCGCGAAACGTCACGTACGGCTGGCTGTTCCAGCTGTGGATTCGGTGGAAACTGCGCTCCTACGAGGGGAAGATTCGCCAGCTGCTCAGGCAACCGATCCTGGAGAGATGGGAGCGCATCAAGAAGGATGAGCCAGACACGACCAGCGCAGCGGTCGTCGCTGATTTGTTTCTCAGGGACTTTTTGCGCAAGAAACAGAAGGAGCAGGAGGAGAAAGGGGGCAAGGATGCGATACTACTAGATGAAGACATCTTGGATGTAATCGCGGATAAGTGAGTAGCTAGTTTATTCAGCAGGGTAACCCTGCTTTGCTTTGGAGACTCTGCTAACTCAGTCATTGTAGCTGCAGGGCAGTAACGCTCGGTGGGCGTGATACGACCGCTGCAACAATATCGGTAAGTTGAGACGCACCAGACATTTTTTTTCAAGTCTGGTTATGACTGACTGAATCCGTTTGCAGTGGACCCTGTATGAACTGTCGAAGAATCCGGATGTCCTCGAGGAGGTGCGGCGCGAACATTCGGCGGTCCTGGGTCCGGATCCTGACGCGGCTGGCGAGATGCTGAAGGCCCAGCCTCATCTGCTCAATAACCTGCCCTGGACGACTGCGGTCATCAAGGAGGTTCTGAGACTGTACCCTCCGGCGAGTGGAGTCCGATATGCAGAGCCGGGGTATGCAATCCTCTCCCAGACTTTCAGTACTTTTTTTGTTTTTTGCTGACCCCGGCACAGACAGCAGATCCACCTCAACGGGCAAAACTATCCCTGCGATGGCAGAATCATCCTGATCAGCCATTACTACCTGCACCGGACGGCGGAGTACTTCCCGAACCCGAACTCGTTCCTCCCGCAGCGCTTCCTAGCATCATTAAACCCACAGCTCTCCTCGTCCTCATCCTCATCCTCGTCCACGTCCTCGCAGGACACCACCATCGACCCAAACGCCTACCGGCCCTTCGAGCGCGGAATCCGCAACTGCCCGGGCCAGGAGACAGCCATGCTGATGATCAAAGTGATGCTGTGCGTCCTGGTAAGGAAGTTCCGCTTTGAGGAAGCATACGAGGAACTTTTTCTCCGCCGGAAGAGGAGAGGAGGCGGGACTCCTCCTCCTGGTGTTAATATCACGACGTTTCCTGAGAATGGCGACCGTGCGTATCAGGTTTTGTCTACGGCGGGGTATCCGAAGGATGGGCTTCCGTTGTGGGTGGAGGAAGAAGAGGGGAAGGAGAGGATATGACAGAAAAAGAGAAGGGGGGAAAGAAGAAAAGAAAACTGCATTCATCGTTTAGAATATCGATGATCTTTTTTTGGGTTTTTGTTTGCTCTTCGTTATATACGTTGTGGTATTGAATATCATCTTGCTAACTAATCTATGTACATACATACAGTATATTGGACATAATGATAATAATATTGTACACTTTCTAACAAGTAATCAGACACTTTGCAGTAGAAATTGATAACCACTAGCCTGGAAGTTCACAGACGAGCTGTCTACTCACGTAGAAGTCTCCAGAGACAGTACAGGACAGCACAGCTATACCGCAGGATCACCCGGACCAAGCATCTTGATATAAAAATGTTCACCGGTCTCGAGGACAGTGATCCGCTTGCCGACGCGGATAGTAAATTCTATCATCCAGAAGCAATCATGTTAGCTCCCCTGGACCCGAAAAGACTACATAGAGATGGATCCAACGTGATATACTTACTTTCTACAGCAGGAACAAGCTGCATCCCCAAACACGCATTCTTCGGATCCCCCGCGTCAATGCACCGGAAGCTCTTGAGCGTCTTGTCCGGTTCAGTCGGGTGCCGGATTCCCGTGTCCGGGTCGACGTTGGGCAGACGACAGCGAACGGTGCGGCAGGAGGTGTAGATTTCGACGCCGTCGTCATCGTCGTCATCCTCTTTCTCAGCGCTGGTTTTCTGATCTGGTGTTTCCTTGCGTGTTCGTCGTCGTCCGCCTCCCACACGGATCCTCTTCCACGCATCCTCCGCGTACGCTTCCGGCCCCTGGATGATGATATTCGCCCGGAACCGCCGCACGCTGAGCCGCGGGATCGCGTGCGAACACCGCTCCGCGACATCCTGCACGCTCGCAAGATTGAGCATGTGGATGGGATATGCGTCTGCGAAAGCCGTGTGCGGCTGGAAGCCGAGCTGTTCTTTCCTAGGCGCACAGCGAAAGATGGCGCGATAGGAAGCGGGATCCGCGCGGAAGAGCGTCAGGGGCGGTGGTGCATCGTCATCATCATCATCATCATCAGGAGAAAGGAACTCTCGCAGCTCAGCTGGGATGTGTCGTCCGTAGTCGAATGCAACAGGGAAGTCCTTCCACAGTCGCACTGGGACAGAAGGATACTGATGCCCTGGCGGAGGATGCAACGGAACGCGGAATGAAGCCTCGCGCGCACAGAGTCCCAGGGCCATGCCAAGTCTGATAGCAAGTGAAGATAACCTGGAGGAAGAAGAGGGAATGGCCCGAGGATAGTATATCACCAGCACACCTCCAGACTTGACCTCCTCCAGGTCAGGAGAGTAGCTTGGCGAAGACGGATCAGGGACCCAGATCTCGGGCCGGATGAGCGCCAGCTTGCTGAACCGGCCGTTGCGCATTGTTCTGAATTCCCACCGGAAATCTTTCGCCTTTTCCCCGTCAGGACTGTTGCTGTTGTTGCTAGGAGTGACATACTCCGCAAAGCAGAACAGCCGATCATACGCCAGCCCCGTGCCGACGACATCAGCGACGTCGAACTCGATGCCAGCGCAGCTCTTGATCGGGTACGCGAACAGCGCTTTGATGCGCCAGTTGGGTTTTCCATCATCATCTTCTTCTTCGTCAGGTGGAACACCCCGTCGGTATTTCGGGTCGAATTCGTCGTGGATGTTGCTCTGACCCGGTGGGAGGCCTAGTCGGCGACATCCGCGGGGGGAAGCTGTTTTCTTCTGTCTGTTGTACAGGAATGCTGCGTCTAGCAGGAGTTTTGTTCCGTGGTAGATGGCAAAGTAGATGAGGGGTGCTGAGCAGATGATATATATAAATGTCGAAGGGGGAGAGGAAACTGAAACATTGATTGGGAATGGGTCCATGCAGGAAGCCTATGCACGTGATGAGAGAAGTAAAAAAACAAAGGATTCAAGTTAATTATAAATCAAGCAGATATCTGCTAGCTAATTTTGCAAGTGACTTCAGGATGAATAAAATAGAGTATTACGGAGTATTGAGAAGTATTACGATATTTAGTATATTCCGACTTGGTGAAAAAAAGACAGTTCCTGCTGAGTCAGAGGGTTGCTTGCTTTTTCTACTTTGGGTATCGCGTCTCTTTTCACCATTGCAATACATATACCGAGTACTGTAAGATGACTTGACTGAATAGAAGTCCTAATATGACAAAGTGAGCAAAGAGTGATTTTATACCAAAAACTAGGAATGCCGATCAGCTTCCATCTCCTTCCTTTGTCTCAGGTAGCAGCTTGTTTTTCACGGGTAAATCACTACATCTACTGTACAGTACATAACCTCCTAGGACTGCTAGCGCTGACGGCGTCGCCAGAAGACTCGAAAATATTCGTATCCTTGAGCCGCAGATTTCCCTTGACTCTTCTCCCTGCTTCGGCGCGCTGCTCCTTATGAGCGAAACTGTCTTGATGCTTGTGGTTGGGTCTATACAAAGGAACTACATATCAATCATTCCTCTTCAGGAACGTTGGAGAAGTGCAATCTGCATTTATCAGGCAAGAGCAGGGAGTTAGCATTCTTCTGGCTGTTCATACACACCCTTTGTACCACTTTACTATTGTGTCTGATGGAGATAACTGTGTTTGCCTTAGATAGTGCCTTTTTTTGATTGTCTAACATTCTGAATAGGACTTTCCTTAGATATCGAAGTGAACTGGCGTCATTCGTCCAAGTTTAAGCAAAAATGTCATGCAAGACAGCGAATCCGGATTGGTTCGCGACATCAAGAAGCACTGGACGTAGAAAGTCATTTTGACTGAGCCCTCGCTGATGGGCGTGGCGGCAGAGATCTGGTGTCCCCAATAGGTTCACTCGCCATGTATTGTGTAAACAGTTGAGTGGGCGCTCGAGCTTTCTCCTTGGATGTAAAATCGTAAAGCCGTGATACCCGGATGACGAGTTCAGTCTAGTCAGAATACGCCTGGAGGATTCTTCCGTGCTGCCTGCCCATGAAGGAGAATACCATGATCTAGAAACAACACATAGATTAATTAGAGTTGAAGAATGATAGCACAGCACTTACCGGTATAATGATATGGTCTTTCAGATGAGGCGCTTCCAGACACGTTCTCATTATTGCCAGGATCGCAAGACTTCGCCTCGCAACAGTCTATTCTCATCGCCTTCAAGGTCATGTCGCATCGTAAACATAACATGCGGATGTGGTTCGAGCAGCTCAGAGACCTTCCAGACGCCTATAGGTGACCACTGAGGACGCGCAAAGTTAAATACCGTGTCTTCGAACTCGGGGTCGAGCATGTCTTCTCCAAAATTTCTTATAGGCGGTTGTCAACAGTTGTTATAACACTTGCAGTTTGAATGAAAATACTTACCCTGGTCTCCAATTTGTCAGATGCATGAGGCCCCGGCGATCATTTGACGTCCCCTTTCGAGGATATCCTCTGAATTGCCATTCCATGAAGCGGCACATGAAATCAGCCCTGTCCAAATGAAGGTCATCATCTGGTGGTTCGATCAATTTTTCCTGAATTATCAGATCCCGTTGAGTCCTCCCGGATTGAGTGTTGATGGGATGAACAAGCAAGTCATAAAGTAATAAGGGCTGGAAGAAGCAGGGTTGCAATGGCACAGCATAACTCCCATCATCATTGAATTCCAGTGGTTCGCACTTGATACTCAAGTAGTCTAGAAATCGTGATTCCAAATAGAAGGTATCATCTCCCTCAATCATGTAGTATGACCTTGTAAGACCTGCAATGATTTCCCAACGGTCTTCATCAGAGTTTTTATGTCTTCCGTAGTGAAAGCAAACTCGATAAGCCGCGGAGGGAGCGACATAATGGCATCCTGGCTACAGACGAGTCACATCGATTGCACGGAATGGGAAATATAATGTAGGAAGACGATGGCCTTTTCTTTTGGAAATTCGTTCGCCTGAAGTCTGTTCATGGTTGCGAGTAACTGGGTAATAATACTCATATCAGTTGCGCGTTGCTTGATGACACCTTTGTCCCGGTCGGGCTTAGTTCTTTGTCTCCTGCGGTTGCGGGGCGAACTGTGGGGCAGTCCCCAGATCTGGAAATTACGGAGTAGGGCAGGATTACTCCGTAGAGAGCTCCCTAGTCAGCTTGTCTTTCAACACCTTCCAGACTTTGTGGCCTCTGTCAGTCGTCTTAGCCTGCTGAATGGTCCGCGTAAGCCAAGGGAGACGAGCGTTTTTCGTTCGTTCAAGTTTCTGTTGAAGCTGTGTTGACAGTGGCCTTCTACTTACCCAAGCCTACAACTTGCCATCATGCCAAAGTCTGAAAAACCTGCAGTCTCTCCTACTCCTGCTCTGACGCTTTTGGTTGCTCCTGGTCATATCCAGTCTGTGACAGATAACTACCAATTCCCCTTAGATGGACCCAGAAGCTAGTCGGCAAAGTCGCAGTGGAAAGTAGGGGAATTTGAAATCCCTGACTGTGATAAAGGATTGACCACGCTTATCAAAAGGATAAAGTTCAATACCATCCACGACCTGAGTGCGATATCACGATCTGACATTACTGATACCCAATTTGCTTAGTTGCGAGCTACTCTCGGAAGCTCAGACTGGCTGGTGCCGACAAGGAAATCTACGGACTGAACAAAAATGGGAAGAAGCTTGCAGCATCGTCAATTCATCGTCAGAGTCTCGCCAATATTTGAATCTTGTGAAAGAAAACACAAGGGCTCAATCTCTGAATGCCGATGTTGACCGATGGCCCGGATCGTTCAAACCCGTCAGAAGATTTCAAGAACAAGTGTTCACTATTTACGAGAAGTCGAACGCATATGCCAAGGCAGTCGCGGCTGCTTCTGCGCCAACTCGCACCCTTAGAAAACGCGTCACAACAATCGGGAGATCTTTAGGTCAGTCGTTGAAGGATGTGTTCAGTCCAGACGCCGGGAAAATGACGGGGACCGGCACTGCAGGACCCAGCTCACAACCAGCGGCAAATCTCGATCTCTACCCGGATGCTGAAGACGAGGCAATTGTGAACACGAGTCTCATTCTTTTGCTGGAAGCACTGGCGGATCTAGTGCCTGGCACAATGAGCGAGTGGGTATTAAACCACGTTCATTTCAACGCAAAATTCAACAACGGCTCCTACAATGCATACACAGACGGTGTCTTTTGGACCAGTCACAGTCGAATAATTCAAGCAATTGTCGAGGTGAAGAAGAGAATCAGTTTTGACGACCCTGCGCCATTTCAGATGCAAGAAACTGCTGAGATGGTTGGTTGGATTCTGAAAGAATCTAACGACGTGACAGTCTTTAACAATAAGTGAGATATCAAAATCCATCTTCCCCTCCCCCCCCCCCCTTCGCTCTATTACTAATTATTCAGTCGTCTCGTTTTATCACAGGATAGGCACCAGATTTTCATAACTTTCGGCCTATCACCCCGATTATCGCAAGTACCTGACGGATGGAACTGTCACACCACAGTCATATCTGCGAACGCAGACGTTTGGCCCCTGGGATATCAATCCGCCAGGCACATGAAACTTTTCGCCCAAATCGTTGTGGCACTGACATTGCTCGCAAACGAGGCGGCGTAAAAATCAATTTTTTCCCCTCCTCGTTCTGCACTCGACAAATCGTCCGCTCGACTTCTCCGTTTCATTGAGATGTATTTGAATATCGCATATTTTAGATAGCATGATCAAGGGAATCCCATTCAAAACAGAACATGGACATGAAATTCACTGTATTCGCTTCCGTATAACCGGGCTAGGTTCTGCGTGTGAATAATAGTAGAAAGGTTCAGCAACTCCTGAGGGAGCAATAACTTCCATATCTGGGGCGCTCGATTTGGCTATATGTGTCCTGTGATAAAAGAGACTAATCCGTTCCAAGGGATCTCGATCTGGTCACCAGATATTGCGCTCCAGCTTAGGCAGGGCTATCCTTTGCCAACTTGGGTATGTTGTATTCGCTAGCATATAGGCGAGTATGCGATAGCCGGCGGATAGGCGAGTCTGCATACATATTGGCATATTTCAGCAGAGTAGTTGCAGTCTTTTAAGCCCAGAAGCTCCGTCTTCCATGTAACTGCCTTGGAAAGAAATGGGCAAGTCAAGGATCGCCTGATGCCGATTTTCGGTCACGTGATGCAACAATGGAAAGTGCTGCTGGCGCGTACATGTACTGTACAGTACATATTAGCAAAAAGGCACTAGACGATAGCAAGATACCTAGATCAGAATTTCCAGGAAAATAATTTTGGTGATGTGTTACGTTATGCTTCGGGATTATTTGATGTCTTGTCAATACACGCTCAAAAGCCATTTCCGAAAAGGGAATTATTAGCGCGCAAGGAACGCGTTTGCGCGTTTGCAGCGGACCAATAATCCCGCCAACCCGCCAATATCAATTACTCCGTATTCACGGCTAACATTAACAACACAACATACAATATCAATAATAATAACAAAATTGCCTCCCGCACTGCGGAAGGTGATTTATCAGAAGTGGATGTCTATATTTTTCGCTCAATGACTGCTGCTATTGAACATGAACATGCCTGGTCCAAATTGCAGACCATCGATCTCGCTGATCATCGACAACAATGACCGAACATGTCTCGAACTTGTCGAGTCCTGAGCTGCGTAAGTCCCCCCATTACACCTACATATGTTGATCAGATCGATCGGGGATTGAAATGATTAATTAATCATCGCCGCCGCAGCTCGTGTCTTCTCGCTCCCTGCCTCGCAATCACTCCGCGCGTCGGCACCGTCGCAGGGGCCTGGCGCGCTTCCAACAGGGTTAAGACGACTGGACGAGGCTCTGGCTCCGTTGCCCAGCTATGAGCTTCCAGAAGCCACCCAAAGCCAGCGTGTAGCTGGTATCTCGCGCGGTCATGTCACCGAAATTTATGGGCCTCCAGGGGTGGGCAAGACTGCGGTTGCGTAAGTATCTGATGTTTTATTTTTTTTAGATCGAAAGTTTCAGTAGCTCATCATTTTACAGTATCAAGGTTGCAGCCAACGCCTTGCAGGCCGGGGATCACGTAGTCTGGATTGGTTAGTATGATTTGCGTCTCCTGTCTGGTCGGTGCTAACTTCACGAAAGACACCGGCTCACCAATCCCTCAGCCTCGCCTCAAGGCAATGCTGACGGGCAGTATCAAGCACGCGACTGATGAGACTCTTTCCTCTTCGCAGCTCGAAGAGAAAGTGCATGACTGCATGGGAAGATTTTCCCATTTCCGGGCGCAGTCACTCCCTCATCTGCTGGCCTTGTTGCTGCGCCCTCCGCCCAGCTTTCCTCCAGAAGGGACCAGTTTGCTCGTCGTCGATTCGGTGTCGGGCCCATTCTCTGCTTATTTCCCCAATGCGACGGAGCTGAGGTCCAGGCTCACGCAGGGCCGTATCGCTGACAACCAGCAGCTTCAGTGGCTGCTGAACCGGAAATGGAACGTGACCAGCGACATGGCCAACCAGCTCGTGAAGCTTGCTGCCGCTCGTCGTCTGGCGGTGGTGCTGCTCAACCAGACGCATACCAAAATCAAAGGACAGCCCCGCGCGACCCTCTATCCGGCGCTGGCGGGCGGCTCGTGGGAGACCTGCATCCACACACGGATCGTTCTGTACCGCGATTGGCCTCCTGAGGAGGGCAGTGACGCTGCTGACCGCGATATCCTGAAATACGTGCGATTTGCAGAGGTGATGAAGCGAGACGGGAAAGTCCTCACCGTCAGGACGGACGACAACATCATTCCGTTTTTGATCGAGTCTGTAAGCAACGTCCCATCCATCTATTCTTCTTGTCCAAAGGACACATAGAACTGACTGTATCTCAGGATGGACTATGCGAAATCCGCAAGAACGAATCCCGCCTCCCGGGTTTGGCCAGCAGTCCCCAGGCGCCTATTCCTGTACAGCCACAACCGCGCAAACGAAAGGTTGACGAGATTGCCGACACTGAGGACGAAGATGAGGATGACTCGGATGGAGACTACGGCTGGATGGAGAGTGATGATGCCCATCTTTTGGCTGAGGAGGAGGCGGAAGCAGACGCGAAAGAAAAAGAGGAGGAGAAAGCGGAAAAGGAAGGAAACGCATGAGAATAGTATAGTATAGACTGAACCGAGCCTGCAGAGATGAACAAACGACTGTTCTAACGATAACAACTACAATCCCAGCATTTCCTAATCGTATAACGATATTAGGAGCATTTCTGGTATTATTATTATTCTCCATGTTAGCTAGCTAGCTAGCTAGCTTGCTTGCTTGCTTATCTTCTTTTATATATATATATTCCTATATAGATTATCCATATAGAGATAGAGACATCATGCATATGGCATTGCCCTCCGGACGAGGCACATCTTGTCTTGGACAAAACAAAACCGAAAGCGATTGATTCATTACATTAATAATACATACATATTGCCAGGATGAATTAAAGGCTGATGTGTAAAGTTACATAAACAGCGAGACGTACCATTTCACCATTGCTCATAACAGCCTCTAGGTGCTAGCAAAGAAAAATGCAAGTCACGTGTCCTTCGATTGGTTCTCATTTTTAAAATCTAACATACAGTAGCTCCCGCCCAGCCAACCAGCACAACTCCAGAGAATCGAACCAAAAGTCTTGAAATTAATATATGCCGATGAAGGGGGAGGTAGGGATTAAGAAGCCATCCACGGGCTCGAAGCCATGAGGGGGGAAAACACGCTCGGAGGAGCACATGGATAATATGGTGGGAGAGAAGATAAGAGTTAACGTTCAAAAAAAAAACAAAAACCCTAAGAGCAACAACAGGAGTATCGTCTTTATCAATAAACACCGAAATACAAGACACAAATAATTTTTAAAACACAAAAAAAACCCCACAACCGTCTATAGTATTGACCGACTCCGTTCAAACCGCCATCCAAACAACACCACGCCACAATAACATTGGACAAATCATACCAGATATGCAAAACAAGAAATCTATCCGTGACATAACATTTGAAGAATTCGGTGTGTTCTCGACAAGATAGAACACGAGGCAGCGCGATTAGAATCGGTCGCCTAGGTCACCCCCGACAAGGGAGGCGTTGGCGGATGACGATCCCGACGAGAACCCGCTACCTGGGTTTAGCATATCTTGTACAGCCACTTTGGGCACCTGCGGCACGGGCAACTTTCGTTGTGTCCCATCGGGCCGCGACATGATGTCGCTAATGCTGGGGCCCACATGGGGTTGGCTGGGGGTGTACAGGCTCGGACCGTCAGGCTGCGGTTCCATCGGCGCCAGAGCTGGAGTGTGCTGGAGCGACAGATGGCGGATTGACGGCAGCTGCAGGTCACTCGAGCCAAACGGGCGCAGGCGCGGCGAGTGTGCCGGAGTAGCCAGCGGCGTGTGGTCTGGCGTGGGTGACAAGGAATCATGCGAGAAGGTCGGGGACGATGGCGCGGTTGAGTTGGGCGAGTTCGGACGGGATCGCTTGATCCTGTGCCCGTAACTCTCATCATCCTCGTTCGAGTGAGAACGGCTCATGCTATGTGAGATCGCGTAGGCGGAAAGAGAAGGGAGACGACCGGTGCTGCCATGATGGCGCGAGCTGAACAGATGATGGTTGCGCGAGCTGCTGTGGTGGTACCCCGGGTGGTCATCGCGCTCCACCTGCGAAGCTGCCGTCGCCAGCAGGTTGATATCCATGCCTGACGAGGCTCGGTGGGGCCCCAGATTCGAGCGCATGTGAGAGGCATAGTTGGAGTACGAGTGCGGCGGAGAGACATCTGGCGACGCCACTTGAGACACGGGGGCCGATCGAGTGATTGGTTTGCTGGGCGGAGGCATCATCGACGCCGAGGAGTTGAGCATCGAATTGTCCTGCCCGGCAGCCGCAGCCGCCGCGGCCGCAATGTGCTGTGCCTTGTTACTCCGCCTCGAGTTGGGGTTGTTGTGTATCCGCGAGTGACGAGTCAACTCATCGGACCGGCTGAAGCGCTTAGTGCAGCCGGGGAACTGGCAGGCATGAGGCTTCTCGCCCGTATGCGTCCGAATGTGTCTGGTCTGATGCTCAAGACGGTGGAATGCGCGATCACAGAGGGGACACTTGTATGGACGAGGGAGATCCTGTCGCACCTCTTCGGTCTGGGGCCGCGCGCCCTTCATGAGGGGAGGGAGCAAGCTGACGGAGGACGTCATGTTCGAGTCAGACTGTTGTTCCGTCACGGGAGACGACGAAGCCGGCGACGAGGATGCTGGCGTCGAGGTGGACGTCGGTTGGGAGTCGTCCTCACTCGAGTTGGACTGTGGGTTCAGCAGGTTGGAGAAATCGACAGCAGAGGCCGGGGGTGGCATGTGAAGAGTCCTGACTTGTGACAGGACGGACGGCGGTAGATATGTAGGTCCCGCGCGGGCGAGTCGAGGGATGGATAGCAGGGGTGGGAGCCGAGGATGATCGGCTCGACGACGTCGATCACCAGCGGACTAGTCTCCCAGGCCCTGAGAACAGGTTTCCCACGGGACGAGGCAATGAGCAAGTAAGGTTCAGGATCGTACAAAGCGACCAGAGTGTCCCCCGCACGTCCTCACAGCAGGATGAGGGACGTGGTACAGTAGGAGAGCAGTGAGGGCAGGCAAGCGAGTGGACGCAGAGCAGGATCGGAGGAGAGGGAAGATGGGGAGGAGCAGCGCTGCAGGGGAATCTGGAGAAAAGACAATGGAATCTGGGGGAAGGGAGTAGATGTAAGGAAGAGGAGGGAGGAATGGAGGGGGAAGTAGGACAGCGGACGACGGGGAGTCGGGAACGGGGGGTTATCCGAGCGAGCCTGGCGGCAGTGCGACAGAGATTGATTTAGCGTGTGTGTGGGGGAGACGGGGGCGAAAAGAAAAAAAAAAGGGTGAAAAAAAAAGACAATCGAGCGCCCAGGGTAGCCCTGTCTCGGCCGTGCCTTCACCGGGAGTGGCTCTTTTTTTTTCCCGCTTTATCAGCAGTGGCTCCTGCCGTGGCAGACAGTAAGCGCACAGCGCGGATGGGGCAAGCACGATATGTATTAATTACAGCAGGCGCAGCGCAGAAACTGGAATGTGGGGCAGGCGCGCCTGCCAAAAGAGCAGGAGCAAACGCCGCTAGCCCGTTTGGGCGACCGGGGGGTGCGCCTTTGCCCCGGGTGCGTGTGCCCAAGCCAGCTGGCCGCTCTCGGCCCCCGGGTACCGCGGGTACTGCGCAGATCTGGAGAATATTCGCCCTGCCTCGATTGCTCCAGCTGGCAGCTGTGAGGCAGCAGCCAGCGCCAACAGTCTCTGCCCAGGGACAGCTGTGTCGCTGCTTATGCAACGATCGCGTGAGGCAGCGCGTCCTCGCCCTGTGCCTTTTACCTATCTCTGCTCCCTGCGTTCCAGCGACTGGCTCTCCCCGTGTCTCAGGTCAGGTCCCGGGGTTTGAGGGGCAGCGAACGGGGAAACGGAGTGCAGAGCGTCGATGATGCTGACGATGACGAGGACCCGACTGGTGATGATGATAGGATGAGGTGATGACGACCACGACTGAGAGCATCTGGGGAATCACGTCCCGACTGGTCTACGGCTGGAGAGTCTCGCCTCCTTCATCCACGGAGCACACGTCCGCCAGATGGCGTGAGGCTGCCAGTTGTCGTGCGCAAAAGGGGCACAGGAATCAGAACACTCAATTCTCACTACTACTGCCTATCTCGCGACTTGCAATTTGCCGCAATCCAATAGTGCGAGGTGGCCGGATGATTTGGGGCACAAGGCTACTGTCCTGGCGAGATAACCACTGACTGGTCCTCGTGATGATCTGGGCGATCGGACTGCTACGTTCTCAGATGACCACATGCTCTAGCTACAGTGATAATGATAGACCGTAAATGAGGCCATTCTGTCTATTGCCAGCTTTCCTGGAGAGGTTGATAGGCAATTACCCGACTGGGCCAGACCCGGGGAAGTACTCTGGGGGTACACGAAAATCTCCCGGAATGTCGTTCAGGGCGCCTTCGGGGCAGAGAGAGAGCACCGCCTACCAGTGGGAGGCAAAAAGGTACTCCGGCGGTACTTTGACAAATCACCCCAACTACTCCATACCTGGGTACTGATATGGTCCCCGCTCGACCGAATAGTCACCATACAAGTAACAAAGATGCCCGCTTTCGTGCAGGGGGGGAGAAGGTTATCTTCTCACGAGTCACGACTCAGTCCCGGATGATCCTTCTTTGACTCGGAGGGCCCCCGATGATAAGACAATAATTGGGATAATTAGCTAATGGTCTGGAAGTATTAGCTAATCCAACACGGCGACCGCTGCAACGATACGCCTGCGAGTCCCTGCGACCTACAACCGAGACTTTCCCATGACACTCGAGTCGACTCTCAGAGTCGCAACGAGCCACCTGTCGCCACCAACTGCGAATAGCTTCATCGTTGGAGAGTAGCATTCTTGCCCGACAGGCTCGCATGCCATCTGCCTGGCAGGCTGCAAGGTCCTCCCGTCGAGGTCGAGGGAAATCCGCTATTCCTGTTCTGTCGCTTCCGGAGCCTCCGCCCGCCAACAGCTGTCTCGGATCTCAATAATCAGCCACGCTGGCCTTTGCTTATCTTGCGTGATTCTCCCCGGCGCCAACAGCGTGGAGGCGTAGCACCGTGGGGAAAAAGGCCAAGCGGGCTGACAACGCCACCCGGCGTCTAGTCTGCCCGGGGTGGACCAGGGTGGCTCGGCAGCCTGCGCAGCAGGCAGGATTCGTGTCCTCCGTACTCTGTACTCCATCCTCCTCCGGGACAGGGTACTCCGGAGAGAGCTGTGATAAAATGCTGGACTTCACTCCGAAAAAAGATTACTGAGATGCAATAAAGGCGCAGGGTAGCCAAGCTCACCGCCAATCACCACTGGTCCAGCGGGTTGGTTAGGGTGCGGCCTCGTTGCTTCTGTTTGGCTGTGCCTGACCCCACGATACGGTACGATGTGACGGTGTCTGGGGTTGGTCAAGTTCCTCTGCATCTTGCATGTGTCTCCGTACACGAAGATCCATTCATTTTTCTAGGGGCTTCGGATGGCAAAAAAAATTTTTTTTGGCTCTCCAAGGGGCAAGAAAAAAAAGCTGAGCAGATTATTTGTCTCCACTACGGACTCCCTAATTATTTCGTACTCCGTCCTCCGTGATCCTGCGAGAATGTTCCGCGTCATAATTGCTCCATAGTACGGAGTAATAGATCACATAGTGATGCCGGCAGGTGACGGTGTTCTGGACTGTGATTGGCCAGGTGCCTTCTCCAGACTATCGGTCCGCCGAGCGCCCTTGACGGTGGAGTTAAAAAAAAACAACTACGGAGTGCTCCGTCCAGCGCCCCTGAGGATCATTGCATCGCCGTCTTTCGATTGTCTATTTCCGACGGCCGAAACGACCATGTGAATTACTATTACCTGTTAATGTGGATAGATCCCACTGGGGGGATCACCGTTCAGGTGAACAGCGCTTCTGAAACCGCCTCGTGATTGGTTCTGTCAGCAGATACTACTCGGCTAATTATTTGGAGTCGATCATGTGTCAGGAACGGAGTACGGACCGTACGAATTATGGGGTCCGGAGAACGGAGTACAAATTTCTTCTTTTTTTTTCTCCCCTTCTCCTTTTTCCCTTTCATACGGAGTACGGATCTCGGAATACTGGCGTGCTGAGTACATACCTAGGTACTCCATAGTCCGTACTGTGCACGGTTTCATTCCAATTTACCGATGACTAATCTTCCTGCGGTAACCGCAGGCGGTGAAGAATATAGCCGAGTCGACGGCCACACACAGATCGCTTAAGCACGACAATAGGATTATTATGCGCACACCTATCATTCCATTTTTCCCTTTCAGCTCCGAGGACGGTTTTTACGGTGACGCTGTGACTCATCCACATGAATTTCCGGTACTCCGTCGGTAACCTTGGATGTGGGATACAAATCCGGGGATCATCATCCCCGCAGGCTCAGGAATTTCCTGTGATGCGGGGGAATGATGAAGCGGTTGGTGGTGGGCACAGGGCCACAGGCAGCCTGTTCATTAATTGATCCAGAGGATCAGTTCATGATGCCATTATTCCCATTATTAGGCTTTTCCAGAGTATATTATTACACTGTGTTAAGCGAAGGAGCGATAGGCCGCATTAGGCGTCCTGTTTGCAGTATTCCATACTGCTCCTGGCATGGAGCTTTCTCCAAACTGGCACTACCTAACAGTCCGGGGAACAGAAACGAAGGTCTAGTGACTGGCAACAGTGGATTCGAGACGATCTATGTGCATGCAGCACATCCACGGCCCGGATTTTCGATCTTAGACCCCAAACAACTCGTTATCTTCGAGGCATTTATGAGGCGGTCATTTCTGGTTCCAATGTCATTTACCCGCTGACCCGTCCCATGGTTCACAATAGCACTAGAGCATGGGCTTGCTTCTGACAGTCCGAGCAGGCCAAATACTGAATTCCCTTCGATTTGACCACTGCTCGTCACCCTGGAATCTGGGAAGTATTTGTGCGGCCTGCCTGAGGCTGCGACAGTGGATGTGGGGAAAAGCAAGCATCGGCTAAAATGCCGAAACAGGAGCTGCATCACGCAATCCTCCGCCTTATCTGGATTCTGGGTCCGGGATCGCCGCTAAAAAGTCTGGGGAATCCACCCGCGACGATCCCTGCGTCCGTTATCAGCAGGTTTCTTCCCCTCTGAGCCAGTAGTCTTGCCGTCGCGCCCGGCTGAGTTTTCATTACGTTTGGCGACCGGCCGAGCCAATCTCCAACTCCGCACATCGGAATCACACCATCGCCTCGAGTCCTTGACGTCTTGACTTGCAACCTCCGGTTAGCGGCTCCCTCGCGTCCTCCTCTGTCCCGAGGAGATAGCCATTGTCCGACACCGCATGACTTGGTAGTCGACACCTGCCTGTGATCTATGACACATAGTTTTGCCTACGCTCCATACCTATTGCCTTAGAGCGCAGATCTCGCGCACAAGCATTATTGGGGCCGATGACGAATGTGGGGATGCCCGAGTACGGAAAGCACTTAGAAGAGAGAGTCATGGATGATCGACGGGCCAAATCACAAGGACAAACTGAAGCATAGGGAGCTCAAAGTGTCATGATTCGCGCCCAGAAGGCCACGTCGCAACCTGAAAGGCTGGCTGGAAAGCGAAAAGGGAATATCGAAGAGACAAATAGAAAGGAAAAGAAACGAAGAAGAATTCCCGGCAAAGCGCGACCAACACGACAGCCACGGGATAGGCATCACCGCAATTTTATCCAATTTACCTTACTTGCCCCTCTGGCGGAATAATAATGCCTGCGTTATCAGCCGTAGCCTTTGCTCTATAATCGCCTGACTGATAGCAAGATTCGACCTGGGGCGGGCTGTGCCATGATCGGGTGCATGCATCAGACCTGCAATGTGCCAACGTGGGGAAGTCTGGACTCAAAAGGATTCATCAGAAGGTATGGATAATCATCCGATGCATTACAGATGCAATGGTGCCGGTCCGTGGCATGTCGAAGATTGTGTGCAGCAGCCTGCTTCCGAAAAAAAAATTCATGACCAGCCATCTCGTCTTGGCTTGGCATGGATGTTGATCCATGAATGGATCATCCATCATCTCGCATGATGCTAGGCTCCAACATTCCTGGTGATAACATTGTACGTGTCAGACAAGGAACGAGAAAGGTCTTTCTGCCGGTTAAGAGATAGCTACTCGTTCTAGCGCCCATATTAAGATTTCGATATCGACAATCCTTGACTTATGGGGGCGAACTGGTTAGAGATTGTTCCAAATTCGAAGATTTCTGGTAAATCAGGTCTTCAGCTTGGTTACACAACTGTGTCACCGCTTCAGCAATCGATGCGACGTCTCCAGGCAGGTTATGTGATTGATCCACTCCCCTCCATGGGGTTCCCATGGTGAGCACAATCCGGGGTAGTAGTTAATTTAACGCCCTCACCAGGGCTGTTTGCAGTCGTCTTTCCCCCGCCGCCAGTTCGCCAGCCTTGTCACGCAATTTTCCAACGCTTAAATGCCATCCCAGCAGATATATATCATCAATAAATTGTGTCATGCATGACGGTCTTGCGTGTCAATGGCCTTTGTTTTCGCCCTAAGGCAGCCCTGTCAGCCGCCACAACACTGCGCCAAGTCGATCCATGGCTTCTCGAACCCTCGCTGGCCCCCGCCATCTACAGAAGCCCGGACCAACCAGCAATGCTTCGCACGGTTTTCCAAAAGCGCCCCCGAAAATGGAGGTAGTTGTGGTGTTATCATCCTAGGATTCCAGGAATGATGAAGACGATGCAGACTGAGCATTCCTCGCAAGAAAGGCGATTGCCATTGGCTTGCCAGATGCTCGAATCACAGCGCCCGTGGGATTAGCGAGGCTCCACTGTTCAGGCCTTTGAGGGATTCGTGAGATAAATTGTGTCTTATCTTTTGAGTGCCTATCCTCCTGAAATTTGCCTCATGGTGTAATCCTTATCACTGCCCGCTCCAAACTAACGACTGCGGAGTAGATCTCAGGTGGATGAGCCGGGCGTGCAATCTGACACGGTTGCTCTTCAAGCCCCCATCACCTGCGGAACGAGGCGTCAAAGCCACTCCATTGCGAATGTTACACCAATCTGTCTGTACTCCTGAACCGTCTCACCCTCAGCCCCTGCCATGGCGTCTTGACGCCTCTTTTTTGCCAGGTTACCTTCGGCGTTGTAAGATTCTTTTTTCCAATGCGGAGAACAAAGAAATCTGCCCCGCCGGCCCCCCCCCCATTTTTTACCAAGAATAAACTCCAGGGGTTGCAGACAGTGCCATGCCACGCAACTACAGCCGCAATAACGGTGATACAATTTGGGGTGGTATGTTGGTGATAACTTCGTGTGTGTCGGCGTTCTCGGCTATTCGCATGCAGGGAATCCCACAGAGGATGCGCCCTTACTTCGAAGTCTGGCCGGATTTTCCGTATCAAGAACCACGCATTACTTTTTTCTCTACGGCATTATTATCCAGCACGTCTCGTCACTTATCACATGTCAATTGCATTGCAGGGAGCAGAAAGCCGCTTGTTTCCGATTTTCGGATTTACTATCTTTCCTGCACAGTCACTGCGACTGTTTCGAACGAGTTTCGGGGACGAAGGGAGTTTCCCCAGGAAGTCTGTTATTGCCACGCACTGACCGTGCGGAGAGGGTCTAGAGCTGAGCTGTCTTGCTCGCCGCCCGCAAACCCGAGACCCCGAGGAGAGCGCCGATTGCGACACTGCAAAAACTTTCAACGGCTCAACCGCGACAGTGACGCCACCCGGTTGCGTCATCGTCGCTTCAGATGATATGCAGCTATCCGGGGCTGCAGTGCGGGACCCCCAAGGGGCAATCACCCGTCTTATGTCTTATGGCCACGGCCCCGGCCAGAACCACGGCGACTCTTTACCTCATGCCGGCTAAATACCGAGTACGGTATAATCAACGGGCCAATCAACGAGCTCCATTGCGCTGTGTGGGTTGAGCTGAACGTCGGGTGTTTTCGGAGTCTCCCGGCTTCCCCAATCCAGGATCCCACCTCCAACTAAATCATCTGTGCGGATACTACTCACTATGAATTTTAGCCTGTAGTTGTTAGGGATGGTTAGGATGGTGTCCTCGGCTCCTCAATCGCCGGCAAGAGCCATGTTCCCCGTAGCTCTCGGTGAACGAACGTGGTCGATTTCGGGCAACAACTCCCCTTCGGAGTGTGCCCGTCGGTGGAGTTGGACCGAAAAAAATTCTCTCACACGGGGTTCCCGTGTCCATCCCGTGTCAATTCCGAGTCCCGTGTCCCGAGGGACTCGGCGTCCCTGTCGCGGCATTTATTGTTGCGCCAACTTGTTACGCACAAAAGTTGAAGTCTTTCGCACGGATAGTCGATAGATTCGATACGATTTTATAAATCAAAAAAAAAAGGCATTGCCTCAGCTACGAATCCAGGCGGTGGACCGATAGAGCAAGCCGAGCAGTCTATGATACCACGCCTGGAGGTCCTATCTTCTGCTCACTGTTGGAAATTACTAACTACGGCAGACACTAACTAGTATTAGCTAATAGCTTTCCTGTAGTTGCGTCTAATTTCAGGAAGCTTCTCCCCGTGATCCCCCCATCGCAATTTTGCAGTAGTAATGTAACTAGGCATGCCGACAATGACAGACTAGGAGTCTAGGATGCAGCCTGCAGGATCATGCCCCCAGGGCATTAATAATTTTGAAAGTTCAGGCAGCAAATTTTTAGTCACATGCTATCACATGCTAGGATCTATCACATGCTTCATGCAACAATTGTGCTGATTGCTTCTTCTCTTAGCTGCGTCATGAATAATTACCCCTCATAAATCGTCACGGAAGATATTCAAACGGAACAAAACATGTTGACTGAGATAATGACCATGGGACAGCAACAAAACTTTTCTGTATTTTGTGGAAACATTGCACATATCAGAAATCCTCTCACCTGGATGACAGAAGTCACATAACAATGGTGTTATCATGTTATGGCCTTCGCCTTTGTGCCTGGCGGTTAGCTCGGTTGACGTCACGTGCGATACAATGGGGCAACCAGGGCTGGAGAGGCAAAAGCCCTAAGCTTATCCAGATGCAGAACAGGGCCGTTTGCGCCTCCCATTCTGCCGGGACAGACCGCCCACCGACGCGGTTGAGCTGATCAGAATCGATACCAGCAGACCCCATGGATCTTTTGCGTAATGTCGTTCCTCTTCTCTGCCGTTCAGCATGAGAAGCAGCGTCCCGGTGCGACTCCAGATCCATTGTCTTTCTATGCTGTGAACAGCCGCTCTATCTCCAGTCTCTGTCGTTCCAATCGTCCGCTTCCTTTCGCTGTGGACCCTGCCCTCCTTTTACTTAAGTGACTGTCATCATGGCTCCCCCGCGACAACGACCAGCCGACGATTCGAGGTCGGAGGCGTCCAGCGGGACGAGGGAACAGAAGGCTCCTGGGCCCAAGTCTCGAAAACCAGGACCAGGAACCTCTTCTGCTACTGTCGCTTCCTCTGTGAACCCCAAAGATATGAAAGTGGCGGCTGCAGTCAGCACCGTCGCAACGCTGCCTGAGACGGATCAGGATGCCCCGAGTCAGACTGAGGAATTGCCTGGAGTAAGTCACACCTTTCTTTGTCTTTGCTATGGAGAAATTGTCATTTGCACAGCCTTTCCTTTTTGAATTGTGTTCTCTCAAATCGAAATTCTCTGCAGAGACTGACTGGACCGTTTTTCTTTTGTGTCAGATCCCCTGGGCTCAGATGCCCCTCTCCATCCTCCACGACTACCGCCACGCCTACAAGCTGTCGACCCCCAGCGCATACTCCAAGCCATACTCCAAGATGCTCCTCTCCTACGGGATTGGTCTCCGGTCCCCGACCGCGATCGCCGCCCGACGGGCCCAATTGCTACAAGCTCGACGTGCGATGAACGGCTCTTTCCTCAATGATCAGCAAGGAACATCGCCATCTGGAGAATTGGCTGCGACGACGACCGAGAACGGTTTGCGCGGAGACTATACACGGAGTAACAATGTGGCCCATCTGTCGGACGACGATCTTGACAGGCACGACCGCAATCTGCACCGCATCATCGGCCAGGGCCGGGTCGGCAAGGAGCAATTGGCGCTAGCGGTGCGTAAACACTTCAACAGCGCGGGCCTGGTGGAGCAGGAGGCCATTGCCAGGTTCTTATACAAGGTCCGAGAAGAGGGGAAGGGGCGGGAATTCCGCCTTCGGTTTCAGCCATAGAAAGTCGTGTTTTCTTTCTCGCGTGACTTTCGCTCCGAACTTTCAACTTCTCATTCTGACTTTTTTTATTTCTGACCCGGCTGGTCCCTTGTGGTCTCTTGTTGGTCGTCGTCTCCATCGGATGTAAAATCATTGATACCCCTTCTGGCGTTCTTGTTCTTGTTCTTGTTCTTCTTGTTCTTGTTCTTCTTGTTCTTGAAACATGGATTCTTCCTTTTTTTCTTATGTGTATGATATAGGCGACTTGTCTGGGAATAGTATTGGAATGGATAAATAATTATTGGCTTTTTCTTGTCCTGAACGAACTGGCCTTGTTTGTGCTTTTGTTTCGTCCTGAGAACTCGATTTTCCTTTGCATTGTGTCTATTACATCTGGATGGAGTCACACACACACACACACACACACACACCCCGAAGCATTGTTTGCGCCTCGTCATGATATCAAAGAATGCCTGTGAGCTCAGAAGATGAGCGCATCATGAGAGCGACACAGATTCCCGCGTCTCCTTATCCATCTCGTGCCTGAGCTGACGTTTCGAGATGGTCACTGTCAGGCGAGCTCTTCTAATATGGAGCTATTTCCGTTGATGATGACAGCACTAGGTAATCTTCTCAACCGCAGCTGGAGCTTGTTGCGTTTCTGGACATATCCTGGACGGCTTATTGCGCAACGAATTGAAATCGGAGAGGGTATTCACCCAGCGGGAGGAATGGAGAGATATGATTCAAAGCAGGACCTTTTCTATTGCACCCCAGCCGATCTCACCAGGGTATATTTTCTGATCCCGCGGGTGTGGAATCGCCTCTGTCGAGCCAGTTGCGCGGTCTTGCTGCACCAGCTCGGTAGATGGGAAGTCATTCAACGCCGTCGAGACGACCGGAAGCAGCTGACATTCCGTCTCTTCGGGGCAGCCCTGTCCGGGCCCTGGGCCGGAGGCATCTTTGGGTCTTGTACGATTGCGATGAAGCCGTCATTGGAGACCCTTGCAGAAACAAAAGGGATATTTTGTCGAGGCGTATGTTGTTTGCTGACTTGAATGCCAGTGTCGCAGTTTCTGGGTTCCTTGATCCATGAACGCTGTTGGGTATTATCACAATGAAAATGTCATGAGTGGGCCTTCATTAACAGCATCAGACATCTTACTGGATATCATCCTCATCATCCTCGACCTTCCCGAATACCACAAGGACATCCGGACCGCGTATCGAGTGTTTCGTCAATGACAGTGGCAGATCCTAGACAGGTATTGGGAAGTCTCGATTCCCTAGAGAGATAGATCATCTTTGAATACGAAGAAATTGCCTCCCTACAGAATGTCGACTGGCAGTATCTTTTATCTCAGAGCGTGTGATTTGCTGGAAACATCACATGGATTATTGATAAATTGTTAATAAACTATAAACGTCTTAAAAGGCACCAAACCTCTCTTTTTTTTTTGGGCAGATGACGGGGAATGAGTAGTACGAAATTGGAAATGTCTTACCTACCTACCTGCCTACGTACAGTACGTACCAGACATTTGTGGCGACTGCGAAGCGAAGGGCAGGAAAGGAAGGGAGCATGTGTCTTAGACAGTGTGCCTACCTGCCTACCTAAGGTACCTAGGTTGGTACCAATCCATTCGCATTTGCGTTTTACTAATATTTTAGTAGCAAGGCTCTAACTGGACTAACCTCTTACCAAATACCCTGATATGAGGTACCTGGGTAGGTACCTTAGGCGGGAGGGTTGCCTCCACCTGGCAGTCTGAAACCATGTCACACTCATCTTGCATAAAAAGAAGTCCAAACATTGAAAGAACAATTCTGAATTCATCCTTTTTCAACCACATCTCCAGGATCGTCTCACAGTACCACTGCGTCACAGCCATGGCCGACCTTCCAGGGTTCACGCTTCCCTTGGACTATACACCATGTGATGGACATGATAAACCACGTGAGTAACAGACCCAATCTCAGAAAAAGGCGTCATTCAATTTGTTCGAGAAAATGTAGATCTAACACTTATGAACTTCAAGTCTTGTTCCCTTCGGCTTTGGACGACTTTGCTTCGTAAGACAACCCTTCAGCCAAATTTCAGTTTGGTTTGAGACTTCTTTCTTTTCTTTTAGCGTTGACTATTATATAAAGGTTCAGCCTCATTACTCTTCGTGAGATTGCAATGCTTCGGATTATGGACAAAATTACCGATAAGCCGCAGTGGGATGTCAAGGTGGGTGTACATACCATGGTTTTTTTTTCATCTTTCTCAGTCTGGTCTGGTTTTGGGATGCTAATCCTAGCAAAAGGTATTTGACGAGGACATTGTGAAAAAGTGGAAGGAGGAAGCCCTGAGAAATGACAACAACGTTACGGAGCGGATGATGGAATGGGTGATGGCAGAACTCCGATACAAAACCAAATTCTTTCAAGAAACTGGCATGGTGATCGTCAACGATGCCGCTGGTGTTGTCAAGTCGGACGTTGCTGTGACAGAATCGATCAAGAAAGCGTTAAAGAATGCGGTCCGTCCACTTGAAGAAACTCCCACCACAAAAGACTATCATCCCCGGGGCGATAACAAGTTCCTCGACTTAGTCGATCCGTCTCTGTTCCCGTTGGTCTACGGGCGCAGCCGGATTCTACAGGATGAGCTGGCTGGCATCCATGATTGCTTGTCAAAGATTGGGAAGGGGGAGGCCATTCCTATCCCTCAGCTGGAGGTCGATCGCACTCGCCCCCTTTGGCTAAGGGTACTATTTCCCAACGTCGTCGTACAGTACCGATTTCCAGTGGCTCCCTTGTGACGTAGAGCTTGAATCCGAGTCACGTTGCAAGATTACAAGCTACATCAACAATTTGCACCCACGGAGACACAAGGGCCTCTACCAAGTCATTGAGGACATCATTTCTTGTGCAATTCCACAGTGGGGTCTTAGTTTAACCGCAGTGCACCGAACTCTTCGTTGGGAGATGCCCGGGCGTCACATCGAATACCGTGAGGTAAAGTATGAATATCCGGAGCATCTTGAACAACCCCAACAAGAGCCAAATGAAGACGATGACGCTTTTGAGGAGCGACGTTGGCTGTGGGAACGTGAGAACAGAGTCGTCGTCTTGCCCGAGCCCGGAACGTTCACTCCTCGGGACTATCTGCGCCTAGATCTTCGAAAAGAGTTTAAGGATACAGGTTTGCAGGTTATTGTGAAGCTTGCTAATATCCATCTTACTCCGGAGGAGCCCGAATACGAAGGAGGATCGTGGCATGTGGAGGGGCAACTGGTGAGTACAACTTTTAATAAATAGAGGAGTTTTAAAAACCTGCAATTGTTGACTAACTAGTAACCAGAATGAGCACATCTGCGCCACAGCACTGTATTATTAAGACAATGAGAACATTACTGAAAGCAGCCTTGAATTCCGTCAAGAAGTCAGCTTTGATGCGTATGGTAGAGTGCGCTATGAGCAAGAAGACTATCATGAGTGGCTGCAGGAAGTCTTCGGGTGCGAGCAAGGTGTAATACCGCTGGTGCAAGAAATTGGAGACGTGCTTTGCAAAGAAGGCCGCCTGCTCACCTTTCCAAACGTGCTCCAGCATCGAGTCAGTCCATTCCGGCTGGCTGATCCGACCAAACCAGGGCATCGGAAAATCCTCGCTCTCTTCCTTGTTGACCCCAACATCCGCATCATCTCGACCGCCAACGTTCCTCCACAGCAAGATGAATGGTGGCGTGAAGAGATCCGCCGCCATAAGTTGCTAGGGATGCTGCCTACAGAATTGCAGGAGCAAGTTCTGGACGAATTGGACTTTCCCTTACGAATGGAAGAAGCGGAGGCACTCCGTTTGGCACTGTTGGACGATCGAAAAGCCTTTGTGAGGGAGCAGATGGGAGATCTGTTGCCGCGTACATTTTCACTTTGTGAGCATTGATATTAGCTTTGGACGCACTACACCATAGGAATGGATTGATTGCTGTCTTCCGAATAGGAATGAAATTATACGCAGTAAAATGGGATAATCAAGAGAACAAATTTTTTAAAAAAAAATAAAATATAGAAAAAAGAAAAGAAGAGGTCTTCCTTCCTTAGCGGGGAATCGAACCCCGGGCTGCTGTGCCCTATCCAATCTTAATTGGTTGAGAGACAGCGATGTTAACCACTACACCACTAAGGAATTTGTTGATTTTTTTGGCCTGGAAAATACCTTTTCCGGTTAGCGTTTTCATCACGTGACTAGCCTAGTAGTACAGAGTATAGGTACTCCGTATGGTCCGAATCCAAGCGCATCAATCCATTCCACCTAATAAAGGAAATCTTCCTAGAAGGGAATAATCATACCCCCGGACAGCTCGTGTCCTGTCCAATAATTTGACTTTCTCAGGCGCAACGCTGGCGGTGTGAAGGCGTATGTATCGTATTTCTAATATAGCTTGTATGTACAGTACAGTGCATTTCATGATGATGATAATAATGAATGGATTTTCTTCTTTCGAAATGGGGTCTGTTTGCGCTCGATTGGAAGATATATTTGAGTGAGCAGCGAGCATATCAGGGAGTGGTGAGATCCAAGATATATGAATTAATTGATTAATTGATCACACTATGAACTGATGGGAAAGCATCCAAAAGCGCCAAGGGTCAAAGCAGAAGTTGGGTGTCAAGAAGTACTTGGATTGTGAAACATCCTCTCGAAGGAGGTCATTGGGATAGTATAGTTTGTGTACACTGTAATGCATATATAAATACATATACCCTTCCCACTACTCCATAACTGCATATAATCAAATACGATCCGTATTTGAATACAAGGATCGAACGCGATTGTCAAATCGTTGGTTTCTCAGGTCCAGGATACTAGCGTATCCTCACCTTCCTGTTTGGGCAGTCAGCTGCCTTCGATGATTCTTGTATGTCTTTCCTTCTACCCTCGTCTTCACGGAGATTTTGTCGCAGCCTCATCTTCATCTCCTTCGTCACCAACTCTATTTCTTCCCCGTCCTCTCTAAGATCTGCTCCACCAACCTATCATTAACCGGAGTCTGGATCCCAACCGCCCTCCCCATCCTCAACCACCACCCATTAATGAACTTCACCTCCGTCTCCCTCCCTGCACGCACGTCACACACCATCGAACAAGTGGCATGGAACGTCGTCTGGATAATCCCATTCACCGTATCCTCCAGCCGGTCGACCGAGAATCGCTCCGCCACGCCCGGCACGTGTTGCAGTTCCGGCAAGGCGAGGACTACCTTGGAGATCTCGGTGAGAATCTCCCTCCTCGCCTCGGGCATAGTGAAGAGGAATCCGTTCTTCGCGTCGTGCAACGCGCAGAGCGGGTTGCAGAAGGCGTTCACGGCGAGCTTCTCCAGCTGGATCTGGAGAACGTCCGTGTAGCTGTACGAGGTTGCGCTGAGACGTGGCGATAAGGGGAGAGTTTGGAGAAGGTAGTTCGATGGGATGGTCGAGGAGGAGGAAGAGGAGGAGTCTACACCTATCGCGTTTTCACGCGGCACGCAGCCGATGGCCGTCGCCGCGAATCCGGTATGAGTGATGTTGAATGGGCAGTTGAGTGTCACGCCGTGGGAGATGACGCCGATGAGATAGTTGGGACGGGTCTGCGGGTCTCTGAAGAGATGCGCATTGACTTTCTCGATCATGCCGGCGCCGTTCTGGAGGAAGAGGATGTTGGACTGTGAGGTTAGTCGCTGTTGAAGCGGGCGGAGGGCGGCCACTCTCTGCGGGGCTTTGACGCAGAGGATGAGATTCTCTAGCGGTTCTGTTACGACTTGGTTTGATTTCTAATGATTCTGCAGATGCTGCTCGATACCAAAGGCCATCATCATGCAAGGTCTCCAAGCTGTAGCCCGTCGAGCTGATATGCTCGCCTTCCATGGTCTGCAGCAGTATCCGACTGCCGTTTTTGCGGTACGAGTCCAGAAGGGATCTCCGATGCGCGAGAAGAGTGATAGATGGGCCATTGGGGATTTCAGACACCGAATGGGCGGCAAACGTGCCGATGCTGCCCAGTCCAAGTACATGGACTCGACCTGGTCGGGATTGTGTTTGCTGAGAGGAGGAAAGGGTGGTGATTGAACCTATCGTGCAGCGCTGTGCCCTCCACATGCTCTCAAGTATAGGATTTAATCGAGGTGGCCGAGGAGCAGTCATTGTGTGATTACAGATTTGTCTCAAGAACTAGTATGTAGATAATATGTAGATAAGAGGGTTCAGTTGGAATAATAGGGGGAGAGGACTGCATCCGCAGAAAGAATTTTTTGTCCCCCGTTTCCTAGCATCCTTCTACGATTAATACAGCAATCCCCTTCCTATGGACGGGGCATATTCCCATCTTGATTCCCGAAGCTCAAGAATCGCCCGCAAGTTGTCATTGTTGCTTGTTGCAAGGCGTGAACCACGCGTGCTCTGTGGGGCAGACATGCCTCTGCCGTCCAATAACAGAGAAACAGCTCCTTCATTATATTCTGATTTAGGGTAAATCAAGGATAGGAGGAGCGAAAGGGAAAAAAAGGTTAGACGATAAAATGGGAAAGAATTCTCTTGGTCGAGTTCGGATACGGATAATAGGATGGGACAGGATAGACTTTGCATGCCCTAACTACCTAAGGTAACTAACGCCCTAGTCCGTGCCTTAGGCTTGACAAGTAGTCCATCTAACTAACGTTGGAAGCTTGGAACCGGCTATTGCGATACTGGAGGCAGCGATTCGGAGTTTTCGTTACAGCGCTGAATTTGAAAAAGACTCGCCTCGATGTATCTACAGACCACATGACGTTGTATATATGTACAGTACAGTACAGTACGGCTGCAACTCCAAGAACGGCTGGGTTGATTCTGACTGAACTCATTCTCTATAGCCTCATACCATACCTCAGTGGAAAATGCAGTGAAATCTCTTCTTCCCCAAAGCAATCAATGGCTTATTTATGCCTCTTCGCCAGGCCATCCTGGAAGGTCTGCACTGGATGGATAGATCGGTCAAGATGGGCAGAAACTATGGGTCATCGCGGGCCATCGCTGCTGGGCTCGCGTGAAACTAAAGAATGGGTGACATTGCAGATCTCGTAGAAGTAGCATACTGGTCCCACTTTGAGAGCTAATAGTCGTTGAAGCTGGACAACAATATCCGCGAAACGAGTCACGGCAAAGGCTGTTCAAAGAAGGCTGTTGTCTGGCAATCTGACTCCCCAGCGCGTCCATAATAATGGCAGACAGAGAGGCTGGTTCGTCTTTGGGAGGGGATTCCTGCCATCATTGCATGTAAATGTGTTCAAAGAGCTACCAGCCACAGCCCCGCCGTCGTCTTGAAAATACTAGAGTGTAGACAAATATTCATCCAAAAAGTGGTTAATCATAGCATGCTCCATGGAAGCTCATGTCACCCGCAACGGCACTTAGATGGATTGTGGGTAGGCTGAGGACAACTAGCTGCAACGAGTTCATTTTCGGGTAGACTACTGACTAAGATATCCCTTAATAATTGAGCTATTACTATTCAATAGATCAATCAAAAAGAAAGAAATGCGAAACAAACTCACATTTGTCCAAATCATCCCTAGTGAATTCGCCGAAATCGTCTAGACATTGAGGCTCAGAGCTCGGGGGCTGACTGGCCTGTGAATTCTCTCCATGCACTGTGAAAAGGATTGCGACTATTATCTTTAGAGGTAGTCTGAGAATAGATATCTTTTCTCTGTCAGTGTACTATATATATATATTACTATAATCACACATCACCAAGATGGAAAACGACCAATAAATACGTATTCGAGGACACTCCTTGATCTAATCACGCGGATTCTGGAACTGGTGAAGATAAGATCAACCGATCAGAAAATGCAATTTCACTAATATTCAATCGAGTACCTAATTAATTCACATATCCATGGATACAGATCAATGCTGTTGTTGCTTCTGGAGCGGAGAGTGTTTTCTTTTTTGATTCGTTTCCATCATAATAAGTTACTGGCGCTTGTCCCCTCTAACAACAACTATCCCCATACCTTTATTTATTTATCACCCGTAGAGATCTCCGCCAATAGAGAAAACAGGAAGAGAAGGAATATAAATCAAAGCTCAAAACTCCGGGCAATGCATATTTCCCCATCAGATCACGAAGTAGGGCCATGTCCATATGCCTTGGCAATAAAAAAAAACCGCACTGGGAGAGGGAAATAAATATAAAAAACAGAAAAAGAAAAAAAAAAGGACCACCTATTCGGTGGCTCAGAAAAAGAAGATCTAAATATATACCCAAAATTCCCAAGCACTACATGAACAATAAGACATCAATTGCTGGGCAAATTACTCTTCTTCTTCTTCTTCATTCCGCTTCTCGTGCTGGTCCTCCTCAGCGGGTTTGGCGAGTTGCTCCTTCCAGGCGTTGTTCGCCGCATCCCGGTCCAGGTTTGCAAAGACGATATTAAACACATCGGAGTACCAGTTCACGGGATGGCCTTCGATGCCCTCTTTGATGTTCTGCACATAGTCAGCCAAGAGCTGAGTCGTTCCTGTGACAGTCGATCTACACGTACCTCTGGAAGTTCCAGCCAGTCGGACATGTTGTCAGCTGGGAAAATGATCGCCTTGGCGCCGGCACGGCGAGCGGCCACCGTCTTCTCACGAAGCCCCCCAATACGAAGAACTTTGCCAGTGACGGTGAGCTCACCCGTCATCGCGATGGTTGGGTCGAGAGAGTGGTTCAGAGCCAAGGAGAGCAGAGAAGTGGCCATGGTAATACCGGCAGAAGGGCCTGAAAATGGATCGTTAGGATTAGACATTCAAGAAACCAATAATTCAAAGGAAATGGAACTTACCATCCTTCTGGACAGCACCCTCAGGGCAGTGGAGGTGAACCCGGGCCTTCTCAAAAAACCGGTTTTCTGGAAAGTCCTTTGCCATCACTGACTTGGCGAACGAATACGCAATCTGGGTAGACTCCTTCATCACGTTCATGAGATTGCCAGTCGTCTCGAATCCAGGTCGCGAGTCGCGTGAGAGCGTATTTTCAAGGATCGACTCGACGTACAGGGCGGCCCCTCCCAGGCTTGTCCAGGCCAGGCCCATGGCCACACCCGGTGGTAAAGTATCATAAAGTCGATCCGATGTGAAGACAGGGGGCCCGACGTAGTCTTTCAAACTGTCTTTACCAATCCGGACGTGCACGGTGTCCGGCACCTTCAAGGCCACCCGCGGAACCTCGGTCGTCGACTTTTCCGGCTCTAATAAAACGTCCTTGGGATCGGTCCCTCCCTGCTTCGCCTCTTCCTGCTGAGCGGTCTTCCCTTCCTCCGTTATCGCTGCCTCCTCTGATAATACTTCCTCTCCGAGGTCTTGGACGATCTTGAGCGCGGCTTTCCGATAAACCTTTTCGATTTGCTTCTTCAGGTTCCGGACACCGCTCTCCCGACAGTAAGACTTGATCAGCTCCTCGATAGCATCTTTTTCCAGCTGAACGTCGACATCCTTTAATCCACTGAGCTCCTTCGCCGCTGGAGCAAGATATTTTTCCGCAATGGCCATCTTCTCGTCCGCAACATAGCCAGAGAGCTCAATGGTCTCCATGCGGTCCAGGAGCGGCCGCGGAATCGTGTCAGTCACGTTCGCCGTGCAAACGAATAGAACCTTTGACAAGTCCACAGGGACGTCCATGTAGTGGTCGAGGAACGAGGAGTTCTGCTCCGGGTCAAGGAGCTCGAGCAGAGCAGAGGACGGGTCGCCCTGATGGCCGCGCCCGATCTTGTCGACTTCGTCAATGAGAATCAAGGGATTCTCCGTCTGACACTTCTTCAGAGCCTGAATGATTCGTCCCGGAAGTGCCCCCACGTAGGTTCGTCGATGACCTTTGATCTCCGCAACATCGGTCAAGCCTCCGACAGAGAATCGGTAATATTGTCTGTTGAGGGCGCGAGCGATCGATTTTCCGATACTGGTCTTGCCCACACCAGGCGGGCCAACCAGACACAGAATCTTACCCTCAACTGTTCCACGGAGTTTTCCAACGGCAATGAACTCAAGAATCCGGTCCTTCACGTCTTTCAGTCCGTAGTGATCCTCGTCCAAGACTGTCATCGCGTGCTTGATTCCGAAGTTCTCCACGCTCTTCTGACCCCATGGAATTTGCGTGATCCAGTCCAGATAATTCCGAGTGACGTTGAATTCAGAGGCCGCGGGTTCGAGGTGAGCCAGCTTGTTCAGTTCTTCCTCGAAGACTTTCTTGACCGCTTCCGGCATAGCGAGTTTCTCTGCCTTCTCCTTGAACTTCTCAACCAGCTTATCCTTGCCGTCTGTCTCGATGCCCAGTTCCCTCTTGATTCCCTTCATCTGTTCCATCAGCCAATATTCCCGTTGTCGTTTCTGAATCTTGGCTTCGACATCTTTTGAAATCTTGGACTGCAGCTGGGCATTCATCAGTTCTTTCTTTAGCACCACCAGCGCCTTGGGGAGTCGATCCTCAATGTTCATCGTCTCCAAAACCTCCTGCATCTCCTTCAATTCGCCTGCAGACACTGCTGCGGCGAAATCTGCCAACTTGGCCGGTTCGTCACTCAGGTTTCCGGGGAACTGGTCGGTGTAGAAAGCGGAAATCTGATCACGGAATAGGGGGTTGAGGGTAGCAATCTCCTTGCAGACGTTGACAATCTCGCTCGTCACCGCCCTGATCACGGGGCTTTTGCGGTCATGGGGTTCTTCCGTAAGATTCTCGACGTTGACAAGGCTGACGGGGTATTTGCGCAAAAATGCTGTAGGTTCGTAGTGATAGATTTCTCTCGTCAGTTGGTTGTCGACCGGGCCCTCTTCAAAGCTCGCGACGACATCCCCTCGCCTATCGTAGATGTCTCTCGAGATCGGCTGTTCGGCAGGGCCCATCCTCGAGGGGTCGTTTGGTGACAACAAGGATGTGATCTTGATCCTGCGGTGAGGATACAACACTGCAGTCACTCCGGTCTCTGCGCCACGAAGAGGATAAGCAGCAGTGATCTGGGCAAAGACTCCCACGTTATACACCTCATCCAGACTCTCAATCACATCCCCATCCGCATCTTCATCCTTGAAGAGAAACGCTCCCACGTATGGCTGTCCGCGCTTCATCATCTCCTGGATGGCTGCTGCCACGTTGGGGTCCCGGATGGTGATCGCCTTGTAGAAGCCTGGGAATAGAGGGCGCTTGGCAATGGGAATAGCCATCACCTGGGGATAGACGTCTGGGACAGACGGCTTCTGTAGAGCCCTTTCTCTCCTGCCTCGCCTTCCCCCATCTTCTCCACTGCCGCCTGAGCCACTTGGTCTCGAATCTGACCCGCCGCCGGATACAGGTATCGGAGATGGAGAGCCAGAGTCCCCTTTCCCTTCCCGGGCTTTGTACTGCTCGTCAAGACTGTTTCCCTTCCTCGCCTCCTCTGCCTGCCCATCTTTCTCCGCCGCATTCCTGTCTTTCCGTCGACCGGAACTCGCCACTGGAGACTCAGCGTCCTGTTGCGACCCGTGCTTCTCTACCGCATCACCGTGCTTTCGTCGCAACTCCGGAGACTTGGTCGTCTCCTTATCTTCTTTCACCTGTTCACCATGCTCCTCCTCTTCCGCCCTTTCTCCAGGATTCGGAGGCTTCTCTTTCCGGCGGACACTGCTGGATGAGAAAGCTCGCGGGGCAGGAATGGCAGACCGGATAAAGCGGGAAGACGTCAGGTCCGATCGGAGAGTCGCATGGTATCGGGGAGAGAGGAGAAACGGTTTAGGATTCACATTGCGTTGTGCATGGTGGAGCGCAGCTCTCCATCGAAGGCTCTGGCCGCGAAGCATGCTACTTGATGCTTCTGAATAGGGAGGGCACGTGCAGGCCCGAGAAATACCGTAGACAGGCGTGTCAGGGAAAAGGAGAGTCTGGACAGGGCAGGTAGGACAGCGGAAGAGAAGAGCAAGCGCGAGAGAAAGCGTGAAGCGCAGGAATAGCCAGCTGCGAGAGAGGATCGACTGGTGAATGCACTCCGAGCAACGCTGTCTCGTTCTCCGACTGTCGGGGATCGCTGAGATCATAGCGGCCTTTTGTTTTTCCGGCCTCCGGGTCTATCCGCCGGGAAACTTTTTCGACTAGCCTCGAAGATTCCCGGCGTCAACCAGCTGGCTTGGCTCCGGTAAACAATTCAGCGTCAGAATACCGTTCCTCGTCCATCCCATTTATCTGACTTGTCCGTCGGCAGACTGCGAGAGAAGAACACGTTCGGCGCTTGTATTGTGGATGCAGATTAACGAGGAATGAGCGCAACTCCAGCCGGACTGCCCAAGGCAGTCGCTCTCCCCGCCCGTCTTCTCGTTCGGACATCGCGGCCATGTCCCAACGTTCGACGACAGTCCCATGCGCGGTCTTTTCACAGTAGTTGTACGCCTTCCTCCCGACGGGGACTAGATGGTTCGCGGTCGAAAAATGATACCTTTCGGCTATCCCTGAGGGTATGTGTTTCCCCCAGGTCCACGGATGTGGTTTGCTTTCTGTAGTGTAGATGTAGCTCATCACTTTCGCATGCAGGGATTCCACACATCTTCTGCGCTCCAGGCTATGAAAGACCCTTACAGCGTGCTTGGGGTCGATAGAAATGCATCCGCCGCGGATATTAAACGGGCTTACTACGGGATGGCGAAGAAGTACCACCCTGATACCAACAAGGAACCCGATGCCAAGGAGAAATTTGCCGAGGCGCAGTCTGCATACGAGTTTCTGTCCGATCCAAAGAAGAGAGAAGCATACGACCGCTATGGTCCCGCAGCATTCGACCAGAACGGAGGATTTGACCCGAACGCGGCGGCTGGAGCGGGTGCGGGTGGGAATCCATTTGCTGGAGCTGGCGGCTTCCACGGCTTTGGGAGCGGTTTCCCTGGTGGATTTACGGCCGATATCAATATTGAGGACTTGTTTGGTGCTTTCACGGGAGGGGCTCGCCGTGCTGGTCGGAGAGGACGCGGTTCGCCGTTCCAGGAGTCCATTCTGGTCGGGGAGGATATCGAAGTGCAGACGAACATTTCTTTCATGGAGGCTGCCAAGGGTACGGGAAAGGATATTTTCATCACGCCACTCGTACAATGCCATACCTGCCAAGGTGACGGGCTCAAGAAGGGCGCGAAGCGGTCACAATGCAAACAATGTAACGGTTCTGGCACTCGCGTCCACTTCATGCAAGGCGGTTTCCAGATGGCCAGCACGTGTGACGCCTGCGGTGGCTCAGGTTTGGTCGTTCCCCGAGGTTCCGAGTGTGGTTCCTGCGGCGGAAATGGTGTCGTGAGAGATCGGAGGACAGTCCACATCGACATTCCCGGAGGCGTTGAGGATGGAATGCGCTTGCGGGTTGCCGGAGAGGGAGATGCGCCTCCGACGGGCACCGCTGCGGCTCCGGGTGTTCGCACACAACGAGGTGACCTTTACGTCTCCATCCGCGTGGCTCCGGATCACCGGTTCAGCCGCTCGGGCTCGGACATTCTCTACACGGCATCGATTCCCTTGACCACCGCGCTGCTGGGTGGTGAGGTTACAGTGCCGACTTTGGAGGGCGAAGTCAAGGTGAAGGTGGCCACGGGGACTGGAACGGGAGATCGGATCACTCTGTCGGGCATGGGAATGAAGAAACTCGGCGGTAAAGGCCGAGGCGCAGGCGACCTCCGTGTCGAATTCAAGGTTCAGATGCCCAAATACCTGACCGCTAACCAGAGAACGATTCTCGAGGTGCTTGCCGACGAGATGGGCGACAAGACCGCCAAACGGATCATGAACGTTGGCAAGGACAGGTAGGCCGTCATCCCCTGTTCTTCTCGATCTCCGAATACCGGCTAAAACCATCACAGCTCGACCTCTGGCACCACTTCGTCCGACAGCTCGCACAAGAACGAAGGCTTCCTCAAATCTGCATGGCACCGCTTGCTGAACAAAGCCACCGATGGCTCCAAGGATTCCGGTTCGACTAAGAAAGACGACGCGAGCGAAGACGAGCCCAAGAAGGCCTCGGGATCCGGCTGAGCTGTTCGTTCCCGTTCTCTATTCTTTTCTTGTGTTATTGACGTTTCGTTCTTTCTTCCTGGACAAATATTTGAATCATAGCGCCGGCGAGTTGGTGTTCATTTAGGGTTTGGTGGGTATTTCTTCATTTGCTCCGTACCATGTTTCATCATTCCCTATCTTGAGATGACTCGTCATGATAGTTGTAATGTACCAAATAGACTGGGCTTGATCATCTCGTAGATCACCATCGAGATGCCTGTACAATAGTATTGGAAAACCTCCCTACTTTCTAATAAAGACGACTCCAGACTCCAGCTGAAGCGCCTTTGATTTGGTACAGACTGTAACAGCGCAGTGAAGTATCCGCTCTTTGCAATTTTACTGCTGTGATTATCAATGAATGGCTACGAGCTGCGAGACAGAGTCGCTGTCAGAGCTGTTGGTAGGCGACGGCGGCCATGCTCGCTGGTGACGGCGGCTCCCGACGTGCAGCGAGAGACCCAACCAGAGCGCCGATCGAGGCTCTGGCGGTGCTTCGTCCTGCAGGGCGCCAACGCCAGCAACCTTGCAGATGGATCGCAGCCCTTTAGCTGATCTGGGGCCCTGGGCTGGTCTGTCCGTCCTGGGGCGCGGGTTTCTGCATGGGGCAGTCGTTTTTCGCAGCCGTTAAGCGGGTGGCTGAGGGAGCTTGGCTGCCCGCCCGCATCCCTTCCTTCGCCCGTCGCACAGGGAGCAGCACCAGATCTGATCTGACATTATCTGTGACGGCGAGGCCTTCTTGCGTGTGCGATCGCTCGGACTGGATGTTTCTTCGAGACATCGCTCTCTGGTCTCAGGCAAGGCAGCAGTCGTGTTGTTAGTCCGAGCGATTTCCTTCTACCCCACACTGTTCCTCCATCCCGCCCTGACGTATCTCGTCACCACCACGACTTCTTCTGTCGCCCTCATCTCTCTTGACGCCTTTGTCTTTCCTCGATAGGAGCGTCTGCTCCTATCTGCCGTCACCATGGTCCAGTCGCCCATGCTGTCATGTCCGCTCAAGCAGACCAACGAGATCGACTGGGTCCAGCCCCTCAAGGACTACATCAGGACCGCATACGGCGACGATCCCGAGCGCTACCACGAAGAATGCACTACCCTGAATCGGCTCCGGCAGGATATGAGAGGGGCGGGCAAGGACAGCGCGTCGGGGCGAGATCTATTATACCGATACTACGGCCAGCTAGAGCTTCTGGACCTCAGGTTTCCCGTCGATGAGAACCATATCAAGATTTCCTTTACATGGTAAGCAGGCAGCAAAGTTCAGAGTCATATGTACAGTCTGACAAATGGATGTGTTTGCGCCAGGTATGATGCCTTCACCCACAAAGCCACCTCCCAGTACTCCCTCGCCTATGAAAAAGCCTCCATCATCTTCAACATCTCCGCCGTCCTCTCCTGCCATGCTGCGAATCAGAACCGCGCCGAGGACATTGGTCTCAAGACGGCCTATCATTCCTTCCAAGCCTCTGCGGGCATGTTCACCTATATCAACGAAAACTTCCTGCACGCGCCGTCGACGGACCTGAGCCGCGAAACGATCAAGACCCTCATAAACATCATCCTAGCCCAGGCCCAGGAGGTGTTCCTGGAGAAGCAGGTCGCGGACGAAAAGAAACCCGGGTTTCTTGCAAAGCTGGCCAGCCAATCGGCCTATCTGTATTCGCAGGCGGCCGATGCGGTCCAGGAATATGTCAGCAAAGGCATCTTTGAGAAGGTTTGGGGGATTGTCGTGCAGGCCAAGGCATCTCACCTTTCGTCCATCGCCAGCTATTATCAGGCGATCGCCGATGCGGAGAGTGGATCCCATGGCGTTTCCATTGCACGACTGCAGCTGGCTGAGAAGCTGTCGACTGCAGCCCTGAACTGGGCCAAATCTTTTTCCATCCTCAGTTCCGGCGACCGCGAACTTGCCTCCAGATGCGGGAGCGAGCTTGACGGAGATCATCAAGCGTCATCTCACCCGGGTGAAGGAAAAATTGGCGTCGTCGATAAAAGACAACGATTTCATCTACCACCAGCCGGTTCCTAATGAAGCGGGACTGTCTGCGGTCGCGAAGCTGCCCGCGGCGAAAGCCATCCCCGTCAGTGAGCTGTATCAGGGGCAGGACATTCAACGGATAATCGGCCCGGATATCTTCCAGAAACTAGTGCCCATGTCCGTCACCGAGTCAGCGAGTCTGTATGACGAGGAGAAGGCGAAGCTGATCCGCGCAGAGACGGAAAAGGTGGAGACGGCCAATGGCGAGATGGCGGCCAGTCTGGACTATCTCAAGCTGCCGGGCAGTCTCAATATCCTTAAGGGAGGCATGGACCAGGAAATGACGGTGGATGAAGAATTCCGGCTGTGGTGCGAAGAGCTCTCCGGCCACGAGCTATTCCACAAAAAGTTCGATGAGTTGCAGGAGCACAAGGCAGCAATACTCGAGATCCTGGACCGATGTACGAGGCAGCTTGATATGGAGGAGAGCGTGTGTGAGAAGATGCGATCGAAATACGGCGCCGATTGGTCTCAGCAGCCCAGTTCACGGCTCAACGCCACGCTCCGCAGCGACATTCGAAGTTATCGGGATACAATCAACGAAGCGAGCACGAGTGATGCACAGCTGATGGCCACGATGAAACAATACGAAGCTGATTTTGATGAAATGCGCTCGGCCGGCGAGACAGACGAAGCCGACGTTCTGTTCCAGCGGGCCATGATCAAAGCGGGAGCGAAACAGAAATCAAGTCGGAACGGACAAGCCAGTCCCTACTCTCCTCCTGCGGAAGGAAGTCTCCTGGATGATGTTGAGGACGAGGGGAAGAAATCTGTCGCAGAGCAGATCGCGAAGGTCGAGGAGCTTTTGAAGAAACTCAATCTGGTGAAACGGGAGCGGGCGCAAGTCTTGAAGGACTTGAAAGAGAAGGTTTGCAGAATTTTTTTTTCTATTTTGAACCTTTTTTTTTGATGACGTACTGACGGTCTTCAGGTCCACGAAGATGACATCTCAAATGTCCTCATCCTCAACAAGAAATCCTTGGGCAGCGGGCAGGAGAACCAGCTGTTTCAGGCCGAACTGGAGAAGTTCCGGCCGCACCAGAATCGCATCATCCAAGCAAATCACAAGCAGGCATCGCTGATGAAAGAACTGACCAAGACGTACGGGGATCTGCTGCAGGACAAGCGGGTTCGAGCCGAGCAGTCCAAGTACGAGGCGATCACGCGGCAGCGAAATATGGTGATGGCGCGCTACAGAAAGGTCTACAACGCATTTCGCGAGCTGGTCTCGGGGCTCGCCCAGGCGCAGAGCTTCTACACTGAAATGCGAGAGACCGTGGAAAGTCTCCGGAAGAACGTCGATACCTTTGTCAACAACCGACGATCCGAAGGGGCGCAGCTTCTCAACCAGATCGAGCGCGACAAGGCCAGCAGTGCCTCGGGACAAGAGGATCGAGAGCGGGAAAAACTGAGACAGTTGATGGAGCGCCTGTCAACGGAGCCGGCACCGTCGTCGTCGTCACCGTCGAAGCAAAAACCGCCGCCTCCTGCCAAGGGGAATTCCCATTCGAGCGGCACTAAGTCTCCTCCTGTCTCATCGCCCCATTATCCGTCTGCTGCTCCGGCCTCGCATGCTGGAGCACCTCCATCACAGCCTCCTGCACCATATCCACAGTATATACCGTCCGCCGTGCCCGCGCCGTACTACCCGGGACAGCAACCATTCCAGCAGGGAGCGGCAACTCCACTGTCTGAGGGGTACAATCCAATGGCATATCCGTACCAAACACCCGTCTCTCCGCCACCGAACCAGCAGTACTTTTCGACAGCAACGCCATCCCCGTATGGCGGCTATCCGCCAAGTGCCACGGCCATTCCTCCTCCGTCCCATACGCCGCAGTTCATCCCGCCTGGGTATATTCCACCGCCTCCGCCGCCACGTCCGCAGACGACATATCCGGCCACGACGGGGCCGTATCCGTCGGGGCCGGGGGGGTATGCGCAGAGCAGGCCGTACGGGACGAGCCAGCATCACCACAAAACGTCACAATCGCAGTCGCAACAACAGCAACAGCAACAGCAATCATCACCGAATGATCCATGGGCGGGGCTGAATGCATGGAAGTGAAGTAAACTGGAAGTAAACTGTTAGAAGGGGTTATTGAGGTATTACTATCACGATTAGATTTCTTTTTTTTTGTGCTTGCTGTTGCTGCATTTGATCATGTCCGTCCTGTAGTCATGTTGTCATGTTTGTCTAAATGTCGTTTTCGGCGTTCGACTTTTCGAATTGCAGTCATTTTTATCCCCCCTGTCCCCATGTAATAGGTGTACGTACAGTACGTTTCGAAACATACCCGGGTATGAGTGAGAAGGAAAGGAAAGGAATGAATGAATAAACTATTTATTTATTATCATGTACTGACTGCTACTATTGATTCTCTTAAATTTATACGAAACGGAAAGTGTAATAAAATAACAAATATCGTAATAGTAGCGGTAGTAGTACGAGGACATATATATAAGTGGAACCTACCAGGATGCTTTGCTCTACGTCTAGGTAGATAGATAGGTAGGCAGTCAGGCAAGCGATGAATATGGTACGTATACTATAGTAGCCTTACATAAAATATAAAAATTCCCATAAGTAAGTAAGTATCCATATATGTATGTATGTATGTATGTATATCCAGTCAATCAGTCAGTCAGTCAGAGTCAAATGTCCATAGATAGATAGATAGAGATGAAGAAAGGAGAATAAGCAAATAACGCCAGGACACCGTAACATAACCGAGTTGAGTAAATAATATACCAAGGTCATTCGTTAGTCATAGTCATCAAGAAAGGAGAAAAAGAACTGAGAGCAGAGCAGAACAGAGCAGAACATAAAGAGACGAAACAATCCCCTCCCGTCCCATTCAAATCAAATCAATTCAAAATTCACAAAAAAAAAAGAAATCAAAATCCATGATCCATGATCGATCCATGATCCATCTGATATCATCATTCAAAGCCAATTCAAAGCCAATCAAAGCCAGTTCGCGCCGAGAGGAGGAAACAAAACGAAACCAAGAAAAAAAAAGCCAAGAAGACAAGAATAAGAAGAAAGGAAACGAAAAGAAAAAGAAAAGGATATGATATCAATGCAAGAAGTAAGTATAAGTAAGTACCCCCAATCCCCAATTTCCAATCTTTGCAAGCATAGGGCAAGCAAGTAGGGCAGGGCCAAAAAAAAAGAAGAAAAAGAAAAAGGATTCAATTC